GTAAGTGTGATTGTGGGCGCGAGTGTGAGGGTGAGGGCGAGCAAGAGGATAGGGGGGGGAGTGTGCGGGACGCATGTAGGTCAGTCGTTTATGGACGCCTGCATGCATGTTATGTATGTATTACCCGCCTCCACGGGCAAAGGAGGGGGGGGGGGGCTTCTAGAAGACGTCGAAGGCTGGGGTCTGGGGTTGAATGCTGTTGCTGCTGATTGCTGGATATTGTACTGTCGGTATGCTCTGGAGACGCGGAGTTGTCCATGGCTATGCTTGCTCCGGCCGAGGACCATGCAAGCCTGTATCCAGCCGAGACACACCGAACAAAAGCTACGAATACACAGCACAATCTAATTATATGTGCGTCCATGGATGGCACACACCCACCCACCACGCTCTCTTGCTTCGGCCGAAACCAAAGTGAGCGAGCGCCCGAAGGGGAAGAAGAAACGAGGACAGGGCCTATTTGCTCCTCTCCCCGCCTCGGGGGCGGCCCCCGCGACGGGCTCTCACGTGGGCAGGCTGCTGATGTCGCGAGAGATTCGTGGCAGTTGATGGATGGACGGAAATAACAAGGGGGGGGGAGGAGGGGAAGAGACATACATACGCGGGGATCAACATGTACGGTCCGAGACACGCATTGCTCATTCTTGCTGGCCTGTTTGATGGTTCTTCTTTGCACTTGTATTTGGGTTCTGGCTATGAGTCGTTGGGATTGAGGGAGGGGGGTAGAAGGGGGGAGGGTGGACGGACTTGGCTGCTCTTTGTTCTGCGGCGGACCAGCCTTTCTTCTATACGCCCCCATCGACCTGAAGCCTCACTCTCTGTCTCCTGGAGCCAGAGGAGGCGAGCGCAAGGAAAGGGCGGAGCTCAAGGTCGTCGTGGCCACGTGCTAACCTGCCTCGTCCAGCCCTCCTCTTCCTCCTCGTCCGCCTCCTCCTCCTCCTCGTGCACCGTCGTCATCCCCCTCCTACCTTTCCCTGCAGATCGCGGCTCACTCGTCCCGCCAACGCCCGCCATACACACACGCAAAACTCTCCGAGATGCCGCCATATCCCGGCGCCCCGGGACCACCAGGCCTCAGTCGGGGGTGCAGGCCGGGATAAAGCCATCCGCGCGGGCACGCAACTCCCCAGGCGCCGTGTCTTCGTCCCGGCCCCGAGGAGAGGAAGAGGCTCGTATCTGTTGCCGGCGCAAGGCTTCCCCGGAGACTGGGGCATCTTGTGGCCCCTTCTCGGGGCGCACCAGCCCCCCCCCTTTTTTCCCGACCGAGTCATGGCTCTCTTCTTCTCTCGGTTCCCGGTGGCCGTCGCGTTGCCTTGGGGTGTTGAAACGGTCGACTTCCCGGGTCCCGCCATGTTTTAAGGCGGAGCTCGGAGCGCGTCGGCGAGTATCCGTCGGCTTCGAGGTCCTTTGGTCCTCGTCCATCGTCGTCGTCGCGGCTCTCGCTTTATGATCTTGGACATCACGGGGCCGGCCGCCTCTTGACAGCGGGCTGCAGAGACGCTACAGAGCACGGCGGAACCGCCCATGCCGCTCCAGACATGATTGCCGCCAATCCCTCCCCGTCAAGGGGCAAAAGCACAGGACCAAGTGGTGTGATCCGAAGCACCGAACCCCCTTTCAAGAGTGTGCTCCAAGGTCAAGTAAACGCGTCCTCCCCCTATTCGGAAAGACAGGGCTATCCCCGAGATGATCAGCGACGGTTCCCGCTGAGCGCGTCCGGGCCGGCCGGCGCCCCCGAACATCCGCCCGGGTCGACACCGGCGAGTCATTCGCGGTCCAAGGCGGCGCCGCGGAAGGGGGCTCTCGCGCTGGCCAGCATGGCGGATGGGGTGGGCAGGGCGAGGTCCCGTCATGTCACGGCCGCTGCTCCGGGGTGCTGGAAGGGGGCGCATGCCTGTCTTCAATGCCTTCTTCGTCAGGAGATGGACTCCCAGGGGCCGCCTCGCATCCTGGCCGCAGGAAGAGGGGGCTCCAGGGACAAGCAGCAGACGGTGAACCCACAAGCTATCTGGCGGGCTTTTCACTCGTCCACCGTCGTCGCTACGAGGCCTGGTCGCAGGTCTTCCAAGGCCGCAACGCCACCCGTTCCCGTTTCGTCTTGTGCACGTTACTATTCACCCCCGTTTCCCAGCCTTTCAAGGACGGCGCAGAGACTTGTCAGCCGATAATAGGGTGAATATAACTGATAGAACTTTAATTGGAGGGGGGAGGGAACCGGGTGTATAGGGAGAAGGGGAGTGGGCGTGAACTGAGTCAGGAGACGAGAAAAGGGTGGAGATGGAAACGAGGAGGGGGGAAACACACTCGTGCACGGAGATAGGAGCTTCGGGATTTCTTGGATGCCCGCTCGCTTTACTCAAAATGGGAAATGGCAACTTGACAGCGATAGCGTGGGACGAAGGGGGTGTGTCGAGGCCATTCCTTGGGTTTGCATAGTGATACAGAGTAGGTGATGGAGGGTAGTTGGGCGCTCCGGATCTGAGGTATAAGTCGTGATATATCGACATGTTAACCCACGACACGGCTCCTCTCACACGCCACGTACACAGATCTACCCGGGGACGAGAGTAGCATCATGGAGAGGATGGATGGACGTGAGATGCCACACCCTGAGTAAGCTTGATGCGTAGTCCCGTTCCCCGGTTTGGTCTCGTTTGCGCCTATTCCGGAAAACAAGCCGAGTAACGCACGTCCCCAAGCTCGCCAGGATAAGCTCAGACACACAGACTCTCATTCACTCCAGCAGACCGCCGCATACGAGCACAGGTAGCCACACCGACCAAGCACAATGGGGGGCTTGTTCTTGGAGGACAAAGGGGAAATAGCCAGCCATGGGGGCGCTGGACACACACCCTCTCCTCCCGATCTGGCGGCTCAGTCCAGGGTTCATGCTCCTCTCGAACGACAGGCGTGCTTGTCTCGTCGCAAAAAGGCAGAGGCCGACGTATCCGGAGTCAACTGACATGCGCAGACACTTATATATAGCCCCCACGGGTTTCACGCTCCACAGACGCCGTTGCGGTTGGAAGCCAAAATCCATGCCCTGGGTCCACCGAAGCCTGACAACACTCTGAAAAGAAACATGCCGTCCATTGAACTCGCCAGGAAGCTCGTCAGAAAGGAGAGTCAACCAGGAGGGGGAAGGGGGGGGGACAAACATGCTATACAGCACAAAGCCCATACAGCACAAAGCCCCGGCTCGTTTCTTCTTTCCCCGGTCTTCCACCCGCCTCTTCGAGAGCCCCTGGCCGCTTGACTCGCTCCCAGAGTGCCCCGGCCGACGGAGCAACAAGCCTCCCGCGCCGTCGTGCTGTGCGGCCTGACTCGTCACAGTAACCCCCCCGGTCGTTGCCACGCAGCTGAGTGAAATCATGCCTCCCAGTCGATAGCGTCTCCTTGTAAGTAGTTGTACATACACACGCCGCCCTTGTATTTATGCTTCTAACATTATTAAGTGGGCAATTCCTATATGCTCATCACCCGTCTCGCTCGCCCTTCTCTCCACCCGTTGCCTCGAGTCAGGACCACAAGGTCGGAGACGCGGGTGCGGAGAGACGACAGACGATGCCATCGCACACATACACGCTTGGACAGCACGTCTACAGCCAGGGCCAGCATCCATTCATTATACTGATGCTTCTGGTGGTGGATGGCGAAGGTGACGTTCAAGGACGCCAAGGCGTTTAGATCGTCGCGCGTCCCAGCCACAGGCGGGGCGACGATGCCGTTACAGGCAACGGACAAGACGCCGTCGCTCGGATTTCGCATAGACTGCTGTCTATGCGTGAGGGGGGAGAGTTGCACGGATCGTGGACGCGTATCGGCTGTCACGCATTGAGTTTCCTCGGGGAAAAGAGGAGACAGACAAACAGACAGCGACCCGAAATGGAAGCTGAGAAGGCAGAGCGAGAGTGTCAGCACGTCTCGAGCAAGTCATACCTCCCTCCCCCCTTCTGCTATTTCTTCCGCCAAACCATTCCCCCCCCTCCCCAGCCCACGCGTCTGCAGGCTCTCTTGTCCATCTCCACTCTCCTTATGAGCTCCCGGGGCGCGCCGCCCCCGCAAGCCCCGCGGAACCGTCATGTTTCACGCCCAGCGCTGTGGTCGATGCGGGCCTGGGGGAACCGCCACCGTCCCCTTGTCCGTCGGGCGAGTTATGGCTTATTCCCGTGTTCCTTGTTGGCTGGCTGCTGGCCACGTGGAAGGCAACGTGCCTGCCGCCGTGGCCTGCAGCCTGCGCCTCTGCCATGCCTCTTTTCAGTCCACCCGCGGGTCAGGGTTGCTCGTGCCCTCACTCTCTCACTCTCGGGTTGGCGTGAAGCCGAGTTGTGATGCTGCACGGTATGGGGCGTCAGAGCTGCTGGCCTCGGTCCTCGGGTTGCAGGAATAGTGCTGACGGGCGAGAGAGAGGGAGGGAGAAGAATAGAATATTTCGGGGAAAAACTATGGCAGAGAAACCACGACAGACCTCAGCTGCTGACCATGCGCGCCAGCTTTCCCACTTGGGATTGCGAGCCAGCAAAGTGTGTATGATTTTCTCCTACATTTGGCCGACGCTCCCCAACGCCCTCCCTCCATATCAACCCCCTCGTGTATCGTCCTCGTGAGCTGTTCTGCATGCATCTTCTTGCATACACGCTCCTGCATCTCCGTACAAGGGTGGTGGGTGGGGAGCGGATGACGACATGTGATTGAGGGAAGAGGAAACGTGATAATGGCAGTCCACCTGGCGCCAGCAAGCCATGAGGTTCGCTCCTCGGGGTAACGCCGCCCTCGACAATCGTCGCCGTCGCTTTCGGATATGAGCGGCATTCCAACCAGATCGGGTCTCCAGCCCGAGCCATTTCGTCGAGCGTGTTTGAGCAAGGCCAGGCAGTACGGTAATTCGCTTTGAAGATTCCGGGAGGGCAAAGGTTGAACGAGATGAAGTATTTGGGAATATCGAGGTTTCAACTGTTCAAGAAACCAGCCCCGCCTGCAGCGGACACGCCCAGGCGCCTCTAACGTCCCACCAACGGCTCTGGCTTGCTCTGAATCTCCTTGATCGTCTCTCTCGTCCGGGCATTGTCCTCAAAGCTGGCCCCGATGAGATCAATCACCTCCTCAGCTGAGAAATACAGGCTCAGCTCGCTGTCGCACCACAGGTACCTGACCTCATTGAGGTTGCTCTGGAGCACCTCGCCGAGATACTTGAGCCGCAGCCAGTGGGGTGCGTATTGCGCCGTCGTCGGCACCTCGTCGGCGCTGGGGTCCGCCGCGGCTCCCATTTTGCTGGGTAAGAACAGGTCGTCCAGCTCCGTCGCCGACGCGATGAGCTTGGCAATGCTGTACGCCTCTTCCTGCCCAATGGCAGACATATCGAGCACATCGCCAATGAGCCGCGTGGCCAACGCGTCAGCGAGAGAGCCGATGGCTTGGGACCAGACGGACCGCGCCAAGATGGGCTCCCAGGTGGCCGCCATTGTCCTGATGCGGGCCGTTCCCGCTTCGACAGCCGCTTCCATCTCGTCTTGCTGCATCAGGCTTTGCGAGCCTCCAAGGAGATCTTGCAGGACCGTCTTTTGAATGTTCATCTCATTGCCGTAGCTGCGGTTCGCAAAGTTTTGCAGCGTCTTGATGTCACTGTCTAGGCGCAGCATGTTGAGCGCGCGCGGCGTCAGGCCGTCGCGCAGCTTCCACGCAGATGAAAAATCGGCCAGCTTTTCGGCCATATACATGGCGTCGTTGTATAGAAACCTAAACCGGGACTATGTCAGTCTCGACTCCATCCCGCCGTGGTATAAGTTGGGCATGACGGCGATCCGAAGCTTAAGCTCACATGTTGCCGCCGACGTTCAGCGAGTAGTAATACGGCGAGATGGCCCTGAATAGGGCCAACGCAAATGTCGGCAGGCTAAAGAGGCCCGGGGCGGTCGCCGCAACCAGATCGTACTCGTTGCCCGCCTTGGTCAGAGCCGCGCCGTCTTCCAGGATGGCAAAAATGAGGTCGAGGACAGGCTCCGGCATGGAAGAGATGTGGTACGTCTCCTTAAGCACGAGCTCTCGCGTCTTCTGCCCCCGTTCTTGGGCGGATGCGCCTCGGGCCTTGTTCCCCTCGACGGCCGGTTCCGCGGTGGCATCTTCGTCGCCCCAGCCCCAAGCATCGGCGCTGTCGTCTTCCTCTCCCGCTGCAATCTTGGTTTCCTCGGCCGGCTTTTTGGCGTCATCGTCTTCGCCCCAGCCCCAAGCATCGGCGCCATCGTCCTCGCCTTTGGTGTGATCAGATGGGATCCCAGTCCGGGGGTCGGAGCCGGTGGCGTCCTGTGTGTCGCCATCGTCGTCGTCCCAGGCATCGCCCCAGCCCTCTCCCCAGTCGTTTATATCCGCAGTCGCGCCGGCGCCCGTCGTAACCAGTTCCTTGCCCTCAGTCAAGGACACCATGTGCCTCTCAACCTTCTCCACCGGCTTCGACTCGCCGATTCCTCTCGTGAGCCGCGTCCGGACAGTATCCAAAGCAGATTCTCTACACTTGTTGAGCCATGTCATATGGGCCTTGGAAGCCCATTCGATGAGCTCGTCGAGCCCGGTATACCCTTTTTCCTCCAGAGTCGCACCTAGGCCATTGGTGCGTCGAATCATGTTCTGGAAGCTTGCCATGTCGGTGAGAGAAGGCGGCACGGCAGGATTGAGCCACTGCTGGATCAGCCTGGGGACGACTTCGGCCATCATGATGCTGGACAGGGACCGAAGGAGGTCCGGCGGCAGCTTGTGGGCCAGGAAGACGAGCACTTTTTCCAGGTCCGAGATGAGGGCGTCGACCGAGGTTTCGGCTTGGCCGTGGAGCTCAAGAGAATCGGCTTCGGCCTTGACGGCTGGAACGGTGGATGCCGAGTTATTCATGCGGGGAGATACTATGGCAGCGTCCAGGTTGCGCCAAAGCTGCTCCATGCGCTCGTCCGTCTCCTTGTACGCTTTCAGTCCAATGACGGCATCGTTGAGGGTCATGTTGTCCTCTGCAGACCCAATCAGCGATTCGTTTTTGTTTCTCTCCGTTTCTCGACCGACTCGAATCCATAGCGACCGGAAGTGCGGCCAAGAATGCAAGAACTTACCATGAAGAGCATCATAGATGACGATTTTCCCAGCATCCATATCCACGCTAATCAGGGACTTCCAAATGTGGTTGAGCGTGTCGTGGACATGGGTTTTGAGCTCAAAAGACCTCAGGTCGAGGAGCCTCATTACCCGGCAGGACTTGCTTACACCAACCTGGTCAAGTGCTGTCCATGACTCTGAGATGTCCATAAGCGCATTGTCCAGGCGTGACATGTGGGTTTCGGGCAAGTACTCACGTTCGAGGAGTCGGAGCGAGTCGAGGACACGACGCTCATTCTTGGCCCTGTCGACGTTGCCCAACAGCCGGGCGACATTTTGTATCTTCTGGAGGACACTGTGAAGCTGCTGACTGTATTGGACCTCGCGGCAGAGAAAGTCGGCTCTGGCCTCTGCATTTTGGATGGCCTCGCCCGAGACTTGGGGCGCCTCGGCCTGGCGTATAATGTCGTTTGCGATTGTCTTTGAGCGTATGATATCGTCCTGAAGACTCTTTGCGTTTCTAACCCAAGAGCTCACATCGTCCTTGGTCTCTTGGTTTATGGTGTGGATCTGGGCCTGCAGAGAGGTAAGAGCAGGAACGAGGCCAAGGAGCTGGGGACGCGCCGCCGTACCTCGAGCTCGTTTTTTGTCGTGGCCAGGTCGCCGATGGCAGGCTCCAGGTCCGTTTCCGAGACGGGCGGCAACTCGGCGATGTTTTCGGGGAAATGGCCGTCGAGTGAGAAGGAGACGAGGGCGTCGCTGAGGCGGCGCGAGTCGACGGCCGCCGCCATGGCTGGCGGTCTGGCGGTCGGTGGTCGGGCGCAGTGGAGGAGGCGAGAGACGAGGTAGCTGTCGACGCGGGCGCAAAAGGCGGCGTGTCAGGTTTCGGTTGGCGGTGAGAGCGTTGGGTAAGCTTTGGGCAAACCAAGACGCTGCTGACCGGCAGATGATGGTTGTGCGTGATGCTGCAAGGTGCGGGCTGACGACCGAGACATGCCAAGCTGAAGCTGTCGACTCCGTCCTTTTATTCACTCCTCTGATGACGATGGCTGGCTGAAGTGCAACCATGCATGCACGAGGGCGGTCAGTGCGGTCTAGGGTAGGCTCGATGATTGTGTGTGTCATCTTACGTAACGCGATTGGCGATGCACGTCGCTCACCTCAAAGCCCGGCTGCAGCTGCTCGTAAGTGACGTACTCGCCTGCGATCCTGGCACAAAGGTGAGACTGACAGCAGGTAGCCACGAGCACCAGGGCCGGGGCCTCGGGTCTGGTCCCGGGGTTTGGCGCGCCAATGACGGCTTTAGGCTCCCCCTCCACGAGCGCTGCCGGGACAGGCACAGGTACCTACACGCTTTGTGCCCTGGAGTACAGAGGTAGGTACCCGCTAGGGGCGCCCAGCTGAAAGCCCTCGAGGCTTCAGTAGGTCACGTCAGCGCAGAGTGAGTGGAGGTGAGGCCTAACGAGGCCCGGTGGGTCAGGAGAATGACAATCGATAGGTGCAATCCAACCGAAATACCAACTCCGGTAACTTCATCATCGTCGTCGCCAGCCAACCGCATCCCTCCTCTTTGCCTGACAACAGTAGCAACAAAACGCTTGGTCAGACAGACAAGAAGGCCCCAAAGCCTCTGGCCCCTTCTGCTTCTCCTTCTCGTCCGCTTCCCAAGCCATACACCGGTCTCGAGAGGTAAGTCGGCGGCTTCAAGCCTGTGTCTCGCTGCAAGCCGTTTTGCCCGCGCCTCGTTTCGATTTTCTTTGACTGTTCGATTTTCGAAACAATACCGCGGCGGATTGCACGGAGAAAGACTCCCTGCATCTTGCTGCGTCTCTCTCTCGCTGCCGAATGGTCTCGATCCCCCCCACCTGGCTTAACTCCCTGGACTGCTGCCCTTGATCAACATGGTCAAAGGAAAAGTCTTCTACTGCACCGTCTTGTGCTGGCCGCACTGCGCAGAATCATGAGCCTTGCTCGAAGACCTGCAATGGCCGGCTGCGGGCCTCGGTGTCAGTGGCACCCTTCGAATGATGACATGCAGCAACTCCTCAGACCGCCAGCAACTCTCCAACCGCGGCAAATCTAGGGCGCCAAGTGGCGCAGAAACCTCCCATCTGTTTCCGACGAATACCAAAGACTCGCTGACCAGCTCGCCTCAGCTCTCCCTGGGCGGCATTCTGCTCTCTATAATGCCTTCAGACGCCCCCAAGTCCCGGTTTCGCAAGATCCAGAGCTTCAAAACTGACTACGCTCCTTGCACAATCACCCAATATGCCTCGGAGCGCAGTGGCATGCATGTCGTAGTCGCTGACCGCCAGGGCCCCAAGATCAATGGTTACTTTACCCTCGCCACTGAAATCTTCGACGACTCGGGTGCGCCGCACACCCTCGAGCACCTGGTCTTCATGGGCTCCAGGAGCTACCAATACAAGGGCCTGCTCGACAAGCTCTCCTCTCGCGCCTACTCGTCCACCAATGCCTGGACCGCCACCGACCACACTGCCTACACCCTCGAGACTGCCGGCTGGGACGGCTTTGCCCAGGTCCTCCCCGTCTACCTCGAGCACATCATCCTGCCCGTCATCACCGATGATGCCATCGTCACAGAGGTCTGGCACGTCGACGGCGAGGGCAACGATGCTGGCGTGGTCTACTCCGAGATGCAGGCCGTCCAGTTTCGCAGCTCCGAGATCATGGATATCAAGGCACGCCGCCTCATGTACCCGGAAGACGTCGGTTTCCGCTACGAAACCGGCGGCAGGACCGACGCTCTCCGCGTCCTCACTCCCGAACGCATCCGCCAGTTCCACCGCGACATGTACCAGCCCAGAAACCTCTGCCTCGTCATTGTCGGTGAGACAAACCACGATGACCTGCTACGCATCCTGGACCAGTTCGAGGAGAGCATCAAGGACGATATTCCTCCACCGACTGCCCCGTTCAAGCGGTATGCTCTATCCTTGTTACTATCCCTGTCGTCGTCAGAGGGCCGCCATTTCCTAACAAGCCTTCAACCGCAGGCCATGGGTCGATTCTTCTCAGCCCCCGGCACTCCGAGAGTCCGTCCTCACCACCGCCGAGTTTCCCGAAGAAGACGAATCTGTCGGCGAAATCCTGGTTGGCTTCTTCGGACCCAACTGCACCGATCTCATTGCCACCTCGGCCCTCAACGTTCTCCTGACGTATCTCTGCGGCTCCTCCGTCTCCATTCTCGAAAATGTGCTTGTAGAGCGCGAGGAATTGGCCAGTTCCATCACTCACTGGTGGGATTCTCGGCCCGATTCCGTCATCTGGATCCAGCCGACTGGCGTCGCCACCGAGAAGCTCGAGTTCGTGGAGAAGCGCCTCTTTGAACTTCTCAAAGAGGTCGCGTCCAACCCGCTGGACATGGATTACATGAGGGAGTGCATTCGCCGAGAGAAGCGTCAGGTCAAGTTTCATGCCGAGACATCGGAATCCTTCTACGCCACCAACATCATCACCGACTATCTCTTTGGCAGGCGCGACGGCTCGACGCTCAAGGAGCTCGAGACACTGAGCGAGTACAACGCCTTGGAGCTGTGGACCGACGATCAATGGCGCGAGTTCCTGCGAAAGTGGATTGCCGACGCACACCACGTCTCCCTTCTTGGGAAGCCCTCGCTCGAGCTCGCAGCCAAGATGAAAAAGGACGAGGCAGATCGCATAGCAAAGCGCAAGGAGGAGCTCGGCTCCGACGGCTTGCAAAAGCTTGGAACACGCCTTGACGAGGCCAAGAAGAACAATGATGCTCCCATCCCGGCCGATGTCATCGACCGCTGGACGGTACCCGGGACCGAATCCATTCACTTCATCGAGTCGGATACGGCGCGCTGCGGCCGCGCGCGATCCGTTGGGCTTGGTGACGGGCCGGCCCAGAAGCTGATCGAGGCCGCGCCCGCCGGGAAACTGCCGCTCTTCATCCAGTTCGAGGACGTCCCGACAAATTTTGTGCACATCACGATCCACGTGGGCACCTCGGACGTGCCCGTCCACCTCAAGCCGTTGATGCCCATCTTCAGCGACAACCTCTTCAACACACACATTATGCGGGACGGAGAGATGATCAAATTTGAGCAGGTGGTGATGGAGCTCGAGCGGGACAGCATTGGCTACGGCATCGGCTCGGCGCGCTCTTTGGGCGACCCGGATGGGTTCATGATCCAGTTCCAGGCCGAACCGGACAAGTACGCCGCCGCGGTCGGCTGGCTGCGCACCATGATGTTCGACTCCGTGTTCGACCCCCAACGCCTGCGGGCCGCCGTCAACAAGGCCCTGGCCGACATCCCCGAGTCGAAGCGTGACGGGCGCGGCATGGCTGGCGAAGTGGACGCGGCCATCCACATGGAGAAGTCGTCCTTGTCCGTGGCCAAGCGCGTGCTCGTCAGGGCCGTCTATCTCAAGCGCCTCAAGAAGCTCCTCAAGAGCGACCCGGACAAGGTCGTATCCTGGTTCAACACCGTCCGGTCCTCGCTCTTTACCTTTCAAAACATGCGCCTCCTGGTCACGGCGAACCTCAAGACCCTCGCGGATCCCATCACCACGTGGGACTCGCTCGCCGAGCGTCTCACCCCGCGGGATGAGATGGTGCCCATCCCCAAGCTCGTGAGCCTGCTCAACGACGAAGGACGGAAACCGGGCTCGGTGGGCGCAGTCCTGATCCCCATGACGACGCTCGACAGCTCGTACTCGGTCAGCTCGGCACCCAGCATCACCTCTCTCTTGGACCCCCGCTTCCCCGCGATCATGGTCGCCATCGGCTACCTTGAGGCCGTTGAGGGGCCGCTATGGAACGCGGTGCGTGGCGCGGGCTTCGCCTACGGGTTCTTCTTCTCGCGCAACGTCGACTCAGGCATCCTGTCGTACCGCGTTTACCGCTCGCCCGACGCCTCAAAGGCCATTGCCGCTTCGCGTGACGCCATCCGCAAGATTGTCGAGGGTGACGTCGCCATCGACCGCCACCTGCTAGAGGGAACCATGAGCCAGATTGTCGTCATGCTCGCCGATGAGCAGGCCACCATGCCCAGCGCCGCCCAGCAAAACTTTATCCAGGGCGTCGTCCGCGGGCTGCCCAAGGACTGGAACAAGGACTGTCTGCGGCGCGTCAGGGCCGTGACGGAGGATGAGATGAGGGCCGCGATGCGGGATTTCATCATGCCCTGCTTCCAGCCCGGCGTGAGCAACGTCGTGGTTACGTGCGCTAAGCTCATGGTTGAGGTAACCCCCCCAACCCCCTTTCCGCCTTTCCCTTTTTGCAACTCTCGCCTGAACCTCCCGTGTTCTTCATTTTCGTGCATCTCTCAATATACCGCGCTCTTCTCTTCTCCTGTTCGTACTGACAGTCAATTATCAGGGCATGGAAACTGCCTTCAAGGGTATGGGCTACAAGGTTCAGACGCGCGAGCTGAACCATTTCCACGATGACTACGGACTGGAAGCTGGCGAGGATGACGACGCCGACGATGACGACGCCGACGATGACGAAGAAGACGAGGAAGGGTCGGGGGGATCTGATGACGATGACGATTCACAGGACGACTAGAGACGATTCGGCCTCTGATGCTAGGCGCCAGAGGGCAAAACCCTGATTAGATATTTCGCAATAGAACTGCATGGCCGTGCAAGCCTGGACGCAAGCCGACCATGAACGTGCTGCATGCGCGTGCGACAGACAAGGCTCAACCCTCTGGCCTTCACAACCACGCTGTTCATGCGTAACGCAGTGGCCAGTGAATCCCAACCGTAACAATCATGTTGTACAACGCGGTGTTTGACACCACGTATATCGTGAGTGCCAGATTCTTGCTGCGTCTACACAAATCCAGATATCGGGCTTGGATTTCTACTGGCTGTGACCCGCCCTACAACTCCTCGCGACCGCTCGCCTTGACAACACCCTCCTTGTCCTTTTCGCTCGTAAGGGCCTGCTTGGGCTTCCAGTCGAGAGCCTTGAGGCGCTCCGACAGGTGGGGGTGGGAGAAGTGGTAGCTGGCATACATCCAGTCGGCGTCCATGGTGCTGAGGTTCTGGGCGTGGAGCTTGATGAGGGAGGAGGCAAGTTCGCCGCGGAAGCCGAGGCGCTTGGCAAAGTCGTCGGCCTCGAACTCGTACTTGCGGGAGAGGATGTTGAGGAGCAGCTTGATGACAGTGTCCATGGGGGACAGGGCGTCGGAGAAGAGGATAAAGCCGATGACGATGGGGTGCTGGACGCGGAAGCCAAAGGCCGAGTAGAGGGAGGCGTTGTTGATGAAGACGGAGAAGAGGCTGAATACGTAGAGGAGGTGGGCCTGCGCACGCACTCAATTTAAGTAATGGGACAGGGCAGCGATGGAGACACGAGGCAACTGCTTACCTGGGCAATGCCAAAGAGGCGGGTCGTGTGGCCGAGCTTCCAGTGGCCCAGCTCGTGGGCCAAGATGGCAATGATCTCCGAGGTGTCCATCTTCTCAATGAGCGTATCGTAGATGACAATGTGCTTCTTCCAGGGGAGACCATAAAAGTAGGCGTTGGAGTGGGCGCTGCGTTTGCTGCCGTCAATGACGAAGAGCTCCTGTAGGGGGAACTTGTGGCTGGCGGCGAGTTCCTCGACCTTTGTCTTGAGCGCTCCCTCATCGAGGGGCGAAAGCTTGTTGAAGAGAGGCTGGATGAAGATGGGATAGGCGGTGGTGGTGAAGAGCTGCAGACCGGCGGCAAAGATCCAAAGGTAGAAGACGAACTGAGTGCCCGTCTTCTGGATGATCTTGAGGAAGGCGGCGAGGATGGGGGGCATGATGACGGCGGTCAGCAGGTTGGTCTTAATCATGTCAGTGACGAAGAGCTTGGGAGTCTGCTTGTTGAAGCCGAAGCTCTCCTCGAGGACAAAGGTGTTGTAAAGGCGGGTGGGCAAGTTCAACAGCTGCTGAAGGATGATGAAGGTCAAGACGAAGATGATGGAATGGCTGATTTCGCCCGTGAAGCGAGCAGGGGCCCACTTGAGCAAGAGAGAGCCGGTCCAGGACCACATGGCGGGAAGGACGTCGAGCTGGACAAAGGCGACATTCTGAATCTGAGCCCAGAGGCCGCTGACGATTTCGAAGCGGGCCTTGGCACGGCCATAAGCCTGCGACTTGTCAAAGGTTTCCTGGGAGATTTCCTTGGAGAGGACGGCGGGCGGCTTGGGCTGCTGCAGGATGCGGTACTGGCGGAGGGTGAGGAAGGACTCGAAGAGGTACTGGCCGATGGAGAAGCCGAGGATGAGTTTCTTCCAAGGGAAGAGGGGGCGGTCAAGGAAGCGGGCGAGGCGCTGTTGGACACGGATGTCTGGTCAACGCAAGAGCTTGCAAAGGCACGACGCACGGACGCGGCACCATTCGAGACGGAGCGGGTAGAGGGAGGGGAGGCAGAGGGCGTACCTGGAGGAAATCCATGTTGGCGATGGCGAGTGCGAGTTTGCCCGACGTTGCAGGTCGAGAGGAATAGTATCAAGTGAGCTGAGAAAAGGTGTCCTGTCTTGGTCTGCGGCTGAGCTAATCATACACATATGGCCGAGGTATCTCACCACGCAAGATGCTAGCGAGGATACCTACAGGCCGCATACCATCCATCGACCCATGAGCATTTAATGGCGCTGCTTAAGACTACCTAACAGGGCGGTGTAAAGTCTTTGCACGGATGGCCACGACCCTGGATAGGCGGCATCGACGAGACGGCATAGATTGCTGGAGTCGAGTACTTGGATGGATGTGTTGGAGGTGTGCAGCAGAAGCAGCTGCTTCTGCAAAGTACCTAGCAAGAGCCCTCTCTCGACAATGGAGCAGGCGTACAGCCGCCTCTGCCTCCCCTTTCTCCCCCAACTCTCTACGCTGAGTCCTCTTGTTGTACTCGCACTCCTCTCCCAATCTCCTCGTCGCGTCCCGTCTCACCTCGCTTCTCACGAAGCCGCAACGAACAAGCCTTCCCCTTCCAAGTTACGACAGCAACAACCTGCACCATGCATAGAGCCTCGCGCTCAGATCCTCTTCCTGTTGCGGCGATGCGGCGCTGCTGTCAAACAGGGGGAAACCCCTGGCATGCAGCTCCTTCAGAATCTCCATGAGCTCGTCCCATGGTGACAGGCTCCTGCTGCTGGCGCCTCACCAGCTCCAGCAGGGCGCGATGCACTGCTGCTTTGTCAGTGCCATCCCATGGTGCTGCCGCGACGCGAGGGCTGAAGCCCGAGATTCCAACCGTCATGAGGGCCTCCTAGTACCCGTTGGTGGCCGGCTGCGGCGGCTGCTGCGGTGGGGGCGGTGGGCGCTCAGGCCCGTACGTGACGGGCCGCCCGTGCTGCTCCGTCGGCTGCGCCTCTTCTTCCGTGTCGTCGTCGAATTCGCTGAGATCCTCGCCGTCGTCAGAGTAGTCGCTCTCGTCGCCTTCTGCTCCGCCCTGGCTGCTGGAGAAACAGGCCTCTATGGTGCTCGCCGTCCCTGGCGGCACCTTGCGTCCTTGCTGTTGCATCTGCTGGATGATGCTCATGAGCTTCTCCGTCTTCTTGTCTGCAGCGTCCAGCTTCTTCTTCCATTCTTGGCGCTCTTCCGCCATGCGGATGATGTTGGCCGCCGTGGCCTCCTTTTGCCGCTTGAGCGCCTCATTCTCCTTCTCCAGGCGCTTGCCCTTTTTTGACATGTCTTCCATCTCCTTGCGGAACGATAAAAACAGGTCATTGCTATTGTTCAGCGTGTCCTCGACCTGTGCGAGATGCCACATCAGCTTTTGCACGACGCGGCGGAAAGGGCGTCGCTCCAGGGACGACTGACCTGCTTGAACTTGTCTACGTAGACATTGAGCTGGTTTCTGAGCTCCGTCTCTGTCTTGGTAAAGGCCTGCACCTGTGCCTGGAGATGGCGTGCCTTATTTGCCTCGGCCTCGGCGTTTTTCTTTTCGCGCTCGAAACGGGACAAATGATACTGCACTTCGAGTTCTTTTGTGCGCATGAGCGAGTGGAAGTGCAGCTCTCGCAGCTCGTACTGCTCGATGAATGACTTGAAGCGGACGCGAAACCTGCGTTGCTCGGGTCAGCACCATGCAATGCTTCTGCTCGATGCACTCTTACAGTTCGTCCACCTCCATGTCAACCACCTGCTTGCGCGGCGTGTCCTTTTCTTCCTGGTAGCCCTCCAGCTTGGCCAGAAGGCTTGCATATTTTTCGTCCCAGGCAATGCTGTTGCGCTTCTGCGATGTCTGATGTTCCTTGTTCTCATTCTAGGGGATGCCGGCGTCAGCTTGTCGTTTGATATTCTTTCTTGACGCATTGAATTCCCACCTTCATCTTGTTGTTGTCCCTTTGCAGTTCTCGGCACAGCTTTTCCAGCTTTTCCTTGAGCCCGACGGTTTTGCTCAGCTCGGTCCGGTTGGCGTCGCGCTCCTTTTGGAGAGTATCTCCGCGCTTCTTGTTCTTCTGGTTCTCCTTTTCCAGGCGCCGCATGTCGGCCAGAAGCTCACTGGAGCGTTTGGTCAGGTGGTCGATCTTTTGCATGTCGTCCATCTTGGCGACTTGTTGCATCAGGTCGCGGTTGGCCCTCTTGACTTCGCGTTCTGCAGGGGAGACACGCCCATTAGCACTCGTCTCGCTGCGGGGGCCTGATCCCAAACGCAGAGGAGGACGGCTGGAATATATGCAATGAGAACGGTTGCGCACCGATTTCAAGTTCCTGGTCCTTTTCCCCAGCAGCGTCCTGCTCGAGCTGCGAGATCCGGGCCTGCAGCAGTCGGGAGGCCTCGGACGAGTCCATGGCCTTTTTCCCCTTAGCCTTCCTGCCTGCCACCTGGGGCGGGTGTGCGTGACCGTCATGACCGTTGGCCAATGCGGGTTCTACCTGGCTCGCAGGCATTTCTGTAGAGTTGCGTTGTCGCTTGCGGGCCGTCGCATCCAGGGCTAGGACGTTGGTGCGTCCACGGCGTTTGCGAGAGATGCGACCCGAGGAACTCTCGGACGAGAACAAGGACTCCCCGTGACGTAGCGGCGGCTACTTCTTGTCGTACTCGGGCGAGCCTTGGAGGCAGGGTCGTGGGGCGAGTGCATGAGACGGCGGCGGGACCTGGAGGACCGTGGTTAGAATCGTCATCATGGTGAAATTCCTGACGAGGCCTTGGCGAAGGGCCCTTGCATACCGGTACAAATATCGCCGAGGCGCAGAGCAGAGTCGGCTGCAGGAGCGAGTGGCCGGTGCGCGACAAAACGACTTCAGGCGTCTGGCGACTTGTTCGTCGAATGCTGATGCTGCAATAGCACGATGGCGAGGCGCTGCATGGAGTAGTTTTCGGCCTCCAAACTTGGGGGAAACAAAGCTGCGCGTTAGTTCTTTATGGCGTGGACCGGCAAACTGCCCGCACAGACAGTTAGCCCGCTATTCGCACCTGGCAGCGAGCCGACGGCCAGGGTCTCCACGGAGGTTTGCCATGACTAATCGAAGAGTACGTACTCAGCGTCTCATCTTCCAGGCGAGGTCACCTATGTAGCAGAAAATTATCGACCCCGAGCTTTATCACGTCGCGGCATCTCGTCAAATTTCCATCCCCTTGGCCCTCTCTTTCACTGAGCCTCATTCTAGTCCCCCCTGACGCGAAGGATTTCTAGTCCATCCATCCGCACATGACCAATGTGTTAACGCTCTGCCCCCATCTTGCCTCCGCTCTCTCTCGCCCATCCATCTCCTCGCCATGCTTCGAAACGCTGCAAACGCGGCTCGCAAGGCCGTCACGGAGCTCTCGCTGTATCCGAAGCCAGGCGACAAGCTTCACGGCTTCACGCTTGTCCGATCAAAGCACGTTCCCGAGCTGGAGCTGACCGCGCTGCACCTGCAGCATGACAAGACGGGCGCCGACTACTTACACATTGCTCGCGAGGATGGCAATAATGTCTTCTCGATTGGCTTCAAGACGAATCCGCCCGATGACACGGGCGTGCCGCACATTCTCGAGCACACGACGCTCTGCGGGAGCAAAAAGTACCCGATCCGCGACCCCTTCTTCAAGATGCTGCCTCGGACGCTGTCCAACTTCATGAACGCCTTTACTGCCTCGGACCACACCTTCTATCCCTTTGCCACGACCAACGCCCAAGACTTCAAGAACCTCATGTGTGTCTACCTCGACTCTACGCTGCACCCGCTGCTTAAGCCGTCTGATTTCACGCAGGAGGGCTGGCGAATCGGGCCTGAGAACCCCGCGGGCCATACCGAGGAGAGCAAGAAATTAGTCTTTAAAGGCGTCGTCTACAACGAGATGAAGGGACAGATGTCTGATGCGGGCTATCTCTACTATATCCGATTCCACGACCACATCTTCCCCGACATCAACAACTCTGGTGGCGATCCCCAAAAGATCACCGACCTTACGTATGACCAGCTCAGAAAGTTTCACGCCGACCACTATCACCCGACCAACGCCAAAATCTTCACCTATGGCGACATGCCTCTTGCCGATCACCTACACGAACTAGACGCCAGGCTTCAGGCCTTTGATAAGATACAGGCTGACAAGCAGGTCCACGAGCCCGTTAGGCTCCGAGGGCCGAGCGAGGTCACCCTATACGGTCCGCTCGACCCTCTGGTCGATGCCGATCGCCAGTTCAAGACGTCGGTATCCTGGATCACTGGTGAAACGACTGATATTCTCGAGTCCTTCTCCATCTCTCTCTTGTCCTCTTTACTCATGGACGGGTACGGATCGCCCCTGTACCGAGGTCTTGTCGAGGCCGGCATGGGTGCCGACTGGAGCCCCAACGCGGGATACGACAGCTCGGCCAAGCGCGGCATCTTCTCGATCGGCTTGACTGGCGTTCAGGAATCTGACGTACCCAAGCTCAAGGGCCGCATCCGAGAGATATTGCGTCAGGTTCGGGACAATGGGTTCGAGAAGACAAAGATCGACGGCGCCTTGCACCAACTGGAACTCTCACTCAAGCACAAGACTGCCAACTTCGGCTTCTCCATGCTCAACAGGCTGAAACCCCGGTGGTTCAACGGCACTGATCCTTTCGACTCGCTGGCCTGGAACGACACGATTCACGCATTCAAGACCAAACTGGTGCAGGGCAAGTATCTCGAAGGGCTCGTCGACAAGTACCTCCTTAACGATAACACGCTGACTTTCACAATGGCGCCATCCACCACCTACGGGGAAGAGTTGGCCGAAGAAGAGCGAGGTCGGCTGTCGGCCAAAATCAGAGAGGCGGTGCAGAAGGCAGGTGGTAAAGAAAGTGCTCAGAAGCAATTCGAGGACCAGGAGCAGGCGCTCCTGATCGAGCAGAACCGGACCAACACAGAGGACCTCAGCTGCCTCCCCACCGTCCACGTCGCGGATATCCCCCGCATCCAGGAACCTGTAGTCATGCGAGACGAAACGGTTGATGGAATCCCCATTCAGTGGAGAGAAGCACCGACCAACGGTCTCACCTACTTCCGCGCCATCAAGACGTGGGACAATCTCCCGGATGATCTGCGAGAGCTTATCCCGCTGTTCACCGACAGTATCATGCGACTGGGCACCAAGACCATGACAATGGAGCAGCTCGAAGATATCATCAAGCTCAAGACGGGTGGCGTATCCGTCGGGTACCACTCCACGCCGTCGCCCGCAGACTTTCACCAGGCCAGTGAAGGCATCATCTTCACTGGCATGGCTCTGGACCGACACGTGCCAGACATGTTCGCCATCCTGCGCAGGCTGGTGCAGGAGACGGATTTTGACAGCCCCGAAGCCCCCGCCAGGATACGGCAGCTGTTGCAGGCCTCTGCGGACGGCGTCATCAACGACATTGCATCGTCTGGGCACCGGTTCGCAATGGGCTATGCAGAGTCGGGGCTGACGCGAAGCGCCTGGCTTAGGCAGCAAGTCGCGGGGCTCGCTCAGGTGAAGCTCGTGACAAGGCTCGCGGGGCGCCCCGAATCCGACAGGCTCAAGGACGTTATTGGCAAGCTGAAGCGTATCCAGCGCTTTGCGCTAGCGAGCGGTGACATGCGCACGGCGATTACTTGCGGATCCGAAAGCGCGCAGGATAACCTCCAGTCATTGCGGCGGTTTGTGGCAGAGCTGCCGAAGGGGGCCGTCAGCACAAGGACCGACGCTCCCATCCGATTGCCCACGGACCGCAAGACGTTCTTCCCCCTGCCCTATCAGGTGTACTACGGTGGCCTCTCGGTTCCCACTGTGCCGTATACAGCGCCTGAGAGTGCGGCGCTGCAGATTCTCTCGCAGCTCCTGACGCATAAGCACCTGCACCACGAAATTCGCGAAAAGGGAGGGGCCTACGGCGGGGGTGCTAGCTGCAAGGCGATGGACGGGCTGTTCGGCTTCTACTCGTACCGAGACCCCAACCCGCAGAACACGGTCAAGATTATGCGCAACGCAGGGCGTTGGGCCGTCGACAAGGAGTGGACAGCACGAGACCTCGAGGAAGCCAAGATCTCGGTGTTCCAGAACGTGGACGCGCCGAGGGCAGTGAACCAGGAAGGTATGTCCAAGTTTCTGTCGGGTGTGACGGAGGAGATGAAGCAGAAGAAGAGGGAGCAGCTCCTGGACGTGACGCAGGGGCAGGTGAAGGAGGCGGCGCAAAAGTACCTTGTGGAGGCGATGGAGAAGGGCAAGGAGCGAGTCGCATTTCTGGGAGAGAAGCGGCCATGGGTCGACGAAGACTCGTGGACGCAGCGGGAGATGAACGTGGATGGCGCTGCGACCGAATGACGGATATCCGGCGCGAGAGCTACCCAGCCTGGCGGCTGAGGGCGACGGGACGAAAGGGACAGGGGAGGAGTCGACGACTCGCCTCGATGTACGAACTACGAACTGCAAGCTGTACGATACAAGGAAGATGTGGGTATAGACAGGCGACGGGGGCGAACACCTGTGTCGCGCCATGTACAGACAACTCGTCACTCATGTCGAGGAGAAGCAACGTGGAAGAAAAAAAGGCGCATAGCCGGAATTGGCTGGCACGGGCGTGGGAGGCCTCGGGGTGAGCAGCAACAGCTCATGGACAGGGCCGATGGAAAACGCGTTCAGATACGATACATCTCTCTGCCCAGGGTGGCGTCTCGCGGCCCGCCCGCCTCCATGGCAGAGAGACCACAGAGCGACGCAAGAGCAAATGCCGGTTTGCCCCCTCGAAACCCGTCCCTCACTTCTGCGGAAGCGCCATGGTGGACAACCACCAAGCGAGAGAGGGTGAAGGGGGGCGGAGCGCGGTCGTTCTATCAGAACCGGAGTCCCTGAGCATTGGATTCCCGGACTAAAGAGCAGAGCACATGCGTAGGGAAGGGAGGTGGCGGTATGTATGCACACCTCCTGTAGACGCAGAAGAAGGAGGGTGCTGGTAGGGCTGGCGGTGGCGAGGCGGCTCGCGATGTTGATACTGTACAGTCATGAGGGGGGTTAAGCCTGACGAGTGCATGAATAGGTAGGCGAGTTGGATGAAGGATGAGACATGAAGGTCTTTGTGGATGCCTTTGTGGATGGTTGCCCTTTGGGTTTGTGGCTGCGCGAGCGTCACCGCCGGCCTCCAAGTACGAGTGCAAGGATGAGGCGGCCAACGGAGAAGTCGAGAGGGACGCGGTGACGTTGCGCGAATTTGTAATGGATGGATGGATGGATGGCATGGATGGATGGCATGGATGGATGGCATGGACGACACGGTTTGGTAATTGGTAGGCGGCTATGCAAGGGCAAGGGAAAGGCTGGATGCTCGGAAGTCGGAAGTCGAGGGTTGTTTTGGCGGGCACATGCAGATGACACGGCATGTTGTTTGCTGGCGCCTGTACAGAGTACGAAGTGCAGCATGCACGCACGCCTTGAGCTTGGGGAGTCCTGTAGGTGTTCAGTCAAGATGCCGTGTCCATTCAGAGTTCTCATCGTCATGTGTGTTGTGTACAGGGCTACAGGTAGAGGCAGAGTGAATGATACAGTGAGATGGACCCCACCCTCTCGTCTCGGCCCCCTTGTCGACACGCGACCCGGGGGTGGTTATCGTTATAGCCTCGAGGCACGGGCAAGAGTTATCGATGAGTTGTTTTTTTCCCCCTTTCTCTCCGATGTCGTGATGGAGGACGCGGACGCGGACGCGGGTGGGCGAGGGCCGAGAGGCTGCAGCTGGTCCATTGCACAGTCCGGGGGGATGATGATGATTGTGACGATTGTGATGATGGTGATGATGATGCGGGACGTGGTTGGAAGCGGAGCTAGTCAACTCAATTTTGTTTCTTGCTCCCGCGAGTTTGATAAGCTCGAGAGCTTCCGTCCGCGTCTGTACGAATACAGTACAGACTACGGAGTACGGAGTACAGACAACAGGGGGGGTGGACATGAGCCGGCCGACGTGATGAGTGGTGACACGGCAGATGCGAGCCATCAGGCACTCTGTAGAGCCGAAGAAGACGGGAGAGGGATTTTCTTTGCGCTTCAGAGGGCCAGGCTCAATTGGCTGCGTCGAATTTCCGATACTGTATTCTTCTGTCCCTTTTTGCCTCTTGTCTTCTTCCTTCACGTGGTTGTATAAAGTACTCCGCACCCGACAGGAGGTTGACGAGTCCGCAGTGAGATGGCCGGTGCTTATCTAAGCGTCCCGGGCGAATGATGTAGTGGTGAAAAAAAAGACAAAGAGAGGGGCAGCAGATTAAGTTCATGGCTTGTGTGTGTGTGTTCAGCCGCATGTGAGGATAAAACCTAGCCCGGAGCCCCTCGATGCCCATCGTCGCCTGTCACTTTGCACACACAAAAGCCCTTCTTCTCCGCCGCCCGACAACAGCAATTCGCACCGCTACCACCACCAGCAGACAAGCCCTTGCATTGCAAGTCGCACGCGCAGCCTGCTCTCCAAAGGCCCTCTGCATCTCGCTGGTGAGTTACGTGGCCCCCCTCGCTCGCCATGGCTGGATGCGCCCGTCAGGGGCCCAGCCTCGACTCAACCTCCAGTCCCCCAGTCCCACGACCCTCCTCTCTGCGCGAACCTCGGCAATCCCATGCTGCTCCCCGAGCCTCGTCCAGACCAATTCACCCTGCTGACTATCCTCTGCGCCAGCATAAAAACTCGTCACCAACTCGTCACCCACACCGACTGCCTTTGGTCTCCTCAAAGGCAACCAGCTTCACCACGGCACCCCAGGCCGTGTCCTTCGTCAGTGACAAAGATTTCAGCCTTCAGAAAATCGCCCACGTCATCAACGCCATCCCTCCCCCCGCTGCTGCTGCTGCAAGCCCTTGACTTCCTCGCCTCCCTCGAGACGTTGCCTCCTCCCTCATCCTCTTCCGAATCCCATCAGCTGCCGCATAGGAGGATCCCTGCGGTTCTTCCTCTGACCGAGGGAGAGTCGAGGAGGCCTCGCCAGTCCACCGAGGGAACAGTCTGCCACCGCTTCCGACCGCCCTAACACCGCGTTCGACCGCTCAGACTTCATCCCTTATCTTGGCATCCATCGACGTTGCCCGCTCGACTGTCATCTTCCCTCCTCAACCTCTCTCAGGGATACGGTAATGGCAACGGCTGTCATCGACAACTTCAACCAAGATGTCAAACATATCCAATTGTTAAGCAAGGCTCCGCTTCTTGCGGACCCCATTCGCCACGACAATGTCTCGGTCGATGCCAAGCAGCTGATTGGCGATGCTCTCCACCAGCGCGTCGTCGCCGTTGACCACGAGGTGTGCGAGCCTGGCGATGAGGACACCTTCTACGTCGCCGACCTCGGCGACGTCTACAGGCAGCACCTCCGCTGGAAGAAGAATTTGCCCCGGGTCAAGCCCTTTTATGGTGAGTTGCGGCGCCATGGCCTCTGCACTATCTTGGGTTCTCGGATTCTGACCATGCATGTGTCGCGACAGCCGTCAAGTGCAACCCTGACCCCCAGGTCCTCCGCCTCCTGGCTGCACTGGGCACCGGCTTCGATTGCGCCTCCAAAATGGAAATCGAGCAGGTCCTGGCCATGGGCACCAGCCCCGAGCGCATCATCTATGCGCAGCCCTGCAAGACCAATTCGTACGTCCGATTTGTCAAGTCTGCCGGCGTCAGGCAGATGACGTTTGACAACGCCGACGAGCTCTACAAGATTGCCAAGCTCTTCCCCGAGGCCGAGCTGTTCCTCCGCATCACCACCGACGACACGTCGAGCCTGTGCCGCCTTAGCATGAAGTTTGGCGCCGCCATGGACACCACCGAGGGGCTGCTGGCGGTGGCTCGCGACCTGGGGCTCAATGTGGTGGGCGTTAGCTTCCACGTGGGCTCGGGGGCCTCGGACCCGCTGGCCTTTTACAAGGCGGTCCGCGACGCCCACGCCGTCTTCCAGCAAGGCCGCGAGCTCGGCTTCGCCATGCGTACTCTGGATGTCGGGGGCGGCTTCTGCGGCGACACGTTTGAGCAAATGGCCAGCGTCCTCGACGGCGCGCTCGACGAGTTCTTTCCTGTCGGCTGCAGCGTGGATATCATCGCCGAGCCGGGGCGCTACTTCGTGTCGTCGGCCTTTACCATCGCGTGCAACATTATTGCTCGCCGCACCGTCGAAGACCCGACGCTCGACGGCAAGGGGTACATGGTGTACGTCAACGACGGCGTGTACGGCAACTTTTCGAGCATCATGTTTGACCACCAGCAGCCGGTGGCCAAGGTGCTGCGCACGGCGGGCAAGACGCTCTACAACACGGCCGCGGCCAACCCTCGCCGCTCGGGCGAGGGCGTTGAGTATTCTATCTGGGGCCCAACGTGCGACGGCATCGACCGCATCAGCGAGAGCACTCGCTTCCACCCTCTGCTGGACGTGGGTGACTGGCTGTACTTTGAGGACATGGGCGCGTACACCAAGTGCTCTGCGACGCAGTTCAATGGGTTTCGCAATGAGCACGACGTCATCTACGTCTGCAGCGAGCCCGGGGCCCAGGCACTTTTGGACATTTGACAAGCGCTGTTCCTTTGTTTGTTTCTTGTCATTGACTTGGCTCGATGATGGCTAGGAGAAGAAGGGGGCATGGGACGAATGTGGATGGAAGTAATACAAAAAAACCGGCGATGGAGGAGACGTGTAGTGACATAGTCGCGGCATACTTGGTACATGAGTGTTGGAACGACAGTTAATAAAGGCTGTTGAAGCATCTGTGGTTAATCGCGGAGGTGAAGGCTGTTGCTGCTTGCTACCCAAGGCCCCCACCAGTTCCTGTTTCCGCCTTGGAGGGGCTTTTGATGCTTCATCGCTCTGCCAGTGACGCCCGTCGAGGTGGTTGCGCAGCATTCCATGGTGAGAGAGGCGGATGTATTCGTACTCTGTAGTAACTTAACTAATTAAATATGAGTCTCCGACAATCTGGGTGCCTTATTATTTATTAGGCCTCTCTGCGCTAGGGCTGCCCTGCTCGCTGCGCTGGCCGGCGCGGGGTTTCTCTCTTGCTCAGTCTCCACTTTAATTTTTCTCGTGCAATCTCTTCCTCTTACCCCTCCACAGCCTAAGCTCGCTCGGCAACCACCAATTCCCCATCTCGACACCTCTCCCTTTTTCTTCTCCGCCATCCATCCATCCATTCGCCTCAGCAACGCTCTCGACAGCCACACACAATCACGCAACCTTTCATCCTCTCCCACTCGCACAATGGGCTTCGCCGAATTTCTTTCCGATGCTGGCCTGAGCAGTGAGTCTACGTCCCCTCCCTCGCCCGGCTCGGCCATGTGGCGTAGCCTTTTGCTTCCTCCCCGGTCGGATTGACTGACGTTGAGAGTCTTGCAGTGCTCAACAGCTGGCTGCTCACCCGCTCCTATATCGCCGGGTATGCTTCTGCTCTCCAACCCCGTCCGGCTTTTTGTCTTGTTCACTACGCCATCTCTCCTTCATCAATCCCCGCTGCTAACCTGGCCCGCCTCCGCACAGTCATTCCCCCTCCCAGGCCGACGTCGCCTGCTTCAAGGCCCTCAAGTCCGGCCCCGACGCGGACAAGTACCCCCACGCCGCCCGCTGGTACAAGCACATTGCCACCTTTGAGGACGAGTTCAGCTCCCTGTCCGGCGACTCCAGCAAGCCCTACACCGTCTACGGCCCCGACGCCGCCGCCGTGACCCTCAACCCCGCCAAGGCCCCCGCCGCCGCCGATGACGACGACGACGTCGACCTGTTTGGCAGCGACGATGAGGAGGACGCTGAGGCCGTGCGCGTCCGCGAGGAGCGTCTGGCCGAGTACCGCAAGAAGAAGGAGGCCAAGCCCAAGACGACGGCCAAGTCCATTGTCACCATGGACGTCAAGCCCTGGGGTACGTGCACCACTGTCGACAATTTTTTTTGCCTTGTACTAACTGGCCGATTTTTCTAGACGACGAGACCGACATGGCTGCCCTCGAGGCGTCTGTCCGTGGCATCAACAAGGACGGCCTCGTCTGGGGCGCCTCCAAGCTTGTCACCGTCGGCTTCGGCATCAAGAAGCTGCAGATCAACCTGGTCGTCGAGGATGACAAGATCTCCCTCGACGAGCTCCAGGAGGAGATCCAGGAATTCGAGGACTACGTCCAGTCCTCCGACATTGTCGCCATGCAGAAGCTCTAAAGATTGGGTTCCCTCTGCTTCACCCCCAAAATCATTCAGGCGCAGCAAAGAAGCAACCCAACACCCCCCCATTCCCCCGTCACACGCACACACACACACACACCCGCCGCCCCTCCGCCGCTACCATGTCACGTTTACCATGATGCGAGGACTTTGTTGCAGCGCCATGCCGTGCCACGAGAAATCTTGATATCACGAGTTCATAGAAGAAGATAGCCGGGGAGACATGACCAATCAAGAGAAAAAAAAGTGTTTCATCATGATTCCGCCATGATTTGATGCATCTTGCCGTCCGTTACCGGCATTGTGACCAGATCAGACGGGCGAGACGAGACTGTCCACCTGGAAGTGCATCGAGACGCCTTGATCCACCGCTTCTCCATGCGCACGAGGAACATGAACACACGGCCAAGTAAAGGCTCAGAGCCAAAACTCACTGCAAAGGCCTCTCTATTCGGGAGGTGAGTCCCGTTGAGCCCAGCCAGCTGAAGACGTTCAAGAAGGCATCATCCGGTGCCCCCGCGCGAGCTCTCATAGCAAAGGCAGAGCCATCAGGTCTAATACAGCAGACAACCCCTGCCTGCCACGATCTTCCCTTTCACGCTTCAACGCTCCGCCGCCGCCGCCCGGAAAGACAAGCCCGTCTTCAGCTTGAACTTGCTCTCGTCTGCTGCTCCTCCATCCATCACCCCTAAAGACTTCTTCTTTTTCTTTCTTCTTACTTTTTTCCCCCGCGTGGCGGCGTGGTTGTCTTGGGACAAGGGTGGCCCGGATAGATGCCTCTAGCCAGCCGCCACCATGCCCGTCGCCAAGGGATCATTAGCTCGACCGACATACCAGTGTTGTTCATGAGATGCACGCCCGACCGGAGAGCACGGGCGCTTACGAACCCCGGAAGAGAAATTGCATGTCCTCCGGGGTCAGAGACTCCATGGCCTTGTCGTCGCCATTGACGGTGGAGTGAATCATGCTCGTCTTCTTCTCCTGGATCAACACCATTCGGCTCTCGACAGAGTCCTCGATGCAAAGGCGTGTAATGGTACATGGCCTCGTCTGGCCAATTCGATGGCAGCGATCGGCCGACTGCCACTCAGCTGCTGGGTTCCACCATCTGTAACGATATATGATTAGCCTCGAACAAGACATCAGCTTGGAAACTGGGGAAAGTGCTTACGGGTCAACAATAAAGACTCTCGACGCTTCAGTCAAGTTGAGAGCCACGCCGCCAGCCTTGAGAGACACCAAAAAACACTCCACGTCCACCTTGGTCATGAAGTGCTCAATCGAGGCCTGACGCTGAGCTGGTGTCATGCTGCCGTCCAGCATGACAGTCGTGATGCCGGCCCTTCGCAGCCGCCATTCAATGAGCTGCAGCATCGTGGTGAACTGCGAAAAGATGATGGACTTGTGCGATGCATTGTCAGACCGGAGCTTGTGGAGTTCGTGGACGAGCAGCTCGATCTTGGACGACGACGTCCAATTCTCCATTTTGATGCGGTTGATGATGGAGTTCTTCTTGACCAGGCTTTCGTCCTGCTCAATCTCAGGCTGCTCAAGGTCAATTGACAGCGGGATGTGGCAGCGAGGGCAGTCCGGCTCGTCCGTCGACCTGACGTAACTAGCAACACAGGCTCGGCAGAAGTCGTGCTTGCAGCGGCTGCGAACCGTGTCCTCGGCGGGCTCGTCGCAGATGCAGCAGACCAATACGTTTTGCCCGCCCTCAGCGTGCTTCTTGAGAAGCAGGTCCGGGTGATCGGCAACCTGTCGCATTTGCATGATGAGGCCGAAGATGTTGGCATAGTTGTTCAACAGCACGCCCTGGGCCACGTACGTGTCGAACTTGCGCTGCCCATTCGTCATGATGCTGTTGGCAAAGTCGTTTTCTTCCTCGCCAAAGAACTGTCTGTCGACATAGATTTCCTTGACCGGAAGCTCCATGGCGTCGGTGTGGTCCTTCTTGAGCCGCCGCAGCATGATTCGTTCCGTCATCAGGCGCAGCTTGCGAAACGCCTGGCGTCCAGGCCCAAGGTTGCCGAACTTTTGGATGGGATTCAACAGCTCCTGGTTGAAGACGGAAACGTGCTGCATGCCGGCATGGTTGCAGGACCGGCAGCGGTTGTCGTCCTTCATATTCCACTCCAGAGACGAGCAGGGGCATTGCTTGCACAGGTACGAGGCGAAGGGCTTGATGTTGAGGAACCTGATGAGGGAGAAGAACTCTCCGATGCGATTCTGGAGTGGGGTTCCCGTCAAGCACCAGCGGAAGTCGGTCTTGAGGGCGAAGCACGCCTTTGCAGTCATGGTGGTCCTCGTCTTGATGCAATGAGCCTCGTCCAAGATGATGCGATGGAAGTGGATCGAGTGGATGACGCTCTTCTCCTTGTGGATTCCATTTTTGCGCTTGAAGCCTCGCTCCTGCTTCCGGTACATGGACTCGAGACTGTTGTACGACATCATGAGGACATCGTACTTTTTGAGTTCCTTGACTGTGATGCCCTTTGTCTTTTGATTGGTGCCATGGAAGACAAACGTCTTGAGCGTGCCGTCTGTGTAGGCTTTGATCTCCGACTGCCATTGCATGAGTGCAACCGGCGGGACGAGAACGAGAGACGGCTGCTTGGCAGGATAATCCGACATGATCAGAGACACTGCCTGGATCGTCTTACCAAGGCCCATCTCGTCGCCGAGGAGACCACCTTTCCATTCTGTCTTCTCCATCTCCTTCATCCAAGCCAGGCCCTCCAGCTGAAAAGGCTTAAGCCGCCGCGAAATGCTCTGCGGCTGCTGCGCCATGCCCGCTTTCAAAATGGGCATTTTCTCCAAGTCGTCCCACATTTTGCTGAGCTCGGGATGATGGTGTTCAAGTCGATTGCGCTCTCTCTTGACGCGAGCATTGTTGCCGGACCTCCTAAATCCGCGACGTTGTTCGGTGATGCGACTCAGCTCATGGAGGTTCGACAGGATATCGCTATCACTAGTAGCGGCAGAGCTGAGCCCCGATGATACAACGGGGTCCGACGCCTGATCTGACGCTGTGGAATCTGGCAGAGATCCAGGTTCGCTAGCCTCGGAATTCTCAGTGGCCCCAGAGAGGAAAGAGGGCAGGGTAGGAGCTTCTGAAAATCCTACGCCGCGGGTCGATGCCGCCCTGGTAGCCTTGCCCTTTGCAGCAGAATCCTGAGCATTGTTGGTGTTTCTGCCTCTCCTTGTCGCCAGCAGTGGCTCGTCATCACTTTCAGAGGCTGGATCGTCATCTTCGCCTGGTTCACTAGAATCGGCTAATGAGAGCGAGTCGTCGGAAGAAAAAGGATTCGAGAGCTCGTCAGAGTCGAACGTAGCGCCCGCCGCGACCTCGGCATCCATATTGATGTCCGAAAGTCTAGAGTCAACCGAGTCTAACACGAGTTTGGCCTTTTTGACTGGCGGGGCTTGTTTGGTGAGCGAACTGGCAGAATTGCGACCACGTTTGTAAGATGGTCCGGTAGGCATCGGAGAGGAGTAGAGTACGGCAGAGGCAGCGTTGCGACCGCTGCGCCGGGCAGAAACTGTCTTGGGCTTGACGACATCTGAGTCGGCTCTTGCAAATTCTGCTTCCTGGAGTCGACGAGCAGTTCGGGCTCCCAAAGAGATGTCAGAAAGGCAATCGTCTTCAGAGTCCGTGTCAACAAGGACCGATTCCATCTGTTTCGACGTCGTGTCCAGAGAGTACAAGCTCTTCCGCAAGGCTCGTTCTGAGTCCGCAACTAGATGACGAGGTTTTGCCGGAAGGCGCACTTCAAAGCCGGAATTGGAGGCTCTGGAGGACGCCAAACCCTCTGTTGCAGCGGGAGTTGGAACTTTGCTGGTCGCCGGAGTGGAGAAATCACCGTCAGTCGACGCAGCGTTGGACGGAGGGGCCGACGAGACAGATTCGGTGCCTGCGGCGGCATCTTTGCCGCGGTGGGAACTGACGGTGGGAAGCGCTGTGTCTGTAGGCGACGACAATGAGGCCACGGATTCGTTACGTCTGGCGAGCATCGAGGCGCGAGAGGGCCTGGCCCTGGACCGGTTTGCAGATGGCGTAGGATTTCCTGATGCAGCCCCGACTGCGATGCTGTCGCCCGTTGTTGGCTGCGCTGCCTGTTTGGAAGAGGCGGAGCGGGTTAAACGCCGAGTCCCATTGTCGGACCCCTTCAAAGACGCTGCTGGATGACATGTTGGCCGACAATCGTCCCAAGATTTTGGGGTGTGGGCGGGAGACTTACCAGGGGTTGCAGATGCTCGGGCGCTTGCATCTCGCAGCGAACGACGCCCTCGAGGCATGGTGACGTGAGGCAAGCGCTGAGCCGCCGGCGTTTGCAGTCTGGGAATGACTCACAGTCGAAGATGTGGGTAAGATTTGATGCTTGGGAGAAGTTTGGTCTCGAAGAATGAAACGGGTGAAGGAAGAACAAAGGACGGAGACGAGACAGCTGAATTCCCAGGACAGGATAAGGGACTGAGCGCCGGAGCGGCCACAATTGCGAGTGCCTGGTCCGAATCGATGCAAGGAGTGGAAATGGTAAGCGGTGGGATTGCCGCGGATCTGAGTAGGCGTGCGAGAGAGGCTGAAAACGCCCCAACTTTGCCACCAGCTCCGTTCTTTCCCCCTTTGCCGCGCCGTAGCGCCAACTCACAGTGCCTGCCGCCCGAGCACGCGTTCCCAATTGCACACGAAGTCACGTGCCACCCAGGAGGCAGTTGAGAGACCGTGTATGTATTGAAATATACTGTGCAGAAGAACTTTTCTCACCCGCAGATGCTGGGCCCCTGGTGACTCCGTACAGTGCAGACTGGCTCTAATGAAGCCTTGTTGTCAGTCACATGACACCGTGTCAGCTCCGCGCCCGTGCTGCGACACGCTACGTCTGGGTGGCTTAACCTGGCTTAGGGGACGGGATGGATGAAGCAACGCCACCTGCCGTTCTTTTCATGCCCTCGTCTCGCCGCTGAACCGCTTAGACGGCTTGTGGCTTTGTTCCAGCTCACACTCATTTGAATCTGGGAGCACATTTCGACTCAACCCCCAACGTTAACACCGTCTCTCTTGGGTCCGCCAGGGCCAAAAGCCTCGACCATGTGCGTTGCCTCTCCCAAGAAGGCTGCTCCTTGAACCCAATCTGACCACAAGTCTTGTTGCAGGGCCCACTCCAGTCAAAATCAGAACCAGGGCCAACGCCCCAATGGACGCCCAGCTCGCAACATCACAGGACCGTGAGCGTTACCGACCTTGCCCTTGTCTGCTATCCGGCTCATCGCTGACACTCGTGGCCTGCAGGCAATCGGCCCTGACCGATTTTCTTGCCGTACGCCTATGCCTCGTCTATCGTCAAGTATGACACTTGCTAACAGGCAGCACAGTCCCATAACATTTCTGCTCGCCAAATCAGAGATGATGCCGATCAGCGCCGCCAGCAAGCCGCCGCTGCTGCGCGACTGAACAGCCAGGAATCCTCTACCCCGGCCCCTGTGGCCTCGTCGAGCGGCACCCGCACACGCTCGGCACGTCGCGATACCGGCGAGGAAATTGGCAGCAACAAGGCCGAGGAGAAAAATGCCATCGAAAAGGTCAAGACAACAAAGGCGTTTAAGAAACGCAAGAAACGCATTCTTGACTCTGATGACGACGAAGAGGTTGCGCGGGCCATCTTCGAGACGAAACACGCGCCGCTGCCTGGCCAAATGGAGAACTGCGCCATTTGCGGAAAACGATTCACCGTGACACCCTACTCCCTCGCTGCCCCCGGCGGCGGGCTACTGTGTGCGCCTTGCGGCAAGGAACTTGCAAAAGAACGCCAAGGTCAACCCAAGAAGAAACCTCGAAAGCAAGTCGGCGGCGTAGGCTCGCGCCGTGCCATGCAAAGCCGTATTCTCGACGGTGACGTGGGCACAAAAAGCCTTGCCACTCTATGCGTCCAGACCCTCGCCAAGAATGTCGACATGGCGGACAGCTTGGGCGACCTGCCGGACCACTTGGTCGACAAGATTGCGAGGCTCTTCTCCAAAGGCAGGCTGCTGAAGCCCGAAACCTTGCCTTTGTTTGCGCAGCCGACCACTGAGACTCTTCACATCTACGACGGCGCGAAACTCGGCGAGCAGGACTTCATCAGCGCCTTCCAGGTTGCCCCGAACCTGCGAAGGTTCAAAGCTCGTTGTGCCATCCAGTTTAAAGACGGGGTCATGGACTACGTCCTCTCGCGTGACACATCTTTGGAGAGCTTCTACCTGCACGGCGCCAACCTACTGAGTGAGAGAAAGTGGCACGAGTTCCTTGCGCAGAAAGGACGAGGACTCAAGGGCCTGCAGGTCTACTACACCGATTGCCATTTTGGCGACGAGAGCATTGTGAAACTGGCCGAACACTGTCCCGATTTGCTGCGTCTGAAGGTCGAAAACAACCAGAAGCTTACGGACAAGGGCGTCGAGGCCATTGGTGAACTGCCTTCTCTTGAACATGTGGGCCTGCAATTGCAGAACCGCTCCTCCTCATCAGCCATCGTCGGCTTCGTCTCCAAGATAGGGGAGAAGCTCAAGACCTTGTCTCTCAAGATTATGCCAGAAGCCGACGATTCCGTCTTGAAATGTATCCACAATAACTGCCGGTCGCTCAACAAACTGCGCATCACCGACAGCGAAAGAATGACGGACCAAGCCTTTGCGGAGCTCTTCACCGGATGGGCCAATGCCCCACTGCAGTTCGTGGACTTGCAGAAGTGTCGACACATCGACTCGACTCGGCCGCGCGACAATGACGACGGCGTTGGGCTTTGCAGCGAAGGCTTCAAGGCACTGATGGCGCACTCTGGACCCAAGCTCGAAACCCTCAACGTGCACGCCTGTCGGCACATTTCGCGGGAAGCGTTCGAGGAAGCCTTCAACGACAAAGCCCATTACCCGGAGCTGAGGGAATTGGAGATCAGCTTCTGCGAAGAGGTGACAGACTTTGTGCTGGGTTGCATTTTTCGCGCCTGTCCGAAGATCAAGGAAGTCAACGTGTTTGGCTGCATGAAAGTCAAGGACGTGAGAGTCCCCCGAGGCGTCATCCTTGTGGGGGTGCCCAATGCCCAGGGCATGATCACCGAGGGAGTGGATTGAAGACGGAGCCACGTTTCTCGCCGACTTTGATGATGGCAATACTCTTTCCACGAGTGGTTGCAAACATGACACTCTTTGTCGAGGCTGCTTAACCCATAATTACTTTTCATGTGCTCCGAGCCGTTCGGAAAGTCTCTGGACTGAGCCAGGATTCTCGGGCGAACGGAGGATTAAGTGCTTTGGACTTGCCTCAGCGGCGCCTCAGATAAACGAACGATGACTCCAACCAGTGTCTGAGCTGAAGTTACGTATCGGGCTTATCCTTGTGGAACGCGGTGCTGATGTTAAGGCTGACGCCCAAGAATCGCCCACACGGGCCATCCATCACGGCGGTTGCAACGTACAAGGGGTGTTCTTTGAATCGTCTGCCAGGTCTTCAAGTGTCTTCAATTTCGTTGTTTTCTACCACTTCGTAATAGTACATCATGTTTTTGGCATACTCTATATCCATCTGGCTCCACGCAGTCAGCCTTTGCTCAAGCTCCTCGGCAGAAACCTGGTCATTACTGCGCCTCCACTGAAAGGAAGCAGGGGCACAGGCAGCAATCTGGCGAAAGTAGTGCAGGTGGGAGCCAAGGTTGAAGCCGAGCGTGTTGCCATTGCAGTTGGCGTTGACGGAGCCGTAGCACATCAAGACGTCCTCGAGCCCGTAGCTGTCCTGTTCCGCCCCGCCGTTGGCCAGCCAATACTCGGGAGAGACGTGGCGGTATCCCATGGACATTGGGGGCAGCCGGGGGACCGGGTCGTCGAGGTGAGTGACGCGCCAGTGACGGCCGCGCTGGCGGCCCATGAAGCCGACAAACTGCTCGTTGCCGACGCGCGGCGAGCCGTATGTGTAGCAGTCGACGACGAAGCCGCGGCGCTCAAGATGGGCTGTGGCGATGGTGGCCACTGCTCCGCCGAGGGAGTGGCCCGTGGCGATGATTCGGAAGCCCGGGTTGGACCGGCTGGCAGCGGCCACGGCATTGCCCGCGGCATTGGAGATGTCGGACCAGGCATTGGCGAAGCCCGAGTGGACCTTGCATCCGCTGGAGTAGACGCAGTCCTCCCACGTGAAGACGAGGTCGGTGATGAAGTTGCGGATGCTGTGTGTGCCCCGGATGGACAAGACAATCTCACGGCGGTACCTGTCGACGGCCACGTAGCCAGCAACTCCGGTCAGGGTGCCACTTTTGTAGAGAATATGTGTTAGTTGAAAGCCATGATTGGTGAAGGCGACGGGGAAAGAGGCGCAACAGCGTGTCTGGATACGAGGGGCTAGACTTGCGTGAAGCTGGCAAAGACGGTAGCCCTGGACGACTCGACGGCTGGACATGCTCCGTTGCATTGGATAAACTGCCTCGGCGTCTTTTCCGCGTTGCAGTAGGCTGCGGCGGCGTGCTGTGAGTAGTAGTTGAGATTGACAAGGTCCTGCTGGAGAGCAAGCGCTGGTGCCAGACGTATCTGTTAGTTTGCGCGTTGCAGAACTCAATCTTTCTATCTTCACTACAGTGAGGACGAGAAAAGGGCGGTGGAGATAGATTTGCCGACCTCTTCTTTCCACGTTGCCCGCCTGGTTCCTGACAGACCCCATCGAGCTGCCCAGCACGATGGGTACAAGACCAAGAAGACATCCAAGTTTCATGCTGAGCTGGCTCCTCTTCTCCAGAAAGACTGGTCGGTATTAGGGAAGGGGGTTTGATAGCCGAATATGTTTCGGAAGTGACGGAGATTCAGGCTCTCAGAAGACTGACCACAGCTCAAGGAGGAGAAGCATCATCAAGAACATGAGAAGAGAGAATGAAAGCGAATGATTATATTTATAACATGGGCTTCAGGCCATCTTTCCTGTCCCACTCTTCGTTCTCCGAGCCTCCTCACCCACTTCGCGACCCGTCGCAGCCGAGAATTATGAAGAGCGTGATTTTCGTCCGGGTACAAGGAAAGAGGTGAGATGGCCAAGGCCGAGGACACAAGGAATCTATTGATTGTGGATTGGATTGGTTCGTAGTGTCAATTCGACTATGGCGCCGCGCCCCCGTCTGTCCGATCGGTGCCTGGTCTTGGCCAGAACGCATCAAGTGCGCAGCTGGTGACACAAAAAGACTATGCATGAGGCTGGGGTATACTTTCCCGGAGACATGGCTTCATGTTTGCATAAAATGGTGTGTATGTTTTCCGCTCGCACCAGCCTTTGGCCCGAGGTTGCGAGTTAGACAGGAAGGGCCAGGTGAGTGAGATACCTGGCAAGGGCGAACAGATATTGTGACGCAGTCGGCTGGAAGGACGGCTACGGTCACACGCGGAGACGAGAAGAGAAGACTGCTCCGGCAGAGAGGGTGGTAGTCGAGATACACGCACGATGCAGTCGCTGTCATGGCAGGGGTCTGGCAGCTCGGCATGGGTACGGTAGATGGCAGATGCAACACTGAGCACCGTAAACCCCCAAGGTCGTTGGCCCATCGCGGCTTGGGCACTTCGAAGACGGACTTTCATCCTCGGTATGCACGTGAAGACAGGGGCATTTGTTAGTGGCTGGAACCACATCGACCGAGGAGCAAGGGCGAGCGAGAATAGGTAGGCAAGCTCAGCGGAATCGAGAGCGGCGGGATTTCGAAATGCGGAGCCGAGAGCGGGATCCCGAGACCGCCGCGGCGTACTGTGCCGGGCCGAGGGATTCGACGTCGCACCCCGTGTTTCCGCATACGTCGTACGGCATATGCAGCCGGCGCCAATATCCGGAGCGGTGGTATGGACCATGGGTATCCTCTTCGGCCTCGCTCTCACTCCAATAAGTGCTGTCACAGATTGAGGCATCGTGGTGATAAATCGACTCAGGGTATCCTCTGTCGGCATGGACTCTGCGCTTACAGCTGGCCGGAACTCTGCCGCTGAGCATTCCTGCCAAGGAAAGACGCATCTCGGTCGGCAAGACTTCAGCCGTGTACCATCGGCTTCTGGGCCGCTGCCATCGCTCCCGTGAGTCCGCGACAAGACGCGACTATATTTGTATCCGCTTTGGTTCCCAACCTGGCTCTCCACTTGAAGTCGAATGACCTTGATGACTCCCTGTCGAAGCCAAGGCACTGAGCCGCTGAAGTGCTCTATAATGACTGTACGCCATTTCGCTGCTTACAGTGGATGACGGGGGCTGTTGTCTTGTCCGGCCCTGTGTCCTCTTGCCCTTTGTTTGCCTCGTATAGATAGACAGGGTGCTGCATTTTCCCTCATCAAATTAGAACCAAGTAACATTTAAGCTTGTCTGAGCCCCCAGTGTACAAGTCCAGTAAATAGCAGGCAGGCTCGTAAGCGACGGGTCCGCTATTGCTAAGTCTTCGTGCAGCCAGCACAATCCTACAACCCATCTACTCTGCGAAAGCATCGTCCTACTTTCCTACTTTCCCTTGGAAACACGTCATCTCACAGCGGGTCTCTAGCTCCCCAGATCTCATTTTGGCAGGTGCTGTTATTAACATTGAGTTATTTCGTTGCTTGTTTAGGGGACAATGACAGATTACTGATCCTATCAGTGGATATGCTGGTAGTGGATCGAGATCACATATTTTAGTAAAGGTCTCATTTTGCCTAGACCGCCATATCGAGAGCGCTCGAACGAAACTTGGTCATGGTACTAGAACAGTATTAAAGAAGGCATACCACGGCCAAAAAGGTCCATATCACCTGCTGGCACTAGCATAAGTTATAAAATATAATCAGGTATAAAGTCTTTGCTAATATCAACGATCACTATCATCCGCGTGGTTATCAAAACTACTAGTTCTAACAGTGGCGTTATTACCAGCTGGTCGTAGCTCATTGTCCATGTTGTGCTCGATTGCTTGAACGAATGCTCGGAAAAGCAGCCAAGGCCTAAGGGCGTGAGTCATTGACTCATTATGGCAGATAGACGGCACTTTCCAGCTTGCCGGTGCATGCTGCTTGTAGGCGGAGGGCTTGGCTGGAACACTTTCAAGTCACTGCGCCGGATAGATTGCGGGGGCGACGAGGAGAGAAGAGAAGAGGGGTGATTGGGGTTCTGTGGGGTTCAGCTGGGGCATGGCATCCATGGGATCACCCCTGAGGCGTAAATGACTCTCTTAGCAAGGGGACGCATGAAGGGCATGGCTCGTGTACGGAGACATCCCAGTGCCCTCATCGGGACAGTATCGGGTATCTGTATCTATATCAACCAACCCTTCTCTCGTCTCGGTAGATAGACCAAGAGGTGTATCATTGAATTCCCCCACTTGTGACCCCCTTTACCTTCGAACTGTGCTCTCAAGCCCCTGCTTGGGGGGGCTCTTATACTCGGCATTCCGAATCCAAAGTACTCCAAGTCCGTACATGATTTGACCTGACTTGTACGTCTGCGGGTCGCCCAGCAGTCTCAGTATGCAGGTACCACTCTATACTCCGCAACAACCAGGCGCTAGGGGCACATCTATCGAGTTCGCCGATGCTGAAACCAGGGTGTACTATCGGTAAGCTATAATCCAGCACTGTCCCTATGCATAGGCAGTTTATTCAAAGCACTGCCGTGAGCATTCTACTCGCAAACTTATGCAGAGGGCCATCAGCCCCTGTCGTGGTTTCGGGATTCTTTTGCCAGCCTACGTCAAATCCTATCAGGAGTCCTAAGGCCTCGCCCGATTGTTCGGTTTGTTCAGACCGATGGCGCTTATAAATCGCGCAAGAGGTGGAGAACCGTCGCATCTCTTGTGCTGGCTAGCTCCTTAGTTGATATAGCAAGCATATTTTCAACGGCGTTAGCTGGGTGCGGAGCAACTCTTTTGACAAGACCATTGCCTTCGTGGGCTGACGGAAATTTCTGAGCTGTTCCAATCGAGTTAACGCCTACTCTCATGACGTTTTGGGAAGAAATTGAGGCCGATATCCTCTCTCCATGCACTCTTTTCATGTGCACTCACCTTCAGAAGATGCAAGTACTGTCGGTATGAGTTCCTGCATGAAATGCCTTCGAACACGGGATTGTGTGCTCCTTGGCCTCGGTTGGCCAGGAAAGAGCCACGGGTGTCGGGAACCTCTATGGGATTCATGTGAGCTGCCAGGGGTAACCTTGCAACCCATTGTGAGATCTAGAACACGTCTACTATTGATTGACAGTGGCAGAGGTGGCAGGACAGAGTCTCTTCAAACAGTGCGTCGAAGGAAGTTGCCTCAACGTATAAAGAGACGGCTTGTCGACGCAGCTGACCTGCTTTCCAGATCTTCCTTCCTACCGTAGTTTAACAGCCCCAATTTGCCATTCTGAATCTTTCAAGATGCTTCTTGCGCCCTCGCCCAGCATGGCCGTTTCAGCCACGCTACTGTGGCTCTTCTGGCTGGGCTGTGGTAATGCCAGGGTCACGACATCCCTGGGCGTGCCGGAAGGCCCTGAAGCACTAAATACCTTGTTCTCTCGGGAAGACGGGAAGAAATTTGTCTGGCGCGGAGATGTCAGGGATAATGTCACGATTCAGAGGGCTGGCGGATTCAGACCGCGAGGCAGCTACGTCGACGAGGAGGAAGCATTCGACCTTGAACGCCACAAGCAAGGTGCAATGGCGTGGAAGGACGAGCAATACGACAGCGAAGACTCGGACGCGGAGAGCTGCTCACCGTCTGAAATGGGCTGGGCGAGTGCCTATGTGTCGACGGCGTCTTCGTCCAGCGCGGTGTCTCACCTCCCGTGGATTTACTTGGTTCGCGCCACTCCGAACATGATTGACACAGTTCGCGCGCTTAACCTGGAAGACAACGAAGAGGAATTTGCGGCTCTTGGAGGCATCCTTTGGCCACAGGTAGTGGGACACATGTCGCTAGAGGCTCTGCAGCGCCTGAACCGGCGGTATCCAGACGGAATCCCCGACGACGTCGCTGTCGAAAACGTCGTTCCAAACCCCCAATACGACGCAGACCGGTTTCGCGACTCAGTCGCCGACAGCTCGCGGGCAGAAGGCTATGATAGAGGCTCCATGGAAGCGGCGATAGAGTTCATGGGGCGCCCCGGAGTCGGCGAGGTTGTCGGCTGGACGGGTCAGTTCCCGCTACTCCCGGTTGACTCTCCCTGTCCGTCGCCGTCGGCGAGCGGCGACAGCAGTTCTGAGGAGACTCAGGGCGAGAGTGCCATCCTTTCGAGCCAACGAGGACAGAATGCTGCGCTCACGGAAGAAGATTTGCTGGCGGCTGCCGAGTACCTGCGGGAGCACGACGAACCATGCGAGGCCGATTCTCACTCACTGAACAGCTATCTAGTGGTGGAGGCGGAGGATGCCATAGCGACCTCCTTGGAGAGGTTTGATCGGGAAAACCCCGACGGACCGTTTGGGCACAACCGCGGAATTGCAGAGGCGGACGCGTTCATCCAGCAAGCTATAGATAGGATGCGACGGGGTCAGAACGGCGTGTGCAATCTCCTTGACGGGTGCGGTTCCATGCTTGGAAAGTTTTCCCGAGCCAAGAGAGCGGAAGGTGAGGATCCTGACATCGAACACAAGCGAGCATCGAGGCGTCGCCCGTCCTAACCTGAGACACTCCAGGGGGAGCTAGTAAGGGATTGGAACCATTCTGCGGAAAGCTCAAAAAGACGGATGCCTGCGACCACATCCAAGACGTCGAGATTGGTTTCAAGCTGTCTGACGATTACTTTTCCGGGACCTATGATCGCCTGGGAGCCATTCTAGAAGGCCCGGCTGGTAAAGCCAGCTTGGAGATTGCAGAGGCCCCCCCGTCAGGATTCGAAAAGTGGTTTCGCGTCGGGCCCAATATGCTTGACATCAAGAAGGGCATCAACAAGATCCAGCTCACTGCTGCGGGGCACTACTCGGGCACCAGGAACGACGAGTGGAAGCTTCAAGGTATATATCTTCTACTAGACCCGTCAGATTGCAAGGGACTACTCAGCTGACCGCGGCGATCCAACTCAGACATGGTATTGCGTGCCCGCTGCGTCGAGTCGGGCTACAGGGTTGAAGTCGACAAGTTCAAGGCGCTCAATGCCGTGTACAAGCACAAGCACACGGGGCGTGAGTCGGACCAACTGCTGGCGCAGACTGTCGCCACCTTGGACATTGCCCCGACGGACTGGCACATGAGGCCCGTCTGCAGCTACATCGAAGAGCTGAAGTTTGAGTTTACACTGTCCGATCAGTACTTCTCTGGAACCTACGAGGCCATAGTGCTCCTTCTCGGGAGGTCCGGGAGAATCCTTGTCGCACAAGAGCCTTCGCCGGGGTTTTCCGTTTCGAAGGCCGTTGATCTGAAGAAGGCGTTTGGCTCCGACGAAATTCCCGTGCGCGATATCAAACAGTTGTACCTGGTTGACCTCCCCAGCATCGGCTATTTCACAAGAGATGCGTGGAAGCTTCAAGGTGCGTTCTTCCGCCTCAGTCCAGGCCCATCTCATGTTACTCGATCTGAAAGGCGGGATGCTGACTGGGACCGGTCTTTCAGGCCTCACATTCACGGCGAAATGCGCGGGCTCGTCCAAGACGATGGAGATGAAGAAGTTTCAGTCGGTCAACCAGTGGCTTCAGCATGGACCGGGATTCCGACCTCAGAAGGTTTGGTCGGGCGAGATAAATCCTGAAGACTGGTGGGAAGTGTCTTCGTGAGCGAAGCAGCAAAGCAGTCCTCGACACAAGCATAATGAGTACATCCCCGAGGGCCTCAGTCTTGTGGCCTTGTTTGCGCTCTTTTGCATGCCGGAATAGTCCCGCAGGAGGCATCAGTTGTGGGCGGCAGAAAGCTGTTTCTATCAGATCCTTTTCCCGTTGCAGCCCACAGCTTCGCCACAAACATTGCGTCTAATCATCCCCGCAGCAGCTGCACAAGAGCAAAAAGAAATACCCTTTACGGTCGAATGCAAGAGTGATTTTCCGGCCCTCTCAAACTCCTAGTGCCCCCGTTGTGACCAGACATTGCAATAATAAATAAATACATATTTTTGGCATATTGTTATGTATTGTTAGGAGTGTGGCTATATTGATATGTATTGTTAAGCTTATCAATAATTATTAATATAACATTGAATGCTCATCTCCGTCTCCGTTGGCGCCGCCCACATCCATGATCTCGTCATCAACCGCAACGTACAGTTTGCGAATCAAATCGTTCCTCACCCAATTACCCAAGCATTGCAGCTTTTCAGTCCTGTCCGCGGAAAGTCGAGCTCGATCCCAAGAAAGTGTCCGCCTTGTGCAAGAGAACACCCGCTCCGGCTCGTCCGACATCGCTGGGACGCTGAGTATGTCAAGGGCCATCTGATGCAAGCGTGGATACTCGGCTCTCTGCTCCTCACGACACCACCATTCAAGCGGATTGGCAGTCAGCATATGTCTCGGAGGAGCATTGATGAATTTCTCAAACTCGTCTTCATCGCCAGGTTCATCCAGGACACTCATTGACTGCCTTATGCGCTCGTAAGAAGCGACCTCGCGCTTCACAACTGGGTCGCACGGTTCTCTCCGACGAAATCGGTCTGTCCTTATACTTCGCCCATTGCCGCTGCGCTGCAGCAATGGCTGTCTGCCGCCACTCTGGTGCCCAATGACGGTCGAGATACCTCCGCCGTTTTTCTGGATGGAGCAGAAGTGCCGTGGCATACACGGGGTTTTTGTCGGTTTCTTCGTAATACTTTGAAAGAACCCACCAGCCCATGTGAACCGAGCTTACCATGTGGGCGTTTTCGGCATACTTGACCTGCATCGAAGTTGAGCTTCTTCTTCAGCCCGAAGGCAATACTTGCAGAGTCTGCGACTGACCTTTGCGTCTTCGAATTGCACGAAGAGTATGTCCATGTTCTCTAGCACCTGATCTATTGAAGCCCAGGCCATTTGCTGCTCCATGGTGGCCTGGTGAAACGGCTGCAAGAACTCGTGTGTCATCTTCAATACTTGCCAGTCATCATGAGTCAGGATGTCGTCCTCAAGCTCGATGATACTGATTGACGAAGACCGACAATGGGCCTTCCTGGCTGATGGCGGCATCAAGCAGCTTGAACCACGAGTTCCAGCGCGTGATGTTGTCGATACCGAGGGCCCGCAATGTCGTCCCATGCGTCGTTGTGAATTGTAGAGTTGCGAATGAACACAGCAATGTTGTGAAGTTTTCCCATTGGACCGATACTCCGCCAACCGGCAATGTCATTTTTCCTGCGCTGGGCGTGAGTTCTTGGCGTAGATTCTGAATGGAGGTGGTCATGCAAGGCGTCTGCAACAGTAGTTTGATTCAGTTCATCGTCCGCCTGTTCAACGGCGGCCTGAAGTGCACTTTCGCTGGTCGCAAAGAGAAAGGCTTGCAGGGAAAGGTTAATGATGTGGCCAGCGCACCGCGTTCGAGAGGATATTGGATCAAAGGTCAGCCCATGCTCTTGCGATAAATCGGCAGAAAGTTGACGGAGGCAAGTGTCATTTTTAGCATCATTGTCCCCGGTGAAATAGCCGAGTTTTTGTGTTATGCCGTATCTCCGGATGATCTTCAGTAGGTGCGGCGTCATCGCTGCGCCCGCGTGCGACCGTCGCAGGTTTGGCAATCCCAGCAATGCCTTGCGAGGCTTGTATGCCTCGTCGACCCATTGCGCATGAACAGCGATGTATGCCTTGCGTTGAGGAGAAGACCATACATCCATTGCGATATGCACAAGACTCCGAGCGCCTTCGAGCCACCGACAGACGGATTGTTGATGCGTGTCGTAGGCCCTATCTAGATCCGAAGCGACCGTGTTGCTAGAGTCGACGAGGAACTCCTCGACTGCGGGGTTGATCGCGGTCAAAGTGCCTGATACTCTGGCCACGTCGCGCAGCTCAGTGGCAGATGCCTATTCGCGGAAAGTAGCATCTGTGCCTCTCGGAAAGCATCGACATTGATCACGCTCCGCAAAATATTGACCTCGCTCTCTTGAGTCAGCCTCAGCTGCTTTTCGCTTGTTCTCGCGAAGGCATTCTCGATGGCTACTTGACGCTTGCATCGAGCATTCGTGTCTTCTCTGACTTGTACGTGATGAACCTTTCGAGATGATAGCGGGCGTTGCCAGAAATGTGGGTTGACCACGATGGATTGCGACAACGTTTGCAGTAGTGGAGTAAATTGCCACCTGCCGTGCGTGGCTCATCGCCTCGAGCCTGTCGAAAGTGATGCCAAGTCGACGTCGCTCTCAACTTCCTCCTCTTGACTGCTGCCGGAGGAATGCTCCGATTCTGAAGGTATACTGGCAGATTGCGAGACACTATCGGAAGGCAAAATTGATGACGAAGGGTTCGATGCGATGTCAACTTCCGGCACACGGGATACGTAGTCTTCCATTGCCAAAGCTGAGATATCGAGGGGGCGTGCACTTCGATCACCAAAATGGAGGGCATGGAGAATCTTGAACGAAAGAATGCTCCCATTCTGTGCCGAGCCCCTTCCTCAGCGCTACGGCTGACGTGTGGAAAGTAAGTACGCCTAAAACAGGCATTCAAGTCAAAATAGGGGCATATTAGCAATACATATTGATAGGGGACTTCCATATTGTTATCGATATTGATAAGCTTAACAATAAATATGCCCATACTTATCAATATATATTGATTACTGCAATGTCTGGTTGTGACCCATCCATTGACCCAATACACCACCACCTACTCCAGCTCAATGGTTCCTATTCGATGTCAACAACTGAGTATCCCGATGATGTCGCATGCACATACCAGGAGGCTTGCTCGTGACATCATAAGTCACCCGAGAGACTCCGTCAACTTCGTTGACGATTCTCCGCGCAATCTTCTTCATCAGTCCGAATTCAAACTCGTAAGGCTCAGCGCTCATGAAGTCTGTTGACGTCACAGCCCGAAGTATGATGATGTACCCTGTGCATCAATGTTAGCTTGTCGTGGTCACTCGAACGATTCTCGTCAAACCCAGCGTACCATAGACACGTTGATCCCCCATAACTCCAACGGCTGAAACAAAACCAAAAGTTAGCAAAAATACTAGTTTGCGTTGCATCTTGCCCAGAAGACGATTCTTTGTGATTTCGAGCGGAGGAATGTCAGAAAACATACCTCTGCTGGTGTCGACGCCGGCGTACGCTTGAGACATCTGCATACGACGGTTAGTGACCATTCCAAACGACCTCAGCCGCGAAGCGTACCTCGTTGTAGATGCCCGCTTCCTTGATCATGGAGATGAAGATGTGATCGGCCTTTCTGGCGATGGCGACACGCTCGGGAGTCACCTCTCCAATGATTCTGATGGCAATCCCCGGTCCTGGGAATGGGTGACGCATAACAAGATCGTCGTGAATACCAAGTTGCCGGCCAAATTCTCGCACTTCGTCCTTGAACAGCTCTCTCAAGGGCTCTATTAGTTTAAGGCCCTCCTATTGTCAACAAGATTAGTCATTGCCTTGTATAGTTATTGTTCCGAGGGCTACGCACCCCGTTCATCATGCGAGCCGGAAGCCCGCCCACGTTGTGATGCGCTGTGTTTGTGGTCAGCACTCGATGTTCAGATCAATGCCCCCTGGTCAGTGGGGGCCGTTGTGTTGGGACCAAAGGTCTGGCGGAGCATGCTCCAGCAAAGTCATCGAGATGGGCACACTTACTTTTGATGGTCGCTGAGGGGCCCTTGAAGCTCAGAGACTCGATGACATCGGGATACAGAGTGCCCTGAAGAAACCACTCCACCTTGCCAGCATTTGGGGTATTCTCGGCCACCTTCTCGATCCTGATAGCCTCTTCTTCAAACAGGTCGATGAAGGTTCCCCCAATGATGGACCGCTTCTTCTCGGGTTCAGTCACGCCTTTCAGGCGGTCAAGAAACAATTTGGACCCGTCGACGATTGTCAAGTTGATGCCGAGATGTTGTTGAAGCGTCTGTTGCACCTGCTGGCATTCGTCGAGACGCATCACACCGTTGTCTACAAGAACGGCATGGAATCGCTCGCCTGGACCCACGTTAGCCCGGCTTGGATGCCTGAATTGGCCATCAAGGACATACCAATAGCTTCTTGCATCAGGCGAGCCGCCACGGTACTGTCGACGCCGCCCGAGACAGCACCGATGACTTGAGCTTTGTCGCCAACGAGCTTGCGGATACGTGTGATTTCATGCTTGATGAAGTCACTCATGACCCAATGCTGTCTGGCTTCGCAAATACCGACGGCAAAATTTTTCAACAGCTCAGTGCCGCGAGGAGTGTGCGAAAGCTCGGGGTGAAATTGGATTCCTGCCAACGGCTTGGGTCAGCGAACGCCTGGGCCGGCAGGGTAGCGCAGGAGTGGAGAGAGACGGGGAAAGAACGACAGTGGAGAAGACAGGTAGGGGAGAGACAAACCAAACACTGGCTTCTCCCGGTGGGCGATTCCAGCGAACTCCGAGTTCTGCGTGCTGGCGACGGTGACGAAACCTTCGGGCAAGCGTACAAGCTTGTCAAAGTGGCTCATGTAAACTGTGTCAAGGTTAGCTCTGGAAAGTAGACCAGAGTTCTTCGTCGGGGTAGAGACGGCTTACCGTGCATTATATCCCCCAGACCGTCGAAGAGGCGGTCGACGTGGCCAGAGCCGCCGACCTTGTGTACGGCGACATCCTGGGGAAAGCATTGATCAGTACGGCAGGTATCTCTGAGGATGAAAAGGGACAAGCCGGGCATACAGCATGGCCATATTCCCGGGCCTCTCCAGGAGCGACATTCTTAGCGTCTGCTCGCCAAGCGAGCTCCTGGCAGCCATAGCAAATTCCACTAAGCCTTTGGTGTTAATCAAAGCCAAGTCGGACACTGGAAAACCACTTACAGAATGGGCACCCCCAAGTCGAAGATGGCGGGATCGACGTCTTTGCCGAGTTAGCCGGCGAGTTTGCTGAGGAGGAGAGAGCAGTCTTACGAGGAGCTCCTTGGTCATACACGGAGGAGGGGCCTGGATACCAGGTCAGCGATATGGAGGACAATCAACTTTGGCCAGCCAGTGTCAAGCCTACCGCCGCTCAAGATGATTCCGACAGGAGTCCAGGCCAGGTCCCGGAGCTTGGTGGTGCAGGGCAGCATCTCGGCGTAGACATTGAGGGCTCGGAGACGTCGAATGATGAGATGGCTAGTCTGACTCCCGAAGTCGAGGACCAGGAGAGTCTGCATGGACCGAGTTAGTTGAGCGTCGGTCGGAAACAATGCACGAGCCTCACGTCGAAAGCGCTGTGAGGCGGCGCGGCCTCGTCCATGCCCGGGGCCATTTTGCACGAAAGCGGGCGGGGCAGCCGGTATAGAACAGGATGATGAGGTGTCGAGGTTCAAATGTCGGCGGAAACAACGACAATTGTCTGATGGATGAGCCCCTTTTGCTCGTCATGAGTCGTCAAATTTTCATGGCGATGCTTCCAAGCCACTCCACCAGCCACACACGTGTAGATAAGCCAGGGATCCACTGCTCGCCAGCTAGCGCCCCGCCAGATACATATTGAAAAGTCGCCACGAGAGCCTCACTTTCAAACTCCTTCCGAAAGACGTCAATTTCTCCCAATTTAATGAGACCCAGCCAAGTCTCCGTCCGATCGGCAATTTGTGGATCGACCGCCGACTTTGACCGACCCGCCGGCCATCGTCGGCCTTGTCAACCGCGACATTGCTCGTCTTTCCGTCGTCCCGACTCAGTTCAGCGTCGCACTTCTGCCTCGTCCCGCCCGTTTTGCCCACGACTTTAACCTCTCTGAGGCCACGGCTCGACGCAGCCTGTATGGCCCGGAAGCCGCGGGACACACATCTGCGGGCGGGCGTCGTATGCGCATGTTCCGCAGAAACGCCATATTGTAATCGTCTTGAAGGCCCTCTGGCTGTTTGTAGCCCTTAACCTCTGCCGCCAGTTGCATCAGAGCCCTTGGGGCTTGCATCAAGTCGACTGGCCGATTGAATCGGCGTTTCAACATTTCTTCGCGAAGATGGTCTCCTTTACTCTATATTCATTGCAACCGTCCTTGTTTGCGCGGTGTCGGCACTTGAACGGTCAAATTGAGCCAGAGGTCGCACTCCTTGCGTAAATTCAAAGCCACCCCTTAAAAGCCTCGGAATCTTCTTTTCCCTACTCTGATCGATGCCACGCTTGAGGGTCTCAAGCAGCGGCTCGAGAATTGATGCATCAACAGCCGCGACCTAGTGAGGCAGGATCGCCTCGGCGCGTTGTGCGAGATTCGTTTGTCTCATGAGTACAAGGTATATCTCACGCGCATTGAAAGTAACTGAACGGTTTCGCGCTGTCACAGATGTCAACCCCAATGCAAAAGCTATGGCGGTATCTCTCAACGAAGAGAGAGCCACATGCGGCACTCGATCGCATGGACTACGGCCTGAGTCGCGATGGAAATGACTAACAGGGACATAGCCTCTACGCTGCATTCTCATTCTGCTCAAAAACAACATTGTCAATATGGATAAGATGAATAACACTGGTCAGTAAGCCTCGCCCTCGGTTACATGTCGCCATGAAGCTCATGTATCAACAGCCAGAGCGTTTGCCCTGTTAGTGGCAATGTCCCCTGCACACCAACTCTAAGAAGCCAGCATTGCACAGGAGACCCGAGAAGCAGAAGGCCTCCATGTTGCATCAGAAGACAAGGTGAGGTAGAGCTTCGAAGAAGGGCGATTGTAGACTGTGCTCTCCCAGATTCTACTCATGCTCTACTAACAACAAGAGATCGGATCAGACCCTTGGCTATCGCAAACATCAAACATGTAGTTAATTGTGCCACAAGAACCCAGGATGCTTCCAATCCATCTCCTCAATGTCTTGTGAGTGCTTTCCGTCAAGCTCGGCCGCGACATCCTGCGTCTTCTTTTTCTTGTTATCTCTCTCGATCCAGAAGTATAAGGCGATGGCGATGAAGAACATGGATGCCTGGGCCGCCAAGTTAAGCCCGTTGCCGATCGAGAACCGCGGGGCATCAGACTCCAAAAAAGCCCAGGTTGATATCAGGCCGCCAATATTGCCCATCATACCGTTGGTGGCAATGGCAGAGGATCGAGCCGTATCGGAGACGACATTCGCTGAGACGTGCGAGTTGGTGAGAGAGCCGTAAGAGAAGATGCCTACAAAGGGGAGGAAGGTCGCGCCGTACCGGACCGTCGGCTCGGAGGACGCGAGGAGTATAGCATAGCCAACGACAGTTAACGGACAGCAGAATATGAGGAAGATGCCTCGTCTGTCCAGCTTCCAGCTACAAAAGCTAATGGCGACACAGGCTGCGGCACCAACCACGTAGGGGGGGACAGTCAGCAGCTGCTGTGTTTGTACGCTGCGGTTCGGGTAGATGGTGCGAACAATGGTCGGCAGGAAGAAGGAGATTCCGTGCACCGTGATGCTGTTGAGGAGGAAGATGAGCGAGGTCGGTAGGACGACGGGGTTTATGATGCCTAGCTTGAGCTTGTTCCAGCTCGACGTGTCGATAAGATCGGTTGTTCCGATTCGTTCCGCCTTGAGGCGCGCAATGGCAAGTTCCTTCTCTTCCCTCGACAACCACGCGGCCGTCTCGGGACGATCGGGTAGCGCTAAGAAGGAGATGATGCTCAGAACACAAGTGGCTATCCCTGGGTTAAGGGGAAAGCTGAGTATCAGCAAGCTTGAACCGCTTCATTGAACTGGCCGGATAGAACCTGAGGCGTAGCGAGCCTCACTGGCTCGGCAGTTGAAGGAGGAGGAGGGGTCGAACCTTCAATAGCAAAGATCATCCTCCAAGAGTGAAGGGATCCAAAACTCGGAAGCCGCAGGATGGCCGAGGCGAGCAGGCCGCCAAAAGCACCGGCCAACGCGGCAGAGATGATGAAAAGGGCAATGCGAAAGGTCAGCTCGCTTCGGCGGTACCATCGCGACAGGAAGTAAACGATGCCGGGCATCATGGCGGCTTCAAAGATGCCGAGCAGGAAGCGCAGCCCGCACAGAGAGGAAAAGTTCTGGACAAAAGCGGTGCAGATGGTGCAGATGCCAAAGGCCATGGACGTGGCGGGAAGAAACCATCCGGGGCCGATCCGCTTGCAGAGTGCGTTCAGAGGAATCTCAAACACAATGTAAGAAATGTAGAAGATTGATAGGGCCGTGTTGTAGTCGTATCCCTTCATGTTGAGATCTCTTTCGAGGCCTGCAAGTTTGGCGTTGCCTGCAGGTATTGTGAGCACTGGCTTCCGTCGTGTGTTCCGGCCCACGACTCCTGTCGTGCTTCATGAGTGACTACGCACCAATGTTTGAGCGGTCGATAAAAGCAAGCACTGAAGCGTCATGACGTTAACACTCGAATCGGGGCTTGTTGCGGTGCATCGTCTCAGGGACATGTTTGGGGCACTCACGGTAAATGAGGCTGACCAGGGGCATGAGGCACCAGTCCATCTTGACACGAATTCTTGATTCGGCAGCGGCATTCGTGGCGGCCAGAGCCAGGCCATAGCTATGTCCATGTCAGTCTTGCCTTTTTGTCGATGATGTTTTTCTTCGTCGAGCCCTCCATTTCTTCAGACGGAAGGTTGCTTGCAACCGTCGCGGATTGTAATCGAGAGATGAGCGTACTTGTCAGTTTTGTCGTTGACGACCTCCTCAATGGCCCGAATCTCTTGGTTGTCGTTGACGGAATCCATTTTCTCGTCGCCCTGCAGGCACCGAGCCAGATAAGGAGGTGTAGGGTTCATGGTTCTGGACGCCTTCGTACAATTCCCTCGAGTTCCAGCACATGAAATGAGCCTCGTAGAGTCTGGATCAGTTGGGTTGAGAAGATACAAAGCTGAAAGTCCTCAAGCGGGTGACGAAGATTTTAGGATGGCACTGCACCGTCCGGGGTCGGCTTCCGCTATTCTATATGTATGACGACCTTCTCCGCGACGGCTATTGCGTCTCGACCTCGGGATAACATTGGAAGCGGAGTCGAAACGGGGCCGCTCACTTCATGTACCTAACTGACGGCTTGCTGCATTTCTCGATACCACGTGCCGAATCTCGTGTTCCATTCACTACGACAAGACAGGAAGCTCACTAGAAATATCCCGTGCCAAACTCCCCAGCGGCAAACTGGTATCTAGTCACTCAGTTCTTCGCGATGTTGGGCTTCGTGAACAAGCCTTCTCGCCGCCATCCAAATTATTCCCCGCGCATCTCGCCTCATCTCGAGATGGTCGCATGAGCTCGGGGGTCATTGGGGGGTCTGGTGATGGGTTCAAGAGGGCCCAGAAGGAACATTAAGCCGAAAAGGGACCCCTATGTTATATCATCAGTCGGGCTTCCTACGGAGAGAAACGCGACAAGAATATTTGTTACTTGACAGCGCATTACCGCAGTATTCATTTTCGTACTTCGTACATCCATGAGGCTTGAGGGTATGAATAAGCTAGGCGACCAGGAAAAAATGAATCGCCGTTTAGCCGCCATCAGAACACTTTTACCTTGACCAGGTGTGCGGGTGAAAGGGGGCCAAGCTGGGCCATATTGACCAAGTCCGGCTGTCAACAGGTTCACGCCGAGACTCTCGGTCTCGGTCTCTCTATCGCCGGGTAAGCTGCCAGGCGCTCATCATTTCTCAGAGAGTTCCACTCTCATTTGTTTTAACGGGGAAGTGAACAGTTATTGTAATGCACCGCATGCATAGCCGAGGTACTCCTGTAGGCGTGGCACAGCAGCATCCATTTATCTCGGTGCGGTATGAATGTTCTTCGCAGCATCCCACACACGTTCCCAGTCATCTTGCAACCAACAACATCCGGGTCCCCGCTGCCTCGAGGGAAGCTGCGTGTTTTGGTCCGGCGAGGTAGTCTGTGCCAAGGGAGCTATATGCGACTTGTATACTGAGAAAGAGGCAGAAGAGGCTAGAGAAGAGCATGAATGAGCTAACGAGAAGGGAGAGATCCTTACGACTAGTGGACCTCTACATAGATGTGTATGGGGCTGGCCAAGAGGAAGGGGAACCCTTACAACATAACCCACCCTGCTATAGGTGTCTAGGGTAAGGAGTTAGCTACCTGAAAAGTCCCGCGACCTGCGTACGACCTTTTATCCTCCAGGCAGTATCTACAAACAGGATACATATTTGTTAGTAAGAGAGCTAATATGTGAAAGACACTATCCTTTATATCCTATGAGAAACTTGGGAGTGTTGCTCTAAACCGTAATCTGAACTAAGTATGACAGACCTGAGAGGTCTCTTCTTGAAGGTTGCACACAAGAGAAGGTAGTATTTCCAGAAATCTTAGGGGCTTCCGGTTTAAAGAAGTATTCCAGTCTATCTCATGGGCCCCGTTTTCTTTCAAGTTCGTAGCTTATTGTGCCAACACCTTTCTACATAAATCGGAAAGTACTGTTGCACCTTGTGAAAGGCTGGCCCGGAGTTTATTCAACAAGCAGGTGCCTAGATGTTGTCTATCTAGAGCTAAGGAGGAAAAGAAGCTGAACTCGAGGCGTAGCCTCGAGTGCGAGCTTATATTGCCCTTCTCGGAATGTTCTCGCAGCTTCTGGGTCCGCGGAGCGGGCCGGTGTTGCCACCGAGCACGACTCCACCGGACCCGGTACAACCGGGTCCACCAGCCGGGCACAGCCCGTGACATTACCCCCTTGTCCCTCCGACCAGGTCGGCGTCTGCGGGGTTCTTGCGTTCCTGCCAGCGTCTCGTACTTCCCTAGGGCCATCATTGGTCTTGATTGGCCCGTACTTGTCCTCGAATGCCTTCATCGCAATTGTTCCTTGCAACTACTCAACTGGCTCCCAAGTCGGCTCTGCGTAGCCCGTCCATCGCACTAGTGCTTGCCTGAATTCCTCGTCCGCGCTTCTTCCATCTCGCGCAGAGGATCTCGTCGACATCCCACAGATCCGTGCCGGACTCATCTTGTACCGGTGGTGGCTGTGCGTCATCTACCTTTTGGCCAGGAGCCGGATCTTGATGCGCCCGCCGCAAAAGGTCAACATGAAATCGCGGGTAAATTGAGCCACGAACATCGAGCTCAACAACGTGCGAACTAATTACCTTCGTGACTGTGTACTTGTGATGCAGCCAGTCGAGCTTCTTGCACGGTCGTGGCGATCTGTAGTTTGCCATCGAGAGCCACACCTTGTCACCAACTTCAAATCGCTCCGCAGGCTGTCGCTTTGCGTTGGCAGCCCTTCTTGTTGTTGCTGTGAGGAGGCCATCACTGCTTGCATGTACTCATTGACCTCCTGCAGGCGACTGAGTAGGCTATCAGCTCTGCTTTCCTCTCTATGCCTCGGTGGCTCTTCCGATTCCTCGACGCTGATGGGATCGACGTGGTAACCATGCTCAGCGAAAAGGGGCTGATCTTGGTCGCTGCGGATTCACGATTGTTGAGTGCCAGCTGCGCGGCAGGGAGCAGTTCTCCCAGTCGTCCTGCACGTACGACACGTAGGCTCTCAGGTAGGCCTCGATCTCCTGGTTCATTCTCTCTGGCCTCCGTCCGTCTGAGGATGATAGGCCGTGCTCAATTTCTGCGTGACACCTGCAAGACGGCAGAACCTCTTCCAGAACCTACTTAGCCAGTTGCTCCCGCGGTCGCTGACGATGGACCGTGGCATTCCGTGAAATCGGTAATGACACTGGAGAAAACGGTTTGCACACGGCTCAGCTTCCATGTTGTCCATCACCTCGAGGGTCACAGCCTTTGTCAGTCTGTCCACAATCACCCACAGGTACCTTGCCTTGCTCGGTCCAGTAGGCGGCAGATCTGTGATGAAGTCCATGGACAAATGGCTTCGGGGTCGATCTGGAATCGGCAGAGGCTTGAGAAATCCCTTTCGACTGGCGCCAGATGTGTGCTCTGCCGCAGGTGTCGCAATTGGCTACGTACCGGCGAACCAGCTGGGACTGCCCAGGCCAGTAGAATCGCCGAGCCACAATAGCCAGCGTACCTTCCTGCCGGGATGACCGGTCGCAACAGAGTCATGCGACTGCTGCACAATGCGGGTTCTCAACTGGTCTTTCTCAGCTTCCTCCTGGTTACCCTCCTCTCCGGATCCACCCGGCACCCAAATACGGTCTCTGAATGTCAGCCCTTTGCCTGCGTCGATCGCACATTCTGAAATCTGGATCTTCAGGCCCAGCGAGGGCGGGAAGGCACGCTCGCGATCGCGGACTGCCTTATAGGCTGCCCGGAATATCGAGTCCTTCGCCACCGTTTCGTCCCAGAGTTGCTGCAGGTCCGCTACCTCGAAGACCTTCATCTTCGGCAGGGTGGATGCCTCTGAACAGTCAGAACTCATCGCGTTGATACATGCTCTTGTCGATGATGGAATGGCACTATCCGGTATCAACTGTATCATTCTTCCTTGTTCCCGCTCGTCGTCAATGCCCTGTGGCTTGTCTTGTTCACGGCGGACAACGCATCAGGCACGACAGCCTCGCTTCCCGGTCGATACTCGAGCTTGAAGTCGAACTGGGACAATTGGCTGCCCAACGGCTCTGCCGTTCCGTGAGCTTCTGGCGTGTCGCGAAATACTCCAGGTTGCGGTGATCGGTAAGGATTGTAAATGGGCCGCAGCTCCTAAGTTCGGCGTTCCAGTTGTCGAGACATCTCATGATGGCAAGCATCTCCTTGTCGTGAATGGGATAGTTGTACTCCGCTGGCGAAAGTCGCTTCGAGAAGAAGGCGCATGCGTGTCGACGTCCATCTGGGCCTTCCTGCGACAGGACGCCTCCCAATGCGTAGCCTGAGCAATCCGTCTCCAAAAAGGTCGGGAGGCTCGGGTCCCACTGCTTGAGCACCGGTGACTCGCAAAATCGTCGCTTCAGCTCCTGAAACGCCTCGTTCTCCGCTCGTCCCCAATGAAAGGCAGTTCCTTTCTTAAGCAGGGCATCCAGAGACTGCGTGATCTTGGCATAGTCGGGGATGAAGATCCGGTAATAGTTGGCGAAGCCCAGAAAGCTTCTGACACCCTTCACCGTGGTCGGGGCCTCCCATTCGCGGATGGCGCGCTGCTTTTCGGGGTCGCAGGCGATTCCTTTCCTGCGTTGACGATGAACCCAAGGTATTTGACCTCTTGTACCGAAAACTCGCACTTCGCTGGGTCTAGGTGCAGCCCAGCGTCGGCGAGTGCTTGGAGAACTCGTCGCACCTTAGCCTCATGATCCGCCTTCGAACCGCTCGAGTAGATCAGTACATCATCCAGGTACGCTGTGACAAAGTCGTCCAGCCATTCGCGCAATACACTGTTCATGTATCGTTGGAATGATGCCGGGCGCCGCTCAGGCCGAAAGGGCACACGAGCCACTCGTAGAGCCCAAACCTCGTGCGAAATGCAGTCTTTCCTCATGTCCCGGAGCCATGCGGATCTTATGGAAAGCGGCCACCACGTCCAACTTGGTGAACCACTTAGCCTTGGCCAGATTCTGCAGGGTCTCCGCGATGAGGGGCAGGGTATCGGTCGCGCTTGGTGATTGCATTCAGCGCTCGGTAGTCGCAACAAAATCGCAGCCCTCCATTCGGCTTCCGCACGAACAGCACCGGCGCGGCAGCCGCTGAGCTACTCGCTCGGATGAATCCTCTGTCCAGCAGGTCTTTCAGGGTCTTTCGCAAGACCAACAGCTCTTCTCGTGACATGTTGTAGAGTGGGCCCCACGGAAGGGGTGGCTCGTTGCCGTTCTTGTCAGGCTGCAGGTTGACTTCATGATCCACACCCGGTCGATGTGGCGGCAGCTTCATTGCCTCTCCTGGTGAGAATAGGTCGCGGAATTCTTTCAGCACTTCTGCCGGGACCTTCTCGCTCGGATCGACTGGCGGCTTCGGCTGAAGCGCCCTCTCTATATCCGACAAACTGATTGCATGAATCGAGATCGCGTTGCACTTCTTGCGTCTCTTTGCGCGTCGACACTCCGCCGTGAATACGGCTGCCGACACGAGTCTTGCGCTTCGAATCGCGCGTATCTTGGCGGGCTCTTCCTGCCCAATGAGGCGTATCGTCACACCTGCCCTCCCATGGTACATCTGCTGCTTGGCAGCATCGTACACGACGTGATTTCTCTCCATCCAAGGCCGGCCGAGGAACATGTCCTGGCCCAGGCTTGGGATCACGTATGCAAAGACACGTTCGTCAAATCCAGCTGTCTCGACCACAACAGCCACGACCCCTGGGGATATGACACTCTTCGCTGACTCTGAGAATCCCCCAATTTCTCGTGGTTTCGAGTCGACGAAGGGTATCCGCAGCTTCCGAACAAGGGCTTCGTCGATCACGGCATAGCAGTCACATCCACAGTCGACAAGGGCGCGTATTCGATAGCCTCGGTTTACCCGCGCGTTGACTAATACAGTCCGACTATTCATTCGTGGCTTGAACGCTTCCCAGTCCCGGATGTCTGCCTTTGCAGGCCCCGGCGCCCGCTTTCGCCCCGGGGCTAGTCTTTTCCCGCCGACTCGTCCTCACTGGATGCTGCGGTTGATTCCGAATCATCTGCGGCATCGGGCTTCTTCATGCGCGCAGCTTTAGGTCGCTGTTGCTTCCCTTCGCCAGGAAAGACCACCTGGGCTGGGCAGTCCACGATAAGATGATCCGTCCGACCACAGCGATAGCAGCGGCGCTCATCCTTCGGCTTCTTATCGACATGTCGACGACCCTTCGACTCGTGGCCAATACGGTTGATGTCCGTCATCTTAACATCTCCGTCGGGGTCCTCCGGTTCCTCCTTGGTCGTTGCCTTGGTAGCTGTTGAGGCGTCCGCTCAGTCAACGTCGGCTGCCTACCGGGTTTCAGTCTCTCCAATCTGCCCGCAATTTCCTGAACTCGCAAGCCATCCCTGGTAGTCGTCGGTAGGACGGCTGTGACCAAACTCTCTTGGAGGCGTGCATTTATTGCGTTCTCTAGAAATACGATCTTTGCACTGTCCGGCCAGTCTGCTCCCCCGGCTTCAGCTAATGCCTGTTCGAATCGGGGAAGGAAGGACGCGAGAGGTTGGTCTTCGCGCTGCCGCATAGTTCTCAGCGGGCCAAACATGAGTTGATGAGGTACCAAAGTTCGCGATTTCCACTGTAGTAGTGTGCATCAAGGTCCAGCTTGTCTCGCATCTGCCTGGCCCAGGAGGAGTAGCTCTTCCGTGAGCCGTCATACTTGGGTGGGTTGGGCAACGGTTTCCGCATTCCAGTACCGCAGGTTTTGGGAGGGCGTGCCCAAGCCAGGCGTGCTCGCCCAATCCTCGTGCCACTGGCGGCGATTGCAAGTCGGCGCGCCTGCGGCTGCGCTCGCCCGAGTTGCTCCATCAGCAAGGAAAGTTGGTCCTGTAGAGGGCTGAGAGTCGCATTGACCGCTTCTGAATGCGTTGGTCAATCCATTGCTGCTGGAGACTTGGGCTCACTCTGCTGGTCCATCCTGACGAGCAGTCTGCAGCTTGCGGTATTTAGAAGGAGCTCTAGATATGTGAAAGGCTGGCCCGGAGTTTATTCAACAAGCAGGTGCCTAGATGTTGTCTATCTAGAGCTAAGGAGGAAAAGAAGCTGAACTCGAGGCGTAGCCTCGAGTGCGAGCTTATATTGCCCTTCTCGGAATGTTCTCGCAGCTTCTGGGTCCGCGGAGCGGGGCCGGTGTTGCCACCGGAGCACGACCCACCGGACCCGGTACAACCGGGTCCACCAGCCGGGCACAGCCCGTGACACACCTATTCCGTTTGACGGCATCCCCAATCGTTGCCGCGCTGCTATGCCGCAGTAGGAAATGGTATCAAAAAAACTCGACTATGCCAGCTCGACGAACACGATATCCGAGATGAAACCCATACAGCTGATATTTCAAGGTGTCGAGAACGGTACCTCTTAGGTTCTTCTAGAGAACAGCCTCGTCACCGAACATGGCTCGAAAAGCATCCTAGGCCAATTCTGCCTTATCTTGAAAAACTTCAGGTTCCATGCTGCTGTGATTCAGTTCAAAGTTCCGGTAGGACTGGAGCAAGTCGGCCAACTGCTCTGAGCACTCCATCTTCACAGGCGATTAGAGCATCGCGCATACACATATACACACGAGCAATTGAAGCCTCACGTACACGCATGGCGTACACGGTCTGATCGTAGGCGGTACAGGCACGAACCATGCGGGCGTGCGTGCGAACAGAGATATGCGTGCGTGCAAATAGAGATATGCGTGCGTGCAAACAGAGATAAGCGCGCGTGCAAATGGTAATACTCTATATATACAAATACGTGGTCCATCTCTCATCAATCATGCAAATCACAGCAAGCCAAGGCGATTCCAATACAAACTCCTGTCGCAATGTCTGACCAAATCAGTGAGGAGGCGCGCCGCGCTGTCAACGAGGCCCTTGCCACGGCCGGCAGCGCCGCCGTGCGCCAGTTAGTCGACACTGCCCATTCGTCCAAGAGCAGGCGCAAAGCAAACAAAAGCAAGAAGATGGAAGAAGAAGGCGTGAAAAAGGAGGAAGTGGGCGAGTCCAAGGTTCGCACCCGCGGAAACTCACAACGCTGATAGCTCCTAAAACATGGGCGGTCGGCTCCCCACACGGGCCTTGCTAAATCCTGGCTCCCCTGCTGCTATCTGTCTCTTTGGTTGGTATTTTGGTCACGTCTTACATTAGATGGTTATTATTCTTTCCACCTCACTTGGACAAGAATAGGTGTGGGCTTTCAGTACAGCTTGGGTAAGGCCCCACTTCAACAATGCATGTCAAAATCATTGTCCCCAACATATAATCTCATGTGTGATGCGTCCGCAAAATACTGTAATACGTAGGCCAAGGTGGGACAATCAATGGCCAATAGCAAGAAAACTGCGAGTCTTGGTTATTGATCATTCTTTCTCAGACGTTTTAGGGGTTCTTGATCTCCTATCTCTCCCCCTCCCACTTCCTATATCTTGTTATACTTAAAACTACTTCGATACTATCTAGGAGATAACGCGTTAACCCAGTTGCTACCTGGAGACTCCAAATAGGCATCCGCGTCCTTTACTTAATGAGAGCTACGTGACCAATAAAAGTTATAGGCGAACATCTGCCTTGTAGCTTCTAGGCAATAATCAGATGACACTGTCGCATTTGCGATGTCGTTTCTCTCTTCCATTGTTTCCTATGTATATGTAAAGATCTAGTCGGATCAGCCTTTGCTATTCTCAAATACAGCTAGGTGGGTGAAGATGCAATCATGGAGCAGAAAATTGAGGCTGTCGGAGCGTGGCCCTCCGCGCGAAACCGCCGTCTGAGCTAGGACATGACGAAACCAACAAGCTTGATACTTGGGCTGCCGAGTACGGCGGTATTCTAAAGAATATTTCGCCAACGGAGCACAAACGCAAGGAATCTCGCGCCTCTCTCTGTAAGCCCCCTTCAATAAGTCTCAGGGTTGGAAGGCTTTAAGAGATTGCCAATTCGAACCACCAGCAACCAGAATTTAATGCTAAGTAGCCAGAGGAAGAAGACGAGTCTCTTTCCCCTACTTCTAACCCTTTAAACGTAAGCCGGACAGCGGCGCCGTGGACGGAATCGCGCCCGGGTGATGGTGGAAAACCAGGACAACGCAGCAATTGGGCCCAGTGACGAAGCCCAATATGGAAACCTGGCCATCTGTGCTCTTCCATCAGGCCTATCCGTACATACGAAAAAACTGCCCTAGCCCCAGTCATTATAGGTAAGGGCGCACCGGCCGACCTAATAAATTCCTCTGACTTATCCGAGACCAGCTTTTGACACAGACCGCGGCCGCGATGCGATTAGGGGCGCTAGTGACCTGGTATTTACGACGAATCTGGAAGGGAGTTCCGCAACAGTGCCCCAGCTGGGTGATGAAATACCACCGTAAATCGGCTCATGTATCGCCACTAGAACTATAAGGCAGCTACTTTTTAGAGCTGGCGTTTTGGACTTACCTTGCGTTATAGATTCTCTTCAAGGTGTCCAAACAGGCTTCTCACGCTCGTGGTAATATGACGAGGTTTTTTCAAGGGCAATTGATTTACGGCGTCTTCATTTGTCACCCAATTGGCCTCGACCTCTGATGGCAAGCACCGAAACGGCCGTCAGCCGACGTATGGCAATCATTCCTCGCAGGTGCTTCGTAATAATACCCTCTACTTTCCTTTAGCTGTGTCTTTGCTTTTCATCTCCCTCTAATCTCGGCTACCCTAATTAATGGCTGGTCGTGCTGGTAACCTGATCTGACGCAATTAGCGACACAAGCCAGAGATCTTTGGGACATTTATCGAAAGGGGGCTGAATGAAACTACAAACTAGAGGATTCTCCGTCAAGGCTAGGTAATACTCGTTCGAGGTGGCAAGTGAGATGAGAAGGAATTTTACTTATGTCTCAGCTGTTGAGAGAGGAATTGGTAACCCAGCGGGCTGTTAAGCAGCATAGCTCACAAACGCTACGATACTAGACACGGCTACCTAGTGCAGTTCGATGAAATGCATCGACTCTCTTGTGCAGCCAGCGACTAGTCCAGCCCATCGCGTGCACTCGTTCCGTCGCTTCGTGTGAATTTCTATAAATAATATTGGCCTTGTTTTCTAAGCGGTTGGCAAGTATATAAAGCGAAGCTCGCTCCATTAGATTCTCTCTTTTAATCTCCATCCAACTCATCCAATCGCATCAGTCCAGTCTACTGTGCCATTCTAGCCACTAAGAGAGGTTTTCAGCGACAGGACGCTTCAATCACCCCATATAACGATCAAGATGAAGTACAGCATGGTAGCCGTCGCCTTCGCGACTCTCGCAACCGCCTTTAACCAGGTTGACGCGACTGGCCAGCATGTCAAGAAGACTGATGACGAATACCGGCCCGGCGGTCCTGGCGGTTTCCGCCCCGGATACCCCCGCATCCCTCCTGGTGGTCAAGCCCCCGGAGCCCCTGGCGGTCATGGCCCGGGCAAGCACCATGAACACCCTGACCACCCAGAGCACCCAGAACACCCAGAGCACCCCGAGCACCCTGAGCACGGCGGTCACGGGCATGGTGGTCACAAACATGGCGGTCACGGACATGGTGGTCACGGTCACGGTCCCGGATTCCCTGGCGGTGAGGGCCCTGGCGGCGACGGTCCCGGAGGCCCAGGACGGCCCGGCAAGCACCACGGACATCACGGTCATGGTGGACACGGACATGGCGGTCACGGTCACGGATCCCCTGGTGGCGACGGTCCTGGCGGCCATGGTCCCGGATACACTGGTGGTGAGGGCCCTGGCGGCGACGGTCCCGGAACTCCGGGCGGCCACGGCGGGCACCATGGAAATGGCGGCCACGGCGAGCACCATGGACATGGCGGCCACGGCGAGCATCATGGACATGGCGGCCATGGCGAGCACCCGGGACACGGCGAGCACCCGGGACACGGCGAGCACCCCGGCCACGGCGAGCACCCCGGCCACGGCGAGCACCCGGGACACGGCGAGCACCCCGGCCACGGCGAGCACCCGGGACACGGCGAGCACCCCGGCCACGGCGAGCACCCGGGACACGGCGAGCACCCGGGACACGGCGAGCACCCGGGACACGGCGAGCACCCCGGACACGGCGAGCACCCGGGACACGGCGAGCACCCCGGACACGGCGAGCACCCCGGACACGGCGAGCACCCCGGACACGGCGAGCACCCGGGCCACCCCGGAAAACCCAAGTACCCTGCACATGGCGAGACTGGTGGCGACCAGGGTGGTGAGGGCTATAAGGAACGCCGCAGTTACTAAAAGTGTTTTCACTGCTATGTCGTTGCGAGTTATTCGTAAGCCCGAGGTGGGATGGATAGCCGGAGCGGGATACGCTTCTTAGTTTTGCAAAGCGCCTTTTAGCAACGTTGTATTGTTATAATAGTTATGGGTTATGTGCTAGATGCTAGGTGAGAAATCAATTGATATCACTCGCTACCTTGAATGGATCGTTATAGATCGAGCAGCCTTTATCGTCGTCGATCGCTTAAATGGATTGATGCTAGTGCCTAGTCTCCCTGTATAGTAAGCAGTCCTGTCTACCCCTAGTCAACTTGCCCCTTGGTTCGATCGCTTCACCCCTCCCGCACGAGGCCTAAAGAGATGTAGATATTGGTGTATGTACTGAACGCCAGTAGCGGGTTGTATTTTAGAGACAGTATGTAATAAAATTAGAAGAAACCGGTAAGGAGCTTTTGCTACCTTTGGACTTGCCCCTTTCATGCCTACTACCCTTCTCTCTTCGCGAGACCTATCTGTCCTTTTACCCTTAAGCAATTAGTAAAAAAAATCAATTAACAAGTCTATAGGAGACCCTCCGGTTACTAAAAATACAAAGCGACAGTCTTACCTATCTATATTTAAATAGGTTATAAACAGGCTTGGAAATCGATCGTACAATCGATTTGATCGAATCGATTAATCGAATCGATTTCGATTTCGATCGATCGATTAGAAGTCCTGCTCGATCGATATCGTATCGATCCAACCTCCAATCGATCGATTTGATCGTCGTTCGCCATGTCCATACAAGGTGTCCAGGGTAGGCTGCGTAGGTTGGATGCGTGACGATGCTGCCGCCCGACGCGTCTGCCAAACACCCTGGCAAACGACCGGGGGTCCCAGGCAGCCAGTCATATCTATCTTGTTGCCGCGCGTCGCGTGTCGACAAAAGTAAATTGATCTCTCCGTCTCTTGCGTTTGCAAGTCCTCCCGTTCAACGGAATCAGTACGCGTCGCAACCAGGAATTATTTCGGGCCTCAGCCTGTCCGAGTAGACTTCATACAGATTCGACCTTATCAGCCTCGCACCCTTCGATTTGACCTCGCCCACATTGTTTACGGACGTTTCCCACCATGGACGCGCTTGATGAGGACATAGAGATCGCCTCCTCCACGCCGCCGCCTTCCGAGCCGACAACCAGTTCAGCATCAACTAAATATGCACCCATGGGGTTTCAGATTATGAAGCTTGGACGACTGATAAATTTGGGCGGTTCCCGGCTTCACGATTTGCCACGACCCTTCTCGAGAACGGACGTGGTGGTGGCAATTCGGATTCAGAATGAAGGACAACAGGTCACGGCCCCACAAGATCGTATGGATCTGCGAGAGATGCTTCCTCCGGGACAGGCCGAAGACAGCACATTACGTCTTCATCGCTTCGACTGGGGGAAGCGTCGTCCGACATCTGAGGAAGGAGCACAAAGTCGTGGTTTGTGCCACCTCTCCGTACCCCATCTCCACGTCGTTCGATCATGCCCGCTAACTTGTCAGCCACCTTCTAGACAACGTGCAGGCTCAGTTACCGGGAGTGGAGGTGCAGAACGGAACCTGCTTGATATGCTTCGCGCCGATCCGACGAATCTCGAGATCAGACTCTTCTCAGCAATCTGCATACGTTATTCGATCCGAAGATGAATCAACTGCTCCTGCTCGACTGGCTTACATATCATAACCTCCTTTAATGTCGTAAACTCTGAGCGCTTCAGACGACTCCTTCTCTACAACAACCCGGCTCTCCAGGAAGGCCAGATACCAACTGGCAAAACGCTTGTGAATCTGCTACTAGATGAGTATAATCGCGCTCTTGGTCCGCTTTGCGAGCTGCTTCAAAGAGCGAGAAGTATGATTCATTTTACCTTTGATGGCTGGACTTCCCGACAAAACACATCATTCCTCGGTATCAACGCCCACTTTATCGACCAAGATTGGAACCAATGGGGAATCCTCTTGGCTTTGCCGGCTCTCGCGAAACGCCATACTGGAGCAGCGCTTGCAGATGAAGTTGCAGATACAATATGCGCGTTTGGTCTTGAAGACAGGTATAGAACCACAGTCAACACTTCTTGGGTCCGTTAGCTGACAATCTTGACTGTTATCCGGCGTCAGAATCGGGTACTACACGCTTGACAACGCTACGAATAATGATACGGCTGTGGAAGCGCTTGCCGCTGAGTTCGATTTCGACAGGGAAGAGCGTCGCATCCGCTGCGCCCTCATTTTCTGAACCTGGCCGTCAGGGCTATGATGTACGGCAGCAAAGGGATAATTTCAACGAGTTGCTTGCTCATTGGGGCGATAAGGACTTTGTGGCTGAAGAGGAAGAGCAGCGCCAGTTGTCCGACGCTATCAATGAGCTGGCGACCGACGACGACTTCTGTGTGCCGAGCATGGAAGAAGGATTCGAGGTTGAAACAGTCCCAGAAGGCAGTCAGGATCAGGACGTACTGCCCGACATCATCAATGGCGAAGAAGTGGACAAGTACCGCAAGTTTGGGCCATTTGGCAAACTTCACAATATTGGCATTGCTCTTCGAACGAGCAGTCAACTTCTCGAGGTCTTTTACGAAGCTCAACGGCAAACCGCTCCTACTGAACCTATTCTTACGTGGGTTCAAAACGTCTGCACTCGCTGGCAATCCGATGAGGCGATGGCCTCACGCGCTCTGCTGAAGCGTACGGCTTTGAACAGGATGTTTTCCATCATCGAGGAACGATGGCTTGGCAAAGGCGGCAAAGAACAGGACAAACCAGCGATACTGAAAGAACAACTTTCCCTTGAAGAATGGAAGGTCGTTGTTGCGGTTCAGAAGATCCTTCAGCCATTCAAGATCGCCTCGAAGCAACTCCAGGGCGAGGGTATTGCTGGTAAACGCTCCACGTCAGGAGGGTTCGATGAGTACTTCCGGTGGTAGAGATGCTCTTGACCACCTCGAACTAGCAGTTCAGGAGTTATAATCGAAGAGAACGAAGATCAGACCATGAAAGAGGTTCACCTGTTCAATGACATGGACGCAAGAACTCGCAGGGTTTTGAAGATTTACATCAAGCTCGGATGGAAGAAGCTGAACGACTACTATAGCAAGCTGACCTCAACCGCATATGTAGCGGCAGTGGTGTTCCACCCCTGCAAGAAGTGGCGCGCTCTGGAACGGCTTTGGAGCCAACTCCCGTCTCGTCAGACGTCGGAGTGGGAAAGAACATATGCGAGAAGCTTAGCGACAGTCTGGAAAGAGAGGTACAAGAACATGGCTCATCGGCAATCCTGCGATGGTGTTTCAGCGGATACGACTAATAGTGGCCTTGACTATATTGAGCGTCGATTGGCGTTTAGTCGATCATTGGCTTGCCCTGAGCCTCGAGGGCGGCAAATTAAAGGACCAAAGCAGTCAACCGCCTTGCAAGAACAGGACGAGCTTGATCAGTACCTATCAGAGCCGCCGGTGGAAAATATCGCATACAAAACGGACCCAATCGCTTGGTGGAAGGACGTTGGTGTTGCGCGGTTTCCTCGGCTGTCTTATATGGCTGTTGACTACCTTACCATCGCGTCGTCTTCAGCAGGAACGGAAAGAGATTTTAGCAGCTGTGGGAGGATGATAACACCACTGAGATCTCGCCTACGACGCCATATTGTGGCGATGGCGCAGTGTCTTCGTTCCTGGAGTAAAGCTGGCATCTATCAGCCGACACTTCCTCTTGGTCTGCTTGAAGGGGACAATTGGAGGCAAGTTCTTCAACTGATGGGCAAGATCACCCTAGATAGGGATGATTTTTAGTATTGATCGATTCGATCGTCGATCGATTCGAATCAAACAGCGATCGATCGATATCGATCGATTGAAGGTGACGATCGATAAAATTCGATCGATCAGGCTCGAAAATCGATCTATAAGATCGATTTCCAACTCTGGTTATAAAGCTTCTATTAGCAAAAAGTCCCTCAAAACGGAAAACAACTACACCTAGCTCAGTCGCCAGCGAGAAATAGTAAGCACAAGGAACTAGGGTGAAAGGAGAGCTGTAGTCAGGATAGGTATTACGGCTTAAGTCAGCGCATCCAAGACCGTTGGAGGGAATATTGCTAGCTCTGCTCTTGCTGCTGGTGACTTTGGTGAACAAGTCGACACTCAGGGCAGCATCTGCTGGCACGGAGAAAGCCTGCTTGAATTTTGGAGGCACAATAAAGCGCATAAAGCTCCCGATCTTAGTTGTATTCATCCCCAGCTGGCACGCTTTTCATAACGCTGGCTGAGTTCTATTTCCTGAGATCAATGCGAGCAGCCGTGACAGTATTCGGGCCGTCCCTTCTAAGCGTATTGTCATGGATGGTCTAAATGGTACCATTTTTGCTTCAGCGAAGGGCTTGTCACGGGCTGTGCCCGGCTGGTGGACCCGGTTGTACCGGGTCCGGTGGGTCGTGCTCCGGTGGCAACACCGGCCCCGCTCCGCGGACCCAGAAGCTGCGAGAACATTCCGAGAAGGGCAATATAAGCTCGCACTCGAGGCTACGCCTCGAGTTCAGCTTCTTTCCTCCTTAGCTCTAGATAGACAACATCTAGGCACCTGCTTGTTGAATAAACTCCGGGCCAGCCTTTCACATATCTAGAGCTCCTTCTAAATACCGCAAGCTGCAGACTGCTCGTCAGGATGGACCAGCAGAGTGAGAGCCCAAGTCTCCAGCAGCAATGGATTGACCAACGCATTCAAGAAGCGGTCAATGCGACTCTCAGCCCTCTACAGGACCAACTTTCCTTGCTGATGGAGCAACTCGGGCGAGCGCAGCCGCAGAGCGCCGACTTGCAATCGCCGCCAGTGGCACGAGGATTGGGCGAGAGCACGCCTGGCTTGGGCACGCCCTCCCAAAACCTGCGGTACTGGAATGCGGAAACCGTTGCCCAACCCACCCAAGTATGACGGCTCACGGAAGAGCTACTCCTCCTGGGCCAGGCAGATGCGAGACAAGCTGGACCTTGATGCACACTACTACAGTGGAAATCGCGAACTTTGGTACCTCATCAACTCATGTTTGGACGAGCGACCACAGCAAGTGGTCGCTACCTTTACGCCGCGGGAGGCCCTGGGGTAGCTACGACCCCAAGAGTTCATGCGATACCTCGACCGAACCTACCAGGACAGCAACATCCAATCCCGCGCTGCTGCCACGCTGAGAACTATGCGGCAGCGCGAAGACCAACCTCTCGCGTCCTTCCTTCCCGATTCGAACAGGCATTAGCTGAAGCCGGGGAGCAGACTGGCCGGACAGTGCAAAGATCGTATTTCTAGAGAACGCAATAAATGCACGCCTCCAAGAGAGTTTGGTCACAGCCGTCCTACCCGACGACTACCAGGGATGGCTTGCGAGAGTTCAGGAAATTGCGGGCAGATTGAGAGACTGAAACCCGGTAGGCAGCCGACGTCGACTGAGCGGACGCCTCAACAGCTACCAAGGCAACGACCCAAGGAGGAACCGGAGGACCCCGACGGAGATGTTAAGATGACGGACATCAACCGTATTGGCCACGAGTCGAAGGGTCGTCGACATGTCGATAAGAAGCCGAAGGATGAGCGCCGCTGCTATCGCTGTGGTCGGACGGATCATCTTATCGTGGACTGCCCAGCCCAGGTGGTCTTTCCTGGCGAAGGGAAGCAACAGCGACCTAAAGCTGCGCGCATGAAGAAGCCCGATGCCGCAGATGATTCGGAATCAACCGCAGCATCCAGTGAGGACGAGTCGGCGGAAAAGACTAGCCCCGGGCGAAAGCGGGCGCCGGGGCCTGCAAAGGCAGACATCCGGGACTGGGAAGCGTTCAAGCCACGAATGAATAGTCGGACTGTATTAGTCAACGCGCGGGTAAACCGAGGCTATCGAATACGCGCCCTTGTCGACTGTGGATGTGACTGCTATGCCGTGATCGACGAAGCCCTTGTTCGGAAGCTGCGGATACCCTTCGTCGACTCGAAACCACGAGAAATTGGGGGATTCTCAGAGTCAGCGAAGAGTGTCATATCCCCAGGGTTCGTGGCTGTTGTGGTCGAGACAGCTGGATTTGACGAACGTGTCTTTGCATACGTGATCCCAAGCCTGGGCCAGGACATGTTCCTCGGCCGGCCTTGGATGGAGAGAAATCACGTCGTGTACGATGCTGCCAAGCAGCGAATGTACCATGGGAGGGCAGGTGTGACGATACGCCTCATTGGGCAGGAAGAGCCCGCCAAGATACGCGCGATTCGAAGCGCAAGACTCGTGTCGGCAGCCGTATTCACGGCGGAGTGTCGACGCGCAAAGAGACGCAAGAAGTGCAACGCGATCTCGATTCATGCAATCAGTTTGTCGGATATAGAGAGGGCGCTTCAGCCGAAGCCGCCAGTCGATCCGAGCGAGAAGGTCCCGGCAGAAGTGCTGAAAGAATTCCGCGACCTATTCTCACCAGGAGAGGCAATGAAGCTGCCGCCACATCGACCGGTGTGGATCATGAAGTCAACCTGCAGCCTGACAAGAACGGCAACGAGCCACCCCTTCCGTGGGGCCCACTCTACAACATGTCACGAGAAGAGCTGTTGGTCTTGCGAAAGACCCTGAAAGACCTGCTGGACAGAGGATTCATCCGAGCGAGTAGCTCAGCGGCTGCCGCGCCGGTGCTGTTCGTGCGGAAGCCGAATGGAGGGCTGCGATTTTGTTGCGACTACCGAGCGCTGAATGCAATCACCAAGCGCGACCGATACCCACTGCCCTCATCGCGGAGACCCTGCAGAATCTGGCCAAGGCTAAGTGGTTCACCAAGTTGGACGTGGTGGCCGCTTTCCATAAGATCCGCATGGCTCCGGGACATGAGGGAAAGACTGCATTTCGCACGAGGTTTGGGCTCTACGAGTGGCTCGTGTGCCCTTTCGGCCTGAGCGGCGCCCCGGCATCATTCCAACGATACATGAACAGTGTATTGCGCGAATGGCTGGACGACTTTGTCACAGCGTACCTGGATGATGTACTGATCTACTCGAGCGGTTCGAAGGCGGATCATGAGGCTAAGGTGCGACGAGTTCTCCAAGCACTCGCCGACGCTGGGCTGCACCTAGACCCAGCGAAGTGCGAGTTTTCGGTACAAGAGGTCAAATACCTTGGGTTCATCGTCAACGCAGGAAAGGAATCGCCTGCGACCCCGAAAGCAGCGCGCCATCCGCGAATGGGAGGCCCTGACCACGGTGAAGGGTGTCAGAAGCTTTCTGGGCTTCGCCAACTATTACCGGATCTTCATCCCCGACTATGCCAAGATCACGCAGTCTCTGGATGCCCTGCTTAAGAAAGGAACTGCCTTTCATTGGGGACGAGCGGAGAACGAGGCGTTTCAGGAGCTGAAGCGACGATTTTGCGAGTCACCGGTGCTCAAGCAGTGGGACCCGAGCCTCCTGACCTTTTGGAGACGGATTGCTCAGGCTACGCATTGGGAGGCGTCCTGTCGCAGGAAGGCCCAGATGGACGTCGACACGCATGCGCCTTCTTCTCGAAGCGACTTTCGCCAGCGGAGTACAACTATCCCATTCACGACAAGGAGATGCTTGCCATCATGAGATGTCTCGACAACTGGAACGCCGAACTTAGGAGCTGCGGCCCATTTACAATCCTTACCGATCACCGCAACCTGGAGTATTTCATGACACGCCAGAAGCTCACGGAACGGCAGAGCCGTTGGGCAGCCGAATTGTCCCAGTTCGACTTCAAGCTCGAGTATCGACCGGGAAGCGAGGCTGTCGTGCCTGATGCGTTGTCCCGCCGTGAACAAGACAAGCCACAGGGCATTGACGACGAGCGGGAACAAGGAAGAATGATACAGTTGATACCGGATAGTGCCATTCCATCATCGACAAGAGCATGTATCAACGCGATGAGTTCTGACTGTTCAGAGGCATCCACCCTGCCGAAGATGAAGGTCTTCGAGGTAGCGGACCTGCAGCAACTCTGGGACGAAACGGTGGCGAAGGACTCGATATTCCGGGCAGCCTATAAGGCAGTCCGCGATCGCGAGCGTGCCTTCCCGCCCTCGCTGGGCCTGAAGATCCAGATTTCAGAATGTGCGATCGACGCAGGCAAAAGGCTGACATTCAGAGACCGTATTTGGGTGCCGGGTGGATCCGGAGAGGAGGGTAACCAGGAGGAAGCTGAGAAAGACCAGTTGAGAACCCGCATTGTGCAGCAGTCGCATGACTCTGTTGCGACCGGTCATCCCGGCAAGGAAGGTACGCTGGCTATTGTGGCTCGGCGATTCTACTGGCCTGGGCAGTCCCAGCTGGTTCGCCGGTACGTAGCCAATTGCGACACCTGCGGCAGAGCACACATCTGGCGCCAGTCGAAAGGGGATTTTCAAGCCTCTGCCGATTCCAGATCGACCCCGAAGCCATTTGTCCATGGACTTCATCACAGATCTGCCGCCTACTGGACCGAGCAAGGCAAGGTACCTGTGGGTGATTGTGGACAGACTGACAAAGGCTGTGACCTCGAGGTGATGGACAACATGGAAGCTGAGCCGTGTGCAAACCGTTTTCCAGTGTCATTACCGATTTCACGGAATGCCACGGTCCATCGTCAGCGACCGCGGAGCAACTGGCTAAGTAGGTTCTGGAAGAGGTTCTGCCGTCTTGCAGGTGTCACGCAGAAATTGAGCACGGCCTATCATCCTCAGACGGACGGAGGGCCAGAGAGAATGAACCAGGAGATCGAGGCCTACCTGAGAGCCTACGTGTCGTACGTGCAGGACGACTGGGAGAACTGCCCTGCCGCGCAGCTGGCACTCAACAATCGTGAATCCGCAGCGACCAAGATCAGCCCTTTTTCGCTGAGCATGGTTACCACGTCGATCCCATCAGCGTCGAGGAATCGGAAGAGCCACCGAGGCATAGAGAGGAAAGCAGAGCTGATAGCCTACTCAGTCGCCTGCAGGAGGTCAATGAGTACATGCAAGCAGTGATGGCCTCCTCACAGCAACAACAAGAAGAGGCTGCCAACGCAAAGCGACAGCCTGCGGAGCGATTTGAAGTTGGTGACAAGGTGTGGCTCTCGATGGCAAACTACAGATCGCCACGACCGTGCAAGAAGCTCGACTGGCTGCATCACAAGTACACAGTCACGAAGGTAATTAGTTCGCACGTTGTTGAGCTCGATGTTCGTGGCTCAATTTACCCGCGATTTCATGTTGACCTTTGCGGCGGGCGCATCAAGATCCGGCTCCTGGCCAAAGGTAGATGACGCACAGCCACCACCGGTACAAGATGAGTCCGGCACGGATCTGTGGATGTCGACGAGATCCTCTGCGCGAGATGGAAGAAGCGCGGACGAGGGGAATTCAGGCAAGCACTAGTGCGATGGACGGGCTACGCAGAGCCGACTTGGGAGCCAGTTGAGTGGTTGCAAGGAACAATTGCGATGAAGGCATTCGAGGACAAGTACGGGCCAATCAAGACCAATGATGGCCCTAGGAGAGGTACGAGACGCTGGCAGGAACGCAAGAACCCCGCAGACGCCGACCTGGTCGGAGGGGACAAGGGGGTAATGTCACGGGCTGTGCCCGGCTGGTGGACCCGGTTGTACCGGGTCCGGTGGGTCGTGCTCCGGTGGCAACACCGGCCGCCCGCGGACCCAGAAGCTGCGAGAACATTCCGAGAAGGGCAATATAAGCTCGCACTCGAGGCTACGCCTCGAGTTCAGCTTCTTTTCCTCCTTAGCTCTAGATAGACAACATCTAGGCACCTGCTTGTTGAATAAACTCCGGGCCAGCCTTTCACAGGGCTGTTCAGTTTGGTGGAGGAGTTGAAGGATAAGGTGGCTTTCTTTCACCTCATTTGCTCCTTTATGATTCCACGGGCTAAGGGTAGAAAAGAGAAAACGATGAGTGAGAAGCCGGCTATTTAAGCTTAAGATAGTAGCGAAGTGTCAGGACAAGAAAGGGCCTATAATACGCGTTAGTAACACCTCTATTGGGGGTGCCCTCATTTGCATAGTGTAGCGGGTATTTTACTAGCTTGACACGAAGCTACTTCTACCACAATGATGAAAGTAAAGTGGAGGTCACGGGACTGAGCACGGGACTGGTCTCGTGCAGAAGCGTTCAAGACTCGAGAGGCACAGAGAGTTGATTATCAAATCACCCCGAAAAGAGCCACGTCATCAGGATTCAGGAGCTTCTTCGTAGTAAACGCACAGTTTGGCGCACCCGCTCGAGTCCTCGACCCTCGTGCTATTGTCCCATGAGGGAGGCCGCAGAACCGCTATTCTGACGGAATGCCGGAACCGGAGGCGCAATTCCCTCTGGCCCCCCCCGAGTCCTTGGCCTGACAGGGTTCCTATTCGCCAGAGCCTGGCAGGTGAGACAGCAAGATGGTGCTCTGTCTCGGGGGGGGGAAACAGCACAAGAGACCCCCGAGACAGGAATGAAAGCGGGCTGGCTGACAAGGGCCAGAAGGACCAAGGCCAGTAAAGGGTGCGCGCGCGACGTGACAGCCGTGGCATGTGCCCGTTTCCGTGGCTTGCGCCCAGCTGACCTCGCGTCGGCCGACGCCCCTCAGAATAATCATGCCCCTGCTTTCGGCCGTAAGGACTGGGAACGGCCCCCATGCGAGCCCCTGTAGAGTCACCTGCCCTCGCTGTTGTGCTGTATTGACCCTGAGCATATATAACAGGCGGGACGTGGATTTTCTTACCGGGCCGTGCAGGCTGCTATTCCTCGTTGACTCCACGACCCCAGGCTTGCGATTTCGCCTGTATCTTTCCCTGGACAAGGCTCTCTTGGGGCGAAGAGACAGAGACACTTGAATCGCAACAAGAAGCAATGGGCCTGGCCATGGCTCCGGCCGCCGTCCTTGCCCTTGCGGTGCGTGTCTGCGCCGCCGCCGCCGCCCTCGCAAATCCCGTCTTCAGCCAGGGCATCGAGACGCGGGCCGAACTCCGCTCGCCGGGGTACTACCCGGCGCCGTACGGCGGATGGGCCGACGACTGGGTTGAGAGCTATGCCAAGGCGCGCAAGCTGGTCGACGCCATGACGCTGGCCGAGAAGACCAACATTACCAGTGGCACAGGCATATTCATGGGTGCGTTCTTACCTTGCCAAACAGATGGCGTCTATTCGTGCTTCAAGTTGTACAAGAACTTATATCTTGTATAAGCCATCAGGCTCTCCCCCCCCCCCCAAATTATCCCTTTGGTTGATTGCTCACCACATGGCACATCTCACTCACTGCAGAGCTCCTCCGCTGACTGTTGAATTTCTCAGGGTAAGTGTATTCTTAAGACGTCGTCATCGGGAAATTCCTCTCGTCCGCCCAATCCCCGTACACGCCTGCTCTTCGCCCTTTTGCCACACGTATTGAAGCCAGCCGTCGACGTTCTTAACGTAACACATCACCAGTCGATGCACCGGCAACACGGGCTCAGTCCCCCGCCTCGGCTTCCCGCAGCTGTGCCTCAACGACGGGCAAAACGGCGTGCGCCAGGCCGACCACGTCACCGTTTTCCCCGATGCCATCACCGCCGGCGCCACCTTTGACAAGCAGCTCCTGCGCCGGCGCGCCGAGGCCATCGGCGACGAGGCCCGCACCAAGGGCGTCAATGTCTGGCTCGGCCCCACGGTCGGCCCCATGGGCCGTAAGCCAAAGGGTGGCCGCAACTGGGAGGGCTTCGGCGCCGATCCCGTCCTGCAGGCCGTCGGCGCCCGCGAGACGATCCGCGGCGTGCAGTCGCGCGGCGTTATTGCCACGATCAAGCATTTCATAGGAAATGAGCAGGAGATGTATCGCATGTACAATCCTATTCAGCGTGCCTATAGCTCCAACATTGGCAAGTCTTGCTTTTCTCTCTGCTTGATGTCTGCCCTGTCGAGGACCAGGCAAATGTACATATACACATGCTGCAACCGGCTGCTAATACCAGTGGACCTTTTGTTTCAAAACTGAAATAGACGACAGAGTCTTGCACGAGCTCTACATGTGGCCCTTTGCCGAGGGCATACGAGCCGGAGTCGGCTCCGTCATGATGGCATACAACGCGGTAACGTGCCCCAACCCCTGGCCCACCCCGGAGGACGATGGATTTGCCGTAGTCCAAGAAAGAATCCACGGCGGAATCCTCCATGGCCCTAATGCCACCGTGGGCCCTGGATATCTCAAAATACCCCTTCTTCTCAGGGGGCTGACAGTTCTCCACACAGGTCAACGGCTCGGCGTCCAGCCAAAATGCGCTCCTCATCAACGGCCTTGTCAAGGATGAGCTCGGCCTACAAGGCTTCGTCATGACCGACTGGCTCGGACACATGTCGGGCGTGGCTTCGGCCCTGGCCGGCCTCGACATGGACATGCCCGGCGACACGCAGGTGCCGCTGGTGGGCGCCTCGTACTGGATGGGCGAGCTGACGCGCGCCGTCCTGAACGGGTCCGTGCCCGTGGACCGGCTCAACGACATGGCAACGCGCATCGTGGCCGCGTGGTACCGCATGGGCCAGGACCAGCCGAGCCGCTTCCCGGCTACGAACTTTGACACCAACACGCGCCACCGAGAGGGCCTCTTGTATCCCGGAGCTTGGCCTGACTCGCCCATCGGCGTGGTCAATCACTTTGTCCCCGCCCAGGCCGACCACGACGTGGTTGCCCGAAACGTCGCCCGCGATGCCATCACCCTGCTCAAGAATGAGGGCGGACTGCTGCCCTTGTCCCCCGTGGCCCAGGCCTTGCGCGTCTTCGGCACCGGCGCCCAGGCCAACCCGGACGGCCCCAACGCCTGTGCGGACCGCAACTGTAACAAGGGCACTCTCGGCCAGGGCTGGGGTTCCGGCACCGTCGACTACATGTATCTCGACGACCCCATCTCGGCCCTCCGGTCCCGGGCGCGCAACGTCGTCTTCCACAACTCGGATTTGTTCCCGCCGGTCGTCGACGAGCCCGGCAAGGACGACGTCGCCATTGTCTTCGTCACCTCCGACGCCGGCGAGAACACGTACATTGTCGAAGGAAACCACGGCGACCGCGATGCCTCGGGCCTCTACGTGTGGCACGGCGGGGACCGGCTCGTGCAAGAGGCCGCCAAGCGGTACAACAACGTCGTTGTCGTCATCCACACCGTCGGACCCGTGCTGCTCGAGCGATGGGTCGATCTGCCCTCAGTCAAGTCGGTCCTCATCGCTCACCTGCCGGGCCAAGAAGCTGGCCGCTCGCTGACCGACGTCCTCTTCGGCGACGTCTCGCCCAGCGGCCATCTCCCGTACTCCATCACTCGCCGCGAGGAGGACCTGCCGTGGAGCGTCACCGACCTCGTCGGCTGGGCCGGCCTGAAGCAGCCCCAGGATCCGTACTCGGAGGGCCTCTATATCGACTACCGCTACCTCAATAAGAAGGGCATCAAGTCGCGCTACGCCTTTGGCCACGGCCTGAGCTACACCTCGTTTGCTTATACCAATGCCACTATCGCCATAGTGACGCCGCTCACGCCGACGCCGCCGCCAAGGGCTCCGAAGCGCGGCATCCTTGACTACTCGCAGTCCATGCCCGCGCCCGCCGAGGCCGTCCAGCCGTCTGGCTTCCATACGCACTGGCGCTACCTCTACTCGTGGCTCAGCAACTCGGCGGCCGAGTCGGCCGTCCGTGACGCCGCCACTCGCAAGTACCCGTACCCGGACGGCTACTCGACCGAGCAACGACCTGGGCCCCGCGCCGGCGGCGGCCAAGGCGGCAACCCGGCGCTCTGGGACGTGGCATACAAGCTGTCCGTCCGCGTCACCAACATTGGCACTCGCCGATCCGGCAAGGCCTCGGTGCAAGCGTACCTGCAGTTCCCGGACAAGACGGGCTACGAGATGCCCGTGATCCAGCTGCGCGACTTTGAGAAGACCAAGCAGCTCGCGCCGGGGGAGAGCACGACGGTTGAGCTGAGCCTCACGCGCAAGGACGTGAGCGTCTGGGACGTACGATTGCAGGACTGGGTGGTGCCGGCTGTCGACGGCGCGTACAGGGTGTGGCTGGGAGCCGCGAGCGATGACTTGACGACCGTGTGCCGCGTTGACGGGTTGGTGTGCAATGACGGTGTCAAAGGGCCCGTGTGATTCATTGAACACTGAAGTCAGGGGATGGAGTGATTGCGGAAGGAGTTGCACTGTACGGGTATATATTTGACGAGCGTAAATATCAGGAAACCCATATCATAGCTGGAGAGGTCTTCTGGTCCGAGGCCGGACTTGGTGTTTCACATGGCGATTTGTTCCAGGAGCAGACCAGGGCCGATGATGAATGAGATTCGTCCTGGCCGCCCGGTTTGACAGTAGTGTACAAGATATAGCATGATCGCCAAAGAGCCGGGCATTGTGGCCAGCCGTGGCTCAACGCGCACTCGCCTGTGACGGCAAAACTCGTGATTTCGAAGCTCGCCCCGCTTGCTCCTTTCATCAAAGCCGCTCCGCGACAAGAGCAGCGTACAGCCTCTCCTACCACCCGAGCTGGCGGCGGCCCTTCAACTTCCTCCTCAGCAAGATCCTACGCCCCGTCTTGGAGCGCATGCGGTGGAGAAAGCCGTGCCGCCGCTTCTGGATGAGGCGCGTGTGGCCATTCATGGTGTTGCGCGGGCCGAAGCGCAGCTGCAGGCCGCTCAAGGCCGGGTGCGACGAGACGGCGCTCGAGGGAACGATGTCGGAGGGAGCGGCGGCGGCGGCGGCAGGCGTAGGCGCGAAGCCGGTGTTGGCGAGGACAAAGGGGCTGGTGCCGGCGCGTTGGCGGAAGGGAGAGAGGGCCGGGCGGAGAGGCGAAAGAGTGGAAAAGGTCCTTGGTGAATGGTTAGCGATTGCGTCCATTTGAAAGACTGCAGGGGGGCCAGCGCCGGAGTCTGTACCTCGAGGGGGAGGAGAGCGGCTTGCTGAGGAGCGGCCTGGCAAGGCGCGTAGTGAGGAGCTGCATCTTAAGAGATGGAAAACAGCCAGCTGGCTGTCGACGGCGAGGGAGACGAGGAGAGGCCCGCTTCGTGTCGGCGGCGTTGGTGGATGGTGGATGGAGGAGGTTGAGGTGAAGCCGCGCCCCAAATTTTGCCGCCAATTGCCCGGCTGGCCCCACCTGACGATATAGTGGATCCATCTACAAGTGTCGAAGGAACCCCTGAAACTAAGTTACTCTGATAGCAGATATTCTTGGTTTTTGCATAACGATGGATATCTGAAATACTGCTTAATGCCTAGATGGTTGTAGAATGTCTGCCGAGTTACCAAAATCCCAATCTAAAACACGTTTGCATACATTAACTACTACCTCGGAGTCAAGTTAACAATCTGTGTATATCTATAGTTGGAACTTTTGCCCATTGGATAGCAGTGAAGCTTTGAATCTCATGTAACGCCTACGAGCCATGCTTCGGCCCGCAATTCCTTAGCGGGTTGCAGGGCCTGGTACAGGTGCCTCTCGTATCACATTGAGGTCGGGCTTGCCTCTGCCACCAATTTTGAGAAACACTCTCGACGGCACTCTGGGCACGAGTTTATCAACAGCGGAAGGGAAGTCCCGGTGACAACGACGGAGAGGATCAAGTACGGTGAGACAGCACGGGCACGGGCAGCCAATGTGAAGCAGGAAGGGAGGCCTATCAGGAGGCGGCTGGCGGGGCCTGAACGGTTCCGGCCGTGGCCCCGCGCTCAGGCATGGATGGATGCGAGGCGGCGATCTGTTCTTTTTGCCTCTAGCGGCGACGGAATCTTTGGGTCGACATGACCGAGACGACAGATCATTTTGGTTGCTAGAGCTTCACAATACCACGGCATCACCAGAGCAACAGTCAAAGGGGTTCGAGTGGGTACCGACAACCTTCTCACTCGAGCCTCGCTGGACCACCGAAATCGACTCCGAGTCGATCAAGAGGGTCATCGAGGCCACCTCAGCGACACGCTGTATCCAGTTGAATTCTTGGCTCAAGGAGCGCTCAACAAAATCTACACAGTCCGCAAAGGTGGCAGAACTCTTATCATGCGGGTGTCGCTGCCGGTTAACCCGAAGTGGAAGATAGCTAGTGAAGTTGCCACCATAGAATAGATTTACCAGAACACCGCTCTTCCGGTACCAAGGGTCCTTGACTATTAAAGAAATCAAGATAATGGTCTTAGGTTCGAGTGGATTCTTATAACGAAGATGCCGGGCACAATATTGTCTAAGGCCTAGAGATCAATCGACATAGAGGCAAAATAGAAAATCGTCGACTACCTCGAACTATATGCGCCCGCTTTGTCCAAGAACTAACTACGTAGCATTAGCAATATCTTCTTAGATCCTAGTAATAAGTCTTATAGTAAGCCTAAGTTTACTATAGTAAGAAGGATTATTTCGATGCATTTTTAGGGGGGGGCCGCTTATAATAAAGCGTTCTACGAGGGCTATTTCGATTAAGCGAAGACTAGATCGCAACGTGGTTATCTCTTAACGAGCACGAATGCAAAACGATATTAGCCAATACGCAAGACGAGGACGACCTTAAGGATGCGCAGAGGATACTAGAAATCATCTAAAGGCTCTAAAGTATCCTCGATAATATCTTTCCCGAAAGCAGCGCGTACCTCGAGCCTTTAATGCTCTATTATAACGACTTATCTTAGCATAATATTCTGGTAGACGAAAGCGGTACGTTAACTGGGGTTTTAGATTAGGAATACGTGTTAGCGGTTCCCTTATAGAAAGCGTGCTCTTATCCTTCGTTCTTAGTCGGTCTAAATCGGACTATGGTGCCCGATCGGGGGAGGTATCGATATAATGATATTAGCGATCCTAGAAGTCTGTATTAGGAGTATCTGATAGAGCATGAGCTGACTCTATTGCGCTGGTATTTTTTTGGAAGATTGCGACGTCTTTAGCCGCAGTAGGTTAAAATATTTAAACTAAGCCGTTTGCAAAAAGATTTCGACTTCGCGGTCGATAGTTGCGATGGCGAGTTCGTAGCACCGCGCATTAATAGGTAGATCAACGCGATAGTTGCAGGAGAGAAGGTGACGACTAGTTTATACGACCAAATATATGCATTTTAAATTTAGACTCGGAATAGATAAACTGGCTTGCCATTGAACCTCTTATACCAATGACAATAGATTGTGACTTAAGGCATGATAACGTCGGCGAAGAGCGCCGAAAGCTTTGACCCGCTACTCTCGACAGCATAAGAGATAGATATTTTACAAACCAAAGTCGAATTCGGAAGCCTCTTTCGATGCATTCCGGAGACAGTAGTGTGAAGGTATGGTCAGGGTGGTTTTCCATACATGGAAAGGCCTGCAATCGATAATCGGTATCGGCCCCACATTTATTGCAAGTATTGCAATACACCTTTCCATACTTGGTCCGTGCACGACGACAAAATGTCACTGAAGACACCTTCGACAAGATGGACAAATTCACACCATATGGTGAATTAAAAATACGAAGTAATTGATTGAGCTCAATGATAATGTCCAAAAAGAGAGGGTAGGCAAATCTTACGTGTTTTGTTCCAAGACGAGGAGGGAAATCAGACGGGGAATTTGCACGAATTCTCACGCCACGGTCACGCCACCGCCCCTTCCCTCTTCAAGACATTGTTCTTCACCCAATGCTTCAACCAATTCTCCCTTTTCAATTTGGTCCGCATCCAATTGTGCCCTTTCCCAGGAGATCGTACGACGAGCCCCTGAAAACACCTGTTCCGGCTCGTCGCTCATCGCTGGCATTGATAGGATGTCTATTGCCATTCGTGATAACTTCGGCCGTCGGTTCCTATGTCGCTCTTGAAGCCACCATGATAAAGCAGTTGTTGGCGCAATCTCATATGGATCACCTGAGATGTAATCTTCATACTCGTCTTGACTTGTAGGTCGAGCACAATTCTGCAGATTTCTTGAAATACGATCAAATGCATCAAGGCCATTGTCTTCTTCTTCGTCCAGTACATGATACGAAATTGTACCGTCGTTTGTATTTCGGTAAGAGTAGCAAAGGTCTTTGACCCGTTTGAAAGCAGTTTTATGCCACTTCTTCTAATTTGAGTGGATGTACGTCGTGCGATAGCTTGGATGAAGGACCAAAGAAGCGGCGTAATAGGGCGAATTCTCTTTATTGATAATTTCTTGGTCAAGGTAGCCTTTGAAGACACGGCCCAGATCCCACGCTTGCCCGTAGAGTTGATCAAATCCTTCGATGATGGACGGTTGAAGAGGAGATAAATTCTCTGCGACGTTGATGACATACTTTCTTGCCCTCAGGGTGTTTTCGAAAGCTGGCTGTGACAGAAGTACTGTAGGGATCATTCTGGGGACAATAAAGATAATATATGAGGCGGTTCCTGCCTTTGAACTCCGCTTCCCCTAACCCTTTTACTACCGGTACATTACTGCCAGATGAGCATGTTTTCATGATCCAAAAGCAGGTTTTCTCTTGTCTTGGGAGATATAGACGCGAATGAATCCGAAGCAATGGATTCAGAATCGAAGAAACATAACTAACACAGGCTCAGAATCCATTGTCGCCAGGTGATAATGGTATGCTGTGGGTTGGTGGTGAGGCTGATTTTGTGGATGTGCGGATTTGTAGCGGGGGTTCCAGGCCCACAGCCCCTGTAGGTAGCCCCCTGTAGGAACCCTTGTTAGTGGCGTGGTTCAGCCAATAGTATGGAAATACATGGATCCATATCCATACCTATTCCATGCCATTCATGGAAAGGGTATTTCCATATTTAGATATGGAAAACCACCCTGGGTATGGTAGCTATAACGTTACATCCCGTTTCCGTATAAGAGGCAGTTCACCTCGTAACACCATTCCCCCCCCCTTAACGTTTCGTTAGCGCACCTATTTACAGAGGGTCGTCCTGCAGGGGAGGGATATTGCAAGAGTTGCTCAGTTATTGACTAACTCTTGCTAGCTTATTACTTCCCGCGCTTATTTCTCAGTCTAAGGTTCACGTCAGGCATTAAAACGTGCGTCAAGGTGGCATTATATGAATTGCTGGTACCCTGAAATATAGTAGCCGGAGTTAGGTGCAGTCTCAAACCTGCTGCGAGCTGAAATGGCTCCAGACCAGAACGCGGAGAGAGCTTCGGAACTGACCTCGTGGATGACTGACGCTGTTACTGTGACCTTGGGGTTACCTCTTTCGACGGTTTCCGAGCCAAGCCGTTTGCTGCCGGAGATCCGGGTCGGTCCCACCCGGCTTCCAACTACATGTAATTATGCCGGGGAACGGAAGGCCAGAACTCGGCAACGAGCGAATTTGCCTACCTATTGAAAGGTGCAACGTCCGAGCCCGATGACAGAGCACAAGCAGGCGACAAGTCTGCAGGCCAAGTAACAGTCGACTACTTAGAAGAACTTTTATCTATACCGGCTCCCGGATGCCGCTAGTAACCAATATAGCCAGGAAAAGGGTGATGCTCTCAGGCCATATAAGATAATAGTAAACTTCAAAAAGCCTATTATTACTTCTACCGTCGACGCAGAAGTTTGGGTTAAGCGCTACCGAGTGTCCCTTGATGGGAAGGAATTAGGTCTAACCAGGGAAGAAGATGACTTCTCCGACGATACGAATGACGACCCAACGTATTACCCCAGACGCAGATTCTCCCGCAGATTCTTGCTGAACCTGGCAGGTGAGTTTGACCTCAAGCTGCGACAAAGCATAAGAACGAGGTACTGATATGATGAGCAAAGGTGAACATAAGCTTAGAATTAAGTGGCCTTAAGGATGGGGCACGTACAAGCAAAAAGATGGAGGGTGGTGGGGCTTTGGTTATGGTGCAATTCTCTTTGATGATCTTTGTGATGATGATTGCCGACAAGGCGGTGCCCAGGATTATGAGGAACATCTAACCCTTCCTCTACGTACAGTTAACAGACCAAGCTGCACTCTCTAGTTACCGTCGCCTCGTGGCATTGAGTTGGAACTTTTGGCCCAAGCCTTCTCTCCAGCGCCTTTCGCGAGCAATCATCTACCTACCGTAAATGGAGCCAAATGGCGCGTCAGTATCTAGGCAAAATCGTGCTTGGATTACATAGGTTCATCATCAAGAGCGTACACGTGGTCTGCCACAATGTCAGTGATTATCGATTTATAGTGTATTCCGCGACGTTGAGAACTGGGGACGGTTGAGATTTGGGCGGGGTCCTGGCTCACTGTGGCGAAGTACGTTATGGCCCATGGGTTATAACCTTATATAGTTACGGTACTCCATACGGAGTCTGTTCTACAGTCGCCCGTAGAAACTCTCCTGTCCTGTCCCCGACCGCGGCTGCCTTCTTCTCTTCCCCAATCCATCCTCTGCTTGGCTTCGCTACCAGGTCCTCCCTCCTTTTTGCTGGATTTTTTTCTCTGCATTCAGCCAAAGCGTTTCCGGGAGGACACTGCAGCGCCCACCTCTCGCCATGTATCAGAAGCGCCTCGCCTCGGGCTTCCTGGCCGCCCTCGCTGGCGTTGCCACGGCCGATTCCGATGTCACCCAGCTGACGCAAAAAACCTTCAAAGACTTCATGACCACAAACAAGGTTACGCTCGTCCTGGCCAAGTGTACGTCCAACGCCAAGTCTTTCTCGAACCCTTCTCCGTTCCCTGACCTGACTGACTTGCTCTCCTCTCAGTCTGTGCGCCCTGGTGTGGCCACTGCAAGGCGCTTGCCCAGGAATATGAGGAGGCCGCTACCTCTCTCAAGGCAAAGAACATTAAGCTTGTCAAGGTTGACTGCACCGAGGAGGCAGGTCTCTGCTCGGAACCAAGGTGTCGAGGGCTATCCTACTCTCAAGGTCTTCCAAGGCATCGACAACGTAATGCCCTACAACGGCCAGCGCAAAGCTGATGCGTAAGTTTTCCGCCGCCACGGCCGCCTAACATGCCATGACTGACCAACAGTTCGCAGCATCCACGCCTGTATGGTGAAACAATCTCTGCCCCCGTATCTCTCGTGAACAAGGACACCCTCGAGGACTTCAAGAACGGCGATAAGGTCGTCGTGGTTGCCTCTATTGCTGCCGATAACAAGGCATCAAACGAGACTTTCTCCGCCGTCGCTAATATACTCCGTGACGAATATATGTTTGGCGGCCTTAACGATGCTGCCGTCGCCGGGGCTGAGGGCGTCAAGTTCCCTTCTATTGTTCTATATAAGTCCTTTGACGAGGGCAAGAATAAGTTTCAGGAAAAATTTGAGGTAGAGGCTATCGACACCTTTATTAAGGTCTCTGTTATACCCCTAGTCGGCGAGGTTGGCCCTAAGACCTACTCCTACTACATGTCTGCCGGCCTCCCTCTGGCTTACATCTTCGCCGAGACCGAGGAAGAGCGTTATAGTCTGGCCAAGGCCCTCCAGCCCGTCGCCAAGAAGTATAGGGGTAAGGTTAACTTTATTACTATAGACACTAAGGAGTTTGGTGCCTATGCCAGCAAATTAATGCTTAAGTCCGATAAGTTCCCTTGCTTTGCCACTTAGGATACTATTAATAATAATAAGTTCCTCTTTACCTAAGAAAAGGAGGTCAACTACGATAACATTGCCAAGTTCGTTGGGGAATTTATTGCCGGCAAGATCGAGCCGAGTATAAAGTCGGAACCTATCCCTAAGAAGCAGGATAGTCCCTTTAGTGTCGTCGTCGCCTATAACTACGAAAAGGTCATCCTCGATAAGAATAAGGCTGTCCTAATCGAGGTTTACGCTCCCTAGTGCGGTCACTGCAAGGCCCTGGCCCCTAAGTATGAACAGCTTGGCGCCATGTACGCCAAGAGCGAGTTCAGGGATAAAGTCGTTATCGCCAAGGTCGACGCTACCGCCAACGACGTCCCCGACGACGTTAGCGGCTTCCCTACCCTCAAGATATACCCCGCTGGCGGCAAGGACTCCCCCATCACCTACAGCTCTTCGCGAAATATCGAGGATCTTCTTAAAATTTATCAAGGAGAATGGCAAGAATAAGGCCGGCGTGTCCGTCGCGGAAAGGGGCACCGGGGAGACTGCTCCTGCTACCACCGTGGAGAAGAAGAAAGAAGAGCAGGAAGAGAAGAAGGACAAGGCCGAGGAGGCGGATCACGACGAACCGTAAGCTGGATGATGGCTGTGCCGACGACAAGGCAAAAAACCATGTCACGTTATGATGATTCGACGGGCGCCCACTTTCGACTGATTTGACTATCTGGGATTTCGTAGTCTTTTGCGGACGCATGCAATGGTTCTGATGATGGACAATGGAGTTACTGCCAAGTGACACGAGCGACTACTACTTGAAGAAGAGGCCGACTGAAAAGCCGACTTGCGGCTGCATCGATCCTGACAGTGATGGTGGATTGGAACTTTGGATAAGCTTTGACCGCATTGGAGCAACTTGTAATGTCACCCGCAGGCAAGTTCTTCAGCCGGTCAAGGAATTTTGTCGCTGTCGCTGCCGTGACAGCCACCGTCGCCGGACTCGAACGTTGTGTTGGAGGAGCGCAGCCCGGGTAGGTATGTCGATCTAGAAGATGTGTTGATGTAACGGGTGCCTGTTGTCCAGACTCCGGGGACTGCATCCTTCGGGCTGTCTCAGGCAGCTGTGCCACCGGCCGGATGCTTGCTTCGCCATGGAGGATCGGAACTGGGAAAGAGCGCCACACGGGGAGGGTGCCCTTCATCTCGCCATTCAGTACACGATCAATAGGATCCTCTAGGCGCCCGATCTGGCCAGTGTTATGGGTTATAATAGGCAGGATACACGCAATCACTGCTCTGCCGGTCTCCCGAGACCAAGAGTAAACTCTTTCCACCAACGTCTCGGAGTGGCATATCATATGTCTCTCATCCCCGACGATCATAGCTTTACGTAGGAGGTTCAGGATACCCTCCTCGAAATCCGCCACGTCATACCGCCACTGCATGTTAACCTCATAAAGCGGTGTCCTAGACCGGGCACCCCAAGGCGTATCGAAAAAAGAAACTCGATTCCTCGTCTTTGCAGCGCAAATGCGCAGTGGCCACAGATCCCCGGATCCATCTGGTAGCATGCAGAAGCGTCTGTGATAGGGAACACCGCAGCAACAAGACGAGATAGCAAACCGGTAAAGGCCTCAACAACGCCAGAAGTTCTCTTGTCTCCCCGTCATGTCTTGGCGAGGGATGCGGTAATATGATCCTTTCTGTGCCTCAGAGGCACATAACTATCTATGATAGAATGATAGATGGCATATCGACGTCAAGTCAAGCTCGCGAGTTCAAAACAGAGTGGGGCGTTACATAGGTCAGTGATTTGTTCAAAAAGATATTACCCCAGCCTTCTCGGGCGATCTCCTTCAACGTTTAATCTGTATCTGTACCCGTTAATTAAACTGCGGTGGCCCCCGCATCTTTCAATCACTAGAGAACGGGAGCGGGGCATGCAGGACCCAGACAAAATGGCAAATTTGACCCCTACCCGTTGATCTTGGTGTGGGGCCACAGCAGCCCAACTAAGTGTCTTCGCCACTTAGTTGGCCCAAAAAATCCGGCACAGCCCAAAAAATCCGGCACAGCAGCCCACCTCCAAAACGTCAACCCTATGCATCTCAACCGCGTTTTCTCGCGCAACTTGACTTTATTTACGTATCTTTTGCCGGAATACATTATGACAGATAACATGGCTACCCTGGAGGCAGCAAAGCCGTTCTGGCGTCTCGTCGCGACCCCAGAGCCGATGTTCGTCGCTCAACAACACCAAAAGAACGCCTCTTTCCGTGCGAGATGCGGCCATCCGTTACAATGTGAAGAGCTCATCCGTACAGAGAGCCATTAATTTCATAAGAAACCCTTTTCCCGTGCTCCAGGGCGTCCATTGGCGCTGACGGAGGACGAAGACGACGCCCTGGTTGCGTATGTACAGTGGATGGAACGCACCGGCATGCCCGCCACGAGAGAGCAACTTGAAGCTGTTGCAAATGCAATAAGAATGCGTCGAGATCCCAATGCCCGCCCGGTCTCGTCAAGTTGGCTTGACAATTGGCGTGGAAGTCATCCTGCGATCGCGAAGACGTATCTCAAAGCAGTTGAACGAGCCCGGAAGTCCTTTGAAGCCCACGGGGTAGAAGAAGTCGAATTTTTCTACTCAAAGCTTCGAGAAATCATCACCAGCTACCGTATTGGCAGTTCAGAGATCTGGAATGAAGACGAGGCCGGAATACGCATTGGGTGCCTGCGAGAACGCATCCAAGTTCTCATCACGCGCACCACTAGAGTCAAGAGCACCCGGCCCCGAGTTTTAGACCCAGCAAACCGAGAATCCTGCACGGTAATTGCCTCAGTTAACGCAGTGGGGGACTCTCTTCCACCCTGGCTTGTTTTCCAACATTACCCTACCACCAACTGGGCCGGCATCGACATCATGACAGGCGTACGGTTTGCCCAGTCGCCAACTGGCTTTTCCAACGCAGAGATACACCTTGAGTGGGCAAGGCATTTCAACTGCTGGTCTTGGGCATCGTCAGCGCAAGCAAAACAGTCAGGAAATTCGCTGGAAGAGTGGTTCGGCTGTGACGAGCATCTTCGGCGCCCCAACATGGGGATGAGTCGCGCGGGGGCGCCGCCAAACCAACGGCCTGACGACGAGAAGATCTACCGATTGCTTGTTGTGGATGGCTTTACAGGGCATACCACCCTTGACTTTGCTGAGTATTGTATCAAGTTTGATATCATCATTGCTATTTTCCTCCACATTCCACCCACCTCATGCAGCCGCTTGATGTTGGGGTATTCCAGCCACTAAAGTCAGCACATCAGAAAGCGCTTCGAAGTCGCTCGCAGAAGGCAACATATCATTTTCGCGGGTCAACTTCCTCACAGCTTTTCAGGACGTATATGAGGCTGGCTTCACGCGGCATAACATTATGGCGGCATTTGAAAAACAGGCCTCTTTCCTGTCGACCCAGCGCCGGTGATCACCAAGATCCTCCACGAGCAGCTACGACAACAGCAGCCGATCAATCCTGCATACGCCTCGCTCCTACCCTCGGAGACGCGTTTCCAAGTCGCCGCGGATGCCCTCAATGATATCCGGCAACGGTATGGGCCCCTCATGAGCTCGCCATCACGAGAAAACTTGCGGGTTCTTGCGAAAGTGAACACCGAGTCTATCGCGATGGCGTCACATTCCCAGGGCATAGTCAGCGATAAGAATAGCCGAACCCAGGCGTATGCGAATCGAATGAAGAGAGGCAAGATTGTCAGGCCGCGCGGAGAGTTTATCACGAGCTCCAGCATGGCCGACATCACCCGGGAGTATGAGGAGCTCCAGGCAAAGCAAACCCGGCTTCAAACGCGCCAGGAGATAAGGATGCATCTTAAACGAGTTCGTGGAGAGATGCAGAAGATCCGAGAAGACTATAAAGTCGGGAAGAAGCAGTTAGTCAATGGCAGAGTCAAGACATTGAACTTTAAGCCCTGGCTAGAGTTTACGGGACGAGACGTTGAGTTCTACACTCTGGAGCAAAGTTGCGATACCTCATGCGGGAGCTCAAAGAGCCATCCAAGGAATCCTTTTCTATGATACCACGAAGAGAAATAACTCCGCCAGAGATGTCAGGCGCGCGCAGCGACCCGACCTCGCCCACTTACAGATATGTCGTCGTTGCCCGGCAGTGACGATACCGTCTATTTCACAGGCCTCGATCTTGACAAACATAGTGAGGATGGCGCCGACGATGAAGACGAGGACAATTTACTCGACACGCAAGAGAATATACCCTCATCGCCGCCGTTAGCAGCGGTTGAAGCGGTAGTCGATACACCATGCCCTCGACCGCGCACCCGATCGTCCAACAAGATACAGCAGACGCTCCAGGAACACAGGTATGGATAAAATAGCTCTCAGAGACGCACAACAGGCGAAATTACTACATAATACGTCTATTTGGACTCACAAACGCGGTCTTCCTATCTCTTCGACTGGAAGGCGGCAGCTCCTAAATAGGCCCAAAGACGTGATTTTTTCACTTTTCGTTGTTACTTGCGTCTTTAGGTGATCCGCAGCTATTGATCACATGTATATTTTAGCTATTTGAAGTCGCATTGACGGCACCATGAAGCGAAGCGTAGAATTTCCCTTGATTTTGCACCCCAAATTGAGGACCCTGCTGTGCCGGATTTTTTGGGCTGTGCCGGATTTTTTGGGCCAACTAAGTGGCGAAGACACTTAGTTGGGCTGCTGTGGCCCCACACCAAGATCAACGGGTAATCCTTACTCGCCTCCTTTCCTTTCCTCCCCCGCCGGCTCCCTTGTCTATTCCACCGCGCGAGCCATGACGCATGATAAGTCATTATTGGTATGTTCAATCTGAATCCATCGATACACACCCGTAGAAGAGTGCGGCGTGGGCGAGCCCTTTCCCATCGGACAGTTTGGCTATGGCCGGAGAATATATCGGCAGGCACATGGCTGAGGCCAGCGGATGGAATGTTGTTGCGTCGATGCTGATGAATTTGGACAAGGTCACGGCGGTCGAACTGACTGATGGCTTGACGAGCCACCAGCGAGGTTTCTTTGCCGGATCGTGCCGCGAGATAAAAATGGCTGCTAGTGTTACACCGGATAGAGACTGAGATGCACGATGACGGCTTTCTCTTACCGTTCGCCACTTAACAGACGCGGAACTTCTTAGCTAGGAAACTCCACTTGAAATTGAAATTCCAATGCACGAGACAACAGAGCTATTCACAGTATTCTCGGGCATTGAAGAGTTTACAAATAATTCGTTAAAATTAAGAGAAACCGATTCAAAGGGAGCTTTTGCAACAAGCCTGGAAGTAACTATCTCGGGATGGCGGGGAATCGGATATGTGCGTTTATACGACGATGACATGCACTTAAAAGAGTAATGCACATTTTAAAATAGTAGTGGGCTGATTATCTCGGTTTCCGACTTCTTCCTCGGTCAGTCGCTCCCCCGTGCTTGAAATCCAAGCTCGACGATGGTTGCCTTTGAGAATCCCCTAGTAATTATCGCCTACGTCGGAAACGAGATTCGCCAGTCTGGGACCGAAATTCACATTCCCACAGCCTTCCTATTCTTCTCCATCTGAGCTCTCAGCTTATCTGTTCGGCTTTTCAGTTCTTTAGTGAATGTACTGTTCTCCTCATGGCCGTATCCGACCCTGCGCATCACAACTTCGCCATCATTGACAAAGGGGACTTTCTTCGCCCACGCCAACGCCTCCTCGGGAGTGTTCGTCTCAATAAGCCAGACCCCACAGACATGGTTCTCCTTGGCGACATCAAATGGGCCGGTGACCACCTCGTGCGGGGGAGCGGAGCTGTACTTGATGCGGTAGCCATCGGCGGTCGGCTTGAAGCCCTCGGCGACGAGGAGAACGCCAGCCTCGGCCATTTCCTCGCTGAAGCTGGCTAAGGACTCTAAGTGATCGGTGGGCGGCTCTTGCTTGCGTGCCTCGGCATAAACCGGGTCGGATTGGATGGAGAGCATGAAGCGAGACATAACAGAAAGTTCGGAGGCGTTCGAGGGGCCTTGTAGTGGATGGTGACGTAGCTGTAAACTAGACTAAAAGCATGAAATGATGAAGGCAGAAGGAAGAAACAAGAAGATGTCCTTTATATCTATCTCAGTTCCTTCAGCTCCAGGGAAGTGGTATAGGCCCAGCAAACTCGTCGTCGTGCAGGGCCGCCTGTAGGTGATAACTTGGATCGAGGTGATAACAAAAGCGCTACTTGCTGAAGAACCCGGGCAGCCTTCAATGGTAGGCCTCACCAGGCTAAAATAGGAAAGCGCAGAGAGACTGAAAGAGTCTAGAACTGGGGGGTAACGGTTGGCGTCGGTTCTCCGCACGATCAAAGACGGATCAACGAGCTGCTTGTGGGATTGCTAACTTACTCTGCATATATTCGCAGACGATAGTCGCGCGATAAGCCCCGAGTGGAGGACGCCTGGGCGCCCGGTTATGAGCACGGGGTTGCCTTGGACGATAGTGGCCAGCCGTCGAATACCCTAGCTTTATCTGCGCCGAGCACGGCCGAGCACTCGGCCGAACAGAGTAGTATCGATGATGCAGTGACAAGAAATCATGCGATACCTCGACCGAACCTGCCGGGACGGCAACCTCCTGTCTCGCGCTGCTGCCTCGCTGAGAACCATGCGCCAGCGCAATGACCAGCTTCTCGCCTCCTTCCTGCCCCGACTCGAGCAAGCACTAGCTGAGGCCGGTGAAAGAGACTGGTCGGACAGAGCGAAGATCGTGTTCCTCGAAAAGGCGCTGAACTCAGTTCAGTCACAGCCGCCCCCCCGAGGACTACCAAGTATGGCTTGCGAGGGTTCAAGAAATTGCCGGCAGAATAGAGAGACTTGAGTTCAGCAAACAGCCGGCGCCGAGTGAGCGAGCATTCCGCCCGTCATAGCATCGAGTCCTTAGCCAAGACCGAGCGGCGCTGCTACCGCTGTGGCCGAAAAGGCCATGTCGTCGCGGCTGGCCCCGCCAAGGTGATTTTCCTAGGCGAGCGAGCGTAAGCCGGAGCAGCCGAAAGTCGCGCGCATAGAGAATCCCGCTGCCGCAGGTAATTTTGATTCAGACGCAACATCAAGTGAAGACCACGCGGTGGGAAATGATTAGCCCCGATGCGAAGGCGGGCGCCGGCGCATGCAAAGTCAGACATCCGAAGCGTTCAAGCCACGAATGAGTAGTCGACCCGTACCAGTCAACGCGCGGATAAACAGAGGCTATTGAATACGCGCCCTTGTCGACTGTGGATGTGGCGGCTATGCCGTGATGATTGGCCGACGAAGCTCTTGTTCGTCGACTCGAAACCACGAGAGATCGGGGGATTCTCGGGATCGGCGAAGAACGTTTTATCTAGTGTTGAGGCCTCCTAGGAGACCTCGTTCCTTCCTAAATAAAGGGGTATCAAACATAGCAAATATCACTTGACCACCAGCAAAATAGGGGCACCCCCAGTGGAGGTGTTATTGGTATAGTTTATAAGTCTTTGTCCTCGCCGGAATCCACACGTGACCATTCACGTGACCTAATATATGTTTTTACCAGTCAGTTCCGATAACTCTTCCTATTTGTTATAGAAACCCTCCCGAGTATGACGCCTATTATACAACGCATTGCCTTTATAGTAGCAGCGCTGTAGGCGGGTTGTTTTTAAAAAGAATATAAACAGTCTGATAAGAATTTATACTATATTTATAAGCTAACTTCCCCTACTGTGTCGAGATAAATCTTCCATTGTTCGAGGATGAACTCAGTAACGTCCTTAGACGTAGTGTCATTGTTTGGATCTATAACCATCAGCGCGCCTGTTGTTCGATCATAGACCGTCTGAAAATCTCCCCATTGTTTAGTGAGCCACGCGCTTCGAATTTTTTGAAAAGACCGTTTCGTGGTATTTATGTTCTGCTTGGAGATCATGTTCGCATCGATCGTCTGTTGCAACCATTTTCCTCGTGCGTTCTTATCGGCACCCTTCTTCACCATTTCAACATAACGTTTGTCGAGGTCGAGGTATTCTAGGAAGAAACCATAGGTAGTACCGTTGAAATCCGCGTCCGGGTTGTCCAGTTTAAACTCAACAAAACCTGCCATGCCCTCCTCCCCCTTTCGGAAAGGGCTTGGCACGACCACGTCCTCTTTGCCCAATCGCAGCAAGATTTCCATCTCTGCCTTTATATCTTGTTCCGTATTTTTATTACCGGGGAACGTTGCGAAACAGAAGACCCAGTTTAGGTCCGATGTACCGTCGTGGACTCGAAAGACATGTTTACCAGTTCCTGCGCCGAGAGCAGAAAACCGATACTCGGACTTCTCCTCCAAGCTGAGCACCCACTTCTTACTTTTCTCCTCCCGCTTCATGTGCAGCTTTCGTCTTTCAACGACTGCTTTTATCTGGGACAAACTGAGGGCCATGATTGAAATAATTGTAAATAATGAACGGTTGAATTCTCGACGTCGACTTTCGGGCAGTACTAAAGTATCGCCAGTGGTGCAGGCTAATTGTTCAAGCTGGTGAGAGTTATCTAAAGAACAAAAGGAAAGGAAAGGATCGGATGCAAACATTCGTGCAATATATACCCTGATCATTGCGGCGAAGCTACATTGCATCATACATGAGGTTTTTGCTTGAGTATTGCTATTTACACAGTAGCATATTGCTGTTTGCACACCGACCCCATTTTTAAGATACGTACTAACGCCAGCCCGCCCCGCCTATTTGTACCGCGCGCGCCTGGTAAGTACCCGTACCGCCTAAATGCCCGCGCCCGCGCCCGCCTATAAACACACATACTAAATTTAAAGCTATTACTAACGCCGCAATCGATAAACTTAGCCGCAGCCCGCGGTCTCTCGCAGCGTTATAATAAGGATCGTTAGCCCGAGGAAATATAAGGGGAAGTGGATTAAGAGGAGGACGCGGCAGGAGGGGCGCGCCGCCGGCTTCGTCAGGCGTTGGAGGGATCGTTGAGTCGGGGTTATGTGACCAAAAGTGCGTTGTGTGCGCGGGCGCGGGCATTTGGGCGGTACGGGTACTTGCCAGGCGCGCGCGGTACAAATAGGCGGGGCGGGCTGGCGTTAGTACGTATCTTGAAAATGGGGTAAGTGTGCAAACAGCAATATGCTATTGTGTAAATAGCAGTACTCTTTTGCTTAAGTCACTTATCCTAGTATTTACGGTATTTACTTGTGTCGTGTTATGCATTAGTTTTAGTGGCCCCACAGGTATATCGTAAGGCCTTCAGTCTCCGTAGCGAAGGTACGAGTTAAAGTGGGCATCTAGCTCCAACGAAGTGAGTTTTGCCTAAGTAATGCATAACACGACCGACATAAGTAAGTACCACAAAAATCACATATTAGGCTAAATCGAGGTATACAAATAGAAGTCAAGAATTGCATAAGACTAAGTGACTGAAGCGAATGTTAATAGCACCGGATCCCTTAACATATTGTTGATATTTTGTATATGGCTCCTCCGCATATTATGCCCAAATTAAACTGGTTTTAAAACCCTTGTTGAACTTTATTACTATAGGCTATTTATACCTCGTACCTTAGATGCAAATAGAGTAAGGCCTTAGGGGCATTAATGCTGAGGCATTTCCCCATTAATTCCTGTTTTAATTTCTCGCTTTCAATATGCCCGCCAATGCGAAGTAACCAAAGCAAAGACGGAGAACCAGCCTTTCCAGCCTTTCATTTATTAAATAGGCTCTTAGCAGGACTTAGGTTTCCACTTGTAAGGAGGGGGAGGCTGGAGCTAGTAGGATATAACCTTGTTGAAAGTACGGATGGAGTAAAAGATAACATATATGAGATAGCCAGGTATTGTGCACGTGGATGTTGCCAAGCGGGACAGTCTTCATGATCCAGAGATGTTCGACATGTACACAGGGCGACAATCCATCGATGCTGATTATGGGTACTGCGTTGGAAGTCGCAAGATGAGAAGTGGGTGAAGGATTTCAAAGATTGAATTCTCGTTGATTCCCTATCTAACGGAAGGGTCTATTTGATATTTGATCGCTAGGAACAAGTTCTGCGAAGATTATCACTTTCCTACTTCGAAAGGCTGGAAACGTTCTATAGACGGCTACATAAGCTAAAGCCTACAGACGGAGACGAGTGCCCCCTTTGACAAAGCCAGCTGTCCCAGAGCACAATTTCTACTTCTGCGAAATGACAATGGGGACAGTTCCGATGGCACCACTGTCCCGATTCCAGTTTCCGACACTGACAAGATACGGCGACGTGATGATGTTATAGCTTTCAATGTTAAAGCTGTTTGTCTTCGACCCCCAAGGACAGTCCCACTTGACGGTGCAAATCTTGGCCGCGCCCTCATAAATGTCGAATTGCCCAGTTGTACCCGACGATGCGTCAGAACGACCGCACGCGCTTACACTCTCGGAGGATCCAGGAGCGATGACGACGGCTTCGATTTGGCTAGTTGTGACCTCAACGTCTTTGGAGGTTTTGTAGAACTTGCCCCTAGAGAGTGCAAGTCAGGAATGGTGTGGGTCTGGATATACTCTTGGAGTTGATACTGACCATTCAAGGACGGCATGTTGGACGCGGATGTCATTCTTCTTCAACAGATTTTGAATCTGAATGGTAAGCCACTGAGCATAGGCCATGTTGACGATGGCGTTTGACTGGCTTAGTGTGACAAAGCCAAAGGTGTAAAGTATTCCAAAGAAAATACACAATGATTTATGTCATGCCTAATAAGGGGGGTTGTGACGAGGCTTATAATCACGGTTGGGCTTCTCAAGTATGCCTAACAACTTATATATAACGCAAATCTATATTTTGGGGCCTAGAACTGCGTGAGGGACAATGCGAACCTTGAGGGGAAATGCTTGATGCCTGTCTGGACCCCTACTCCTTATGCGCGTTAGGTAAACCTAGATGCAAAAGGGGAGGCAAGAGAGAATGTGACGAGCATTTTCGCCCTCGCCGAGAGGGGATAATTTTAACGGGATTAATATGGATGACTGCAGAAATATCTGATTTTATTTAAGCCGTTGATGGTATGTTCCTGGCAACTAAGGCATAAGCTGCAACATATGCCGTGGTAGACTAAGGCGTCGTCGTCAATGCTCGCCTTGGCACACTAATAAATTCCTCCTACTCTAACCATCCTCGTTAATTGGTTACTATGTATTTTCCCTCCCTCTTAACTTAGCACTCGGGCCCGGCCAAAATGCCTGCGACTGTTTCGGAAGAAGCCGTTCTGTGTTTATATCACTTACGAGCTAATAGGATGGGCTGGGAGAAGTATGCCCAAACCTCGCGCTTATTTCAAAGCGGGTTGAGCGGTCTGGTTCACCGCTTACCCGCCGCATAATTGTAAACGCGCCCCTCTTTAGGCTCTTGGCCCCTGTCTCCACAAGTGGTTTTGCGCTTTAAGTCCAGACCGTACCCGTAAGATAGCACGTATAACAGGCGGCTCTACACATTCGTGACTCTCAAGCAACGGAGTGGAAGGAGGTATAGGGGCTCAGAGAGGCGAATTTAGTTCTGCATGTCTTGGTCTATCTATCGGGACCAGTGAGGGGCTTTATATTGGTACAGATACCACAGACAACTAGCCAAAAGAAGGTATTCGGATGATTTTGTACGCGAGTCACGCCTGCCGTACCGGTACGTCCTTCTGCTAAGAGTGTCGGGTTGGCTCAGGAGGCCCATTTTCCGTGTCCTTTTATATCCAACTCCTGCCGCAGGTTCTCCCGTGAAACCATTACGTTGGACCCAACTATCATTTTTCTCACTCCATCAGTCTTGCCTTGTTCATCCCCCTCCGTTGCAATGTCAGACCCAGAACGAGTTCCGTATGAGGATGCCCTCACGGAGGGACAAGGGTGAGTGATTCGCTCTGTCTATGCAACTTCAGTCTCTGGAACATGGGGAGCTGAAACTCTGCCAGTTTCAACACCTTTCTTCAGAGTGGCTGTATGCATGATGCTGTAGAGATCAAGGGGAAGCCTGATTCATCAAAGGGTTCAAATGACGTCGAGATCATCTACAATGCCCAGAAGATCACCAGTTATGAGTAAGTGTCGTCAGTGGTCCATCTATTGAGTCTCATGCTGATTCCGGCATGGCAGAAAGCTCGTTGAGGCGCTCGAAATTGGTGCCAGCGTCGGCGTGTCAAAAATGCAAACGACAGGAAAGGCTGAATTTAAGTTCCTTGACCGGAGAGAGGTTTGTCATTCAGACTGGCATCAGCCTCACTCAGCATCCTGACAGCAAATTCTCTCTAGTTCGAGACGAGTTTCTTGACTTATCTTGTGAAAGTCGACATTCGGCAGCAACCGAGCGCCACGTCCCAATACTCCTTCAAGTGGACGGCGCCAGCTAATCCCAATGAGACTTATGGGAATCGCTTCATTAGTGGTAAGGCCTGCCTTGTCTGTTCTTTTATATGTTGTTTGGAACTCTGATCAAGTCGATTCCAGGCTTCGTGAGAGGAGGAGCTCTGTTCGCCCGAGTGTCGATTGTCACGGAGGATTCAACCCACAAAAGGGACATTGAGCAGTCGTAGGTGCACCGGTACTCAAGTTTTCTACCAAGACCTAACGACACGAAACAACTAGGGCTACAGCAGCGTTCAGCATGTACGGGGTCGATGTCAACGTCACACAGTCAATGAAGTCCAACCTTGAACAGATCCAAAAACACTCCAAAGTACACATATATCTCCATTACGTTGGGGCGCCTCCCACAAATCAAGCCCAAACCAGCGGAAAGGAGGACGACCTTCTTCAACTTAAGAGCACGGCCGACAGTTTCCTTGCCGATGCGAAGAACCACCAGTGGAAGCGATTGTGAGTAGACGCGGCGAATTTCTGCCACGGCATTTCATTGCAGCTGCTAATGGCCTAAGCGAAGCGCACTACTCGAGAAATACACCAACATTTCTGACTGGAAAGGCCAGTTCACACCTTTGAACTACGTGGGAGCAGCGGATCGGGTAGGCGATCTTGGTCCATATCCACGGAAAGGCATCCCGCGCGGCTAATACGATGATTTAGAGTTGGTCGGTGTTCATCGATTTCACCAAGTACCGTGCGACTCAGAAGATGATCCAGGATAGTAAGGCACCCAGCATCGATGTTGCATGCCATGTGGCCACTAAATTGTCCCTCTAGCCGACCAGGATCATTACAAGGGCGGAAAAGCGACGATGGAGAAGCTCAACGAGCGCGCCAGTGATGCGCTAGAAGGCTACAGAAACTGGGTATTTCCGACAACAATGTCGCCGTCCTCGATCGGCCATGCTAACCACCTATTATCAGATCACAGGTGTCAGTATAGATCCAGAAAAGGCAAAGCAGAAGCCAGGGTATGATTCTCCAGAGAGGTTTCGTCAGGAGGTCTTGGTAAGATACAACACAATGCCTGCAGCCTGGGAGCAACGCTGACTCGCGTCAAATGGGAAAAGCTTGCCATCCAGACAAAACGTTTCATAGCCCAGAAGCTAAGCCTCGACAACGGCCGCCAGACGCACAGTACGACTCCCATTAGGTGTTCCTGATCCCGCAGGCGGTTTTGACTGTCCTAACCTGATCCCCGCCATATAGTCATCGACGACCATCTGCACCCGCAAGCAACCAAGCTCTTCGAGTTGGAAGCCTACCAGTATGGCGATGTCATAGGCACCAGCAATGTTTTGTTTGGAAAGAAGGATGATGATGGCATAGACAAGTATATATGCCTCATGGGCCGGAACGTAACCCCGGGCTACATCGAGCAGAGCAGGTTTTGGGTCTCCGAGAAAGCAATTGAGGGGGTTTTCGAGCAGAAAGTGAGCGTCGTTGCCTTGCCGGGACTAGGGTGTATCCAGCTCGAGCTGGAGGACTCGGGCAGTCAAGCGACAAAGCATTTTGATTTTTACGTTAAGAAGGTTTAGAGAGTTAACTTATTTTCCCGATAACGTACTTCTCAAGCAGTGGCTTGAGAGCACAGTGGAAGAAATAGGGGCACAGAAAGGTGAATTTAGTGATGCATGTCTTGGTCTATCTATTGGGACAAGGGAGGGGCTTATATAGGTACAGTGACCACACATAGCTAGCCAAAAGAGGGCATTAAGATGTTCCTATACCTGAGTCAGGCCTGCATGATGTCCTTGGGCTAGGGGAGTCATGTTGGTCAGGCAGGCTTCCTTGTGCATGACTATTGGGTCCATTGGGCATGACTGTGGCCTCTTATGCCCACTCTCCTCAACAGTACTTTACCACCTAGTAAGCTACTACCCTGTCTAAATATTAACCGTTCTTACTTCTAACGACGGGTAGAAATCTGCTTAAGCATAGGTATTTTGGTCGAGGGCCCAGCCAAGCTCGTGCGAGCCGGATTCCACTCACCGACCAAAGCACACCCAAAAGCATCCCTTCGCAGAAATAGACGCAAAAACTCAGCGGCAATGTCAACAACTTCGGAACCGGTGTCGATTGTGTCGATGCTAAAGGCCGACAAGCTGAGGATTCGACACCATCGCAGCTTCAAAGCTCTCGGCAAGGCGACAGCCCCCTCGGACGAGCCAGCAAGGGGCAGAAGAAGTCCGGATAGGAGGTATCCGATGACCGATACCAAAAGCCCCAGTGGCGGCGAAGGTGCAACCCCCTATACTCCCCGACGAGCCACTTACCCGCGGCGCTAAAGAATCTCCAGACCAGGCTTCAAACGTCGAGGATGGGTCGACAGAACTCTCCAAACTCCAGATTGACGATTTGAACGAGCATCTGCAGTGCATCAAAAGCCACCGGAAGCCCGAAGTCAACACAGAAGTCACTCCACCCATACCTCGAGCTGTACTGTCTCCTGCGAGACGGCAAATATTATTAGATACGCGAGTCTGTCGTTCAGGCGGCTGGTACGCTGGCGCCCCGGGGCGGGGACAAACCCAGTAGGCTCGCGGTTCCATATACTCGCGGGACCCGCGCTGGGTCAGCAACGTCCACTATAAATTTCTTGCCTCGCCGCTATTAATACGGCGCTCACCGCTTCTTGCTATTCAATGCAATAGATTGCAGCCTTCCGCCTCAAAGATATTATCAATCACACGAAGAACTACGCTTGGTCATTGACGTATGGTCACTTTCTAGAGGTTATGAGTTTATTATCCAAAGGTCATCTCTCGCTAAAGGGGAAAATAAACGTGTAAATTCATTCTGAAAGATAAGATATCCTTAATTAAATAATCCGCGCACCTTAAGGTCTTTATATACACTTAGGAGAGACCGGAGACTATCAGCCTCTGTTAGGGGTAGTACCTATATGGGTCCTATCCTGCCCGTTAAAATACCATAAATAACCAGCCAAAAGAGGACATTGAGATGTTCCTTATTTAAGAGTCACACCTGCCATATGTCCTTCCGATAGGAGAGTCAGGTTGGTCCGGCAGACCCCTTGGGCATGACTCTGACCTCTTGGCTCCGCTCTCCTCAACAGTATTTAACTCTCGAGCTTTATTATGGTCCTACAGTATTCGAACACATGCCGCATCCACAGGGGACTCATTAGCAAGGGCTGTCAACACTACGGCAGCACGACGAACTGCAAGCCGAATTCTCAGCTGGCGCTGCCTGTGGAGACACCTTGGGCGAGCCCTCCGTTGCGAGTGTCAGGTGCTTTGGACCACGCTGTGAAGATTTGGGACATCGGCCAGGGACTTGACAGCATGAACCTAGACAAGTGCCTTCGTACGATGGAGGGACACGCGGTGAGGGCGATTTACACCCCGGAAGAAAAACGTAAGACGACATGATACTAACCCCATCATGTCTCGGGTGTTTGTTTCTTAGGATGAAGTTTTGGGTGTTTCCTGGACACCTGATGAGAAATGGGTCATCTCTGTATCCGCGGACCGAGGGATTCAGTTACGGGACCCGCAGACTGGCAACGCGCAGGTACTGGTGCGGGGACACAACAACAAAGTCGCTTGGGCGGCTTCTTGTCCCGTCGGGAGCTTCTTCGCCACTGGATCGAATGACATGAAAGTAGTCATCTGGAAATATGGGCCATATGACGGCCCGGCTGTCCAAGTGTCTGCGGTGCCGACCGCTGGCTGGTTTGCCAAGATACCCGAGTCGTTGAAGCGGCCGGGGTTTGGCTTGGCCCTGAGCTTCCTGCCGTCTGAAATGAAGCGCTTCCCTGCCCTGATAGGCGATGAAGACCGCGACTGGACTGCTGACTTATTGCACATACGTGAGATCTGCATGCTGGAGGCTATCGAGGATCTCACCAATAGGCCTGAGTGGTGACATAAAATACACGATCCCACGATTCTGGATGGTTGGAAGATGGAACTATTGGAGAGGGACTGGCCAGCTTAACACCGCTCCGGCGACTTTACGCCAGCCATGGCCCAGGCTGTGAGTATTCTCCAGAAATCAGAAGGATTGTTCACGTGCTGCTCATCTCAAACTGTATTGTGCATCGATGAGCTCCAGAAGAAAGCGTTTCTATACGACAGAACCGGCCTGATTCCCGTATTGGACTACTCGACCTGCTTGATAAAGTCGGATAGCATCGTCTCAGACGACCTGATGAACCAGCTCGGAGCGGTGGTTGCTCCGCTCGAAGACGTCGCCAATGGCCAGAATGATGGGCATCCCGGGAGCGACGGCAAGGTGCTCGACCTAGTCCATCCCTCGCTCTGGCCTCTCGTCTATGGCCGCTCACGTATCCTGCCCGACAAGGTCGTCAGCCTCCAGAACTGCCTTGAGGCGTGCGACTCTGGCGATATCTTGCCAAGGCCGGATCCCAGAGAGGCTGTGCACCTGAGAAAAGGCCTTATTCCCTTTAAGAGTACAATACCATCCCTCTCTACCAACTTCCAGTGGCTGCCCTGCGACGTCAGCACTGACGACCAAGGCCACGCCAAGATCGGCACCTATATCAACAATCTACACCCCGTTGGGCATCCGGAGGCGTGTTCAGTCCTAGAACGCTTCATTGAGAGGTCTCTGCCTGCTTGGGACATCATCTATCGCTGGAACAGCGAGTTTAGGGCGCAACGCCTCCGGACGAAGAGCGCTAGGCCTACATGCACGACTCCTGAGATTTGCGGTAAAACAGAGATATGCGCTCCGTATAACAGGCCGCTGGAGGAGGTTGAGCCCCATCGAGGAGAGCCTGGAGCTGGCAGGGAGTCGGAGCGACACCAGCTTGACATGGCGTGGTTCGACGCGACACATCCCTTGAACATACCGGACGCCACCATTGAGTCAGAGCAGAGCGGTCAAACTGACAACCAAGAGTCTTGCTTCTTCCGACTAACGCCTACCTTGACTAGCCACACTAGCCCACCTTTTCGTATACTCGATAGGTAAACGTGCCTGCTGGTTAAAGGGGCCCGAGAGAGTCATGCTCTGATAACGCAGCATACGTGAGTAATGTGAATCATTGCACCATTCATAGACCCTTAGTCACCCTTGGTTCTTAATTTTTCAAACGAGTGTATTCATGTTATGGCCATAACAAACCGGAAGCGACCCAAAACGGGTATACAACCGTTATAACTTGCGAACTCTCCAACCACCACCTCAACCACAAGACACGTTGACAATGAACCAAGCTACGTCATATAACAAGCCGTTCATCCCTCTCAGTTGGCAGTTAACACCTAAAGAATAGGAACGCAAAGATTGATAGCGATGATGGATTTCCCGGCCTAGTAGGACAGGCCATTGTTAGCTTCTTTCAAGTCAAGTTTTAGAGACGGAGATATATTACCTGACCAGCGTTGCAATAATATCCAGTTTTTCCACCGGCGCAGTTAGATCCGGAACCGATATTCACGCAACCGACGAGGTTGAGTCCAATCTGACCCGAGCAGCACTCGGTTGTCTTGCCAGGAGGGGGAGGACCCCAGCGGGGCTCAAGCTGACCGGGAGTGGCAGAGACGGCAGCGGCCAGACCGAGGGCAGAGACAGCCGCGAAGTACTTCATTTTGGCGATTGGTTTAGGTGTGAACGTGGGATTTCTGGAAAACTGAGAATAGACTGGAGTCGGAGAAGTAAGTGAGTAGAGTATGTTGATTGGGGACGAGAATCAGACAGGCATGCCGACGACGAGGTGGTTAAATAGTTTTCAGAGGTCGTATACGCAGCCATTAGCCAATGGTCTAAAGAAATACAAGTAAAATACAACTCACGACCTCGACGTGTTTGACGATTCTTTTAGTAAAGGTCAAGGGGCTCGGCATCGATAGTCTTGTTTCTTAGGCCAGTTCTTCCTTGATTTCTTGGCACCGGCATACCTAGTCAGCCTCCGCGGTCAAGCGTATGTTATGAGCCCTGCCGTATGCTGACGGTAGCGGGTGGATATCGTCAACAGAGAACCCAGGCCTTTAGGGCTTCCTGTCTTCGGTCAGTCTATCTGGTGAAGTGGAACTCTCCGGCCAAAGCTAATGTGCGGCACCTCCCTAACGTCTACTAGTGCAAGTAGCAACTTTTAGCAAAGGTTGCTTGGTGAAATGAGCCGTCGAGGCGCTGCAGTTGCGCGACGCCACAGATGGCACACTTTGCCATTAAGTAAACCAAAAGCAGCTGTAACCTTCTCGCCCATATCAGCCAAATATCATAGACGCCTCCGGGCTCCGATGAGGGCAGCAGCCCAAGCAGTGCAGGTTGTTCGACAACCTGAGACTCGTGTATCGATGTGTATATTACCTATAGGGGTGCTTAGTGAAGCTCTCTATGCATTACATATAGGTCGTCGGCTGCCAAGGAGCCGACCAAGTCGAAGGGAAATCGGGACGGATCGTCGCGTAAAAGATGGGCACGAGAGACATAATAGTTTTACGACCCGTGTTTCATGCATCAATAGACGGGTCGTAGACTCCTAAGAAGCAGTCTAAATCGAAGTAAAGTGTGATATGAAGCCGGTCGAACGAACAAGGATCCTGGAAATCGTGCGGTTACGGGACTGATGTGCCGCCCCGGGCAGCCACATACTGAGCCGCTCCAAACAAAAGAAACCCGTTGAGCCGCAAGAGGCTCTTGATTCAGCGCCAATCAAATGCATACCCGTTAGGCCGCAAGGGGCTCGCCTCAAGCGTGACTCCTCGCAACAATAGTTTTAATGGTAATTTTCTCTTGCATGTTATGGTTGGGTGGCTCATGATGCTTGTGTGGTCAACATTGCATGTAGAAATCGCCGTTAAGGCGCCAATGCTAGCAGTCGATATCCGTCCGCCATATAGTAGCAGAGAAAGCTAGCTACAGAACAGGCTTTGACTACGATTTGGAGAACCACGCTTACTTCGAGTGAATGTGATCTGTGACCCATGCGTTTACTGTACACAATCTGTAGAAGATATGCACACCCCCCCTGCTCTTGGATCAGCGCTGGAAGCCCCTGTCCCGAAGTTTGTTCAAACGTATAGAAAATGGCCCAATTATAGGTCCCCAGAACTCGTCATCCTCCCAGCGGGCATGGAGGCTCGTACTTGCTTTGCTGATGGCGTTGAAAGGTTCGGACGGCCCGGCGAATTAATGCCTCGGACGCGCTCCAATGATCGACTGGAACTCAAAACGACTATGACAGGTCATCTGTATGAAAGACAGATTGAAGCAAGTTCTGTTTAAGCCCAGTTCCTAATGGGGATCCCCGCCGCTAAGGCACAATTTCTTCACAGGCAGCGAGCTACTAACAATGTCACATTTGTTCACAGTGGCTGGACTCGACGTGCCCAGACATGCCGCAGACAGGGTCATCGGTCTACTCTGCCGCCGCATTGTGGCTTTGGGCTACGATGTAGCAGCGCGGGCTAAAGCCGTCATGGAGTTAGCCAGGGCGCTTAAGAACCATGAGCCATATCAGCCTGAACATGAAGTCGGGGGCGAAAGGGCCAGGCTCTGGAAAAGGGCAGCTGATAAGTTCATTACCATACACCCCGAAAAGTCAATACGCCAGAATATCTAGGCCACGGTATCCTCTAGCCATGAGCACTTGAGAATGCCCACGTGCACTTATTGACCTGTTGTAGCATCGTAAAAAGCTTCTCGCCGCAAGGCTTTGGCAAGCTCAGTCAAGACGGGGTATGTTTGTCCGGTAAACTATCACTACGCGCGTGGTGATCTTTGGCTTGTGGCCAAGCTCGATCTGTATCCCCCCGGTGGCCTTTAATTGCCTCTTCGAGCCGCGTCTGATGGTGGCGAATCAAGGTTTCAAGCTTCTCTGCTCACCGCTTGGTCTGCCAGTGCCGTGACACGGGAGAACGCCAGATCGGCCTGGAGGGAACCACGCGGATAGGTTACCGTGAAATGACCTAATGGCCCCGATGGCCTGATCAGACATACGAAGCACATACACTAGAGACTGAGATGGATAGACCGAGATACCAGTGGCAATAAACTCGGCCGTCGCCCGTCTGTCGGAACACCGGCCCCGATGCCTCAAACCTGGAGCTTAAAGTCCGGTATAGCAAATAAGGCTGGCGTCCTCCTGGCTGTCCGCCTTGCTTGTCTACTTAAGGGCGAGGGTCTGGGTTATCGTGATAAATTCTTTATTTTTAATTTGCCTATTAGTCCACCCATGTTCTTAACTTCTTGTTCGAAGAGTGAGTGGCGCGATGGAGGAGGAGACAGGTTTCAAGCGAACCGCTCGACGTACTCGTCGCAGAAGCAACGTCGGGAAGGCTTACAACTTGGAAGAAAATGCCCGAGGGATTTACTTTTTACGGGAGGGACGCTGGATCCCTGTTTCGCTGCCCAGTGGCTTGTAACCGTCGAGTTATTAATACTTTATCGAGATGGTAATTATTAACTCGACGGCTCGGCACGCTCAAGTCCCACTAGCTCCACCACCAGCCGCCCGCTGATCTTCTACGATCAAGCTATCGATTCACAACCACTGCATAGGCGCGAGGGATCGGCAGGTCCGTGGTGCCAATGTACCACGGAGGCAAAAGCGACGCGCCAGGTTGGCAATTGCAGGCCAACTGGGCTGTATAGATCTTATTCCTTTGACGGGAGAAGGGAGCAGGCGGGAGGGGAATGTTGGACGTATAGTCAGTAAGTAGGCGGGCATTTGATGAAAACGCCTCCTCGGCGCGGATAGCCAATGATCGGCGATGCCGTGCTTTGGTGGCTGGGAACCTACGTTAATTAGAGCCGCAGCAACATTAGTCGGCTAAGACGGCTGGATCAGGCCTATCGTCACCGTGCCGGCTTGTTGCGGGCTGGACTGCTTGCTGACCTCTTTCACTTACCCCGCGGCCGCCATCAGGGAGAGCTGCGCGGGGAATCGTCTATTTAAATCAGTATCACTGCACGTCTTCTTACGTTACTCGGAAGAGTTGTCTTAATTCCAATCCCACATCACGCCTCAGTTGCATCACTGGCACCGAATATTCTCGCATCAAAGATGAGAGCTTCGCTTGTGCTCGTAGCCAGCCTCTTGGGATTGGGTCTGGCAAGCCCAGGGGCTGTGTTTCCCCGGTGTAAAAAGGTTCTATCAACGCCCATCGCTGAACAAGATTCTTCTTCTAACGAGGCGACTCTCGATGACAGCGGAATCTCTCATGCATTATTGTTTGTCCACAGAATCAGTGTCCGTTGGGCACTGCTTGCTGCACCACGGAATGTGGCGGACGAGTTTGTGTAAGTCCCGAAGGACTTTACAATCCCTTGCTGGGCAGTAGACACTAATATAAAGTACGATAGGAGCCAATCTAGGAGACGGCGGCTATTTCAAGCGGATTTGCAACAGTGTGTCCGCCAGGCAGAAACCTTGGTTATGCTTTGGAGAACGAAGGGACTTTAGAGCCCGCGGGGGAAACCAAATCGTACCTTTTCACCCCCTAAACCTCGCCTTCTTGTTGGTCTGAAAATTGCCTCTTTCGTCTTGGATTTTCGCTCTTTCCTGCCTTCTTTCTTTAAATCGAAAGCCCCCTCGTGATAGGTTGCTGCTGCCCTTTTCTACTTGCCCGGGCCGGCGCCGACGCGCTCCTCCGTCCCCCCTCGTCGCGGCACCCAAGACAGCCGACCCAACTCAGCCGCCTGGCCCTCTCTCTTCAGATTGGTCGCCCAACCAGCGCAACGCCGCCTCGATAGTCCTCTCGCTTGGTTCCCCCGGTCTGGCCTGGTGATTATACGTGACGGGATGCCATTGGCACCCTCCCGTAGAGCCGCATTCCTACGTCCTTTTTGTATCGTACAACTCAAAAAGCAATGGTCGATGGTGCTACCGCCCCGACACGCAGCCACTTGGCCGCATCACGAACCGCCTGTCGCGCGACATCGAGGTCATGACCAACCAGCGGCGCGATTCGGTGCGCATCGCCATGTACACCATGGCCAATATTGTGGTACTCCTGAGTCCTGAGCCCCTACTTCCACCGGCTCCTTGTCGCGATGCCCCCGCCAACGACTGCCTCTCTGTACGCAACGGCGTCCTGCCCGTCGTCGGCGACGCAGATGAAGCATCACGAGGCCGCGCTCCGAGTTGCTCGGCTCAGCGAGCCCCTCGTAGGCATCCCGAACATCCGGCGTACGACGTGCAGGACCAGGTGGTAAAGAGGGTGCATGATGCCATTGACGACATGGACGCGGCTTATCTCTTGACGTTGAGCAATCAACGGTGGGCGACGTGCCGGCGGGACACTGTGGCTATATTGGCGATGACGACGGCCGGGCTGATGGTGGTGCTGTTGCTCTATCGAGTCGATCCGAGTGCCTCGGGCCTGGTTCCCTTCTGCTGCTTGGCCATCACCCAGATGATGCAGCTAGCCGTTCGCCAGCTGCCTGAGGTCGATAACGCCATGGTGTCGACCGAACGACGGCATGAATACGGGACTGAGCTGCCCCGAGAATCGACACCGGGAGCCCCGGCCGTCTCCGATTCTTGGCCGGACAGGGGCGACATCGGCATGGCCAACGTGCAACTACGTTACCGTCTCGACCTCCTCCTCGTGCTAGACAGCCTCGACGTGAGCATCCGCGGTGGCGAGAAGATTGGCGTCGTCGTCGGAAGCAGGGCGGGCAAGTCGTCGATATCCACGGCTCTCTTCCGGCTCGTCGAGCTCTTAGCAGGCACCATCACCATCGACGGCCTCGACATCGCCCACGTCCCGCTCCACGAGTTGCGATCACGCATCTCCATCATCCCACAAGATCCCGGCCTTCTCCGCAGGAGCATTTGGTCCAACCTTGACCCCTTGGGCCAACATTCAGACCTGGGGCTTTGGGACGCGTTACACAGGGCTGGTCCTGACGACGGTTTCCATCTCGACGCCCACGTTGAGAAGAGCCCGGCGCCAACTTCTCGCCGGGCCAACGGCAGCTCGTGAACGTCGCGCGGGCGCTTATATGCAATAGCCGCATTGTGAGCCGCTAAGGCTATGGGAAAGACAGGGCGGCGTCTTTCGGGGCCTGTGTGACACGGGTAGTATACAAGGGGGGATTTACGGCATAAACATATCTCTGGAGGAAGCCGGTGGCAAGCCTATAGTAATTAAGCAAGCCGTAGAACCCTGGTTCTGATACTTATGGAAGCTCTGCTCCGACTGGCACTCGAGCAGGGTAAAATACCAATGCCGAGATTTGAAAATAACAGGAAAGCATCAAGAAATCTTCCCAATAGAAACTAGGAAGGGGAAAACAGACAAAGGCCAAATCGAATGTGCTCGATCCTCGATCGCCCACACCACGTCCTCGTCGCTCCTACTCATACGCCATCTCTCGATAACCTCGCAGCCACGCATCCTCCTCCTTGACCCGCCTTTCCACCTCGGCCCAGGCCATGAACATGGTCACCTCGCCAAAGTAATTCACCCCGCCTTGCTGCCGGAAGCCGAGGCCGTCGAACAGAGCCCTGCTGCCCGCGTTGCCCTGCTTGATCTTGGCCATGACGCCCCTGAGCTTGGCCCCCTCGTCGTCCTGGTGCTGCTGCTCGTACTGGGCCAGCATCTCGTCCTTGTGCCGGCACAGGTATGCCAGCAGGGCCCGGACCGCCTCTCTACCTAGGCCCCGGCCGCGATGCTCCCTCTCGGCTATCATGACGTCGACTTCGCCCACCAGCCACGGGTCTGTCGTCCTCTTGGCCGTCTCACCCTGTGGCCTCTCGTCCTCGTCCTCGTCGTCGGCGGGATAGAGGAAAAAGTTGACGTCTCCCCTCGTCCTGTCCTCGGCATCGCCCTCTTGCGCCCTCACAGACGCAGACGACTCCCCGTCCGCCACCACGTCCTCGAGCGGCGCGCACACGATAAACGTCAGCTTATCCCGCGCAGCCCGCCACGACGCCTGGTTCTCGTACTCTTCCTGCAAGCTCAGGGGCTCCGACGCCGTCGCCGCTTGGATGCTCTGCCCACCGCGCACGTCAGCGCCGCCCACGCAAGGGGGTCCAAAGCGACAGTAGGCCTACCGGGTCCTGCATCCAGCCGTGGTACTTGAGCACATGGCGCTCTTGATATGGCACCAGGAGCACCTTGCTTGTGGCAACCGCTGCGGTCCGTCAACGGGCATTCCTGGCACCGAGGGGCACCGACTTATCACGTCTCACCCGTCTTTTCGTTGAGCCTCATTTCATCGCCCACACGGCAGAGCAAGTACGACCTGAGCGCGGGTCGTCGTCGCTTCAAGAGTGTGCGCTGGATTCAAGGCGCCGCGACGGGGTGTAACTGAAAGGGGGGTAATTATGCTGTAAGCTAGGTGGCTGACGTTATTAATTAATAATCGTCCCCCGAACTTGGAAGAGAGAAAAAGTGGGAATTTGATCTCGGCCAACTGCGGGCCCATCCGTCTCTACATTCCATTGCCACCACCATCAACGTCCGACATCCAAACTCACTGCAAAACAAGTCATCAATCCATGTTTTACACGCCATCGCTTGGCTAGTTATCCTACATGCTACCCTCTGCGGGCGTCGAGTCATCCTTGGGTCCGTACGTCTGCAGCAGCAGCTTCTGCACCTCCTCTTCGCCCATCCGCGACTCCATGGCAAGCATCTCGGCCATCTGGTTCATCTTGTTCCTCGTCTTGTGGTGCAGCAACGCCCTCAGATTCTCCACCACCTGCGCATCCGAGTCATTCTCGTTTGGCGTCGGCGGGAAGACCGTGTCCCATTTCTTGATCCTGCCCCCGTCCGCGTCGGGCTTGGCCGACGTCCCGTACTCTGTGTCCTTGCCCATATGCGCGTACTCGACCGTCCGCCTCTCCGCCTTGACCCCGAGCTCGTCGAGAAGCACGGCTGCCTTGGTCGGCATGACGGGCTGTAGCAGAATGGCCGCAATTCGCAACGCCTCGGCACCGTTGAAGATGACCCAGTGCAGGAGCGTGCGTGCTTTGGGGTCGGCACCCTTGACCAGGTCCCACGGCGCCGTGTCGGAAATGTAGCGGTTTGTCTGCAGGCACGTATGCGTTAACAGGGGCGCAGCTCGGCCTCTCGACACCGACTCCTTACCTCTCGAAGCAGCTCAAACACTTCTCGAATGGCGCCGCCCGTGTTCAACTTGTCCATCTCGGCGCTAAACGCCCACGTCGTCTTCTCGAGGTAAGACCCCAGCCTAAAGTAGAGCTGTCCCACGCTGTCCTTGTTCTCAAATTCCAGCAGTTCATCAAAGGCACCGTCTCGGTATGCCGAGACGGCCTCGAGCGTCGACCACTTGCCCGTCACCTTGGGCCTGGCAATCCTGTAGAACAGGTTGCCCAGATTGGCCTGCAGCTCTTTGACGTATACGGGCCCGATGAGCTGGTTGGAGTAGCTCATGTCCTTGCTGAAGTTGCTGCTGCGCATCAAAAAGTAGCGCAGCGGGTCCGTGTCCCACCGCTGCATGGCGAAAAAGGGGTTGACGACATTACCGAGCGACTTTGACATTTTGCGGTTCGACATGGTCCAGTGGCTGTGGCAGAGAATCTTCTTGGGCAGCGGGAGCCCCATGGCCATGAGCAGCGCGGGCCAGTAGACACCGTGGAAGCGGAGAATGTCTTTGCCAATGACCTGCAAGTCAGCCGGCCACAGGCCCATGTCCTCCTTGGCCGTGTGCCACTTGGTCCCGTAGCCGGCGTTGGTGATGTAGTTGATGAGCGCGTCGACCCAGACGTAAATGGTCTGCTCGTCGTCCTCCGGGTCGGGAATGCCCCAGCCGAGGCGCGACGCTGGGCGGGTGATGGACAGGTCCTCGAGGTGGTTCTCGACCCAGTGGCGCACTTCCTTCATCTTGTGCGCCGGGGTGATCCAGTCGGGGTTCGCGTCGTAAAACTCGAGCAGGGCGCCCTTGTACTTGGCCAAGGGGAAGAACCAAGTCTCCTCCTCGACCCATTCGACCTCGTTTTCCGTCTCGACGTTGACCATGATTTTTCTCCCCGTCTGCGGCACCATGCTGGCCTGGACCATGTCGGCGGGATAGAAGCACTCGTCGTCGACGCAGTACCACCCTTTGTGGGTGCCCTTGTACAGGCCCCTGTCTTCGGGGAGACTGTGCTTGAGCTGCAGCCAGAAGCGCTGGACAGCCTCCTTGTGTTGGTCGTCGGTGGTGCGGAGGAAGAAGTCGTGCTGGACGTCTGCCGATGCAGCCAGGGCCCTGAACTTGCTGGAGTTGAAGTCGCAGAACTCCCTGGGCTGCATGCCCTCCTTTGCCGCGGCTTTCTGTATCTTCATGCCGTGTTCGTCGGTGCCGGTGCACAGGACGGCTTGCCTGCCGTTGATCTGCTGCCATCGCTTCAGCACGTCGGCCAGGACCATGGAGTACAAGTGCCCGACATGGGGAGCTGTTGGCCCGCGGGTCAGCAGGCGAGCAAGACAGCCGAGGAGTGCTTGGTTCAAGATGCATACAGGCATTGACGTAAAAGATGGGAGTCGTGATGTAGTATGGCTTCGCAGGAGAGCTGTCGGAGCTGCTCCAGCGCACGGTGCGCGGCCGACAGCCCGGACACGTCCAGCTGGGCCGCGCACGCGGTATCGCCCGGAGAGCGTGCGATGCGACTGACCGCATGGCGGACCGAGGCTCGATTCGATGGCGACCTTGAAGCTGTCGAGCAGATCGTGGATTGGGATTTTCTGCGCCTGGACAAGATTGTCGGCACAGTGCCAAGATCTGCCGTGCGATAACTGTGCTCGATCAACAGAAGAGAGGCCTGAAGTCCGACTCGCCCCAGCTCCTCTGCTGCATCGCAAACCCGCGTCCTCAAGCCTCGAGTCACCGCCAGCCGGAGAGTAGAGTCGGCATGGCGCCTCCCGACACCGACACCGAGGTCAGGGTGTCGAGCGAAGGTTCGTGCGCACCACCCCCGTGAAGCGAGCCTGGCTTATGCACGTCGCTGCAGCGGCCGAGACGTTTGTCAACCACTATTACCAAGCCCTCAACAACCGCTCGACGCTGCAGCCCTTTTACATCAACTCGTCTGCGCGCCACTCAACCACGGCCGACATCTCCATCAACGGCAAGGTCGTGGCCACGCCGGACGACTACTCGTCGCTCCTCGACGCCCAAGGCCCCGGCGTGCGCTACGAGATAGAGTCGCTGGATGCGCACGTCATCAATCCGTCGTCGGCCTACAACGCCCCAGACAAGATCCACGAGGAAGCAAAGGTGGAGAGGAACGGGGGTCGGATGAGCATCGCCGTCACCACCATGGGCAAGGTTCAGTTTGGCAAGGGCCGCGACGCGCCGCAAAAGATGTTCAACGAGACATTTGTCCTGGTCCCCAACTGGGACTCCATGGCGAGGAATCCCCCACGCGGCATCAAGCGGTGGCTCATCATGTCGCAAAACTTTCGCGCTCTATGAATCCATGGGCATGCCGGACAGATGTGGCGGGTTTGTGACGGACGGAATCAACAGCAGATACCCCGCGCCAACGGCGCAAACACGGAGAGCTTAGTAGACACGTTTTTGCCTCAAATCATCGTGCCCAGTCTGTCTGTTTGTTGGTGGGCTAAGCATGTGCAGCTAGAGGCCCGGATAAACGGTGGGGTCGTTGCGAGAACAATGCCATCGGCCCTGCTTTCTTCCCTCCCCTCCACCACCCACCACCAGCACCAGCACTCTGCTCCAACAATGCCGCCCAAGCCAAAAGGCAGCGCGCCAGCCAACAACGCCCTGTCTGGTGGTCCCCGAGGCCCTCGTCACCCCTCTGCCCAGGCTGACGGTGGTATTCCCACGGCTCCGGAGCCTACCCTCGACACCCTCGGCGAGCGCGCCCGACGCCGATTCCATCAAACCAACCCCGTCGAGGAAAGGTTCCAAGACGTCGGGCTGTCGGGTCTCACGCCAGCCGAGAAGAAGACATACGTGCATTCCCGCCTGATCCTGCCCGTCGCCCAGCACGCAGTGTCGCTGTCGACCAAGACGGAACGCGACTTCTGGAAACAAGTCTCCAAGGACGCCCTCCCCGTTCGTCGCCTTCGCAAAGACTATAGCTGGGGCAAGGACAGGAGCGGTCGCGATTTTGCATCGTACAAGCTCGACGACTTTGAACAACGCAGCCTCAAGCACGCCAGGCTGACGGCCTTGGACATTCTGCATCGCCATTTTCTCACGAAGAGACGGCTTGCGCGCAACAACGGCACCGACGTCCCTTCGGCGGAAATAGACGACGAGAAGACGAGGAGAATCAACATGGCAGCCTTGAAGAGGGATCTCTACGGTGAAATCACCGGCCCACTGGCCAACGACCCCGAATGGGACGACGTGATTCCCATTCCCCAGAACGAGCCCGAGGATGCTCTCGCCAAGATTGCCTATCCTGACGACTATGCCGAGGGTGAGCCAGCCCCCGACCAATTCCACGCTTTAGTCCGTTCTGACCTCGAGCACAGCCGTGTCCTACTTGCGCGCCGTCATGGCCGTCGAGGAATGCTCCCCTCGCTGCCTGCGTCTGACAGAGCACGTCATCACAATGAACCCAGCTCACTACACCGTCTGGCTGTACCGCTTCAAGATTATTTCCGCGCTGGGTCAGTCTATTCCCGAAGAGATCCAGTGGCTCAACGAGGTGGCCATGTCGCATCTGAAAAACTATCAGATATGGCATCATCGCCAACTCCTCATGGACCATTACTACCCGGTCATAGCATCTGACGACGAAGCTGTCAAGAGGTTGGGCAAGTCTGAGATGGACTTTATCACCGCCATACTGGCCGAGGACACCAAAAACTACCACGTTTGGTCATATCGCCAGTACCTTGTTGGGAAACTGGGGCTTTGGACCCCCAACGAGCTCGGCTCGACGCAAAACATGATCGAAGACGATGTGCGCAACAACTCGGCATGGGCGCACCGCTTTTTTGTCGTCTTCTCCGACCCCCGGGTATCGACCGCCGACCTGCCCCCCACGGCGCATGACCCCAAAGTCCCCGATTCGATTGTTGACAGGGAAGTGGTCTACGCCAAGGACAAGATACTCATCGCGCCGCAGAATCAGTCGGGGTGGAACTATCTCCGTGGCGTCATGGCCAAGGGTGGACGCGGTCTTGCTACTATGGAAGAGTTTTCTTCGCAGTTTGTTTCCGGTCTCGGCCAGGACAGCGAGACGGTCAAGAGCTCTCATGCTCTTGACTTGCTCGCCGACGCCTACCGCGAAAAGGGAGACAATGAAAAGGCCAAGTTATGTCTGCAGAGGCTCTCTGAGAGGTGGGACCCTGTACGGGAAGGATACTGGAAGTACCGGGCTGCCGAGCTTGAGCGGGCGGCTTGACGTGACGTGGTCGGACTGGACTGGTTCGGGCCATGGCATTCACTACAAATGTCGCAGGACCAGCCGTTCCTGACCTTCCATGGTTCCCAGTTCCCGGGGCTAGGAAACCAGGGACCCGAAGTGTGTCCTGAAGGCGGTCAAGCCGTGTGATACAACTTACTGTACTAATGCCTCCCCATTCGGCGGTCTGTATGCAGCCATGCCGAGTTGACGCGGGGAGATATTTGGCCAAGGCAAAGGAGCATGACCACGACGTACTCAGTCGCCGATTCCAACCCCCCCGGGCTTAAAGCTGTAGGGTCCCGTGTTCACCGCTATGCGCCATTAAATAAAGAACCCTTCCTATGCAATTCTCATCACACTGGCGGCGATGCCGCCTAAGGTATATCGCATGTAACTAGCCGCGAACCTTGAAATCTCTGGTTACCCTCTGTGGGCGGGCCCCTTTCTCCTCGGTGCTCGAATACATATATAGGCATATCGGGAGAGTCCCGTTATCTCTCACACTTTTTGTCACATTCAGTCTCGCCACAAGCATTACTCGGACAACGATATCAAACCCCTCACTCTACGTTCGCAAACCCTCATCATGGCCAAGGACTCCTCTGTCCACGTCGATGACGAAAAGCCCCTCACCGCTGAGGAGAAGCAGTGGTTCAAGGAATCAGGTTACGGAAACGAGTTCAAATTCCTGGCTGCTCACCAGCTCAGCATCTACAAGGAGGGCGACCGCCAGGAGGGGCGGGCCTTGACTCGAGGATACATGAAGATGGACAAGTACCAAGACGATGCCGCGACAAAGGCCGGCGGCTCTGCCCCGGCGACAGGCAATGGAAAGTAATAAGCCGGCATTCAAGGGCATGTTGCGCGAGCACCACTCTTTTCTGCAGTAGAACTTTTCATCGACCGCATCTGGCCTCGAGTTCCGAGGCAAGGCTCGCTGAACGGCCATTTCAAGACACATGCCTTCTTTCAGCGGCGACGATAGTCATAACGAGGGCGATGGGGGTTCAGGGAAGGTCGAGTGGGACTGGGACTTGTTTCGTTGAGGCTGGACTTGTCAACTTGAGAAATGAGTTGGGTACGTCTGACTGCAGGTTTGAGTTGCATGATTGAATGGCCAAAAGTCCCTCTGGCTGCCTGAAAGGCGGAAAGTCTTGCCTGTCCCCTCATTAACAACGGAGAGTCACATGGCTTACTGACGTGATACTGCACCGAAACCCTCTGGTCTATCGGATACTCATGCTGTACGAAGGAGCCACTGCGCTACAATCACTCGCAAGGCCTTCACCTGCGTGCGGCCGTGGTGTGTGACTGGCTCTTGTGCGGCATTCCCATTTCCCAATTCTCCCCATTGCTCTTCATTGTGCACCTGGGTGACCAAGACTATTACTTGTGACCAGGTCAGAATAGGCCTGGACACCCGGTCGCGAAGCCTGGTCGCGGAAGTGAGTCCATCTCCACTGCGGCACACCATCTCAGCAGGCCAACCGGGATAATCCCTCAAGAAGATGGAGCCATGTGCGATGGTTGGAAGGACGGAATATGCTCCAAGTGCGGCTGAGCTCAGCTGGCGGCATCCTTCTTACCTGCACGCTTCCATGAGTCTCAATACCCCGAACATCTGGCTTGGTTTAGTCGCAGCTGGCAGGTTGCTAGCTAAGATTTAAGGCAGCGGCTGGACATCGAGTGGCAGCTATCCGTGGGAGCAGTCTTTCTTATAGTCTGCTTTACTACCGCTATCATAAGTGTGGTTCTCTTCATGTCCAGAATGGCAATCCCTGGTAGTTTGAAGGGGACGAGGGCACACCCCTAAAGCACACGCAACACACGGCTAAGGGTAACCGGAGTGTCTAACGTCTTTTCAGTCTGGATCATCTGATCATCAAGGAAGCAAGCGACTCTGTGAGTCACTTGTCGCACTGGTGGTTGCTCTGGTATTTTCACTTCATGACTCTGTCAAGCCGAGACGCCTCTGTCGGCAGCATTCGCTTGAGGGGAAAACAAACGTTCGATAGACTCGAGGGATGGCTAAATGCTTGCTCGCCCGTATATGGTTTGTTTTACAGGAGCCATGACTGCAGACTAGGTGGTGAGTGGCGCCAACATGGACGATTGTTGCCAATCTATATATAGCAGTCATGCGCTCGAGCCGCTTGCAGGAGCTTTACTTTTTCCCGGGACGCAGGAGCATAAACGCGAGCCATCTCGTTTTCGGTTGGCCCCGTAAATAGTCTATGCCCTCGGTGATGCTAGAAGCTGCCCCATGTGTATCTGCTGATCCTGGTTTTCGCAGCTATCGTAACGATATCGCCTTGGCTTCATAAATAGAGCTGAGAGACACGATACCTTTGGCTGATGGACTCGGCTTTTGAACCATGGCTAATACCAAAGTCGATAACGCTATCTGCTAGGCTTGCCATGCGCCAGCCTGCGGCGGGGCCGATACAGGCTCGACGGCTGAGGCATCAAGACTTCGGCCAGTGACACGGCCAGCAAGCAAAACAAGGGCGAATAGTCCGACGGCCAGAGCCTCTAGACCTCGGCCTTGTGCCCGGGAAACAAGAAGAAAGTGGCTGTTTGCGAAAGCTAATAGGCCTAGAGAAACAAGAGTGCATGCTCTAGCATCTGTGGCTGGTGGTAGCGTGCTCGAGCTGGGCTTGCCAAGAGGACACCAGCAACAAAGCAAGCATCTATTGGCTTGGGTGAGATCACTGTCAACATGGACCTTGCGCTTCTAGACCTTACGACGAGATCAATCGCTGGATATGCTTATTTTAAGCATGATTCTGCACCCCGCTCGTCGAGTTGCTCGGTATATATAAGGCCTCGTCGAAACTGCTGGGTGAGGCCGATCTTTGAGTTCCATCTCGCACCACATTTACATCCATCGAATATTATCACAGTTATCTACCACCGCAGTCAGCAGTCGACCACTTATGAGGCACTTGTACTGAAGGTCGCAAATAGAAATGCATTTCAAAGTCATTCTCGCCATCATCACCGCGGCCTCGGCTGCCGCTGTTGGTGAGTTGGCAATTCTCTGCCTGGCCTCTTTGAGGAATTCGTCGTCTCTGGGTCTGACTGACCAATTGCTGAATAGATACGCCGGCCGAGAACAGCGTTCGCAGGCGTTGCGATTGGTTTGGAACCGCGCCCTTTTGCAGCGGTCGATGTCCTTCTGGATGGAGGCAAATTCAGCGCGAGAAGCTGAACTGCTGGAGGGGAGCCAAGGTCTACTGCTGCCGCTGAGTATATGTGATCGCATCTGCCTGTGAGGCGACTCAGCTTTCTCTACAAACGTTGTACTCGAGAGTCACCCCCTCGAGTAAGAGACAAGCCTCAGCACCCTACCAGAGAAACCTGGGGTCAAATAAACGGATAATTATTGCATAAAATGTTTGCCCAACAACGACCGCAGTTGTTTCTACATCCAAGGCGAGGTCCATGCTTCTGCTCTATCGAGTAGCTACTCATTTCAACTTTAAAGATATGCCAGTGAGATGTTTTTGAAGCCTTGACCTTCGGACAACATCCTCAACTAGCTTGATGGAGTTCGTCCGGACTTGGACGAGTTCATCGATCTCCCGTCCAGGACATGACGGTCCAACCATGCGTCATGCTGCAGTCACGACCAACATCGGAGTGGCGGACATGAGATACACGTGATAACCTACCAGACAGTCTCATTTTCCCCGATTCACCCTCAGGATCAGCTTCAATCCGACCGTGTTCGTACGGTCCGACTGGCAGAATAACAAAGTGGTCTTCGTTGCTACTGCCGGGTTATTCTATACCCATGTAAGTCGGTCGTCTCTCTGGCTTCAGTGAGCCACTTCTCAACCGATAGACAGCGGTTACAATAAAAGAGCGGCTTATGTTGAGCTGCAGATGCAGGGTAATATCTGCCATCCACCACACGGAGTGATTCACGTTACCCAATTGACTCGGGCTGTAATGCTGCCATACTGCCTGCTACATGAGTATGGGGAGATGTGTTGATTTCGACTTTTCGGCGCAATATTCCTTACAATGCTAATACAAGTCCCCGTCATGTTCTCCTTTATACTTTACGTTACCAGGAGACAAAGGTCAATTTGTCCCGATGGTCCCGAAAAAGATCGCAAGAACGGCGCATTTGCGACACATCCGTCCTCCCGCTCCGCAGGAATGGTGGCGCTCACGCTACTGTCCCAGAAGCCAACGCCCATCTAGAATACCGCCTCGCCGGCATCTGCGTCTTCCGGGCGGGTCTAGGCCAGATCGAGGCCGGCCGTCTTTAATGACATCGGGCTGCTCTGCAACTCTCGACGAAATAGCGGGCGATTTGCTTTGGGCATCCGCATCGGAAGAGGACCGGACGAGAGTTGCGTAGATCAACACTGGAGGGCTAGGACAATCGCATCTTGATAACCTTTCTGGACCGCTTTAAGACCGTCATTTCTCGGGCCTGTGTATGGAACAAAGCGCAACAAGCGAGAGGCGGGAGGTGGCCGGGAAAATGGCTTCAGGCTGAGGCTGTGAGACTCTTTGAGTCTTCTAACGGCCGGCAACGAGCAATGCCGCATGCCGCATCGCCCGCTAGTCCACTCTGTGTAGCCTCTACTAATCGCTTAGACGCCGCCTTGAAGATGCATGTATGATAAGTAGCTTGATTATCTGCGCTCCCTTTCCCTGCAGTCAGGTTCGTCTATCCTGCCTCTCTCATGTATCGACTATTTTCCAACGAGCGCCGAACTGCTCAAGGCCGAAATGGGTCTCCAGCGCCGGACCGCCAGTGTCGAAGCTCTACATCGAGTGCCGACGCAAACGTCTCCGCCGGACTTCACAATAGTAGGAAGGACAGACTCAGAGACGAAGTCGGAATCAACAATCACGCCATATTATACGGCGTTGAATGGCGTCGATGGACCGACCAACATGCGCTGCGCAGACATTATGTGGTGGAGCCTGGGCATCCTCGCTCTCCTCATCCTCGTCATACGCATATCAGAAACAATATGGGCCAAGCTGCGACAAGTGTCGGCCATGTCGAGACCGCGAGAAGACCAATACTACGAAGAACAAGCATACTGGAAGACTTCTCAGTGGAGATGGGTGCCCGGGCTCAAGAAGCACTTGCTCTACGCACCCCTTTGGAAGAAGCGACATAACAGCCCGTTTCGGCTGGGCTTGGGCACGCTGCCTTCTCGACTATTCATCATACTGATCGTCCTCTACCTGGCCTCTAATGTTGCCTCCATGCTCGACCTGAAGCTGTCCAACCCTAATCGATATGCTGTTCTTGCCGAGCTACGAGGCCGCTCTGGGACCCTGGCGGTTGCCAACATGGTACCACTCGTCATCTTAGCCGGCCGCAACAATCCCCTAATACCCATTCTCAAGATCAGCTTCGATACATTCAACCTACTCCACAGATGGCTGGGTCGCATTGTGGTCGCCCAGGTCCTAATCCATACTATGTGTTGGATTATCCCCGTTGTTGCCGATGGCGGCTGGGGTCTCGTGTGCAAGATTATCACCAGCACTACGTTCGCCACGTCTGGCACCGTCGGAGCAGTCGCCATGCTTTTCCTGCTCTTGTTGTCGTTTTCACCCATACGACATGCCTTTTACGAAACCTTTGTCGACATTCATATTCTCCTCGCAGCCACCGCCTTCGCCACCACCTGGATTCACTGTGCTTCAGCCGATGTTGAAAACGGGCTTCCCCAGCTGCCCTGGATCATGGCCATCGTCTACCTCTGGTTCGCTGAGCGCCTTGCTAGACTGGTGCGGCTTCTCTATGTAAACTGGTCTGGCGGAGCCCTCACTACAGCCCTCTGCGAAGCTTTGCCAGGCAATCTCACACGTGTGACGGTGCACCTCCCGCGCCATCTGAGTATCAAGCCGGGCACGCATGCCTACATACGCTTTTGGGGTATCAACGCCTGGGAGAGCCATCCATTTTCCATCGCCTGGGTCGAGCATGGCGACAGCCGGGGACTGGCCCGATCAGAGACCGAGAGCTCCCTCGAAAAGTTGGATCAAGTCAATGGTCCGACCTCGGCGTCCTTCCTTATTGGCGCTCACACGGGGGTGACTCGCAAGCTCTTCAACAAGGCCAGCAGTTGTTCCACGGGCGTCCGGGTTAGGGCTACAATCGAGGGTCCATATGCAGGATATCATAATCTCGACTCTTACGGCCACGTTGTCTTATTTGCTGGCTCTACAGGGATAACACACCAGTTGTCGTATATCAAGCATCTCCTTGAGGGGCATGCTGTCGGCACCGTCGCCACACGCCGTCTGGTGCTCAACTGGGTCGTTCGCGACCTCAACTCGTTAGAATGGGTGCGCCAATACATAGATGCGCTCCTCCAGATACCCCATAACGAAGACGTGCTGCACATTTCAGTCTTCGTCACGCGCCCAACGAACCAATACGGCATCAATACCATCCCCGAGATCAAGATATCCCGCGGGCGTCCCGACGTGTCTTTGCTCGTCGCCGAAGAGGTCCGCCAGCAGATCGGGGCCATGTGCGTCAGCGTTTGCGGAGCTGGAGGCTTGGCGGACGACGTCCGAGGTGCGGTAAGAGCGGTTCAGGGGGCCAGCGTTGTTGATTTTACAGAGGAGAGTTTCACATGGTGAGCGGCTCTTGGAAGCAAGCCTTACACCGAGCGTTTTTCGAACAAATTTCGCCAACCAGCGCACATAAAAGTAGGGAAGTGCGGCTAGTTGAAGGCCAAGCGCCGATACCATAAATTATATACGTATATTCTTGTTAAAATAATGCTCTACAGATACAGCGAGCCTAAAATGGAATTAATATCATGATTAAGGATCATTCAAAGAGAAACTCTGAAAGAAACTAAAAATAAACATGTATGTGCCTTGAGGAACGAAAGGCCTTCTAACGTGCCCCGCAGACCCCGCCCTCTCCCCCCAAAAGTTCTCCGCCCCTTGATTGGTCCCTTGTGATTGGTCCCTCCTTGCCTCCCTCCTTGTTGGTCGCTGCCCTTCCCCCGGCTTCTGTTGCCTTTTCGCGTGCCTTATCCCACCACTGCCGACTCTTCCCGCCTGCCGAACTCTTCATCGCGTCACCTAGCGCGGCCGCCTTGACTCTTCAGCATCACCGTCCAGCCAGCGCAACGCCTCCTCAACGGTCCTCTCGCTCAGTACCTCGAGCCTGGCCTGTGCGGCAGTCATCTCCTCGGGGACCCGGTTGCCCCCAAGTCTCTGTCCCGCACCTTGGACACGAGCATGATGCCGTCTAGAGTTCGGCAGCGCGATAGCTGCACGTACAGGCCGTACGGGTCGCACTGCGAGGGCACCACCGTTCCATCCATCTTCGTCGTCCGTGTCCCTCGCAGCTCGAGGGCCACGCGCTCCAGCGTTTTGCCCTGCACCTTGTAGTCCGTGCACGCGAACGCTGCTGCGCACGGCAAACCCTTTCGGCTGACGTCGTTGCGTTGCCACGGCCTTTTTCGCTGGCACTGTATCTTAACGGTCATGGGTGTCAACAAGATCGTGCCCGGCGGCATCCCGACGAAGTGGAGATATCTCGTCGTCTCCGATTCGAGAATGATCCCGCCGGCGGCCCGAAGTGGATCGTCATATCGGCCGAGATCCGATGCCCCGGGTACGCCTTGTCGACAATGACCTCCACCGCCGAGTAGCTCGCGCCGTTCACTAGCTTCAGCCCCTGGTGGGTGTTGTGGTTCACGACGATGGGCATCCCGGCCACGAACATGAAGACGGCCGGCACCGGGATCGCGCTATCGTCGCCCTGGTTGAGTATCATGATCGCCTCTTCCTCCGTCGGCAGCTCCTCCTTCCACTTGTGCTCGGAGATGAAAATGCGCATCGTCGACCGCTGCTGGACCCGGAACGCCAGGCTCGCCTCCATGTTCAGGTTCCACCGATTCCTATTGAGCGGCGTCACCACGGTGATGCCCGTCTCCCAAGGGATCCGCCTTCCTCCCGGTAGCACCTTGAGTTGAGGAGGTTTAGATCCGTCCGATCCTGCACGCCTAGACGGATCCGCTTCAGCAGCCTCTGCAGCTCCGGGTCGCCGGCGGCGCGCATCTGCTCGTCCAGCATGACGACCGTCGTGAACCTCTTCCACAGTGCGTGCGCTTTGTCGTGCTGGTGACGCTGCTCGGCCTTGAACGAGTTGTCTACGTCCCACGAGATGGCCGCGCTAGGCAGGACGATCGACCTCTCTTGGACCGGCCGGAACTGCTGAAAATCTCCGCAGAAGAGGACGATGGGGATCCCCCCGAAATCTTGCCGCGATCCGCGAAGCCGGCGAAGCCGCTCGTTCACGGCGTGCAGCGTCCGCGCCCCGAGCATGCTCACCTCGTCGATGACGAGCACATCCTTCTCCTGCCAATCCATTCGAGACTGGCCGTGGATGAACCGCTCCGCCTGTTTCGGCAGCCGCACCCGTCAAGGTCTTTGACCATGTTCGCGCCCCCGCCCCTTGGTCTTTAGTGAACCCGCAGGCGGGTGGATCGTGATGCCGTTGATCCGCGCCGCCGCAGTCCCCGACGTCGCCGTGATCAGCAGACGATTCGAAAGGCTCTTTTACTGAACAGCTCGACGAGTGCCTCGATGATTCGCGACTTGCCGGTACCGCCCTCGCCACCGACGAACTGGCGCAGCTGGCAGGCATCGCCCCGTCGGTCTGCTGCATCAAATCGAGCTGGCGGCATATTATCAGAAAAGCGATGGACTGCCTCTTGTTCAGCGTCAGCCGTGTTGCCAACACCTTGCCCGCCGCGAGGAAGGAGGTTGATGGGCCAAACTGAACGTCCATTCCCGCCCCTGCGTCGATAGCGGTCTCGTCGGAGTCGGCCATCGTCATTTCGACCTCGTCCTCCCGAAACCGGTCATCACCCTTCGCAACGCTGCGCGGCGATCGCTTTCCCAGGCGGCGGGCGTGCTTTGTATCCCTTGGATCATCCTCTCCTCTCCTTCGAGGCACTTACCTGCTGCGACTTGATAGCCTTGACCTGATCCTGCGGCGGTAGTGCGGCCCCGGAAAATACCCGCCCTGGCATGCTTAACCGCCTCTCCTCGTTCGATCAGCGCCGTGGCCTCGAGCTCGGCCGTCGAGCGCAGCGCCGATTGCTGAAACCGACAGAGCTGCTGTATCATTGCCATGAGCTCCGGCGACTTGGCCGTCACCTGATTCGCTCCCACTGCACCTCGGACGACGTCGATGAGCCGCGTTGCGTCTCCGATGCTGTTGGGCTGATATGTCGCTGCAGACTCCGCGCCCGCCTCGCCTGCTCCACCCTCCTCGACGTGTGCGACCGTCGGGTCGCCATCGCCGGACGAGGCTGCCCATTGCTTGGCGTCGCGTTTTGCGTCTTCGGCGGATCGTCGAAGCAGCTGCACGTTGTCGACGAGACATGATATTCTCGGGGCCATAGCGTCTCGAGCCCGCGCCCAGATGCTGTTGATCTCACCTGTTCCTTCGCCCAGGAAGGACTCCACGGCACGAACAGCGCAAGATGCTGCACGGCTGCCCTTCAGGGGGTGGGTTAGCCTCTCCGATAATGCCCGCTGACAGAGCAGTTGCCATACACACCTCCGGTAGCACGACTCGTCATCGTAGGTGAAGTCCTTGCTCAGGTAGCCGTCGAGGCAGACGGTAGCGTGCTTGCCCGGCCGCCTGAGCACCTGAACCCAGCGTCGTCCCGGCGCCCATCCATCCTCGAAAGACATCTCCCCAAGCCGCCCAGCTCTCGTCGTTGCCGATGCGTTTCAGTCTGACGATCGATATGTAGTCATACAGGCATAGGCCTTTCAGCAGCTCTCCCGGTGCTGGTACGCCTCGACGTGGGAGATTCTCAGGCCTTCTTCTTCGACGACGACCGACTCATCCAAGGTGTCATCCATAGCCGCAGCGCCACTGGCTTCTCGGAGATGCCGCCATCGCCGAAAGACTTCCCAGTACAGCAGAGAACAGTTCAGGTACGCCCACGCGCTGCTGTCGGTGAACTCGGCCGGATATCCGAGAAGGTGAGCGACGACCTCGACCTGTGATAGCGGACGCTCCGTGAACACGCGGTTCGCCACTCTCATCAGGAACTGTCGCGTCCTGTTCCCCTTGACAGGGTCATCGGTGGCAGCGTCTCCGCCACCGTCCCGCCCTCCGTTGGCCGTGCCATCACCTGTTGAGGCGGCCAGGAGCTCGGCCGCGGCCGCCACACGCTTCCACACCGGGTCCTCCACCTTGGTCGCGTAGTTCGTGACATAATAGATGAGGGCCATTGTCTTGCGCTGCGTCGCAATGAAGGAAATATCATGGTTGTGCCGGAGCCCGACAGCAATAGCCTCGTTCCATCGATTGACCATGCTGTGTGTCCTCCGGATCTGCAGCACCCCGTCTGCCGTGAGGGCGGTCTTGTCGACTAACCTCCATGGCGCCTTGAACCGGCAGAGGTCCCCTTTCCGCCCTCCTTTGCCCAAGGAATACTTCACACAGGTCGGGCTATGCGTGTGCACCTGCGTCGCGCCGGCACAGAAGTTGGCCTCCTCGATAAACGCGGCCGAGAACTGCGCGGCGTTGTCCAGCAGGGAACCAATACCGCCCGTCACAGATCGCTCCGCTTGCACGGCGCAAAAACTTTCCTGGTCCAGATCCTGCCTTGCACGTCAACCCGGCCCCACTTGGCCATCAGAAGAGTACTTCAGGCTCCGGTGGCATATCTTAGGTAGGCATTCTTACCTCTGAGAAGACGCTATCGATGTATCGGACGATTCGCTCGCGATACGCCGCCTGATCCTCCCCGTGGATGTCGGCAAGCATCGAGCTGAGATGCGCGTTCCCGTGCAGCCAGAGCAAGCCGTGAACATGAAGCGCCCCTCGTTCGTTCGTCTCCACGGCGCCATAGTACTTGCCGATGCGCCCGAATACCGACTCTTCACCGACCTTCACGTAATGATCGAAGAACAGCTTCATCTCGCGGTGGAAGAACACGGCCGAGCTCATGGGATCCGATATCGCCAGCCGTGCCCGCTTATACGCATCCCCAAGGCCTTCTAAGAACTCCTCGGCCGCGTCGGGATCGCGTGTGCGGTATGCCGCCAGTCGCAGCTTCACCGGGTTCGTAATGTCGTTCGGGTTGATGGTGAACCAGATGGCCGGCACGCCATATCCGACGATGAGCGACTGGATTTTCCGCCGCATATTGAGACGGACCTCTCGACATGGGCTGCCGGTGGCCGTAAAGCGAGAGGCTCCTGAGAAGCTCCTTCACGTCACCATCGGTCGTCTTACCCGAGCTCTCCAACTCGACCCTCGCCGCCGCTAGCCTTTCTGTGGTCATCGAACGCACGATGCGCTCTACCTTGCGGAAGTTCTTCCTCCCAACACTCAACATGCTGACCCGGCGGTTCCTCGATCGCACCCCATGTTGAAGACGAGAAATGCGAAGATGTGGTGCAGTGCAAATCGACCACCATGGCGCCGGAGCACGATCTCGGCCCACGCCTGAAGGTTCAAGCTTCGAGACGATACGGGGTCTCCGCGGCCGCCTCTGCCTCGACAGCCCTGCCTCGCAAGTTGGCCGTGACCTTCCCGCGTCGACCATGGTCTCTTCAACCAGCCTTGGTCCCCAACGCCAAATGGGAACAGGGTCGGGAACGTCCTGGCAAAGAAGGACGCCTCAAAGGAATCGGTAAACTCACCCCCCCGCGAAACCCGGATGTATGGCTCACAACCACCGTCGCCACGCCCCCGAACCCCCCCGGCTAGGGACCCGACCCACGCTCTCGGGCCCGCACGGCCGTCGTCGGCACCTTCACCAACAGCGTCACAGGCAAACTGCAGCTTCTCCACGTCCGCGACGTCTGGCGGTCCGTCGAGCGCGAACATGCCAGAAGACGTCACCTCGTTGATCGCTGGAACGTTCTGGTCGGGGCAGGCGTCACTTCCATCGCGAACCGCGCCTTCTCCGTTGGGCCCGTGACCTTCACCCTGGCCGCCGGCTTCTTGTCCTTGGTTGAGCAGGGCGAAGAGCTCCTCGATCTCCACCGGCCCTCCTCGTCCATGGCGCGTTCCGTGGGCGGCACAACGTGCGCCGTCCGCGCTTTCTCCACCCAGACGGCTCGTTCCGCTCCATACGATCGCACACCGACGACGGTACCCCGTGTATCGAGTCTCCCCAGCTCTCCATCTCCGCCGCGTCGATCTCGATCTCGGCGTAGTGGGGTTGTTCCGCTTCAGCCAGACAAGGCCCTCTCGACCACCCGCCGCCTCACCGACAAGAGACTCGACAGGTCGCTCGGTGCCGGCTTCTCCGCGCCCTGCCACGAGATGTGGATCTCGTCCAGTGCTTGCAAAGGGGTGCGGGAGCACTTTGGTGGCCAGCTCCTGCACATTGTTCGGAAACACCGTGATGTGGCCCTGACATGCCTCGGATACTTCACGCTCTGCCTCTGCCCGCCCGGAATGCTATATCTCGTGACAAACCCGTAACATGAGTTCAGCGAGATGAGCTTTGTTCGACCGGCGTCAGTCCCTTGAGCTCATCGGGGAACATGTGCTCGCAGCCAAGGCGACTGTGAAGGTGGATCGCCGGCGACAGGCTCCTGCGCGCCAGGCATCGGCCACACTCGGCGCACACCGACACGGACTCGCCCTCAGGAAAGCAACTCCGGCATGAAAATGGTGAGCGGCCGCCCTTTGGTACGCAACTTGACAGCCAATGATCCCATGTAATCTCCTCAACTCTCCTCTCGTACACTTGCGGTAGCACACCATGCAGGTCCGTATCGGCAACGTGCTCGCATCGTGGAACGCCTGATAGAAGTCTCGCACCGTCGACACCTTCCTCTCGAGCGGTATTGGCGTGCACCACGTCTGATCGTTAGACAATCTCTCCTTCAAGGCAAAGTCTTCCTCCAAAAAGCGCAGCACACTCGCCAGGTCTTCGGCCTGCAGCTCCCGTCTCCTATGCCTTCCGATTCCACTTCGGACCTGTTTTATCGGGCGCCCATCCCGGCTAGGAAGACGGGCTCTCTTCTCCCGCCTCCGGGACTGCCTCTGTCCGCGCAGCGAGCCGTCCGCTGCCTCTGCTGCGCCATCGTCCACACCCACCTGTGCCCTTGGCCGCCGAACCGGTCCCCGACGGAGCTTGGGCAAACCCCATGCAATCGATGCTGCAAATTGCGCCGTTCGTCTTAGGTCTTGGAAAGTCGTATCCTTGGGCTGGATAGGTCGGAGCGTCGGTCCCTTTTTCGAACGAACACCCGGGACACCGCCGGTCGCCACCTTATCTCCCTGCCCGTCACCTTCAGGACCCCTCTCCTGGGGCAAAACGGCCGATGAAGGGCGGACTGTTAGAGCCCACTGCCCCTGGTCTCCACGTTCTGTAGGCAACACGAACCTCGGAAGCGGACTCGGTGACTGACGTTGCGCGGAATTTCCGCTGCTGACCAAATTACGGGACTTCCGTGCTCTGCTTGACCGCAAACCGCCTCGCGGCGGTCTTCTCGGCAGTGACTTTGCGATCGCCTCTGCATGCTTTCTCCATGCGGTTTCTTCGACCGCAGACTGCTTAGGCTGAATCAGCCGGAACGTTAATGCTTCATTCGCCACTGATCTGTATCTCCCGAACCGCCCCAACCTTGTCTCCCGTGCTCTGTGCCCTTCTCGAGTTGCCCTGTATCATCTCCGCACCCCGAAACAGGCACTCCCCCGTTCCTACCCTCTTCTCCATCCTCGACTGACAACGAACAGGCTCCACGGTGAGCGGCCGCCTCGCCTAGCTTCCCTGCAGGACTGTCCGCCATGCTACTGCCTCCTCGACGTCGACTAGCGTGGATTGGCAACAGGCTAGAAAGTTTTGGCCCGGAGCACTTCCACTTGGATAATCTCGCTTCTTGGCGTACACTATTTCTTTCCGAGTGGGAAGCTTCCTAACGATCACTACTCTCATGGCCGTGGCGTTTCTTCCCTTATAATGCTTGCCTATGGTACCGAAGCGATGCAATACTACTACCCTTTGTAATCCCCATTTACCCTCCCTATGTGCGTCCACCGTCCCGGCCCTCGGCTGGTCTCCACGTGCGACCTGCTACCCCAGCTTTGCCAAAGGCGGCCCTTCCATCGCCGTGCTCTCTTTGCGCACTCCAGCGAATCCTGGCTACTGCCGACCTCCGGCACATGGGGTGGCCGCGCCAACCGCCCGCCGCACACTTCCAACCATACTCTCCGGCCCTTCCAACGCCGTCCCACCCACCTTGCGCATCAGTTGCTCCATCAATATCTGCCACTCCACCTCGTCGAGCAACAGCCAAAAGGCTGCCGGCGATAACATGTCCACGGTGTCCTCGTGCAACCGGACTACCCGGCTAGGTTTGCTCCTCGCCACCACCAACGTCGCATCAACGGCCTTCATGCTAAAGCGACAGCCAGGATCCCCTGCCTGTCCTCTTGTAGTCGCTAGCCACCGGAGTCTCGACTTGCAAACCCTCTTGGAGTTCTCGTGACCAACTCGCATCCTCCTCCTCAGGTCGTCCCCTATATCCGACTTCACCGTGTCCCAATAGTGGACTCGACACGGTCGGCACCCGCCTCGCTCAGCCGCACGCAATGCCCATCCAACTACCGACGACCGTCAAAAAGGGACCCCTGCAATACTACCATAACCTCTTTCTTTCCTTCACTCTCATTCGTTATTGTCGCCTTTGCTATCTACTCCATGCAACGATGACACCGAAGGGTACTGCTGGACTTTCTTTCTCCGCAGACTTACCCACACTAACCTTACTGTTCGCCGACCTCCAACTTCTCGCGACATAGCCATCACCCCTACTCAACTTCCAACCCCCGGCTCCCTACTTCACTCACGACCATAGAACCAGATGGTCGAGACTGTTCAAGAACCTCGCCAGCTCATTCCCGCATACCCCCGCTTCTGATCTATCACCTAGGTAGCATTCTCTGACTCTTAAGTCTCCCCGACCCTAGCCGCGAGCCCTCTTTCGAGCAGCAAGAAAACCTGCTTTATAGGATGCCCACCTCCACTCTGCGTAACCCCTCATTTACACTTCCACGGTGACTACATCTGCCATGTTCTCACGATGTCGGCCTCCCAGCTCAACGTCGATACCTCGTCCTCCCGCGGCAACCTCTTGACAGCCAGAAAAATGCTGGCGCCGACATGTCCATGATGGCCTTTGTCCAGCCCGGCTGCCCGGCTAGGTTCGCCTACCAGAATGAGCATCGTGTCAAAGGGCTCAACGCAGAAACCCTAGCGAGGGTCTTCCTTCCCACGCCCTCATGGCTGTCGACTCCGGAGTATGCAGCAATCCGGTCAGATACTGGCAATCCATCGACCTGCATCTTCTTCAGCCTTAATATTTCCATATACAACCAACAGATAATCTCCTCGGAATGGACCGAGCAATGGTTCTTCATGGTCGGCCGTGTTCATCCCTTTGCCCTGACGTGGAAATCGAGCGACGTGATGGCTTGGAGTCGGACGATGATAACATCACAGAATACACCGTCCCCGCGCTTATAGTCCGCGATCACAGCTACCAACCGTGAGTCTATGCTCCAAATCTCTGTCGCCACTGCCCTCCTGACGATATCCATAGAATTGTCACTCGCACCCTCAGCTCGGTGGATACTTTCCCAACGATACAACCCATTGTCTCCTTCACGGGACCTGTCATCGGCTCCGGCCGCGACCTCCTGCATGGAAACTCGGCTGCGGCCCTTGACGACACCCAGCTGAGCTGCTGCGGCTTTGTCCAGCTCTCCACCTTTATTTGTCCTGGGATTCCCGGCAAACCCCTTCAAGGGCTTTCACCCTTCCAAGTTTTCGTCATCTTCCCATTCACGCTAATCCTTGGACCTCCTATGCAAGAATATGACCGAGAGGCGCGACAGCCAGTTCCAGTCGAACGCTCTCTTCACCTGTACGGGCAAAATCGCCGGCTTACTGGATCACCAGATCATGAAACATGCCCCGGCTTTCGACCAAGACTATATCTTCATCGTCGTCCCCGACACGTGGACTTTCCACGACAAGGCCATGTCCGGCCAGGCTTCTGCAACACAACTACTGCCGACGACACCCAAGAGCGCGGTCGGCAATCCTCGGACTATAGCGTTGCGTTGGCCAGGTTTACCTCTACGAAGAAACCCAAGGCCGCCCAAAGCCCCGCCTCCCCACGCCGCATGCTTCTGGCCCAGTCGATCCTTATGCTGGCATCAAGTCGGTCATTGCCCGATCCCTACCAAACCCCAACCAAGAGACCGCGACTTTCTCCCGAAACTTCCACCATAATCACCGACTGTGACGGTCAAGACTCCCAAATCCGATACCTCCTCCTTTCTGTCCCCGGAAGACCCGCAGAGTCAGAGACGGACACCGAACAGGTCAATCACCAAGACACATCCGCCTCTGGCTCTATCAGACCTCCCGCGTCGATATCTTCCCGACCACTGCGCGCCCGACGTCCGCCCAAGAATATTCTCTGAACTTTAAAGCATCAAACGAAACAATACAACATGACAACATGTCTCATCATCCTCAAAATCAACTGCCAAAGGCTCGAATAGCACATTCTCTTCTCTTCTTGTTCTCCTTTTCATGAAGACGATCAAGTCAAAACTTCCCCAATATACTCCTTATTCTGTTTATACCTACGACTTATACCGGTAGCACATGTAAATTTTCCGAGCCTTCCACTCGCCCAGACATGCATTACCCACTCACATCTCTCTTCAACCCTGCCGTCTCTCCACGCCCTTTGAGTTTGCGCCTTTTTAAACCAAATTTTCCTCCAGCGGCCTAGCCTGCCTTCCCGACGCTCTGTCTCGGTTTCACTCACGATAATGCTCTACGTCTCTCGCCGTGTCTCGTATCTCGACCTCACTCTTCTTCCTGTCTCCTATCTACTGTCGCCAACTCTCTCTCTCTCTTCTGTAGCCAACTCTTCTCCGGTTCTCTTGTCGCCAAATTTCGTTCCGAAAGGCTTCTTTGCGCGAGCCGCGGCTGGCGAGCCTTCCTCTCGTATATAGAAGAAACTCCTAGCGATATAACTCTTCGCAAGGTAATTGGGTAATTTCCCTAAGCTCCCAAGTCCTCCGGGTCCCCATACGCAACTAATTCCGTGACGAATCCTGTGACCTCTTATGTTTAGATCTAACATGTATCTGCTTTTTGATAAAAACTGGTTGCTATAAGATACACCCCAGCCAGGCTGAAAATACGTTGTTGCCTAGCAGGGCATTCTGCCCTTCTCGTACTGCTTGACAGTGGAGTTAAGTCCACGGTAAGAGCCAAACCGCTCGCTACACTGCCCCTAATGTTTTCCGATCGGCCGGTCGACTTGTTAACTTCTTTAGGTCCAGTTAGCTTCTCTAGCCTCTTAAGAGTCTTAGAGCTCGTCTCGAGTACGCAGTAGGGGGGTCTAAAAGTCGGGCGATCCCGGCGACAGCTCCACTATACCCGTTGATCTTGGTGTGGGGCCACAGCAGCCCAACTAAGTGTCTTCGCCACTTAGTTGGCCCAAAAAATCCGGCACAGCCCAAAAAATCCGGCACAGCAGCCCACCTCCAAAACGTCAACCCTATGCATCTCAACCGCGTTTTCTCGCGCAACTTGACTTTATTTACGTATCTTTTTGCCGGAATACATTATGACAGATAACATGGCTACCCTGGAGGCAGCAAAGCCGTTCTGGCGTCTCGTCGCGACCCCAGAGCCGATGTTCGTCGCTCAACAACACCAAAAAGAACGCCTCTTTCCGTGCGAGATGCGGCCATCCGTTACAATGTGAAGAGCTCATCCGTACAGAGAGCCATTAATTTCATAAAACCCCTTTTCCCGTGCTCCAGGGCGTCCATTGGCGCTGACGGAGGACGAAGACGACGCCCTGGTTGCGTATGTACAGTGGATGGAACGCACCGGCATGCCCGCCACGAGAGAGCAACTTGAAGCTGTTGCAAATGCAATAAGAATGCGTCGAGATCCCAATGCCCGCCCGGTCTCGTCAAGTTGGCTTGACAATTGGCGTGGAAGTCATCCTGCGATCGCGAAGACGTATCTCAAAGCAGTTGAACGAGCCCGGAAGTCCTTTGAAGCCCACGGGGTAGAAGAAGTCGAATTTTTCTACTCAAAGCTTCGAGAAATCATCACCAGCTACCGTATTGGCAGTTCAGAGATCTGGAATGAAGACGAGGCCGGAATACGCATTGGGTGCCTGCGAGAACGCATCCAAGTTCTCATCACGCGCACCACTAGAGTCAAGAGCACCCGGCCCCGAGTTTTAGACCCAGCAAACCGAGAATCCTGCACGGTAATTGCCTCAGTTAACGCAGTGGGGGACTCTCTTCCACCCTGGCTTGTTTTCCAACATTACCCTACCACCAACTGGGCCGGCATCGACATCATGACAGGCGTACGGTTTGCCCAGTCGCCAACTGGCTTTTCCAACGCAGAGATACACCTTGAGTGGGCAAGGCATTTCAACTGCTGGTCTTGGGCATCGTCAGCGCAAGCAAAACAGTCAGGAAATTCGCTGGAAGAGTGGTTCGGCTGTGACGAGCATCTTCGGCGCCCCAACATGGGGATGAGTCGCGTGGAGGCGCCGCCAAACCAACGGCCTGACGACGAGAAGATCTACCGATTGCTTGTTGTGGATGGCTTTACAGGGCATACCACCCTTGACTTTGCTGAGTATTGTATCAAGTTTGATATCATCATTGCTATTTTCCTCCACATTCCACCCACCTCATGCAGCCGCTTGATGTTGGGGTATTCCAGCCACTAAAGTCAGCACATCAGAAAGCGCTTCGAAGTCGCTCGCAGAAGGCAACATACCATTTTCGCGGGTCAACTTCCTCACAGCTTTTCAGGACGTATATGAGGCTGGCTTCACGCGGCATAACATTATGGCGGCATTTGAAAAACAGGCCTCTTTCCTGTCGACCCAGCGCCGGTGATCACCAAGATCCTCCACGAGCAGCTACGACAACAGCAGCCGATCAATCCTGCATACGCCTCGCTCCTACCCTCGGAGACGCGTTTCCAAGTCGCCGCGGATGCCCTCAATGATATCCGGCAACGGTATGGGCCCCTCATGAGCTCGCCATCACGAGAAAACTTGCGGGTTCTTGCGAAAGTGAACACCGAGTCTATCGCGATGGCGTCACATTCCCAGGGCATAGTCAGCGATAAGAATAGCCGAACCCAGGCGTATGCGAATCGAATGAAGAGAGGCAAGATTGTCAGGCCGCGCGGAGAGTTTATCACGAGCTCCAGCATGGCCGACATCACCCGGGAGTATGAGGAGCTCCAGGCAAAGCAAACCCGGCTTCAAACGCGCCAGGAGATAAGGATGCATCTTAAACGAGTTCGTGAGATGCAGAAGATCCGAGAAGACTATAAAGTCGGGAAGAAGCAGTTAGTCAATGGCAGAGTCAAGACATTGAACTTTAAGCCCTGGCTAGAGTTTACGGGACGAGACGTTGAGTTCTACACTCTGGAGCAAAGTTGCGATACCCTCATGCGGGAGCTCAAAGAGCCATCAAGGAATCCTTTTCTATGATACCACGAAGAGAAATAACTCCGCCAGAGATGTCAGGGCGCGCGCAGCGACCCGACCTCGCCCACTTACAGATATGTCGTCGTTGCCCGGCAGTGACGATACCGTCTATTTCACAGGCCTCGATCTTGACAAACATAGTGAGGATGGCGCCGACGATGAAGACGAGGACAATTTACTCGACACGCAAGAGAATATACCTCATCGCCGCCGTTAGCAGCGGTTGAAGCGGTAGTCGATACACCATGCCCTCGACCGCGCACCCGATCGTCCAACAAGATACAGCAGACGCTCCAGGAACACAGGTATGGATAAAATAGCTCTCAGAGACGCACAACAGGCGAAATTACTACATAATACGTCTATTTGGACTCACAAACGCGGTCTTCCTATCTCTTCGACTGGAAGGCGGCAGCTCCTAAATAGGCCCAAAGACGTGATTTTTCACTTTTCGTTGTTACTTGCGTCTTTAGGTGATCCGCAGCTATTGATCACATGTATATTTTAGCTATTTGAAGTCGCATTGACGGCACCATGAAGCGAAGCGTAGAATTTCCTTGATTTTGCACCCCAAATTGAGGACCCTGCTGTGCCGGATTTTTTGGGCTGTGCCGGATTTTTTGGGCCAACTAAGTGGCGAAGACACTTAGTTGGGCTGCTGTGGCCCCACACCAAGATCAACGGGTAGCCCTCAGCGTTAAGTGTGCGCCTCATTAAGCGGAGTGTGGGGGGGACACCGCCGCCCATCTGGTAGAGAAAATAGGGAGATGGGCGGCGGTGTTTTCCTCCCCCCTCCGCACGAACGAGTCGCTAAGTAACTGTCAAGCTGGTAAAATACCGCTACACCATGCAAAATGAGGGCACCCCCAATAGAGGTGTTACTAACGCGTATTATAGGCCCTTTCTTGTCCTGACAGTAACAAAAGCTAAAGGGCCATAATAATAAGTAGTGCGTTAGGATAAAGGGACTTATGCGGCATTAGACTAAAGTGGCGATAGGTGCGTGCAGAGACTTTTACGCTGAATTTCGAGCAATGCGACTAACCTTGCATTTGTTAGGAAATTATTAGTATGTCGAAAAGGTTCTTGAGTGCGTGCTTCCATTTCAACTGGCCAAATGATCCTAAACTGGTTAAAATCTGACTATTGTGTGTTCAGCGAGTTCTTGATTCATCCAGGATACGAGTGGCCTCAGTTTAACTTACTCTTAACGGGCAAGGCCCCCCTGAGCGATGCGATTTGGATCGCGAAGATTCCGAGGAGCGCAGCTCCATCTGCGTCGCACCATAAACTTACTCAAGTCCGCCAATAATATGGGTCGTATCGTTAATGCTTCTCGGACATATGACCCACCTACGCTCGCCGGCTCTTACTCTAAAAGATATCTCCGACCCTTCGCCAAGGAACAGGGCCACACATTAAATGCTCCAGTTAGAACTGACTACTCTGTAGTTGTCATGGTCCACAAAAGGATGATTGGCTCTTGAAGCTGGTCTGAATAGTTTCATCCAATATCTCCAACTAACATTGAAACCCTTTGCTCCATTTCAGGGTAGTATCTGTGTGTTCAGGGCATAGCATTTATGCAGCTGGGTGAGCATGCTCCCCGCATTAAACGCCAGCAATTAGGGCTGTTGCAGCTTGGAACACTATAAGGCCATTGCGGATATTTGGCCAGAATCGCCTCATGTGTCATTTGGCTAAGCATGAATCACATGTCCGAATCGACGACTTAGTATACAGCTAATTGCACATAAGCATAAAAACCGGGCTTTGCAAGGACAAAAGTACTACTGGTGCGGACCAGGGACTGTGCTCTAGACGTACTGCACAGTCGAAGGGTGGCGGCTACCGAATCCCGGCTGGCCACGCTTTAGAAGAAATTTCAAGGCTCATTCACTCAATGCATGCTCAACGTTGCTGCTATACCCACCCAATGGAACGTGATATCTCGTCAAGAAGATTTGATTTCTTCATATAAGGACACATCTTCCCCTTGCCGCCCTCCAGTCCAACAGTCTCCAGATCTCTACCATTACACTGCCAAACTTATCGAGGCGTTGACAAGACCCATCTGAGCATCCACTGACAGTCTTTATCGATATGAGACTCTCAGTAGTTACCGGGCTTGCTCTTCTGACGGCTGTTCAGGCGGTGCCGCCTGCAGCGCCGACCACACCGCCTATGGAACCTCAGGAACCCACTGGCGTTTGCCTAACAGTTCCGGAGAGAGTCCGGTTGTCGCCTGAAAAGCAGGTGGACAAGTTATGCTTTAAATGCAATCTTGACGAATTCGATTCTGAGTGGGACTCGCCCTATCGCACCCCAGGGTTTGAGTGGTGGACGGACGGTTGCACTGCGTCACCGGATGAACCGATGCCAGGCCTTAATTACACCAAGTCATGTCGACGCCATGATTTCTGCTATCACACCCTCAAGAAGCAAGGTCGCTTCTACCGCAATGTCAAAACCGAAGTGGACAACATATTTTTCAAGGAGTATGTACCAGATCTAAATTACGGTTCTGCTGTCAGAGGTATCTAATCATCCTATTAGTATGAACGACGCATGCGCTAGTGTCCCAGAGGACAAGAAAAAAGACACGCCTTGGTGGATGTTTTGGATATCCCCAGCTGGGGCCGCCGTACGACATGTGATTTTCAACTGCGACGTATGGGCTAATCTATACCATATAAGCGTGGACAACTTTGGAAAATTTGAAACGTCGTTGGATGATCCTCCGGAAGGCAAAGAGTACGAAGTTGTTGATGGGCGAGTTCAGGAAAAGAGTGCTGTCAAGGCCTAGAAATTATAGCGCCAGCTTCATTTGAAGTCAAGTTCGGGGTCGAAACTTGATTACTTGGAATAGAATCGTCTGTTAAGTTGTCTGAATTAAATTAAACTGACATGACTACTTGATTTCTCATTAAAGTATAAAGGTAATATGCTCGGGATCGGGGATGTTATAACGGCAGCGTATATTTAGAAGAGACGAAGAATCCTCGTCCAAATCTTTGATACTTATAGCCTTAGCGCCTACCCCTCCTCTCTACCATTTCTACTATCTGGGTGTACTATAGGTTACGCAGTACCTCTACCATTGCTCCTCGTTGTCGAGCCTACTAAAAGTGCCGCATCGTTCACCTGGTTCGGCGCGCTAAACAGCGCTCTATTATGAACCAGTATTATCAAAAGGGGGCTGTAAGTAAATATTTGCGTTATATATATAAAGCGGTAAGTATATCAACTTTAGGGCAAAGAGCACTAGATATAAATAAAATCTGGTCACTCTTATCTTATAAAATTTATGTGGCCGAGGCCTATGGTTTCTTTTGCTTCTGCCAAATTTCATGAATCCAGATAAGTCAAGTACAATAAAGACTCGGTGACGTGAAACCCGACGACGTTCCTTCAACGGGATGTTCAAAGGTGTAGCGACTATGATAGCATACATGTACTGGTCACATATACTATTCTACTACAGACAGGAAGAGCAAATTCTACTTAGGTATTCCTGAATCGGTCCAAGCTGAATGGCCCGACTCGATGGATGACCTGAAGCCTCGACCTTTCTGTGCACATTCGTCGCGACCGAGTGTGGCATATGTCAATTTGACTGCACAAGGACGCTCTGTATGCCGTACCACACTGGACCTCGAATATTGTGAAAGTACCATGCGAATTTTTATTTGCATGCCCCTCCAAGTGTTTGCCCCCGGGAAGCATCACTTTGAGGTCTAGCCACAGTGATGCAGGGCTTCAATCCAAAGGCCGTGATGTTGCTTCCGGACCGTCAAATCAGACGACTGTGTGCACATGCGTGTCAACATGAAGGCAACTGCTGAATACGCAAAGATACTCGAATTGTTGGCTTTTCGGCGCCGTTCTTAGCTCCGCCTCATTCGCGGCCCGGCGGAACTCATCCGGAGCAGTCTCCTGTTTCTTTCGGCTCTCCATCCCCAGGTGTGAGCCTTAAGATCTGAGCCTCACGGGGGATCGGCAGTGGCATTATATTTGGGCTGTGTGCGTGGGCCGGAGGCCGTGGGGATTTTGAACAACGGGCGGAATTTCAAAAGTGCACTCGTACGCGAGAGCGAGAGCGAGAGCGAGTGAGCAAAAGGCAGGGCGCGATGTGGCGCCGGACAGAGGTTGGTTCTCCCAAAACCCAAAGATGGAATGCCATGCTAGAGTGGAACGAGGACGCTCCAGACCTGGCTCTACCGAACGACGCGGTGTTCACATGCGCCGATCTTGATGTGGCTAACATTGGGCAGCTTACATGTCGCCACCCCTTTTTGGGCCGTGGATATGTGCCACCAGGAGCAATCTCGGTCCTCTCGTTCAAATGTCCCACAAAAGGAGTCGCCAATCGCCTTCGAGATCGAAAACCTCACTCTTCCGGCTGGCCCTGTGGCTAGAACCAAAAGTAAGCAATGCCCATGACCTCGTTTTCGCTCTGTTTTCCATTCGCTTCATTGCGATGTGACCTCATTGGACCCACGAGCCTGGGCCGATGATCCCGGCACCGGGGCTCGTGGGTCCCGCAACGGACTAGAGCCGATGCTACGGATACGGAGTGCTCTCCCAGATTCTCCACGTGTCTCGGCTACGTCCGGAGCGACCCGCCAAGCCCCAGGTCGCTGGAAAGAATGCATACAGGCGGCTCACGGCGCAGGGTTGGCATCTCTGAAAGATAGGCCACGGTCAGCACTTGAATAGGAGAGAAATCTTGAGGCCGTAGTAACTAGTACACCAAGATAACCGAAGCCTCGACCTGTTGCTAGACTGGTGGCATGTCATGGGCTCCGTCCCGAGAACTCAGTCAAAGTCATGATTCGTTGAAACAATTGGATAGATGCATTTCAAAAGTAGAGCCTGGACTTGATGCAGTCAAGACAAATGAGAGGCCCGTCAACGATGACCCGACCGGATATTTGTGCTTCGTACGGAGTAGCGTAGGTTGTTTTCAGATTCAATCACATGCCCGTGCACGAAACCTGCGGCATCCAGCATCATTTCGACCGTCGACGTTCAGCCGGCCCAACCAAAACACGTACGAACCCTACCAAGGCCCAGCGCCATACGCATCACACGTCTCAATTAGCTGTTGTGATTTCCTGTAGAGTACACAGTGTTGATCCTTTTTCCCAAGCGACCCAGGACACAACATTGTGGTATCGGGGCCTCTATTTCACGGGGTATACTTGGCCACTCGCACTCGGCATCACTTTCGACCAAATTTGCTGACCCCCTCGCTTTCTTTTGCAAACGCTTGGCATCAAAATAGTCGATAGAACGTGCAGGGCATCAGTGTTTTGGAACGATGGGCCCGGTTTCGGGCGGCCCTCTCTTCCCAGCGAGGCTGGGATATCCCGTGGGAGCATCGTTACGCACTTTTGGACTGCCAGCCGAGGATGGGTGGCAAAGGGCTGAACGCGACTGACGCTACGCCGCCCTGCATTTGATGGAACTGGGAGGGACTCCAAGTAAGAGCCTTGTGGGGTCCGGCTCCTCGAATCTGGCCGTTTATTATGTGCATGCAGGCGCCAGCGCAGGGCAGCCCAACTAATTCCATCGTGCTGCACGATATATGAGAAGTGCTAGCACATGCGGATCGGAGGTGCCTCAGACCACAGCCAGCCCGTCGGTACTGGCAATCAGTCGCCCACATGGAGCATCAGATCCTGAGCCCCGCCCCCCCTGGTGATGCTGCGGCTGGGCGGCGTAGACTCGTGTCTTGTCTCGATCCACAGCCGGCACTCCAGTGCTCTGGTCATCAACACCCTCCACCTGCGGCGTCGTCGAGGGCGTACCTAAGAGAGCAAGTGAAACAGAAACCGCGCTGAACGATTTGGGACTGCAAGGGACAAGACGTGGGTGAATGTTACCAGGCTAGCCACTTACACCGTTATATCCATGCAAGGCCCTCGCGGCAGGGATCCAGCTCCTCCGACGGACCGAGCGGCACCGAGCCCAATTTGGCTCGCAGCCCACTCCGTCATCCATCCGGCTTCTGATACCAGACTCCATGTTCCCCTCCTCCGAGCCATTCAGCTCGTGGAAACCGCGGCCAACGCTTACGCGCAGACACTCTCCATCCCCCTTCTCCTTGCCAATTAGCTCCGGCTTGCCGCGCTGTCCGCCGAAGCAAAAAACAGCAACCCTTGACTACCTCAAGTCCAATGACCCTCCATGGCGGCGGGCGTGAGGATTTCGCTCCCGAAGCTACGTCGCCACTGTCCCCGGCCGGGCACGGCGGCCTGACTCGGCGCAGCGCTACGCTGTCAAGGGCCATCTCCGGCCCTCCTCACCTTGTGGTGCTTCTGGTCTGGAACTCACTAGCTGCGGTCTCGACGGACGGTCCTCGTTTAGGTTATCCTTTGAGAAGCTCGGCCAGGCAGAAGCCGTCAGATCCGGTATCCAACGCCCCCGGCCTCAATATATGACAGGAAGCGATCATGACAAGCATCTTCAAGGCTTTTCACTCGGCTATCGCTCGGATGTGCACCAGGGTAGCGATTCTGGACCGCCGACGCGACTCACACGCGACTCAAAGCTCGAGAACGCAGAGCCACTGGCGCGTGTGCGTCGGCCTTGAGGCTCTCATATCTCTGTTCTCGATCAATAGTCACGGATATGAGGCGGTTCATTGCGCTCCGTGCTTGCCCTCAGAGCCAGTCCGCCTACCTAGCCTCTCAGGTGTCATGAGGTCTTCACGGCCGTCTCGCGTCTTCTCGGTCCGCACCCTCACGGAGACATGTGATGCTCAACTCAGCGGAGACTCGTTCTCGATGGGCAAAACTTCAAGACGGAGAGGTATGGGCAATGGGCAATGGGAGCGAGGGTATATTAAAGGAAAATGAAGACCCATCAACGTCTCCTGTCCTTCCCTCGTACCCTTTTCATCCTCAAGCACGCTTCCCTGTATAGCCATTATGCTACCTCGTTTGATCTTCTCGCTTCTAGTGGCGGGCTCAAGCATACTCGCTGCCCTTTCTAGGCCGCCGTCGGCTTGCAAACGCAAATGCAAATGCCTCCCTCAAGACAGCTGCTGGCCGCGCCCAAACGAGTGGACTCGGCTCAACAGCACCGTTGGCGGCCGGCTGGTTGCCACGGTACCCTTGGGCTCCCCTTGTCATGATCCGCAATACGACGAGGGAGCATGTGAGGCTCTGCGCAAGGACTGGCTGTTCCCGGTTGTTCAGTAAGTTGAAGTTGGATTGTTATAGTATCATGTACCGCGAAGGACCACGCGCTGACGGAGTTTCGTCACAGCATACAGTCTTCTTCCTCCGTCATGGCGCCACTATTCGCCAACCAGAGCTGTGAAGCCTTCCAGCCTAGGTCCTCAGCCTGTACTCTGGGCAATTACGTGAAATACGCCGTTGATGCCCGGGGCCCGGAAGACATAGCAGCAGCTCTCGCCTTCGCCCGGAAGCACAACATCCGCTTCCTCGTCCGCAATACCGGCCACGACTTTAATGGCCGGTCCACGGGAGCAGGCGCCCTCGCGGTGAGGACTCACAACCTTAAGGGCAGCCGGATTCTGGACTGGAAAGACAAGCACTATACAGGCAAGGCGTTGAGAATCGGCTCCGGAACCTTGGGCCACGAAGCTGCCGAGGCCGCTAACCGAGCCGGCCTGGTCATCGTGTCGGGAGGGTGCCCCAGCGTCGGCCTCGCGGGGGGCTATATCCAAGGCGGCGGCCATTCAGCCCTCAGTTCTGTGTATGGAATGGCTGCGGATAACACTCTGTCCTTTGACGTAGTCTTGACCTCGGGCCGCCTCGTCACGGCGTCACGCGCGGAAAACCAAGACCTTTACTGGGCCTTGAGCGGCGGTGGTGGCGGCACCTACGGCATTGTCGTCTCTGTTACGATCCGTGCCCACCTCGATGCAAAAGTCGGCGGCGCCAGCTTCAGCATCGAGGCGCCCGAGAATAACCCTGATAAAATCTACGACATCTTGGATGAATTTCACAAAGCCGTTACCCGGATGGCCGACTCGGGCGGCTTTGTCTTCTACTCCATCAGCAAAGGCAGCATACACAGTCAAGGCATCACATTTTACAACAAGACAAAGCCCGAGGCCCAAGCTCTCGTCCGGCCCTTCTTGGACTCTGTTTCTGCCAGCTCTAACGGCCTTGTCGTCTCGTCAAATTTCACAGAATTTCCCAGCTATTTCGAACACTACGTTCACTATGTAGGCCCTCTACCCGCCGGCAACCTCCCGGTCGGCACAACACTCCTCGGTGGCCGTCTGATCCCGCGTTCGGTGCTACCCCGTCTCACGCCGACGGTGCGCCAACTTGTTGACATGGGCGTTACGTTCAACGGCTTTGGTATCAACGTTACCCGCTTCGGCCAGGACGGTGCCAACTCGGTCCTGCCTCAGTGGCGCGACTCGATTGTGTCTGCGGTACTCATGCTCCCTTTCGACTTTGAGGCGCCAATTGAGCACATGTTTGAGCAACAAAACAGAATAACGCGAGACATCCAGCCCATCATAGAGGCTGCCACCCCTGGAGCCGGGGCCTACATGAACGAGGGCGACTTCCAGCAGCGCGACTTCCAGAACACTTTCTTCGGGGCCAACTACCCGAGGCTGCGAGCGATTAAGAAGAAATACGACCCCGAGGGGGTGCTTTACGGCGTGGCCAATGTGGGGAGTGAGGACTGGGTCGTCAGCAGGGGCGGAAGAATGTGCAGATCGGGTCGTTGACAGACTTGCAGACAAGTTGCCGGCCTCTCAAGGCACGAGACATCCACTGATGCGGTCCCTACTTGGCAACAAAAATAGACCGACACCATAATTTGGCTTGGGAATGAATTAGAAGAGCGTACTCGGAGAGTAGAGACACAGCACTGGAGAGGAAGGGCGGCGAAATTTTAACGTGAGGTCTTAGGGGCAATGATGCTATGACCGCCGCTCAGCATGTGTCCCGAGGGAAGCACATTTCACGGTAATACGTCAGCGACTTTGTCATTGCAGCCTGACGCCAACACTAGGAGCAAGTTTCTCAAGATAGTTCCTTCAGTACGTGGGCCGCAAGCTGAACAGAACTTGGGGAGCTTTGGAGGTATGTTCACAGGAAGCGTCGGGACTTGACTTGAACAAATGAAAGATCTGTAAATGTAAAACATCACAGACATGTTTAGCCGGCTCTTCCAGTGTCCTCCAGTCGTGTCTAGCGGCCGGCCCCCCCTGGCCATTTATACAAGACGACAAGACCACAAAAGGCCGAAGCGACCCCCATCGAACACAGTGGGGGCGACGAGCGTAACCCGATCAATCTGAAACAGCACAGGGCTAGGGGGCGTAATGGTCCTTCAACCGCACAAATCACGGTCGGATATCTCCCCGTTGCTTACACGGCATGTAGCCAAAGCCTCTCAGAACCAAAAGCTCAGGCGCGCCGCACGAGGTCGCGTGTTTCCAGCACCTGTACTCGTACTTGATGCTTGATAACGAACCAGTAAACCGTACATGTGTAACGTACTGTATCAAGTACGTGACGGTCCGCTTTGTCCAGCGACTCGGACGAGGATCTTAGCCGCAGCCAATAATGAGAGCGATCCAGCCATTGTCGAGCAAATCTGCCAACTGTTACTTGTGAATTTAAGCTGCTCTTTCGGATTCTTGAAACTTGTCCAAAAGCGCCCCTCAGCCCTTACTGTTGGCCGTACGGAAAGGGAAGCCTTGTCTACTTGTGTCAAGGTGCGAATACTCGCGACCGAGCCGCGAGTCGCGAGTCGCGACCAGCAGCTGTTGAATTCGCCCGACAAACGAGTTTGGCATTTGTCATCCGCCCCAGTACGGAGGTTATATAAATCGAGTTGAAACCCCGAGTCACTGGAGCGAGCGTACGAAGAGTGCAGTCGGGCATTTTACCGTGTAGGCTCAGCCAGTTCATCACGAGAACCGGGTATTAGCAACCTTTGTCGCAAATTGAAGCCATCGCGCAGTCAAAAACCATCGCCATGGCCCTTCCAGATAACTTGGCAATCCCACCGGGATCCCGCATTTTGGTGACGGGTGCCAACGGTCTCGTCGGCTCCCACGTCGCCAACCAGTTCCTCCAGTTCGGCTTCAACGTCCGGGGCACAGTCCGTGACGTGGCCAAGTGTGACTGGCTCCGCCTTCTGTTTGAAACCAAGTACGGCATGGACCGCTTCGAGTTGCTCGCCGTCCCCGACATTGCTTGCCAGGGGGCACTAGACGAGGCCGTCAAGGGTAAGCTCTCCTGACGTTGGGGGGAGAAGGTTGGTAGTAGCCCCTCGTTGATGCTCCTTTGGCCAAGGTGTCTCGGCTGTTATACACGTCGCATCTATCCTCAGTTTCAGCCCCGACCCCGAGCAGGTGATTCCAGGGGCGGTCGCTGGCGCTCTCAATGCGCTCAAAGCAGCATACAAGGAAACCAGCGTCAAGCGCTTCATCCTTACTTCTTCCAAGGATGCAGCGGCTCCTCATCAGTCAGTCGAGGAGTCTCCAGTTGTCACCAATGAGAGTTGGAATGATGGCGTCGTCATGGCGGCCTGGGCACCCCCTCCGTATACCCCCGAGCGCAGCGGCGCTGTCTACTCTGCGAGCAAGGTTGAGCAGGAGAAGGCGGTCTGGAAGTTTCACGAGGAGAACAAGGGCAAGCGACCGGACTTGGCTGTCAACACAGGTAAGCGGAGGAGAGCCGTCATGCACACTGAAGATGTGCTAAAAAATACTGCAGTGCTGCCAAGCTTCAACCTGGGAAGAAGTCTCGACCCCGTTAACCAGGGACATGCCTCTTCCACGGAAACCATCGCCATCTTGTGGAAAGGGGAGAGAGTTCCGGAGTGGCTCTGGGCGCCCAGTATGCCATGCGCGCCCCCATTGTGCCCAAGAGATGCGGCTAACTCATATGAACAACAGTGCCCTTTGTCGACGTCGAGGACACGGCCCGCCTTCACGTTGCTGCAGCCGTTTGTCAAGACGTGCAGAGCGAGCGCGTCTTCGGCATTGTGGATTCGTTCAACTGGGACCAGGTGCTGGATATTCTCCGCAAGCAGAACCCCGACCGCAAGTTCCACGACAATTTTGCCAGCGGGAAGCGTGTCGTTACCGTGGCGTCCAAAGACCGTGCCGAGGAACTGCTGAGGCGGCTGGGCCGACCTGGATGGACGTCGTTGGAAGATAGCGTTGCAATGAATACGGAGGATCTTCGATCAGCGCTGTCAAGCTAAAGCTCAGGGGTCAGGTTGATGCACAGCCGATTCGAGTAGTCAAATAGCCTATTTGCAGTCTCATGATCTGATATACTAGACCTTGATCTTTTGCATCGGCGTGACAAGATTGGTTTTCCCTTCGCGAGCCTCTCTGCCCTCGAAACATGGCGACCTACCCTTTGAACTCCTCTAACTCTTTTGGTTGGGTTGGCAGCCTGGCCGAGGGATTTACTGCGTGCACCATATTGGGCATGTCAAGTCGATCAGGCTCCATGACGTCTATTCAATACTTCTTCTGCCATAACCACTTTTATATCCCGTTGCCTCCCTCTCCATTTCCAGCTCACATGAACCCTGGACCATTAAGGCAGAAATACTCGGCGCCGCATACACACAGGTAATCTAACCACCAGCGTCCCACGCCTCTATGTACCCTCACAACGATGAATTGCATGCTTTGCTTTCAAGATCACGAGACGTTCTACCATGCCCATGGTTGAAAGCAGCTTCGCCAAGGCGCGAATCATATTTTTTGGGCGTGGGCAGCACAGCGCGAGTGCACAGTCGGTCATCGACCACCCAACATCAGCAGAGGACTGTAAATGCCGAGACACGGAATCAGTTGAGGCCCTGTCGCTTCGCATGGCAGTTGGACTATACTTTTACCTGACCTCACGTTCGTCTGTCGCCTCAATGTCCCACGTGAAGTCCATTTCGTCGGGGTCAGATTGGCTGGGCATGCTATCTCGCCACTCTCGTTGCCGCATCGCGCGAGTTCTTACCATGGACATCCTTTCGTAGGGATGCCGACGCCGCGACGGTGTTGGGGGGGCTACTCTGACTGTCGATGGACTCGAAGTGAATGCAGTCCTTGGCTCCGATGCTGGTGGCGATGACGCCGCCTGCCGGTTCTCCCAGCGTTTCGGTGCCGGAACACCTGCGGCGGGCGTCAAGAGGCTGCGAGTGGGAGGTGAAGTCGTCTGTGTCATGGTCAGTTGGGGATCCGGCGCGGCCTGTGACGCCGTTCAAGCGAGTGCTGTGGTATTTACCGGAGCTGCCTCCATAGGCTGTATAGGACTTATCGCCAGGCGACTAGTCGTCAGTCCGTGGCCGCCGAAGTTGAAAAAGAGAATTTGGGCCGCCGAAGCTCTTTTCTCGGGGTCCTGGCGGGCCATGGCCGCCAGAAAAGGAAGGGTGTTAACTGCCACGTCTTCAACAAAATCCAGAACTCGAGGATAGCCACAGGCACCGAGTTTGTCTTGGTCAAAGTCGGTCCAAGTCATGATGCCAGCGAGCGTGACAAAGAGAGACCACACGTCCATCTTTGGAGACTGGTGACTCTTCTCTAAGCCACCACCGTCAAGAACCTCAGGGGCCGTGAAAACGCTAGTTCCGCAAACCGACTGAGCGAGTTGTTGGTGGTCGACAAGCCCAAAATCAGAAAGTTGAAAGATGTATGTACCGTCATTCTTCCTTTCGCAAAGGATATTGGCCGGCTTGACGTCTCGGTGGCATAGGTTGCGCAAGGCCAAGTAATCTAGAGCCGATAGCATCTCAAAGGCAACCTGGAAAATGAAAGGCTCCTCTGGCTTCTTGAGCAGAGAGATGAGGTCGAGGAAATTCCCATGCCGGAGTGGCAAAAAGATTCGAACACCGTCTGGATTGCCCGGTATTTCTCCCCAGCCAAGAAAGTCGATGACATGTGGCTTGGGCGTCCAGGGACACGGTGTTAGTGATTCCACCTCAGGTACAGAGCATGGCAAGCTATGCTTGCCTGAAAGCCCGTATATTAGAGATCGTTCGAAGACAGAGACTTACATGGTCTAGCGTCGCCATTGTTTTGATTTCCCTGTGGAGCCTCGCCCGTTCCCTTTCATTCCTGGGAATGACGCGTTTGGCCGCGATCAAGTGCCCAGAGTCCAAGTCGATGGCACTATAAACCGTTCCGGAGCCACCATCACCTATTTTCCCACCCTGCAGTGCATCTCTGATGACGTTCCCTGATTTCGATGGGAGCCTTGTGTTGTACCAAGACCGTACGGTAGAATCGTTGCCATATTCAGTCTTGGCGCAACGGAGATGAACGGTTCGTGCTTGGGCTTCCCGGAAGCCGTTTTCTACAGCTTGTGGCATTGGTGGAGATTCCAGCCTCCATCGTAGGTGGAAGTTGAGTCGAGAGATTTCTCCAATGGATATGTCATACCGCTCCCCTGGGACTAAGACCAGCTGGCGGAAATCGCCGTCGGGTCTCAGCCCGCGAGGGTGGACCGTGACGGAGCGAATCTTGTCAGCACGGACGCAGAGAAGGATCGCGCCAGATTCGGGATGAACCTCGAAGGCGATGTGGACCAGGGCGATGTTCTTGGCCAGCAGAACTAGGTCTGCCTCAGTACCACGGCCGAGCTTGGCGATGATGCGACCCCCGCGGGGCCGCGACGATACATGGTAGCCGATTTCAAGAGATGGCTGGCCTTCGGAGCTCATGGAGATGAAAGGGGCATTGTCTTGGTGATTGGTGATATCTCTCGTTCTCTCATCAGCCGGCTCGAGGTGGAAAAGTGTTGACGGGTTGACGGGGCGAACCATGGCTCCGAAGAGGAGGGCGTGACGGGGAGGATCGAGGGAGCAACTGGAGGATCGAGGGAGCAATTGGCAAATTGAGTGAGCAACTAGAGTATCAGGGAGGAACTGGAAGAGGAGGATGTATCTATACGAAGCATTGTAGGGCTATAGGTACGGCTGCTGGCTCCTGTTTGAGCCACCAACTTTGATTTCCAAGCCTCAAGTCGATCAATCAATACGCGTATCCTCTTTGAATGCGTAAAGGCAACAGTTGGAAGGACAAGATGGAGAATGAGAAATTGGTGCAAACAGCTTGCTTGATTCCGTTCCGCGATGTGTTGAGCCTGGCCGCATCCCTCCATGCTCAGGGGTTCAGAGTAGGTGCCCATTCACAGGGGTGGCATAAGCAGACGGCCAGCACAGATCACGCACTTGTATCACTCCTCACAAGGCACGAGAACTGATAGGCTCTTCGTATTGACCTGCTGGCTGCCTTCATGTTGGCACACTCAAAGGGCAAACATGAAATCCTTCAGCCCCGTGGGGTCCCGCGGCACGTCCACAAAGGCGCACAAGCGACCCATAAGATGCACCACAAAACAATTTGCTAGAGGGGGTGTGTGCATCGCTGTTGGATACCTTCACTGTCGCCATCTTTGTGCCAATAATAGCGCGTCGTTTGTGTCACTCGGCGTCCCCGACAAAGCGCCTTGCTTGGATCGACGATTGCCGCCAGACCAACATTGAATATAACTCTTTCCCCCATCGCTCCCCCTTTGCAGTTCACCATCTCTCTTCCCCCCAAGAAACATCTTCTCCTAGCCCGCCATGCTCCCGACATTCGATCTCAGTCCCATAATGGGCAACGCTTCCGTCAACCAGCTGGGTCATCGGTCGCTGCAAGAGCTTGTCATGCCCGAACTACGACACCTGGCAAACAACACGGAGCTTCTCGAGAAGATTCGCGAGCGACGATTCAACCGCGAGGAGCCGCCGCTTTGTCAGTCGCCGTCAACCCCTGGAGAGGACGAGTTTCATCGCTTCTTGCATGAACCGTTATCAGAGGCGGAGATTGCCGAGCTGGACTTGCTCATTGACGAACCTCTCAACCAAGAAGAACTGATCGAGACCCAAAAACACTTTGAGATGTGGCAAGACGCCTACAACCCCGGGAGTCGCTACAGGCGCGAAGCCTACCACATCCTGTTATCCACGCCCATAGCGAGGGACAACCGGAAACTCCACGACATGTTTGTCAGACGAAACGGCAGTCTGCGGCTCAATGTCTTCACCAGGCATCACATCAGGAAGCGATGGCAGCGCCTTGGCATTTGGAATCCCGAGTGGGGAATCCCCGGCCGCGTCGACGAGCAGACGCGGGATAATTCCTGGCTCTGGAAATGGAAATGGCAGGGCGATTCGCCCAGTTGTGGTGCTGATCGTCACGGGCCCTTGCTCCCTCAACACCCCAACTCCCGCGCAATGCGCCGACGCCAGGGCCTGCGTCGCGGCCAATGGAGTCCGCTGCGACCACGAAACAGTCTTGCCGCAGATGCCAGCAAGGCGGCCGCCGAGGATTTCATCACCTCGCGCCCGTGGTATACATTCTACCTGGAAGGAGAAGAGGAGAGGACACGGCTGAGCCGCGTTCCCGAAAGTGCGAGATCGCATTACAAGGAAAATCACCTGGCCTATGTCGCGGAAAGGTGGAACGAAAGCAAAAGAGTCAGTGACCTTGGGTGGAAGTGGGAGAACGAGTCCCCATTGTCCGAGCCCGAGGAGTGGACAACCATGGACCTCGACTTTTCGCCGTCGGAAATCGACGCGTTGGAGGCCATCCCGCCCCCAACGCCCCGGCCCACGGCGCGCAGGCGCTCGCCGTTGAAGTTGAGTCTTTCACAATGCGAAGAATGGTGCCGCACTTTGTATCCCAGACGTGACTCAGCTTCTCCTGAGGTACAGGAGGCTCAACCTGGCCAACCGCATCCTCAGGATGCAGCAACCTTTCCCACGCGGCCGTCACCGCCGAGGCGCAGTCGCAGCCAGGAGCACGAGGAAGCGGCTCCAGCAACAAAACTTCCCTCCTCCGAGCGGGCTCCCAAGCTTCGTCGAAGCGCCCGCATCGCCGCCCGCTCCCAGCGGCTTCAGGCCGCCGCTACTGCGCCAGTCGGTCGCGACAGTGATGGGCGAGATGAGCCCCGCAAGCTTCGGGCGAGGTCGGCCGTCGGACCAGACACGGCGCCCTAACGAAACCGGGGGCGGCCGTCCAGGGCCACGAAGCCGCAGGGTGTGGCGAAAGAGAGGACGTGACTCCCAAGCCTCGCAGAGCGTTTAGCATTGTGAATGAGGGCCAGCCTTGGGTCATGCATAGATATTAGATTGTGAACGCCGAACGGGTTCATTGGGGCAGTAAACTGTAGAATAGACGAGGGCGTCGCATGCCAAACCTCCTCTGATCAAAGTGAAGTCACCTATCCATCGATGCCAAGTGTATCTGGTCGTCGGCAACAAAGAGGAGGAGGAGAGACGACGTGTTGTGTGCCGTCGAGGATCCTTACGTCATCGTAGGCGGGCAAATAGATGGCCCGCACCGAGTTGTGCAATCGATAAGTTAAGCTGTTTTGCCGCCTTGGCTTATCGTGGAGGGGGGAAGCTGTCACCCTCACGATCCTTCTCTTTCGAGCTTCTGAACCAAAAGGGCACCCAAGACGGGCCGCTTCGTCACCCGCCCGACACTCGCCATCGTTCGCACCATCTGCCAGCGCATCACCGTCGCGGCGAAGCTCTAGCAGCCGTCAGGCCCGCTGCCAGCTGCGCAGACTGGGAGAGCAAGAGCAGCAGACGTCGGTCCGAGACTGCGGCGGCCCCCCTCGTCTGCCTCGAGCAACGATAGCCACCGCTCTCCGCCACCGCCCATCATCATCATGGCGTCTCCCGCTGTCAATGCGGCAACCCCGCAGGCCGTCATGGCCCACGTCCGCAAGCTCAGCGACGCCGATCCAGACTTTCGATTCATGTCCCTCAACGACCTGCTTCAGCTCTTGACCCACTCCAAGCCCGACTTTCTACATCATGAATACAACATCGCCGCCCGCGCCGTCGATAGCATCGTCAAGACGCTCGACGATCAGAACAGCGAGGTCCAGAACTTGGCCATCAAGTGGTGAGTCGGCCTAACCCTTGGCAGAGTCATCACGTCTCACACTGCCCTCCGCACAGCCTAGGGCCCCTCGTCGGCAAAGTGCCCGCGTCCATCCTACCGCCCATGATCGATAAGCTGTCGTCGCTCAAGCTAAAGAACTCGGTCGACAATACCGTTCCGTCGCTCGCCCTCCGGTCCGTCATCACCGCTCTCCCCCGTCCCGTCCCTGGCCTGCCCGTTACCGCCGATGTCAAGCACGCCTACGAAGCCATCCAGCGGGTTCTCATTCCACGCCTCATCGGGCCCGGCCCCACGACGCGAGTGCCCGACACCAGCGTCCCTCTTCCTCCCGTTCCAACGGGTCTCCTGCAGGACGAGGACAGTATCAATGCAGAGGCTGTCGACGTCCTCATCGAGCTGGTCCGCTGCTTCGGCCCCCTGCTCCAGTCGGTCGAGGTCGAGGCCACTCTGCACGTCGTCATGCAGCTGCTCGATAGCGATAGGGGAACGTCGGTGGTCAAGAAGCGCGCAGTCGTCGCCATCTCCATGCTCGCCGTCTACTTGGCCGACGAGCAGCTTGATGTTGTCGTCCAAAGGCTCACCTCGGGCCTCTCTCAAGCTGGCACCAACCCCGTCACCCGGCGACTGTATATATCAATCCTGGGCAGCATGGCCAGGTCCATCCCTCCGCGTTTCGGTCCTCACCTGCCCAAGGCCGCTCCTTTTGTGCTGCAAGCATTGTCCGAGGTGGAACTCCAGGAGCACATGGACAGGCTCAGCGAGGGCGAGGATCCGACCCAAGATTTCAACGAGGTCCGAGAAGCAGCATTGGTTACCCTAGAAGCCTTTCTGGCATCCTGCCCCCAGGAGATGCGGCAGTTTACCGACGAGACCATCGCTTCGTCGCTTCGATACATGAAGTACGACCCAAACTACGCCATCGATGGCGACGATGAAATGGAAATGGATGATGACAATGAAGACGCCGACGAGGAAGACGACTTCGACGACGACGATGGGTTCGACGACGACGACGACGACGCGAGCTGGAAGGTCCGGCGTTGCGCCGTCAAGGCGCTGTACACTCTCATCGCCACCCGGGGCAGCGGAGACCTGCTGGACAACGGGGTTCTATATGACCAGGCGGCGCCGGTTCTTATCAAGCGCATTGATGAGAGGGAGGAGAATGTGCGTCTCGAGGTTATCTCGGCCTTGTCCCTTCTTATTCGCAAGACGGGCGAGGGTCTTCATATGACAGACCTGGGCCTGGACGATCTGGAGCCCGAAGCAGCCGGTCAAATGCCCCTCAGTCGCAAGAGAAGGAGGCAGAGCAGCGGCGGCAGCGCCAATGCCTCACGGTTCATGGCCGGCCTCACATCCCCGGTGCTAGAGAAAACCCCGTCCACCGGCCCCCAAGCCGACCTTTCGCGCCTCATACCGACCATTGTCAAGGCCTGCACCAAGCAGCTCAAGGGCAAGACGGTGCCGACGAAGCAGTCCATTATCAAACTGCTCGACGACTTGGTATCGGTGCAGCGCGGTGGCCTATCCGACTTCTTCCCCGACATTGTGGGCCCAGTAACGGAAGAAGCAAAGGCCAAGGCCTCTGGCGCTGTGTCATCCTCGCTGGCTGCGGCCGGCGGCTCCGCCTCGGCGACTCCGAGCACCCTGCGCGTCGCCGCATTACGACTCATCAGCGACGTTTGCAAGACTCACTCGTCAGCCCTGTTGCAGCCATACCTGTCCAAGATAGTCGCCGCCGTCACATCGGCGGTCCACGATCGGTTCTACAAGATTTCGAGCGAGGCCATTCGCACTGCCGAGGAGCTTGTTAAGACCATAACTCCTCCGCGTTCGCGAAACGCCGGCGCCAAGTACAAGGATGAGTTGGGCAACCTGTACGACGTCATTATGGATCGGGGCTTGGCCAACGACGCCGACGCCGAGGTGCGCCAGCGCGCGATCCATGCGCTCGGCGTCCTTGTGTCGAGAACCTCTACCGCCGAGGGCACTCTCTTGCTATTCCCTGAGAAGCGCAAGTTCGCGCTCGATGTGCTCCGAGACAGGTTGAAGAACGAGACGACTCGACTCGCCGCGGTGCGGGCCGTGGACAACGTGGCTGCCTTTGCCACCACCCCCGGCCAACTCGACAAGGACTGGATCCAGAACGTGGCCCTGGAGCTCTGCGCACAGCTCCGCAAGGCGAACCGATCCCTGCGCGGCTCGAGCGTCACGGCACTCAAGCACCTGGTCCTTTGCAATGCGGCCAAGGACCAGCTCGATCCTTCGACCGTCGAGGGCATCGTCTCTGCCTTGATGCCCGCCATCACGAATAGCGATACTCACCTGCTCGGCCCAGCCCTGCTCATCTTAGCCAAGACGGTGCAGGGCAATCCGGGCCTGGTGATCAACACGGACATGATTGCCGCTCTTTGCCAGCTTCTCAAGTCGCACTTTGCAAACATTGTTCTGGAGCAGCTGCTTGAGCTGATGAGCAAGGTCGGCCAGAGCGGTGCTACCGGGGAGCTGATGCGAGGGCTTCTCACAGACGTCAGCATCTCTGGGGATCCCTCTGTCGTGGGCAAGGTGATTGGTACGCTGCTCGTCACCGGGGGTGACTCCACGGGCGTCTCGCTGGATAGCTTCATCTCGGAGCTGCAGACGAGCGCCGAGTCCAAAGACGATGCTCGCGTGAGCCTCGCACTCGCGGTGCTGGGAGAGGCTGGCATGAGGCTGGGTTCGAAGTCGCCTCTAAAGCCCGACCTCTTCCTAGAGCAGTTCCACTCGGAGCCGGACAAGGTGTCGCTGGCTGCCGCCATCGCTCTCGGCCGGGCCGGTTCTGGCAACGCCCCGCAGTTTCTGCCTGTGATCCTCAAGACGATGCAAAAGGGGGGGAACACTCAATACCTGCTCATTCAGTCCATCAAAGAGATATTGCAATCCATCTCGGTGCAGTCTGCTGAACTGAGAGACTATGCCATTCCAATCTGGGACGAGCTGTTGGAGGCGTCGGAAAACGCCGACAATCGAGTCGTCTGCGCCGAGTGTGTCGGGCGCCTGGTCATTCTGGACCCGGCCGCGTTTATGCCGAAACTCGAGGTGAGTCTCGAGTCCCGTTAAAGTGCTTACCGTTGCTAACCTGCTGCCCCCGCTCCCAGACGCTTCTCAGGGACAAGTCGTCGGGCATACGAGGCATGGCCGTCCAGGCCGTTCGATATACGCTCCCGGAGAGCGAGGACACGTTCGACGCGGTGCTGAAAACCACCCTCATCAACATGCTGCTGGTCATGCTGCAGGACTCGGACATGGAGATTCGACGCCTGGCCATGTCGACGCTCAACTCTGCTGCACATAACAAGCCAGATCTCATCCTGCCTCACCTGGGCGAGCTCGTGCCGTTTGTCTTGAGCGAGTCGGTAGTCAAGCCAGAGCTCGTCAAGGAAGTCATGTTGGGGCCTTTCAAGCACACGGTTGATGATGGACTCGAGGTTCGAAAGGTCGGTGTACTCGTCGTGACTGTGGTCCCGGATGCCTTGACTGACGCATCAACAGAGCGCGTACGAGACCCTTTACGCCTTGATGGAGACGGCATTTACCCGCATGAACAACATTGACTTTTACGACCGCGTCGTAGCGGGACTCAAGGACGACAACGACATCCGACAACTGTGCAACCTCATGGTCACCAAACTCATCGTCATCGACCCCGACGAGACGGCCCGCAGGCTGGACACCATCGCCGAGGCGTACCGGGGCGTACTGTCCGTCAAGCTCAAGGAGAACGCGGTCAAGCAGGACATTGAGAAGCAGGAGGAAGCCAACAAGAGCGTGCTGAGGGTGACGCTTTTGTTGGGAGACAAGATGAAGGCCAGGACTGGAAAGGCGGGTGCGGCGACCAGTAATGCCGGCGCCGCCGGGGTCTGGACCTCGTACTGGGAGTGGGTCAACAAGGAATTCGACAAGCAGCTAAAGGGGCTGCGAGAGGAGACCAAAGAGCTACAGACCAGGATGGTTTAATGGGAGACGAGAGCGGGTATGTCAGGAGTCTAGTCGGTGGTCACTCTTCTGAAAAAAGCACGGATAGGTATGAGACCAGACTACATTGCCGTACATCAACATGTCGCATAACGAGGTCTCCAAGACGGGCTATATTGCTCAGATGATGAACGGTGGCTTGCGCACAATGCCCATTACGAAGCCGTCGTACCTGCGAGGACCTTTCATGTGGATTCAGAACGGCTAGCCTCTGCTTCCTGCGCGGGCTTGATGCTGAGCGTTCCGCCCGTTTGGCGTCTTGTCGCGAGAGGGTTTCTTGCTCCGTGGAACGCAACTACAGAGTCGATTAGACTCTCCCGGGCTACAGGTCGCTGTCTGAGCGGCTCGGCTTCCACGTCGGATGCGGCATTGGCCCCTGAGGACTCGCATGGCATGCAACTGCCTGCGGCTTGCTTTCGTATGGCCCCCTTTGGCGAGGCTGGACCTTGGACGCAATGGCTAATGACACGGTGGCACTGGAAAGTGATTACGGCTGACGCCGCTTGGACCCTCGGCTGGTTGGGCTGGTTTGCCAGGAGTGCGTGGACAGGTCGACCCTTAACCCCCCCCCCCCTTTCCCCCCCCTGGCCCCCATCCGGGGGAGAGAGACCAGTTTGCCCGCTGAGGAAAACAAGACGACGGCCTCACAAGGGGGGCGAGGGGCTGAGAGTACAGGGGCAGGACTTGTCCACTCATCCATCCGGTGCCTTCTTTCGCTCTTTGGGAGGCGACAGGCGCGTGGCTTGCGCCGGCCGCGGCGCCCCCGAGGACTTGGACGAGGCTGCTCGGGGGAGTTGGCGTTGTGGGCAGAAGCACTCGAGCCTGGCATTGTTGCTGTAATCAGAAGGCCCTTCCTACGGCCCTGTACACCCACCCTCACTCTCTCTCTCTCTCTCTCTCTCTTGTCCGACGTCATTTTTATCTACCGCGGTAAGAACCCAAGATAGACGCGTTGATGAGGCTACAACAAGTATAAGGTTGGTTGGTCCTGTCCCGCACCACACACTGTGTATGTATGATTCAGCCTCCCCCCCCGGAGCTCACCGCCGGCACAGCAGCAACATCAGCAAACCCACCACCATGACCACCGAGGAACCGCGACAGCAGGACCAGCAGTCCCGCGCCTGGGTCTACTCGCGGCGCGGCCCGCCCGGGGCGGTGCTGGCGCTCGAGACGACGCGGGCGGCGCCGACGCTGCCGCCGCCCAACGCCGGCGCCGAGGAATGGATCCTGGTGCGCGTCGCCTTTGCGGGGCTCAACGTCGGCGCCGTGTGGCAGATGCTGCTGCTGCCGGCGTGGCTGCGCGCGCCGACGTGCGTGCCGGAGATGGACCTCTCGGGCGTCGTCGTCGATGTCTGGAGCCCCGGGGAGGCCGGGCCCGGATCGGCGACCGGCGGCGGCGGACACGGGAATGCAACAACAACAACAGCAGCAGCAGCAGCAGCAGCAGCAGCAGCAGCAAGCGTGCCCTCGCGCTTCCGCAAGGGCGACAAGATCCTCGCCATGGTCCCCGCAAGCCTAGCCCTATCAACGGGCACGGGCGCGCTGGCCACGACGGTGGCGCTGCCCGCGCGGTGCGCCGTGGCCAAGCCGGCGGCGACGAGCCTCGCCGACGGCGCCGCGTGCCTGCTGGCGGGCATGACGGCGCGGCTGCTGGTCGCGGCCGCGGGGCTCCCCCTCGACCAGCACGGCGGCAGAGACGGGGGCCGGGGCCAGGACCCGCCGCGGCGCGTGCTGGTCAACGGGGCCAGCGGCGGCGTCGGCTGCCTCGTCGTGCAGATGGTGCGCCGGGCCGTGGGCGATGCCGGCCGCGTCGTCGCCGTCTGCAGCGGGCGAAATGCCGAGCTGGTGCGTAGCCTGGGGGCTGATGAGGTGAGTTTGCGTGGGTGTGCGGCAGCAGAGGGGACGAGAGGGACTTACACGGAGCCGCCGGTCAAGGTCATCGACTACACGCTCTACAAGGACGCACCGGGCCTCGCCGCCCACCTCGCCACCCGCTTCCCTTCTTCTTCTTCTTCTTCCTCCTCCTCCTCCTCCTCCTCTTCCTCATCCTCCTCCGGCCCCCCCCTCTCCGCCGTCATCGACACCCTCGGCTTCCAGCCGCTATACCTCGCCTCGGCGTCCTTCCTGGCCCCCAGCGGCGTCTACGCCTCCGTGGGCATCAAGCCGCCGCGCTTCGCCCTGCCCGACTTCCTCGTCGCCGTCGCCCGCATGAAGCTCAACGAGTGGTGGCCCACGGCCCGCTGGCTCGGCGGCGTCGGCCGTCCCTGGCGCGCCGTCGCCATGCTGAGTCCCTCGCTCCAGGATCGCCGCGACGTCGTCGACCTCCTCGCCGCCGCCGCCGACGACGACGACTCGCGCCCGCGCCTGCGCATCGTGCGCGACTCCGTCTGGCCCTTTGAGGAGGCCGTGGCCGCGTATGAGAAGCTGGCTCGGGGCCATGCGAGGGGAAAGATTCTCGTCAAGGTCGACCCCCTTGTTGGCGACGATGAGTGCTGATGGCCGGCCTGCTTCTTCACCGCCTGTATTCCTCTTGCAGCCATCTCGCTCCTCAGTGAATCTATTTTCGTCGGGCTCGGGTTCGCTTCCCTGTCTTGGTATACACCGTGATGCCTCCTTACTATCATGTTACGGCAGCAATGTTCTGTTTGCTCGGCAGTAATGGCCATGTGGATTTAACAATGTATGCATAGTGTTAACGAACCCCTCCCCTCGATTCCATTCTTCGCTTCTCATCACTCCCTACAGCAAGCTTCTCGCCATGGGTATCCAACGTCGAGCTGGCCTCTCCTTCACTCAGTCTCCATCTCTCACTCTTCCAGCCAACGCCCTTCCAACCTTGCACCTGTACATGCAGCTGCTTCCCCCAAAGCTTGCTTCATGCCATGTACACAGTCTCGCCCATTCTGTGCCTTGTTCGAGTCCCCGCGTCCAGCTGCAGTCGCATCGCTGCCTCCGAAAACGCCTCGCTCAGTCATGACGAGGAAATAAAAACAGCAGCCCCCCCTTTGTCTCTGCTTCATACAGTTGCCGACCGCCGCCTCAGCTCCAAAACGTAGGGGGAAATGGACTGTGGATGACGATGAAGAAAAGGTATAGGAACAAAGACCGCAAACCACCTTTCCAAGCTCTCATTCGCAACACTCGTACATGCCCCCCAGTGCAATTCGTCGCACCGCATCAAGGGCAACGACGGGGTATAGCCATCCTTCATCCCCGAGGCGTGCACTCACCACCCTCGGGCGGGCTCTCTCGCTCCTCCGCCGGGGGCGTAAACTTGGGCCGTCGATAAGTTAGTCGTCGAGGCTCATCCGCACCGCCCCCCACCCCAACTCGAGGCTGACCCTCGGCGCTCGCGACGGACTCTTCGACCCTGAGTGGCGGCTCATTTCGCGCCTCGTCGAGCGCCCTTGCTCACCCCTGCCTCGGGAGTCTGCCACCGCCACCTCGCTCATCTCCACGGCTGCCACATCTTCGTCGTCGTCCATCTAGCCGCAGTTGCCATTCAGATTATTCTCCGCAGCGTGGCGCATCAACGTCTCGTCGCCAGCCGCGTCCTTTTCGATGCGCTGCACCAGGTCCTGGTCCGTCGGCCAGTACACGCGCCGCAGCCCCTGGACCGCCAGCTCCAGCACCACCAGCATCCCCAGGCCGAGCACCACGGCCGCCCACCACGGCGGGCGGCGGCCAAAGTTGTGCGTGAAGGCGTCGCGGACAACGTATGGGCCCGTGACCTGCCTGTAGACGGCCGAGAGGACCACGTTCCACGCAAACCAGCCGGCCACCGAGATGAAGAAGCCGGCAAATGTGACCACCGTCTTGCTGTGGAGTTCGAGGATCCTGAAGCCATTCGCGTCAGTCGACCTGGCCATACCGGGGTGAAAGGCGCTCGAAAGGAGCGAGTGGTGGAAGGGGAAGAGACTTCTGGGCGACTCACAAGAGCTTGATGTTGATATAGACAACCGCAACGGTAAAGCACACATCCCCCATGGCAAACAGGCTCGTGTCAATGGTAAACAGCGCCGGCGCGTACAGGCCAAAGACGGTGTGGGAAATGGCAACACTGCCGGCCACGCCCATGACGATCCATCCCAGGTACTGGGCATAGTTGAAGCCGAGCCCGCGCTGGCCAAACGTGTACAGCTCGGGCACCGCCAGCAACGTTTCGGCGGCAAGGTCCCTCTCGAAGATGCCGAGCAGAATCACAGGTAGCGAGGTAAAGGCGCTGTTGAAGACGGTCAGGCTCCACGACTCGAAGAGCGAGGTGCCCGAGTAGCCGTCGAGGCGCTGGTAGTGCGCCTGCACGAGAAAGAAGACAATCTCCTTCCAGAACGTGGCCAGCACGTACTTGCCCGTGCGGATGTAGTTCCACCGCCCGTGGACCAGGAGCAGCCGCTGCAGGAAGCGGAACTGGGCGATGGAGTAGTCGGCGATGCGCGCCGCCTGGAGGCCCTCGCGGCCCGAGATGCCGATGCCGACGTGCGACGCCTGGATCATGCCAATGTCGTTGGCCCCGTCGCCAATGGCCAGCGTCATGCTCCCCGGCAGACGCCGCCGGATCGCCTTGACGAGCTCGGCCTTTTGCGACGGCGACGCCCGGCAGCAAATGACCGAGTCGACGCGCACCACCAGGTCGCTAAACAGCACCCGCAGCTGCTCGTCGCCGTCGATGGTCCCCAGCGTCTGCCCGTCCACCACCACCACCGAGTGCGGCACCATACCCCGACACACGTCGTTGAGCGTGGCCTGGAGGGCGTCGCGCAGCCTGCCGCCGCCCGCCGTGCCGTCGAGTATGTACGTCTCGGAAAAGGGCTTGCACAGGCGCGCCGAGTGCCCGATGTTGATGGCCGTCTCGCGCTTGTCGCCCGTCAGCATCCACACCTTGACGTTGGCGCGCCGGAGCTTGTCAATCGTCTCGGCGACGCCGTCTTGCAGCTTGTCTTCGATGGCCGTCGCTCCCGCGAGCTCAAGCTTGGTCTCAATCTGCTCGCCCGCCTCCTCGATGAGCCTCTGGCGGTCCACCAGGCTCGTCTCCGCCTCCCGGTACAGCTGCTTCCACCGCGCGTACGTCTCCTCGTCGACGTAGCGATACGCGTAAAGCAACGTCCGCAGGCCCTCGCACGCAAAGTCATCGACGTGCTGGAAGCACTTTTCGAAAACGACGGCTTCGTTGGCCGCCACCGCATCGACGACTCCGCCGCAGTCCATGCCGTCCACCGACGGCACGCGGCTGAGGCTCGGCCTCGGGCTGCGCAGGAGATTGGCCGAGGCCCGAGGCGACGCCGCCTCCTCCGTCGCCCTCTGCCTCCTGTTGATGGCCCACGACGCGACGCCCTCGGACAGAGAATGCCTCGCAAAATCCGTCGACTGCCTTCCGAAGCTGCGTCGAAGACCCTCGAGCTGGTCGCCCGTCTCGGCACGCCCGAGGGCGAAACTGGTCCGCGGCGTCCCCCACGCGCTGGCCTGCTCGCTCATGCGGCGCATCGCCTTGTCCTGCTCAAACGTCTTGCGCAGGCTGGCACGGCGTCCAATGTCTCTCGCCTTCTGCTCCGCCAGGTGGCTCAGCTTGAGCCTCGACATGATGACGTTGTCGGCTCCCTTGCAGATGACGCAGATGCGGCCGTCGGGCGTCCTGACGATGACGGACATGCGTTTCCGCCGGCTGCTAAAGTCGATGACGTCGAGCACCTGGTACGTCTCGAGCTGCGGGCCACCCTCGGCGTCGCGAATCTGCAGCGTTATCGACTGGGCGGGACGGTCGACGAGCACGAGGCCGAGGTCGCGGGCAGCCTCGACTAGGGCGAGCTCGTCGGGAGAAGCAGCCTGAAACTCAATCCCTCCGCCGTCCTTGGCCTCGGGTAGACAAGTGTGACACAGGGCGATGCACAGCAACAGGTGCCGGGCCTTGCGTGAAAATGTCGTGTTTGGCCTTTGCCGGATGTAGTCCAGCAGCGCCTCCGTCTTCATCTCAGCCTGTTCACCCGGACCAGCGGGGCTTCTTCGAACAGAGGACGCCATCGCGGGTAAGCCCCCGACATCGGAACCTGGCTCGCCGTCCTTGTCAATGGTCTTTTCTTGGGGCACGACCACTGTTGACCTCCCCTTGCCTTCGGCGCGCTTCTGCACAGCTTCCACCTTGTTGGACCTGGCCTGCTCATCCCCTTGCACATCCATGTCGTGGAAGCAGGCAACGCCAGCAACACTCAGCTTCCGGAAGCGCATCAGATTCTCCGTCAGGGTGCCCGTCTTGTCCGAGAAGACGTGGGTGACCTGGCCCAGGTTCTCGAGAATGGTGGTCGTGTTGGCGACCATGGGCGTGTCCGTCACCGGGTCGTACATGTGCACATCCTGCATCAGGACCAGCTGCCCGAGCTTGACAATCTCCATGCTAATGTACAGGGAGAGGGGGATGAGCGTGTTGAACATGATGAGGTAGCCGAAAAAGACCTCCCTGAAGGAGACGCTGGCGTCGTACGAGCCGGGGTGGACGAGGTAAAAGGAGTGCTTCTCCACGGCGCCGTCCCATAGGTAGTAGCCGGCCGTCAACCCGCCAGCCAGCGCGCAGACAATGACGATCTGGAAAAGCACCATCTTGTTGATGATGGATTGCATGGCGGGCTTCTTGGCGCCGACGTGCTTGTGGGCGTTGATGCGGATCTTGCACTCTTCGCCTGAGTTGACGACGAGCCCGACGGCCTGGGCCGTGTTTCGCAGCGTCGATCCGCGGTACACCATGTTGGCGAGCGCGAGCGGCAGCGCCTGGCCGTCGGCGACGACCTTGGCGTCGTAGCTGTACAGGTCCGGGTTGGGGTCTTCGGAGATCACGGTAGCGACGGTCGACTTGATGCCGTCGACGGTGGCGCATCTCTCGGCCAGCAGTGGGCACGCCTGCTTGCTCTTGAGGTTGGTCTCGCCGTCAAGCGCCATGGTTTCGATGTAGGCGACGCCGTTGGGGCCCGAGGCGTGCAGCAGAACCATGTCGGCGGGCACGGCCTGATCACGGCAAAGTCGCACCACGTCGCCGACTCGGACGTCCTGCCACTGCACGGAGAGCCAGTCGGGACTCTGGTCGGTTTGCTTGGCAGCTGTCCCCGTGCCGGCCATGGCTTTCCCTTGCCGTCTCTGGATGTCGCTGGCCAAGACCCATGCTTGGCTCCGATTCTCTGCCTTGTCGAGTTGATAACGCCTGTAGTCGTCCAAGCCTTCCTTGGCCATGCTAAAGGCGACAAAAATGCTGAGAGGCACGACGGTCGTCCAGCGCCCGACGGTGCTCAATCCGGGAACCATCTGCAGGATGCCCATGACGAGAAAGTAAAAGTTGCCGAGCTTGCTGAACTGGAAGAGTAGCTGCTTGGGCAAGAAGTCGTAGGGGGTGTACCGGCTGGACCGGATGAAGTTGCTGACGTAGGGCTTGTCGGTGCGCTCGTCAACCAGGCCGCCGTTGGACTCGGGGCCGGGACGAGGGTTGAGGGGGATGTGGCGTCCATTCTTGGTAGGCGGAAGAGTCTTGAGGCGAAAGAGGCCCTCGACGATGCATCTGCGGTACAGCGCGACGAGGGGGGCTATGATGCGGATGCGCTTCGTGCCTCTTTTGTCTCCCCTCGGCGCCTCCCGATCCAGAGACACGGCCTGATGGAGGGCCGACTTGACTCGATCCGAAGCCGATGCCTTGACGTCGGCGGTGCGAGCACTGGCACGTCGACGACGACCTTGACTGCGCGCCGGCGACGACGATTGCTGTGGCGGCGCCCCAAGACGCGAGTCGGCCAGCTGCGCTGCTGCTGTCGGCCCTGCTGCTGTCGGCCCTGCTGCTGTCGGCCCATCTCGCGATCGGCGCGGCGCAACATGGCTGCCGCTGCTGCTGCTGCTGCTGCTGCTGCTGCGGCTCAGTGTCATCGCCCGCGACTGGACATTGGGAATGGCGTCTTTGCTGTCGAAACAAGACGAGACGAGAATCGCCCGCGCAGCTCTCTATCGCACCGTCGTCATAATACTTTGTTTCTCCTCCTCCCCCGTAGGCAAAGGCGCGCGGCGCGATCAGAGGGCCTGCGTGTCCAGACGGCGATCCGCGCCAGTGATGAAGAACAATGGGCTGGATGAGGAATGTTGTCTTGGCTCGGTTCCTTGCCCCCGGGTCGAGCGGAGGGTAGGGAACCAGAGTGGGGGAGGCGCAGGCCCGGGGGGGTAGTGGGAAACAAAAACCCCCGTCATCGTCGACAAAAACAGAGTCAGTTCTAATACTCGTGGTTCTACTCGTGGTGTTTCACCATGTCCCATTACTCGAATACTTGCCTCGGAACCATTTCATTTCCAGTCATGGCCCGCTAGGCAGAGTACTGTACAGCCTAGAGATTCCATTCCGCTTCATCATACACTTTACATTTTCCATCCCCAAACAACCTCTCGAGTCTCGTCTGAGCCTCCCGGGCTCATCCCTCAGCCTGCCCTCAAACGTAAAACCGCGCAGTACATGAGACAAGAAATGAAACCCAAAAGGAACGGGGGAGGCGTCGCCCTATTACTCGAATTATGCTTCGGAAGAATTATGCCTTCCCAGGCCTTGCCGAGCGCCAGACAAACGACGAGGGAAACGAAACCAACAATGAACAGAAAGGAACAGGCCCGGAAACACAGGAGTGAGCCCAGACAGGCTACCGGAATGAGACTGTCGCCAGCGGCAAGCCATGGTCTTCCGCCTCCAGAGTAGGCCACGCGCAAAAGCCAAATAATGTACCGTCGTTGTACCGGACAGGCATGACCGATGTCGTAGAGAGAAATCGTCATGCTAAATCATCATGGCCGCTGCAGGCCAGTAGGGGGGAAGGAGGGTCGTCGACCTTGACGCGAGCAGTGTTGCCCGACGAGACTGAGCGACCCCGACACCCAACAACAAAGAAAAACCCAAACTTCCCATGGTATCAGCTGCCACAAACCGCAGAAAAACGCCTTCAGTGCATCAGTCTCCAGGGACCTCTTCTTCGGCCGCCGCGTCGACGGCCTCCACGCTCGCTCAACCGGTGGCAGTTGGCACCCCGGCGTCGTGGCCAGACGCCGCTACGACATGGGCGGCTTGGTCTCGGGCGACAGGCTCGACGCGTCGACGGCGTCAAACTGCACCAGCTGGTCCATGTCGAGGTCCCCGTGTTGAGGCTGGCCGAAGGCGCCTGGAGAGGGAGTGTGCATTGGCAGGTTGATGGTGTGTTTTGAGTACATTTCGTTGAGGCTGGCCCCGTCTTCCGATACCGCGTACGATGACGCCTCGTGGCCTGCATACATCTCGGCAGAGCCTGGCCGACCCATCATCGACATTGGCGGCGACTGTTCCACAATTGACGGCTCCGTCGGCCCATTGAACGGAAGGGGCGAGACTGCAGCGGGGACATTGGTCTCCGCGTTCATCATAGGCGACAAGAAGGCGCCGCCATACGGCGTGTTGAGGTTGGAGCCGTGCATCGCGCCGCCCTCGGGGCCCTGCGTAAAGTATCCGGGGCTCGGTGGGAACTCGGACGGGGACGCCGTCGTTGCCGACATGGGATACTGTCGCATCTCCAGCCCGAACCCCGCCTGCGTGTCGATGCGAAGATTGGTGGGCATCCCGCTTGCCGGCTGCTGCGGGACGGGGGCGTAGAGGGGCGTCGTGTGCTGGGGAGGGCCCATTTCGCCCGGCGGTTGGATGTAAAACGACGGCATCGAGTGGTTCTGGAACATGGCGAAGTCAATGGGACCCGGCACCGATCGGCTGCGCTGCCTCTTGTGCCCGTGCGGCGGGCGCATGCCCGAGTGCATCTGGTTGATCCCCCAAGGTTCCTGCAGCATGCCCGTGGGCTGCTGGGCAAAGTTGGGCTGCGACGACGGCCGTGCCGTGGGTGAGACCGGGGCCGACGCTGGTAGTCCGGAATGTTCACCATACTGGTGGGGGTTGTGGCGGTTCATGAAGGACTCGAGCGAGACCAGCTTGGCCAGCTGGTTGGTCAGCACCTTGGGGTTGCCGCCAAGGTGGTGGATCATGCAGTGGGTGGCCTGCATGTCCTCGGTGAAGTCGCCGACTTGGATGAAGCCGTTTGTGGCTGGCGACGAGTCCATGAAGAAGTTGGGCGGGTGGTTGAGCTCGATGACGATGCCGCCGAGCTTGTTCTGGTCGTCATCGCCGTTCTGGAGCCAGATGCTCTTGATGTACGAAAAGGGATACTCGATCTTGTATCCGGCCTGCTCGTTGTTGATGTAGTATGTCATGGTGCACTTGTCGGGCGAGTAAAAGATGATGAGGTCCATCGTGTTCTGGCCCACCCGAGTCCATTTCCCGACGCTGAGGGACCGGCAGGTAAGATGATGGATCACTGATTGGGCAACAGTTAGCTCAGTGCCAGGCAGCCAACAGCCGAGTCACGACTCACAAACTTTGCCATGGGCGCCCTGGTCGCCGCTGAGGAGCATGCCGCCGTGGCCAAAGGGCAAGAGCCCCGTGCGGCCCAGATAGCTGCCTCCCAGGCCCTTGCCAGACTCCATTGCCTGCATAGCCAGGTAGGCGCGCATCGACTCGGGTATGGAGTCAATGTCTTCGCCCGTTTCCAGACTCTTCTTGGCCAGCAACTTAATCTTGGCGCGTCTGTCATGAAGGAAATGAGATTAGTGTATATTCGAGAGGAAGTCGCCCGAGTCGCGGCGACGTTCAGGGGTGGTTGTACCTGTTCTGGAACCAGATCTGCACAGATCTCTCCGTCATGTTGATCTCCTCGGCAATCTTGTCCCTGACGTTGGCGGTCGGGGTTGGGTTCTTGTTGAACTCGAGCTCGAGAATCGTGAGCTGGTCCTGCGTCGCCCGCTGTCTCTTCTGGTTCTTCTGCTGCTGCGTCAGGGTGCTCTTGCGAGGGGGCCGCTTCGAGTTGCACGATTGGCCGCCGGCGCTGGATGTGGAGTGCGTTGGTGATTGCTTGTTGGGCGTCGAGGCTGTGGCAGACGTGGGCGTCGCGTCGGCGCCGTGGTCGTGGGAGGGTGCGTGTACAGCATGGGCCCCATGGCCCAGAGCCAGCGGATGCTCAATCTCGGTAGCCATGGCCGTCGTCTTTCCAGTGCCGCTCGCGTACAACAAACCGTCGCCGTGGGGCTGTGTCCAGCGCAATCAGCAGGCCCAGACCAGGCAAGTACGGCGATGGGCGGCGGGAGCTCGAGGGGATCGAGGATCGAGTCGGGTTGGATGAGAGGGCCCGAGGGCGAAAGAGCGAAAGGAAAAATATCGATGAGCGGAGCGCAGGGGACAGGGAGTTGTAGACAGTGAACCTGGGGGATGTGGTTGTGTGGTGCAGACAGAACGAGCGTCGCTTCCGAGTCCTCGAGTGGAAAAGGGGGGTGTGGGAATCGCAGAGCCGTTGGAGGGCGTCGTCGATGATGATTCCAGCCGAATGAATGTAATGGACCCGGAAAGAGTGACGGGTACCGAAATGGCTGCGGAAGAATAAGAGAGTGACTCGAAAGGAAAGGGAACGGGGCAAGGGGGGGGAAGAAGGAGATGGGGAGTAGGATGGTGAAGAAGAACGGATTGGTGATGGAGGAGGCGAAGAGAAGAAAAAGAGAGGATGGAGAGAAACCAGGGGGGGTGGGGTGGAGAGCCCAGGAGGAGGGGGGGGGCACAGGGGCTTGGCCCGGGCTGGCCAGAGAGGAGGGCCGCTGGGGGCCGCTGAGAGGAGCACGGGGACTGTGTGTGTGTGGTCAGAACAGCGACTCAGGCTGGTCCCAGCGCCCCAGTGGCCGCCCGCAGGCCTGCATCCGCCGACTGCGCGCCGCTGCATCGCTGAATGGTCGATTCGAGTCGACCTTGGCCGGTGGGGTACTGGCCGACTACAAGCCACGCTGCCCCTGTCGGCACCCACGACTGGGCGACGCGGCGGGCTCACGGCTCGTATCCCACAGGTACTGCACTATTCGCTCACGCGTCCGAGAGTCTCCAGACTTTGTACTGGCCGATGCGCCCTCTCCCTCCACGCTGTCCGTCCACGGCTGTAGAAGAAACCGCTGCGTGCACGCTTCATCCCAGATATGACGTTGCGCGCAGGCTCGCACCTTGAACGGAAAGCAAGGGATGGCGTGCCAGTCCGTCAATGGAGCGGGTATAGGTGACCGCCAGATGCCGTGCTCGTCGGCGCGTGTAAGTCAAAAAGAGACCTGGCCTGCTGGTACCTGCAGCGAGGCATCTACCTCGAGGTGGGTCACACGGAACAGTGCCAGGTGCATCTCGGGCGCCAGACCAAGCACGGTTCGTTTCGGCGTTACGCTGCCTGCAGGAGGGAGGAGTTGTGGTACTCAGTACACATACCAGTAAAGCGTACTGTGTGGCACTGCATGCTTGCATGTACCCGTGGAAGTGCGATAGCTCGTGGATAAAGTACCGCCCGCCGCATGCTAGACTCGAAAGCCGCGCCGGAGCTTGTCAGGGCCGGGGGTCGGGTATCCGGTACCTGTAGCCGGCCAAGGCGGCCGGGGCTTCTGACGCGGCACGAGCACGTCTCTGTCAAGGCGCCTGGCCTCGTCTCGGGGTCGCAATGTCATCGACCGTGGCTCACATATGACTGTACTGTGCAGACCCAGTCGGCGGCGACGGAACGGATGCGACGACGCTGCAGAGAGCAGAGAGGAGAGGTGGCAATGGCGGAGCATAACAGCGGGCACAGGTACCGGCTACCCTGGGCCCCTCGCCAACCGAGTGCTGACGCGTGACCGCAGTGCAGCAGCTGTATGTGCAGACAGGCGGGCCCAGCCCACAGACCTCTTTGGTTCCTGGCTGCGACGGGATGAGACGGATGCCGCTGTTAGTGCGAGGGGAGAGAGGCTTAGCCACCGTCTCATGGTTTGGACGTCGATCCACAGCTGCGCATCGTCGGTCCTCCTTTTCTTCGACTGTACGTATCCGTACCAGGCCAGCCGATGCCGGGCTACAGCACAGGATGATGGATGCTGCCCACCTTGGTCGATACGGCGTCGGTCCAACGTGGCTGGCACACACACGCAGCTCCGGGGCAGCGCTATTTACCGTGTGCTCTGCCGATATCTGCACTGTGTCGCATCACCGTGCAACATGCTCGCCGCTACTCGGTACGCCCGGTACTGCGCGGGTACCTGATGGCAAGCGTCTCCCGCGAGCGACAGCTCAAACGGCACCCCTCTCTCCCCCTGTCGTAGTTGAACGGCCGTGCGGGAGAGTGCCGTGATTCTGGAGTCGATTAGCCCTCTTTTTTTTTCGCGCACGGCGGGCGGACCCAGGGCGGTCGGCGGCGCCTGGGAGAAGCGACCGTCAAGGGGAGAGGGAACCATGTCTGTGAGTAGCCATCGTCCATCGTCCATCGTCATACCGATGGGACCGCGCACGCCCTGTCTGGCCGAGATGCTGCGGTGGGCTTTCCGGCCGTCGGCGGCCCTCGACCAACCACGACGGACGGGTGGATGCTGTGCGCGCAAAGTCAAGATAGTTACTCCGTACATGTGCCGTACAAATTATATGGGGCGCACCAGTCCCCCACCCGGCATCCGGGTACCTGACCTTCTTTTCCATCGGCGGCTTGCTGTCTGTCCTGTAATCCTGACGGTACCTGCGTCTAGCCCGAGCAGCCATTCCACCCGACTGTCTCGCTGCATTCTGGCTTCATGAGAGAAGAAGCAAAACCCATAAGCGTCCGTCTGTTTGGGCCCTGACGCTTCGAGCCTGTCTCGGCGACGTAGCTGTGGGGATCGATCCATGGGCCGGCGTACTGTACCTCAGCGCAGTGCGATACAGTATGTGAAAGTATGTACGGTACTCCCTCCGTACAGCCGGCCGGTCCTCTGATGCTGCTGCTGCTGCTGCTGCTGCTGCTGCTTCTCCTGGGGTGCGCCGCGCGATCTGAGCGCCAAGGCGCGAGAACTTCTCCACGGACGACTTCGCCCTCAACGTAGCAGGACAATGGCCCCTCTTGTGTCTTGGACCTGCATCAACCAGCTAGCTGCCTTAGTTCTGGACTGCAAAGTACGGCTGAGTCGGCTTTTTGCCTTATGCATTCATGTACACGCGTATGCTTTGGCTTGGCCCAAGACAAGCGGCAGCCTCATGGTGGATCCCGGGCCGGTCGAGCACTGGCGATCCTTGCTACCCATTACAAGTACAGGACGCTGGCGAAGGACTTGGTCTCACGTCTCACGAGTTGCAGCGCTTGTCTGGAGGTTCCGGCTACAGATATGAATGTACCCAGAGGTATCAGGCCTTTCTGCCTGAGATGAGGTAGCGCTGTAGCTGGAACACCTCCCGACAATCCCCCGGATATCCCAAGAAACCCGGCAAGCTGCCCGCAGCAGGTGTCCACGCGACAGCGGTGACTTGGCCGAGGTGCTTCACCCAGTGGACTGTGAGTTCTGAAGCAGGGTCCCAAGAAGTTCCCGATCCCGATCCTCGACGGCCTTCCGACTGTGCTTTTTAAGCCTGGGCCCTCTCTTCTTCTCACCGGCGCCACTCCGACAACCCGTAGGTACAACGCGCGGTACGATGGTGGGGGCCGCGGCGCCATCACGTATCGCTGATAGACGCTGTGCATGTTGCGCAGTGAAAAAAATCGCCTGGGTCTGTCCCCTTTGACGCCGCATTGCATATCCGGTGATGCATCTTGACCTCTTCGCCCTCTCAGCCAAGCCTTCTCTTGGCTAAGACAGAGATATGCCTTACTCGTGCAGCACGTGCTTTTGCTTGAATCGTGTTTGTGCATGATGCGGCGCCCAAAGGCCAAGGAGACATGTCTGGAACTGCGTGCCTCACATCCACGCACTCTGCCCACACGTGTTGTGGGAGCGTGTCTGCGGCATTGTACATGCATGAGCCCGTGGACTGCGCTGTATGGGGGGGTGGATTGTGGATTGAAGTGTCTAGTGCAGTAGCAAAGGGAGGCGGCAGTCATGTCAACCGTCGCCCTGTGCCGTCCATCTGATCCGCGCAACTCTATCTCGCGTCGAGAATGCGGCAGAACGTTTCTCGGGGGCATTGGGACGCGACGAAAAGGGAGGGTGGATGCCGCCGCCTCAACTGCATCGGAAACATGGGGTCTGCCGTGTCGGCCGGCGATGGGGGTTGACGCGACGCGCTTGGCGCTGCTTGTCAGTTTCGAACACATGGAAATTCTGGGTCGCGCCCAGATGGAATCCGTGCTTGAGAAGGTCGTGTGGCAGGTATATATATAGCACGACGAAGGTTCCAAGAGAAACAAAAAGGGGGGGGCTCTCGCCTGAAGTTGTTGTTGTGCCAGAGGTCGGACGATACGGGGGACAAGGTGTACTGTACAGTACGAGTACAGGAAAGCACGGTCTCACGTCATCAACAATGGCGCTGGGCTTGCCTGCCTTGCTCGCTGAGAAGGAGCTCACTTCTGCAAGCGGGTAGGTACCTGGCAAGTATCCCAGAGTATCTCCGTGCACAATGGGTAGGCCCTCCGCCTGGTGCTCGGCACTTGGCTGCCCTTGAAAAAGACGTGGCCGATACGCCGGTGTACCTCGCCAGCTCTCCAAAAGCTTCCATGCCCGAGGAGGGAAGAAGGGAAAAAACCTCACCTCTCACCTCTCACCTTTCTCCACCATGGCAGGCTCCGGCTTCCGATGGGTCCCCCCTTTTCCACTGGCACAACCCGGAGTGGGTGACGAGAGAGGAGTCGAGGCCCGCCCTGTTCCTGCAGTAGCCTCGCTCGCCAATGCGCCCCTGTCGTCATGCAGCAGAGCCGGTTGGTGGACGAAGCCCCTGACCATGTTCGTCCTGAGCAAGTTGATCAACTGTTTCTCTAGAGCCCGTGCGCAAGAGCCAAGCGCCTGGGTACACCCAAGGTGCGACTCTCGACGACGCTGCAATGGAGCTCTCATGACTTGCGGCTGAGCAATGTGGTTGGCAAAGGGCGGGACTCGGCCGCGGCCTCGCACACACGCTTGTTTACGTGCCACTCAAGGCAGTGCAGAGCCAGACGACTATTCCGGGAACCACTGCCACGAGCGGACAGCGAGAACACACCGAGCGGCGGCACTTGCAGGCGCCTGTGTCGCGCCGAGGTCTGTGCCAATGGCAGAATCCAACTACCAAGTAACAGAGGTGAGGTAGCCCTTGCCTATGCAACGCAGCCTCTGCAGTGGCTGACTCGACTGCTCTCAGTTGGCCGCGCGCGGCTACCGGCCTGATTCCGACTTGGCGGCCCGAATTGGCCTCCTCTCTCTACCCGCCTCTGCCAATCGTTCCCCGGAGCCTCATGGTTTTGCCACTCCGGTGCGGCTCGTGCGCTTAGACTGTCTTCTCCACCATTTGCTCCCCCGGCCGCCACACCAAAAGGGCGAACACGAAAAGGAAAAAAGAAGCTCCCTTTTACCCCTGACTAGGACCCTGCCATGTCTGTGCCTCGCAGCACCCACATCAGCCCGCCTAGCCAATCAGCACCCGCCACGGGCTGCGGGCAACGGCCGCATGCCCATTGTCTTTCTACCGCCGCGCAGCGCCGTCGACTCCTTTTGGTCTTCTGCTGTCAACTACAAGCAAAGCGTCCTGAATGCCACGCATGAGCCGATGGCGCATTTGCTAGTCCCTTCTTGACCCTTTTTTTTTTCATTTTTGCTTTTCTTCTCCCTTGTCGCTCCAACAGACTGGGAAGCTGACGGTGTGCTTGTAGTGTGGCACATGTCGCTCCTACCCTTACCGGGCTCGACTCTCCCCTTACCATCTTCAACTCCAACACTCATCGGCCGTGCGGGCCTCGATTCGCCGCCCTTGCTGACGCCATCGCTGGGCGCCTTCTTGGACTAGTGAAGGATGACCTGCCTCTATGATACGTGAGAGGCATGCACAATTGACGCCTTGAAGCTGTGCACTCGGCACTAGTACGGCCAAGCTCTCGTCCTCGTCTTGTAGCGGAACGGGGCTCAGACCCCCAAATCGGGCCCCTTGCTTGCCCGGCCTGGCACCAACAGCCGGCGTCGAGGGAGAGAGACGGAGTTCAGGACTGCCGCCCCGTCGCCGGGACGGGGCCTCTCAGCCAGCGTAGTAGTGTTTCGGCGGTCAGACGAACCCGATCGAGCCACCGACGGACTGGGGGACGGCTTAGGATAGACCAGAGCCTATCCAGATTATTAACTCTCGGCCAGGGCGGCAGGCTTTGTCGGATCCTGCCTTATGTGCGAACGAAAGCCGTTGCTGCTCAGCAAGAAACCCTTTGCCTTGTTCAGCTTCAGGCCAAAGTCCACCGATCAGCGACGGACGCATCCTCGGACAGTCGTCGCGTGGATTCTTTGGCTTGGGTCTGGCTTCTCCACATCTGTTGCGATGCTATGTCGATGGATGCATGCCGCCTCTTTCCCCTTTGCCCGTCACGTCAAAGCCACAGCTCCCGGAGGATCGATCTGCGGGGAGGTGCTCGACCGTCTCAGACGGAGCATGGTCTACCTTGTTTACTCTGTTTCTCCTCTCTCGATCAGTGTCTCATCAACGTGATGATGGTCGATGGACTTTGAGAGACCCGCTTGGACGTGCCGGGGCTCTCCGCCTACCCTGAAGCTGCACGGACACTCGGACGGCCTCAGGGCCGCTGAGAGCGAACGCCCCTATTGAGGACAGGGCTGCGTGGAGTGCTGAGCGTAGCTGGTTCTGTGAGTTTGGTGAATCTTTTTCACTTGGGATTGTGTTTGAGCCCCGCTCACTAGCCCAGGGCACGAAAGGGGACTGACGATTAGATGATGACGGACGGCGGATCAGACTAAGCACGCGGGCAGTCTGCACGTAGGCCGGCCATGTGGGCTACCATTGGATGGGCTGTGTAAAAGTTCACTTTCATGCGTGCCCTTTAACCAGCTGCTGTCCTCAACCAGCCTGTGGAGCAAAGACGGCAGCTCGCGGACGTGATGCCGCAACGCAGCGAGACAGGGCCTAGATTGACTGCTGCGCATCTTGCCCTCCCTCAGAGAGAATCTGGGGCATCTCGTCGCCATCGCATCCACCCCCCACGGCGACGTAGCCACGAATCCTCAATCCCTGTCCCCCCTCCCCCCCTTCCTGTATTGCGCTTCCATACGCATGCACGGCCTTGAACACACCCAGCGTAGGCTCGGCCACAGCCTTCCCAGACGAGCTGGATAATCTCGACCGTGTTGCCGAGGTCATGCTCGTAACACCGCTGACTGCCGGGAAACCCGCCGTGCTGGGAGAGAAAAGGGGGGGGTAGCCATCCAAGAACGGTGGCAGATAGCACTCCTGAAGAAACCTCTGTCGTAGTTGCGGATCGGGGCTAGCCCCTTTCCCTTGACGGTACGATGTTTGCTTGTTTTGTGTGTGTGGCTGGTTAGTGAGGCAGGGAGTAGATCCCGCTGCGGCTTGGCAAAGCACCGAGGCGGCAGCCCGTGCCGGCAAGAAGACGTCGTCTGCTGCGCCGGGCCATGATCAGCCGGTCTCCATGGAATCAGAGAAGTCATCGCTGGGCTGGCGATTCCAGCGGACTCGCGGGACCGGCAGACATCAGGCAGTCCTCAAGTCAAGGCCGAGAGGCTGGGTGAGTGGGAGACTTTTGCCCTCCGTATAACCTTCATAACTCCTTCATGGCCTCCGCAACGGCCCGCGCCGCCATTTTCTTCCTCTGCGCCTCGCCCATGCCTGCCCCCGCGTCCCTCACAGCCTGGAGCTTCCTCGTCATCCTCTCTAGCTTAAGCACGTCGTCGCCGTCGACCTCGGCCTCGTCGCCTTCATCAACGCAAGGCCCCCCTTGGAGACTCGTGTCCTCTGCAGAGGCGCCGTCGTCGTCTCGCGCAACATCGTCCGCTTTCGCCTCCCGGGTGCTCGCCCCGGCAGTCTCAGCGGCAGGGCTGTCCCGTTGCCCTGCGCTCCAGATGGCCCTCCTAAGCCCCTCAAAGTCGGCCCTGTCGAAGCCAAAGTCGAGGGTTTCTGGGTCAAAGTCGACGTTGTTGGCTTCGGGGTGTCCGTCCGATCCGGATTCAAAGTCGCCAAAGTCGGAGAGGGAAGGGCTGTCCGTCTGGGCCCAGTCGTTGGACTCGAGAGCCTCCTTGACGCGGGCCATGCCAATCCGTTCTGCGAGGCGCATGTGAGCGAGCCCACGGTGCAAAAGAGGAACTGCCGTTCCTCCAGGAAGAATCGAGTGAGACATACCTCCAAACTCATTGAGGCCGCGCTGCTGCTGCTGCCCGACACCGACCTGGACAAACTCAAGCCCAGCCTCGGCACAGAGCTCATCCCAGTCATCAGCCGCATCCTCGCCCACGCCCACAGCAAGCCGCACGCCCTCCCACTCCCACCCGCCAAGGCCCATATTCACAACGCGACCGACATGCTCTATCAGCAGGCGCAGCTCGTCGCCAGACGCCCCCGCAGCAGGGAGCGCGAAGACAACAACAAGCCCCCCGAGCACGGCCAGGACCTCGCTGGCCTCGTCGGAGAGGAACGACTCGGCCCACTCGGCGGGCGAGGCGATGAGGTCCAGCCAGACGGGGACCGAGGCCTTGTAGTACTGCGTCTCGAAGGCAACGTGGTGCGTCGTGCCGGCCAGGGACGTGGACGCGGGGCCCGGGGCCGAGCCCGAGAGATCTGTGTGCCGAGGTGCCCGTGTCAGTCAGGCAAGCAAGGGGCGCTTCGTTGCGTCCGGGAACCAGGGCGGGCTTGCACCTCTGATGACGCGGCTCAGGTGGTTGGCCTCGTTGGCCAGGCTCACGGCCAGGACCCGTTTCGGGTTGGAGACCTGCATCTGCGAGCGAGTTCGTCCTCCTCTTAGGCCGCGAGGGAGGAGAGAGAGGGGACAAAGAGAATGAGAGAATGGCGTCGGGGCCTGATGCTTTAATTAGCCGTCTCTTATCAACCGCGAGGTCGTGGGCGGTCGATTCCATTAGCAAGCAAGTGGTCACGTGTTGGGCACCATCTGTCGTCTAGGGTATTAGGCATAGGCCCCGTCGAAACATGTCCCAAGTTTACTCTATAAACAACCCCTAATTGCCACAATGTTCTCGTATCACGTTCAGATTTGTACTCGACAAGCCAGAAAGCAATCATACAATCCACGGCCCGTTACAGCATGAAGACACCTCGCCTGCCTCAAGCCGTCTTGATCCCAACGCCCGTTACCCCAAAAACATGTTGCCCAAAACAGTGTGAGATAAGAAGAGAGTGAAGCACAATGAATCAACCGCCACTCAACACTGATCCCCTCCCCATCCAAACGATCGATTCACCGTGCCCATGGCCTCAATCCCCGCCCTGACAACCCCCGTCCAACCCCCCTCGCTCACCACTGTCTCGCCTTGCGCTCTCTCCAGGTCCCCGCGATCCAGCTCGCAGTCCCTGCGCTCGAGCATGGCCCTCTGGATCGCCGTGGCCCACAGGCTGTACCACTGCTCCTCGCCCATGCCCGCCGCGTACCGCCTGCGCCCGGGCACGCTCGTCGGCTGGCTGGCATGCCACTCGGCCGCAACCGTCTCCCAGCGGCGCGTGCGCAGCAGCAGCCACGGCCAGGTCAACAGGAAGAGAAACGTGGCGTAGAAGAGGAAGCGGATGCGGCCCGTTAGGCGCCACCGGTTGGTGCGGCAATCGTTGTACACGTCGACGCGGGCGTCGCGCACGGGGAAGCTGACGACGGCGTGGCCGCGGTAGTTTGTCGCGCGTACCAGGGCCTCGAGGCGCCGTCTCAGCAGGTCCCAGTCCCAGCCCAGCACCCGCCGCTCCAGGGTGAAGCACTTGAGGCCGGCGGGGCTGGCGCAGAAGCGGTGGCACCACTGCTCGAGGCCCGGGACACCCTCTTCGGCCGCGCCACCGAAGCCGGGTGCGCGCTCGGCAAAGACGGTGCCGCGACGGACCTTTTCCAAGTTGCCGGCGGTGACGAGGCCGCGCCAGGCCTGCTGGCGAGTGATGTCGGTGTAGAGCAGGTGCGTCAGCTCGATGCGGATGTCAAAGTCGACGACCTGATCGGCGCCGTGCCGGTCCTTGTCTCGGCCACGCTGGCGCTCCCTGTGCGTGCCGCGGAGGCGGACAAAAGGCCGGGGCGGCACGGCAGCCAGGCGTTGAATATGGTCGATGAGAAAGGACGGGTCCGAGTCGAGCCGCGGGTCGAGATAGTAAGCCGTCGTGCCGCCGCCGTCGTGCCCAAACGGCTGGACGAGCTGGTCGCCGCCTCTGGGAATGAGGGGATTGACGGGCGCGCTGTCGGCGGCGTCGGTTTCCGCGTGTTCGCTGTAGAGCGGTGGCAGGTCGTCGTTGTCATATTCGCCTTGTATCGGGTCGTCGAAGTACCGGCTTAGCGACTCATGGCCATGCGGTACAGCGGCGGCGGCGACCGAGGACGACGACGGAGCAGCTGCCGTTGTCTGGAGAGAGATGGCGCTGCGGGACTCTTGGAGCGGAGAGAGAGGTGGCTTGGGAGAGGGGAGCGGTTCGACATTGCCCATGCTGGATGAGCAGAAGCCGACGATGCAGGGTCGATGGTGAGTAGGAGATCAAGTACGCGAAAGTGAAGATGAGCGGGGATAGTGATGACAGACGACGAGCAGGGAATGAGTCCACAGAGGTGAAGAAGGACGCCTGCGATGTGGAGACGAGGAGCGTCACAGAAACCTGCTGCCCGCTCGCTACTGTACGTACAAGGGTCCAGCCAGACAATGCCTCGCACCGCCACCGTCTAAGCCACCCACTCTCCCCAGTCTCACTAAAGTGGAGCATTAGTGAGGGCATCATGGGTCGTGTCATCGTTACCCTCCTAACTTACCTGTCCATCATCACGGGACAAATACTCAACTCCCCTCTTCGCACAAACAGACAGCTCTGACTGTATGTATTTTGGTCTTGGCCAATGCGCGCACGCATTTCTCTAGTCCAAGAATGCAATATGCCAGCTCCACTCCACATGAGACCAGACGCCAAGAAGAGACTCATCCTCCTCCTACCTCTCCTCAACATCGACAAGCCGCCCCTCATCCCATTTCCGCTTGGCCGCCTTGAGCAGCATGTCCAGCTCTCCGCTCATCTCGCACATGCTGCGGAACGACCCTTCCTCGTTGCTCATCAGCTCCCACGGATGCCCGTACTCGACCACTTCGCCCCTGTCCAGCACCAGCACCTTGTCGTAGTCGACAATCGTCTGCAGCCGATGCGCAATCGTAATCACCGTGCCCGTCAGCTCCCGTATCGTCTCCTGGATCTTCGAGTCAGTGCTGTAGTCGATGGACGCCGTCGCTTCGTCCATCACCAGCACCGTCGGCTTCTTCAGCATCGCTCGCGCCAGGCACAGCAACTGCCGCTGCCCCTGCGACAGATTCGATCCCGACTCCGACACCGGCGACGAGAGGTCCAGAAACACGTTCTTGTTCGTCGCCACCGACGGCGCCGACGAAACGCGCATGCCCGCCACCGCCTCGTTGGGCCCAATAAGCTGCACCCGCCGCAGCGCCTCAAACACCTGCTCATCCGTGTACTGGTCAAACGGATCCAGGTTGGTCCGTATCGTGCCCATGAACAGCGTCGGATCCTGGGGCACTATCGTTATCTTTTCCCGCAAGTCTCGCAGCCCAATCTGGCTAATGTCGATCCCGTCAATCACAACCCGGCCCTTCTCCGCCTCGAGCGCCCGGAAAATGGCCAGCGCCAGCGAGCTCTTGCCGGCGCCCGTGCGCCCCACGATGCCCACCTTCTCCTTGGCCTGAATCTTGAGCGAGATGCCCCGGAGCACGGGGTCGAGATCGGTGCGATACCGCGTAGAGTAGTCGACAAACTCGACGTTGCCCTCGTCCGGCCACGACTCGGGCGGACGCTTCCCCTCCACCACCGGAGCCGCCTCCTGCTCCAGGTCCAGGTACTCCTTGACGCGCTCCATGGCGTTCATGTTCTGCTCGTTCATGCCGTAGAGGCGCACCAGCCAAAGGATGTTCTCCGTAAAGTTCATGGCGTAGCTGAGCGAGATGCCTGCAGCACCGGCGTCAATCTTGCCCAGCTTCAGGATGATGAAGGCGCCCGCAAAGAACGACACCATGTTGCCGAGCGCGTCGGCGCGGAATGCGAGCCATCTGTTACAGGCCCACAGGTAGATGAACGGGCGGCTCTGCGTGTTAACCTTGGCGAGGTTGTCCCGGATGAAGCGGCGCTCGTCGCCGTAGGCGCGGATCGTCGTCATGCCGCTGAGCGTCTCGCCAAACTGCTGGAAGAGCGGGCTGCGCTGCACCGACTCGAGACGCTTGAGGTCGCGCGACGCGCGCAGGTACAGCGTGGCGACAAAGTAGAAGAGGCCGGATATGAAGAGAGCGGCGACGAGGAAGCCGGGGGTGATGACGGCAATCAGTATGACTGTTACGACGAGCGAAAGGGCGCAGGACATGACGCCAATCGCCACGGGCGCAATCTCCTGGTCAACGGCCTCGAGGTCCTTGCTAAAGCGGTTCATCAGCTGGCCGAGCGGCGTCACGTCAAAGAACTTGAACTTTGCTCTCGTGACCGCCGCCATCAGACGATTGTGGAGACGTCGCGATGCCGTGAGCGAGCCAAAGAAGATCCAGACGTCCCGGACAAGGGCCGCCAAGGCGCCGGCCGCGCCAATAACAGCGAGACCGGTCAAGTAAAACGCCACGTTGACCTCGGGCACATCCTCGGGCGCTTGCGAGCTTGAGGCGCTGCCGAGCCGCGCGATGCTCGCCCAGGTGCCCTTGCCCACGACCTCGCCGCCGTACGAGCGCGACAGGGAGCTCATGGCAATGTCCGTCTCCTGTTCCTGGACATACATGTTGGCCCACTGTCGCACCCAGAAGTTGGTGGCGACAGTGGACAGCTGCTGCAGTATGAAGACGATCAGGGCGACGACCCAGAACCAAATGGGTCCCATGGATAAGAGGTAGAGCTTCATGACGGGCCACTTGACAGACCCGGTGGCCTTGCCCTCGTCCATGGGGTCCAGCTGAGCCTTCTTCGGCTTCACCTTCTTGGAGATGGCGACGCTGTTCATGGTGTTCATGTTGCTGTTGACCATGGTCTCGGCGTCCCCAACGCTCGAGGGCACGCGCGAGGGCACGCGCGAGGCAACGGCCGAAGGGGGGCGTGACTTGAGAATATCCTCGCCGAGCTTGCCCGAGTCCATGACCTCCTGCGCGGGGCCCTGGGCGGTGACGCGGCCGTTGTCGAGCATGATGACGTAGTCGGCCGACGGGACGCAGAGCTGCACGTTGTGCGTCACCAGGATGCAGGTGCGGTTCCGCATGAGCGGCCCCTTGATGCAGTTTGTGAAGATCCACTGAGCGGTGTGGGAGTCGACGGCGCTCAGGCAGTCGTCCATCAGTATGTGTGCCGAGTTGGAGTAGAGGGCCCGGGCGAGCGAGATGCGCTGCTTCTGGCCACCCGACAGGGTGATGCCCTTTTCTCCCACCATGGTGTCGTCGCCGTGGTCCAGCACCTCGAGATCGCGCTCGAGGGCGCAGGCAACCACCACGTCCTTGTATCGCTGCTCGTCGTACGGCGCCGCGAACAAGATGTTGTCGCGGATGTTGGCGTTGACGAGCCAAGCCGCCTGCGCAACGTACGCCACCGTGTCGGCTAGACCCGTCTCGGGATCGGGCCAGACTTCCTCGCGGCTCCGACCGCCAGGGCAAAACACCTTGCCCTCCATGAGGGTCATCTCGCCCAGGAGCCCCATGAGCATCGACGTCTTGCCGGATCCCGTGGGGCCGGCAATGATGTTGAGTTTGCCTATCCGGAAATCAATGTCCATGTCGAGTAGGCGGAAGGCCCGCGAGCCATCATCGGCCACCGACTCCCTACCGCCCCAGATGAGCGTCGCGCCTCGAAAGCCGATGTGCTTGACGCCGTCCTCATCCACATTGTCCTGACCCAGCTGCTCGTATTTTTCTGTCTCCTCCTCGTTCAAAAACTCCTCGACACGGTCAATCGATACCTTGGACTCTTGCACGTGGGCAAACATGTCGCCCAGCTGGTCGAGCGGCACGCGCAGGAGCATGAAGAGCGAGATGGCGGTGAAAGCGACCGAGGGGTACAGCGGCTTCTTCTCGATGACGGTGTAGACGAAAAAGGAGAAGAAGGTGATGAGTACGGGGACCGAGTTCCAGGTGGCCACGGCCACAGCCCAGAGGATGAACCGGGATCGCAGGGCGGCGAGCTCGACCCGGCGCTTCTCGTCGATGATGCGACCAAAGCGCTCTTCCCAGGCAAAGTACTTGATGATGCGGATATTCTGGAGGACCTCGTTTGTCACGTTGATGCGCTTGTCCGTGGCGGCCATGATGTTCTTGGAGGTGATGTTGAAGCCCCTGGCGATGAAGTAGTTAACTGGGAGGAGCAGGGCCATGACGATGAGACCCGGAATGGCGCTGAGACCCATGACCTGCCAAAGCAAGACAACACAGACGACGAGCTGGGTCGGGGCCGCGGCGCATAGGAAGTGTAGGTACGCAGTGACGTCCGAGACCTTGAAGCTGTCGACGGACATGAGGTTGATGATGGTGCCCAGGTTGGCCTGCTCGTCATCGCGCGAAGGCTTGGCGTCTTGACCCTCCCTGGCGACGCTGTTAGCTGACTCGGTGTCGCTGGCCACGCTCTTGTTCTTCTTCTTTCCTATGCCGAGAGCGCTCTTGATCTTGGCGGCGGCGCTGTCGCCGTCCGAGTCGTCCTCCTTCTTGGGCTGAGCGGGTTTGTTGTCGAGCAGAACCTTGTCCCTACCCGCGGCAGCCTTGCGGCGCAACGCCTTGGCGTAGATGTCGCCAACAATGATGGCGCGGACTCGAATGCAAATTTTGCGGCCAGTCCACAGAGCCATGCCGTCGGCGTAAGAGCGGATGGTGTCGAGGACGGGCAGAGCGATGACGTAGAGCCAGAGGACGTTGACGGGCGCGCGGTCCGGCTGCTCCACGTACTCGAGAATAGCCCTCAGCAGGAGAGTGGGCGCAAAGGTGAAGAGGCCCGAGACAAAGGCCATGAAGCACTGGAAGAGGAGCATGCCCTTGAAGAACTTGAGCAGATGCCAAGCCAGGGCACCCGTCCTCTTGAGCTGTCTGTAGTCGGCGATGACGGCGGCAGCCTTGTCCTTGGGCAGCAGGTTCCAAACATGGTCCATCTCCATCGTCGTCTTCCAGCCCTGGTACACGATGGCGTCGACCCAGGAGAAGGTGGCGAGGGAGAAGAGGCTGGCAAGAGGCTCGCGGGACGGCTCGATACCGTCCTCCCACTCCAAAAGCACAGTCTTGTTTCCCTTCCTAGTAGTCAGAGCCATGCCGAAGAGCAGGGTGACGAGGGCGAACTCGAGGATGACGAGGACCTGGGTTAGACGCGAGCTGGGGTGGATAATGACGGAGCGGAAGATGAGAATGTCCAAGAGCCAATTGAGGCCGTAAATGGAGGCCGTGTGGTTCCAGAGGCGAGGGATGCGCCACTTGGACCTGCCGAGGAAGAGGCGGAGGGAGGCGAGGATGAGTGTGTAAATCCAGGTGAGGAGGCCCGCGGCGGCGGCGAGGCTACCGCGCCCGGCGGCACCGTAGGCGCCCGTGATGGCGGCGATGACATTGACGACGACGAGGCCAATGATTGCCAGCTCCTCGACAGTCGTAGACAGACGTTGGCCAGCCGGGGTGTCGGCCTGGACAATGGAGCCCCTGCTCGCAGTCTTGGCCAGGGCCAGCCTGCCGGCATTGATTTCGAGATGTTGCTCGTCATCGTCGTCGGAATCGGCGGGCGAGGTGTCCGGAGGCAGGCCGGTGTGATCTGGGTCGGCGCGATGCTCGCTGGCCAAGGGTCGGTAGCCCCGGGCATCTCGATGGGTGATGGCGCGGGCGACGGCGGACCAGGCGAGGCGGGCGACTGAGAGGGCGATGACGATGAGCGGGAGGAGGATTTTGAGGTAGCTGCCGGGATCTCAGTCAGCAGCGTGCGCCGTGCATGGCCACGCATAGGCCGGGGGGCGGCGGCGCCAATGCATGGATCGACGGGTCATGGACCAGGGGGGGCTTGGGGTGAGGGGAGGACGAGTGTGGGAGGACAAACTCTTGTTGGAAGCACGAGGTGAGGTCATCTACCCGCCATATCGGCGGCGAGCAGTGGGCGAAAGCACCCATGGTCAGCGCCGAAGTCGGGGATGCCACGGTCCGTCTCGTAGCATGCGGTGGCAGAGACGCGTGCATGTACTGTCAGGTTGTAGGAGCCGGTGTGGCTGGTCGTGCAGGGGCGGAGACGAAGAGTCGACGGCCGGCGGTGACGATGGTGCTGGTAGCCTTGGGTAAGAGTCGGAGATGGAGGCCGACGGGCAAGAGTGAGAGAGAAGAGAGGAAGAAGAGAGGGAGAGGGAGAAGGTTCTCTATCTCTGGGCAAAGGGAGGCCTGATGTTGATGTCGCAGATCGCGTGCCCGTCGAGGAATTGGAAGAGGGCGTCACGTCGAGGGCTGTATCGATATCGGGGCCCGGAAGCCGGCGCGGCGGGGGAGCGAGGAAGGATAAGAATATTGAGACAGGATCCTTGTGCCGGCCAAATGCGCTGCTGGACGGGCCGGTGCTTATTTCCGATATTGCCCTCGTTGCTGATCGATTTCCCGATGCCTCCCAGGCCACCGGTCGAATCAAGGAGCACAGGCGGGCGGGCAGGCGTCGGCGAGGCGAGGCGGGGACCGGAGGCGGAGAGGGGATGGTGAGGGGAAGAGCAAAAGAAAAGAGATGGGGAGATGGTAGACGGAGGGGGGGGCGTCAAGGGGCGAGAGAGAGGGAGCGGGAGAGAGGAGAGGAGGGCGCGGATGGGAGAAGACGCGGGCCGGGCAAAGTATAAAAGTTGGTAGGCACGAGTGCCTCGGACCTGCCAAGTAGGTCAAGTACGAAGAGGTATTGCATTCGGCCGGGTTCGATAGGGCGGTACCTGGCCAGAGCCATCACACCGGCTGAAGGAAGAAGTACCTCGCTAGGGATGCGGAGTAGGGCTAATTGCTGGTCTTTGCAGTGGGCACATGACCGACTGGCGGCGTAGGGGTCCGAGGCTCGCCGCCAGCGCCAAGGCCTGCCTGTAGCACTACCTACTGTAAAACTACAGTGCCGTACAGCCAGCCAGTGCCTCGAGGTGCTGCCCATCGATATCTCAGTCAGCCGGCGAACAAAGTAGATTCAAAGACAGAACCATTTCTATCCATCTTCCTTTGGTTTCGAGCCAGGCCGTGCATGAGGCGTCATCTTACCCTCCCCTCTGGCGACCAGGGGGCTGCTCGTCCATGCTCGGTCAGAGTCATTCATCCATGCTATGGGTCTGCCCTTTTCTGGCTCGCTAGTCCCGAGCTTCGGCACGGGCCCTGACACATGCAACATCCATTTTCACTATCCCAAGGTCAATGTCAAGGTCCTGCCAGAGGCGACTTGTATCACGGCATTTCCCTCAGGCTGCATTGTATATGGGATGTTGCCGCCGCCCTCCGGAAGGTCATGGCGTCGTCCCATCTCACGGCCTCGGGCTTGTGGCCGTGAGCTGTCTATGCAAGCAGGGACGAGGTGGACGGGTGGAAACAAGGCCGTCCTCTCATGCTCTTGGACCCCTGTGCTTGAAGAAATTGTATGCATTGTCCGCAACGCTTACTGAGACGGAGCGCCTTTAAGCGTATCCATCATAACGAGGCACCAAAAAGGGAGGTAAAGCGTTGGGGACGGCCGTTTGTGTACAGAAGATGATTGCCTCAATGATCAATGAGATGAGCAGCGGGCCAACCGTGGATGACTGCGTTTGATGGCAGCAATTATGTTACCCCCGGCGCCCGTGGCATTGCGGAACAATCCCGAGTCTGAGAAACAATAAAAAGACGGAGTTGGTATCGTTGGCGAGCAAAATTGGTTCATGTGTGTGACAGAATAAGAATAGCCCAATTACACCATGGTCGAGGAGGGCGGATTTTATCCTTGCTCAAACCGAGGAGAATTTCAGAGCTAAACATGGGCAAGTAGTATCAAAAAGAGCAGCACGAGGCCCTTTGGAGACAGACTGCGGTGAGATGTTGCGGCGAAGCCCCTTTATGATGTTTTTCCAACCACTATAACAAGTTAAAGAAACCCCCTAAATTACACGGCAAAGCTGGTGAACATGACAAGGCTACATGGCTTCGGCAGCAACCAACAAGAGAGCGAGACACGCCGTTACCTGCTGGCTTTGACCACTGGGCGCACTGTAGCGGCGGTGGCACGACAAGTCACACGGCGGGGACTGCCAGTAATCCATTGAGGTACACCACTGTAGTTACCTCGCATCTCCAGCGGGCTGCGAGGTACGGATACCTGGCGGTACCGATGACCCATCATCCTCTTCGCTCTCTGTTTGATTCTCCGGCCATGAATCTTTTCTGCTTCAACGCCATTCCACGGACACGGAAATGGCCACCCCCCTCGGCAACCTCGGTGCCGTCCGATGACGCCGCCGCCGCAGTCACACGGCGGGACAAGGGCCCGTCATCGTTGCCGTGGGCAAAGCATCGTGACTCACCGCCGCCGCCGCCGCCGCCTCTTCTTCGTCGCCCGTCATTTCTGCCTGCCTCATGCACGCACGTTGCATACAGCACAGGTTCTGGAGAGCTGCCACAGCATGGCTTGTCCTTCAGCGGCTGACCTTTACGAAGCAGTCTGGTCACATACATACATACATGCATACAGTATCCGTACAGCGAGGCAGCGAAAACGAGGCTTTCGTCCAACCTCTCCCCTGCACCATCACCTCGCCTGGGGCGGCCTGGAGTCTGGACGAGCCTCTTGACTGGGCTGACGTTCATCCACCCGCCTGCATGGCCTGGTCAGGTGCAGCGCCCTCGCCCTTCCGAGCCCCAATCAGCGAGTCCGAGTAGGTGCTTACGGCCTGTGCTCGGATGCACACGACGGGTCAGTTCCAACGCCTGCGTCAGCCCTTTGGCTAGCGGGAACTGGCAGGCAGTCTGTCTGTCTGCGAAGCCGGCCGGCCCCGCACCGCATGCCGGCCCGCGCCACCGGACTGGACTGCCGGCAGCATGCTTCTCAACATACCATGGAGAGCCGAGCCGAGTGTCTTGGAATCAGTCTTTATATGCCAAGTAGGTAACACGTATCTCACCGTTGAAGCCAAGTTACATGTTTCCCTTGTGCCTTCCTACAGCCCAGGTCCTGTTTTCGACATCATCCCTCGACGCCCGCATATGTATATATCCAAGACATGAGAAACCAAGGGCCTTCCCACAAACTCCAATGAGATGCTGATTATCCCCTCATTGGGTCCGATGCTGCTGCTGCTGCTTCTCTACTTCCTCATTTGGTTGCCAGGCGATAATATCGAGCAGCGGTGGCGATTCTTGCCTTCTTGCCCCAAATGACAAGGGGCAAAGCAGAGAGGTTAATGACAAGGCTCACGACCGCCATGATGATGAACATATTCTCGACGCTCATGCTCTCGCGCCACGGGCCGAGGCCAAATGTGCCAATCATGCTCAGAGTGTTGCGGAAAAAGGCAATGGCAACAAACGCGAGAGAGACAATCTTGCCCCGAGTCAGCATGCCTCGCGTAGTGTCCAGAGGTCAGGGGGCATACGTTTGGATAGGCGTCAATAACGCACGTCAACACCATGTCGCCGAGGGCTCCAAATCCGAACGAGGTCATGGCGCTTCCAATGCACGGGTAAATCCAGTGCATACCCTGCAGTTTGTCAGCAACTAAGGCTCGCTTGTGTCTGGTTCTCGACTTACGCGACTCGCCGTGATTCCAAACACAGCCAGGCCGCCCGCCATGATCACGGCCGGCAGAGGCATCAGGTACAAGCGCATTTCCGGCTCGAACAGACCTCGGTTCCGTTTCGCCAAGTACACGATGACCCGATCAACGAGGTATCCGCCGTAGAAGATGCCGAGACAGGATCCGATAAAGGGCGCGAGTTGCAAGAGCCCTAGCTGGCCAGGGTTAAAGTTATACGGTGGTGCGGGGAAGACGATGGACTTCATGGAGCTCAAGATGATGACCAAGGCGAGGCTCGATCCGTATATCCAGGAAGCAGCGAGGATATGAGGCATCCACCACACGTGGATCGGGTTATACATGGTCCTCCAGAGGGACTCGTCGGTAGTAGTGAGGAACTGGAGACTCATGCCTCTCGGCCACCGCACTTTTTTTGAAGACGGAGCGGCCTTCTGTCCTCCAGTCCCGACACGAGCCGCCCCGTCCCCGGTATGGAGCCCGTCGTCACTGGGCCTGCTCTTTTCGCCCACGCCGGCCTGGGCTCGAGGGATAAACTTGGTCTCCTCAAACGTTGCTGCGAAAAGCAGGGTCACGACTGTCATGATGGCGGAGAGGGTGATGTAGGAGGACCGCCATCCCGTTTTCGCCGCCTGGGCCCCGGCTGCGATGGGGCTGAGCGCGGTGCCGAACTTCAGAGCAGCAAGATAAACGGCATTGGCACTGCCCCTCTGATTGACGAAGAACATGTCGCGGACCTAGACGGCATCGTCAGACCGGCAACACAAGGGGCTCACCCGGGGCGTGGGACAACGTACGCTCATCTGAACCGCCGTCTCGTTGACGGCGGCGGCGATGCCCTTGAGTATGTTGCTCAGGAAAATCTCGGGAACCGTCTTCATGTACGCCGACCACCAGCTGGCCGCGGTGAAGGTGATCGTGGAGACGATGTAGACGGGGCGTCGGCCGTACTTTTTGGCAAATGGGATGAAGATGACGCATGCGATGGCCTCGGAGCCGAGCTGGGCAGCCCTGGCACGCATAAGGTCGTCGTAGGTGACGTTCAAGTCCTTTCTCATGGGAGCCCAGAATATGTGCTGGATAGACAGGCTGCGGCGCTGTCAGTACCCCGGAGCTCTCGACGTGAACCGACGGTCTCGCATACCCGGTGAACAGGGCCATGGTGGTGGTGGAGAGGAGCCCAAAGTTGAGGCATTTGCGCCACATTGGCCACGCCTGCAAGACGTGGTGAGCAGCGTCCTGGCAAAGACACGTGGGAGGCAACGAACCAGGGGATCGCGAGGATCATCAGTGGGCGTGGGGACCAGAGTCAGTTCGCCCTCCTTCTCGCTCTTGCGCTCTAGAGGAAAGAGAGGCGTCAGCCTGGGCCTCGAGTGCAGCTGGTCCCGTCATGTTTAGCTTACTGGACAGCAGCAGCTCGACAGTCCCTGGTGGATGCTCTGGGCCATCGAGGTGACTCTGGCTGTCTTCCACAATCGTGCTTCCGCTGGAACGACTCATGGTGGGAATAGAGGCCGTTGGAGGCTTGGGGCATTGGAGGTTCGAAGCGAGGACGCGGTAACCGAAGAATGATGAGATGGTGCCCGAGCCTTCAGCGAAGGGACATGAGCAAGAGCCCCTGGAGATTCCATGGCGACGTATCGATATATTTAAATCGGTTCATCCGGTCAACAGCTAGACACACGTCAACAGCTAGACACACGCCAGACGGCGACAACATGGGACGTTTTTGCAATGAACCTGGGACTGTTCCCGGGCCCCCATTTCCCTGGATGCGTGGCTGTCCGTCTGATACAGACCGAAGGACCTTTTTCTTGCCCGTTTGTGTCGCGGCACCGCGTGTCGCGAGACAGGCTCGGGGACGGAGGAATGGCGAGGTTCCAGGGGGTTATCGGGACAAAGAGGGGTTTAGACGACTGTAATGAACGCGCAAATGCCTCAGCCGTGTTGCTGAACGGGGCTGGGCAAGACGGACTGTGCTTTACATGTAACTATATACACGGGATGTGAATCTCTCTTTCCTCCCATCTTGGTTCCTATCCTTCAGGCTTTGTACATGTACTATGTGCTGCGTTACCGCGGCGGCGGGCGTGGGCAGACTGCAATGTGTAGGGTGTAAGGGGCTTGCTGGTGTCAGTGAGACGGGCATCCAGCATGGAAGGTTGGAAGCTGGCCCTCGCGTCCCATACCGTGCCTGGGCTCTCTCTGTTGCAGAGCAGAGCCTGGAGTGCTTCCCCTTGCACGTTGCCATCATTCTGGACATGTAACTGTCCGGCTTCCGACCCTCGAGGATTTACCAGGCTGGCAGCAAGGCCACCTAAGGACGAGAGGACCGTTTTGTCTGGCATGGAATCTGCAAGGTTCATCGGCGATAACCTGTGCGAGGTGTCGACCTTGGAGTCTGGATTAGTCTTTTGGCGTGCACGATTCTGCATCGCTGTCTCACATGAACCACGATGCCGCTTAACCGCTGGCTCGGGAGGGGCGCCCGAAGAATCCACTTTGGACGGCTTCTATTCTTTTCAGGAAGGGGATAATCTAATCAGGCGCCTTTTGATCGTGGCTTCTTCTGTGGCTGTCGCCCTTGACTGTATGGAGATATCTGATCGGCTCGCCACCGCAGGGCTCAAATGCCCAAGTCGAAGCGGGTGAAACGCTTACAACCCCTCGACCATGACATCCCAAGACCGGGGCAGAACACCTTCCTGTCATATCCAGGGCAAACCAGCAGCATGAAGCAAGGAGCTGCAGCCCATCCCGCCACCCGATCCAGCCTAACGGACGAGCTCACCTCGTCGTCCCAAGTCAATGTTTCGCCCTGAGGCCAGGTCCTGACGATACACCAATACCGGTGCCGCTGGCCTGCCGCAGCTTGATTCGTCATCTGGGATGTGTCCGTAAGCGCGTGTGCGTCAGGCATTACGTTGGAGCGAGCCGGTTGCGGGCCAGGCACTCGTTCTTTTACTCGTTGGTGTTGGGCATGTCTGACTTTATTAAGCAGTCTTTAACTCGCTCTTACCTCTGAGAATAACTATCGAACTCGTATCTGGATAGACCGAAGTCTACAGGCATCCCTACACTTCAGTTATGAGAGATGAACTCTTCGTCAGAGTATGCATGGTAAATGCCCGCCCATGAATGGAACCCACGAGGACATCCTAGCATGTTAAAGAGTAGAAGCAATTGTAGCCTTTACATGGAGCACCTACAATATCCGCACCCCCGCCTCCTACTTTCCGTGGCGTGCGGCCCTGGAGCGAACATTCCGGCACTCCCATCCCTTGGTTCCAAAGCAGACAGGTAGTCAGATCTGTCGGAGAAGCTGCAACTAGATCCGTCATTCATCACTACGTTCCCCCCCCTTTCACCTCGATGCCTATTGGGCCAAGTCTCGGCACCGGGTTCGGCAGGACCCGTCAAATCCCCGACCACGGTATACTACCCAAGTTGTAAGTAACCAAGGGCACCGTGGCAGGATCTACCGATTCGATCAATGTCTAGCTGATAAGCTTAAGCGGACGAGAATCCTTTCCCTCTTTTCTCTTCCATCCTATTCGCGCAAGCCGTCTTTCGCAGAGACGGACAAACGAACGGCCGAGGCAGCGCCGTCTCAAATGTAGCTTATAAATGACATTGCCGAGTCCTTCCAAGACAGCAAGGCCACATTACCAAATGTTTCCTAGACTCTATAGCCAATGAAAGACCGGAGCGGTGATACGTGGTCATGATCTGGCGTCGTCTAGACTGGATAGCCGTCCATGAGCTCATTTTCAAAATGCTGAGACAGCGGCCGGCAACGTGGACACTTGACTGTCTTGTTTGATGGTATCCAAGGTCAAGAGGGCTCGTTCGCCTTCAATTGGAGGCGCTGTCCATAATGGCGCCCGGAAAAGACGACTCCAAAGCCGAGACCCGTCTCCTCCTACTTTCGCAGTTCGTGGAGCAGGGCTTGGGACAAACAGAGCATACGTTATCGGCACCCAAGACAGAATTGTCTTGGAAGTGCTTATGTTGCGACCCTGATCGGCCCTCTGCCCCGTTCAAAGAATCAACGAAGGATTAATCGAGCGAGAGATAACTTGGGGGGTTTTTTTTTTCATTACTCGCATGCAGCCTCTAGGGCCATATCCTAGCTAGCTATAGAGCCCGGGGGCTTATAACTAATTAGGGAAAGGGTAGCTATAAAGATGTTGCAGCTTACGGCCGTTGCTGGTGCACTGCAAGGTCTCGGGATATCGGTTGAGTTGATGGCGGAACCGGCCGCCTGGGCTTATACCCGTGTCCAACTTCCTCCCGACCGTTCCTAGTATCTTGTATGCTTAGAGGTCACAATCGAGACGGGCCGAAATGCGACGTGGTTTTCAGCGAGCGCACGGGTTTCAGTCGTCGGATTCCTTGTATTATGCTTCAGCAGGCTTTCTCATCCGCCCTGAAAACTTTATTTTCTAAAAAACTTCCAACTTGGCACTTGATCTTACATCGATTTCGAGTCCAGGCTTGCCATCCATCATCTACGCCAATTTCTTGGATGCTGGGCTCCGACTTAGGGTCTTAGGGGCTAGCTATATTGCTACCTTACATGTTATCTTGCTACGAGGCTCACTCCTTAAAGAGCATTTTAATTATCAGAGCATTTATGACTATAGGTTAATGGAAGGTTTATAGGCGTGTCTCTCTTATATTCTGCATTTACAGCTGCCTATAAAACATGGATAAATATACGCGACTAATAATTGTATTATGCTTAACAGTTAAGTAATCTACTATATCTACTACTCTACCTTGGCTAAACGATGCCTTCCTACAAGTCAGAAGGAATGGAAAATTTCAATATACAGTATATACTTAGCCTCGGCCTATCAGGAAGCGGTTTAAACAGCTGGTTGACTGCTGCAAGCAAAATGGGGGTTCTAGGGTATCCCCTCGTTCTTGACCCTCCCAGGATTTCAGATTCCTGTCAGATAAGTTGAGACTGCACTCGACGGCGATATACCAAGGCACTTTGCCACAGCCGCGGCCTCTCGGGCTCCCTCCGCGCCCCATTATGTACTTTTCCAGGGCCATTCGCACGGGGCCAAGCGAGGATGGGCAGGTCGGCATTTTGTTTCCGATCCTGGCCTCCGAGCTTGCTACGGCCCTGGTTTGTGTACTGGGCCGGGATGGTGTGTGCTTGTCTGTGTGTTTCTGTAGTCCCTCTTTGCCCTGCGGACATATTGTGATGATTAATCGATTCTAATTGTTTTGATGAAACAAGGTTCGGCGTCAGACGCAGTACTTTGTGTGTCAGAAGGTCCAATCCCTTACGGCTTTGTAACACCCGGCCGCCTTTGCCATCAGAGAGCCGTGCGAGTTTCAGCCCCAGGCGTCTCTCACCTTCAGCCCTCTCGTCCGGGAGCCGCCCGCCCCATTGAGTCCTTTAGGCTCTTCAGGGGTTGTCTGGGCCGGTCATGCTCTCAAGGGCTTGTTAGCTCGAAGGGGATTTCATAGAGCAGGACCCACGGTTCTTTGGCCGTTATTATCATCCACTTCATTTCCAGTATTACCCGTCGTGCCCTTCACTCTCCCTTTTTTATGTCGCCGTAATCTAGTTGAGGTAACACGCGGTATATGCCGGAAAAAGCCTCCAGCATGTCGGACCACGACACCAAAATGCAGCCCGGCGGCAAACTGCGGCTCTTCACGAGCCCGCTAGTGTACCACGGTGATGACGAGGCTCGGAGCCTCGACCGCGTCATCACGGACAGCGACGGCGACAGCGACGGCGACAGCGACAAGGGCGGCCGCCGTCCCCCCCGGGACCTCCCCCGGCTCGTGCGGGTGCGTCGAGTTCCCTCACTGGCGCATTCAACTGGTGCTAACATGATACGGCCCGCAGCGCGAGGAGCCCAGCCTCTTGGAGGTCTTCTTCGACCTCTTCTTCGCCGCCAACTACAACGTCTTTTCCGATAACCAGGAAGTCACCAACCACGCCCGGTTCAAGGCCTATATCGGCTTCTTCTTGTACGGCTCCTTGTCTAAATAAACCTTGGTCCGTCCTTTGTCCGCATCAGTCTACTGACCGCTACCTCTTGCGCTCCACAGCCTCCTGTGGGTGACATGGCTTGTTGTCACGCTCTTCGACGTTCGGTACGTCACCGACAGCATCTTCTGTGAGGCCTTTATTTCCCCGCCTACTCAGAGTCGCGTCTGGCTAACCCATGGCACAAGCTCGTCTGACGAGGGCCATTCAGCTCGGCGTCATGGTTGGCTTCACCGTTGTTGCCCCCAAGTTCAACCCGACGGACCAGGATAAAGAGACGATGCAGGCAATGTGTGCGTGACTTTCTTCCCTTCTGCTACGTCGAGGAAAGGAGCCTTGGGACTGACTTGCGCAGCGCTCATCCTCTTTTTCTCCCGCGCGTGCCTGGCCATTGAGTACGGCGCGACGCTATGGCACGTCAGGCGGTTCGAAAAGGCTCGCATTCCCCTATACATTCAAATCGCCGTTCACACCGTCGCTGCCATCATCTATTTTGGCATCACTTTTGGATTTAAAGAGGACCGAAATAGCCGCATCTTTATCTCGTGGTACTTTGTTTCGGGCGCCGAGGCTATTATTACCATTGCTATTTCCAACTTTTACGCTATCCTTAACTTCACCAAGACGCACATCATGAAGCGCCTCACGCTTTTAACCGTAATTATCATTGGCGACGGTATTATCCAGGTGGCTAGGGAGGTCGTCACCATTGTCAAGCACCCGGATGCCTGGGGTTCGTGGCTCTCCCCCTTTCTTCCCCAGCCTCGTCCTAGTACATCCACATCCGCTGACCTTCTTGCAAACAAAACCAGACAAGGCGACGATTGGGCTCGTCACGGCCGCTACGGCCACCATCTACTTTATCTTCCTTGTCTACTTTGACTGGCTACGGTCCTCGTTCTACCTGCCCCCCCTGCGCCAGCAGCTCTGGATAGGCATACACCTGCCCTTCCACCTTTCCCTCATCCTCTTCACCCAAGGCTTTACGCAGTTCCTTCTCTGGTCTAAGATTATCGACGTGCTCAATAAGCTAAGCTCGGGCCTTAGCCGGGCTAATAGTGACTGGCTCTTTAACGCCACCAGCAAGCAGGTACAGGGCAGCCTCAATAAGTCGGCGCAAGTCTTCTTTCTCGATTTCCCACCCAGGATCGCCAGCACTCAGGATACCGTTAATAATGCGCTCGCCAACATCTCCCAGATACCCGACTCCTTCTGGCCCGACCTCGCTAACTACTACCGCACCGACGACACAGCGGCCCTTCAGGATACCGACCTCCAATCCTACGATGTCTTCTCCAACGCCCTCCAGGCCGCAATGTCCTCCATGGCCAACGCCCTGTTCGCCACCTTCGGCGTGGGCCTAGAGAGCGAGGTCACAACCAAAAACCTCCAGGTCGGCCAAGACATCGAGGGCAGCGGTTTCCAGGGCCAGGTACAGGACAAGACGTTGGAACGATACAAGCTCGTGGTATGTTAATAGATGCGTGGCCCTGGGGCTTACGGTTGGGGTTACGTCGCCACTAACGGGACTCGCAGTTTGCCTACACGTACGTCGCCGGCGGATGCACCCTCTTCTTTATGATGTTCCTAGCCATCATTGCGCGCACGACGCCGCTCAAGCCCTGGCCTATTATCCGCCTTACAATCATCTTCCTCCTCGCCCTCGGCACCAGCCTCACCGCCCTCCTTTTCTACAGCCCCCAAAAGGCCTTTGACTTCCTCCAGACGCTCTGGGTCCTGCCCGTCATCACCTTTGTCTGGGCCATTGTCCTCGTCGTCACTCACATCAACGGCGGCAATGTCGGTCACCACGTGCGTCACTTCCGTCGCCGCGGCCGGCCCAGCGCCTCTGACTACGTCCCGCCGACCCCGGCTGGCGGCTGGACCAACGACACGCGGAGGACGGGCAAGGAGCAACAGGGGATGGATGTAAACAGTTAGGGCGTGTGTAGTCAAGCCATCTCAGGAAATAGAATCAATATACAGCATGGGGAGCACAGCCAGACAGGTTACTCGCTACCGGACAGTCATGCGTCTGGGTAACCACGTGAAGATATAAGTATAAAAATCGCCTTCTTTAGTATAAGAGGGGTAAGGTATATATATAATAACACAGCTTAGTTTATATCGTTTAACTATATATATCCTGGCGTTTAATCCCGAGCGTGGTGCCTCCTCGTTTTGGGTCCTGTAATTGTCGGCTTCCGACTCGTTATGCGCTTTGCCAGCGCATTTGTTTGGAGCTCCTTGAGGAGATTTGGCGATCGGTGGCGGCGTATCGGACGGAATCAGCGGCAGGGGGCTACAGAAGGGGCAACAAAAGGAACCTGCTGGCACAGCCTACCTCGAGCTGTCGAGGCGACTGCTAGTAGGGGGTCAGGGGGTTTTGCTGAGCAGGCCGCCTGCGGGGCAACCACGCTGGACGTCGTCACGACATGCTGTGGCAGTGCTGCCAGCAGTGCAAGCATCTCTGGCGGAGCATCTCTGGCGGAGCATCTCCATCGCCGGCTCACCACGCGTGACTGAAGCTGCCGGCACGCCGAACTGCCACTACGAAGCGGCATCCAGCTGCGGCACCTCTCCGTACATGCTGTGCAGGGCTGCCTGGACAAAAGCTCTAGACCGCGGCTTGTCATCCCTCTCCGGTGACCGCTACCCCCTTTGCTGACGCCCCATATCATCCAATGGCAGGCAGAGGAGACGCCTTGCTTTCTCCGGCGCAACTGAGCACCCTTCACAACCCCAAGAGTCTTATAGCATTTTGCGGGCTCGGTGGCCTTGCGGGCCTGGAGAGAGGGCTGCGAACAGACCTCCAGAGCGGCCTGAGTGGCCACGAGACAAAGCTTGCCGCGTCTCCCGCAGTCGCCGGGAATGCTACCATAACTCCCACCGATGGCAAGGCTGAACATCTGGTCGCGGGGAGCCAATCTCTGTGGCTTGGAGGCTCCGCGACGGACGCCCTGTTTTCTGACCGGAAGCGCATTTTCCTTGATAACCATGTGCCGACCAAAAAGCAGCCAAACATCTTGCAGCTCCTGTGGGCGGCGTACAACGACCCCGTCCTCTTCCTCTTGACAGCTGCCGCTGCCGTGTCTCTCGCCATCGGACTCTACCAGGCCCTAGGCACGGCTCACGCGCCGGGCAACCCACCCGTCGAGTGGGTGGAGGGCGTCGCCATCCTCATTGCCGTTGTGGTCATTGTGCTTGTCGGATCAATCAACGACTGGGAGAAGCAGCGCCAGTTCCGGAAGCTCAACAAGAAGCAGCTGCAGAGGGACGTCAAGGTCATTCGCTCAGGCATCTCGGTTCTGATCCCCGTGTCCGGCGTCTTGGTTGGAGATGTCGTTCACCTCGAGCCCGGCGATGTGATACCAGCCGATGGTGTTTTGATCAATGGCTTCAGCGTCATGTGTGACGAGTCTTCGGCGACTGGAGAAGGGGAGCTTGTCCACAAGGTTCCAGGCGACGAAGCATTCGGCGAGGTGCATAGCAATCAGGAGGCTTGGGACCCGGCCGTCTTCCGCCATGACCCCTTTGTTCTTTCAGGAACAAAGGTCCTCGACGGCGTCGGCACGTTCCTCGTCACAGCGACCGGGCTCAATTCAACGTACGGCAAAGTTCTTGCGTCCTTGCAGGATGAGCCCGAGCCCACCCCCCTGCAGGTCCGGCTTACAACTGTCGCCAAGTACATCGCCTATGGCGGCGGCGTGGTTGCTTTGGTTTTATTCGCTACTCTGTTTATTAAATTCTTGGTGAAGCTGCCTCACAACGCAGAAACGCCGGCGGACAAGGGCAGAGAGTTCGTCGATATCGTCATCATCACTCTCACTGTGCTCGTCATAGCCGTACCGGAGGGCCTTCCTCTCGCAGTGATGCTGTCGCTGGCCTTTGCATCTACGAGGATGCTCAAGGATAACAACCTTGTTCGCCACCTCAGAGCCTGCGAGACCATGGGCAATGTCACCAACATCTGCTCCGACAAAACTGGCACGCTGACACAGAACCGAATGATGGTTGCGGCATGCTCGATCGGGTCTTGTTTGCACTTCGGTGGTGTCCGCATCCCCTCGTCTCGTGCGGATTCGGCAGGGGCATCAGCATTCACAGGCCCCGAGACGGCCAGCCTGGAACAAGTCGCAGACAGACTCGCCCCCGACGTCAAACGTATACTCAGGCAATCCATTGCGATAAACTCCGTGGCCTTTGAAGAACACCTTGGCAAGTCGTTTATCGGGTCCAACACCGAATCAGCTCTGCTAGACTTTGCCCGGCGCCACTTGGATATGCACCGGCCTGTTAAGTTGGAGCGATTAGAAGGAGACATCACTCAGCTGATTCCCTTCAATGCCACGCGGCAATGCATGGCAACAGTCATCAGGCTACCTGGTTCCAAACACAAATGCAGAGTCTTGGTCAAGGGCGCTTCAGAGGTTTTGCTATCCAAGTGTTCCAAGGCCATCCACAACGCCACGGAAGGCCATCGAGTTACCCAACTCGGTGCGCAGACTCGACAGCAGTTGGCCGGCGACATCGAGAGCTATGCCAGCGGCGCGCTTCGAACCATCTGTCTAGCGTATCGGGACCTGGAGTTTCCGGGCGATGGCGAAGCTGACAGCGTGAAGACGGATTTCGGTCTTGATGAACTTCTGCAAGAGCTGGTCTTTCTGGGAATTTTCGGCATCGAGGACCTCCTTCGGCCCGGTGTTCTGCAGGCTGTGGAAACATGCCAAAAGGCTGGCGTCACCGTCCGCATGGTCACGGGAGATAATATCCAGACAGCCATGGCCATTGCAAGGCAGTGTGGTATACTTGCCGATGATGAGAGCGATGTCTGTATGGAGGGCATGCAGTTCAGGACGATGAGTGACGAGGAACTGAGACGGGTTCTCCCCCATCTCAAGGTCCTCGCCAGGTCGAGCCCCCGAGACAAACAGAAGCTTGTTACCCAGCTCCAAGGGGCCGGAGAAATAGTCGCCGTCACTGGCGACGGAACAAACGACGCCGCCGCCCTCAGCACGGCGGACATTAGCTTTTCAATGGGCGGCACCACGGGGACTGAAGTTGCCCGGGAGGCGTCTTCTATCGTCTTGATGAACGACGATTTCACGTGCATCACCAAGGCAATCATGTGGGGCAGAGGTGTTACGGACTCGGTCCGGAAGTTCTTGCTGGTATGACAGGCAATGCTGGCCAGTGCTGTGGCCTTTGTTTATATTTGGCGGCGCTGACCCATGTTTAGTTCCAGATAACCATCACCATTACGTCGGTCCTGCTGACGTTCATCTCGGCAATTGCAGACCCAAACGAGCGATCAGTCCTCACGCCTGTTCAACTCATGTGGGTCAACCTATTCCAAGACACTCTCGCTGCGCTTGCGCTCGCAACGGACGTCCCCAAGTCAAGACTCCTAGACCGGAAGCCCGAACCAAGATTAGCGTCGCTAGTTACCGTGCCGATGTGGGAGACGATTATAAGCCAGTCTATCTACCAATTAGCTGTAACGCTGGTGTTGTACTTCGGCGGATCGAGTATTCTGTCCTACCACACCGACGAGGAGGAACAGCAACTCCAGACCATCGTGTTCAACACCTTTGTCTGGCTACAAGTCTTTAATATGTATAAGTACGTGCCACTTTGGCCCAGCTTAGCTGGAGGCAGCTACTGACGCTGAAACGACCAGTAATCGACAGCACGACAACACACTCAACGTGTTCGAGGGCGTTATTCGAAATAGGCTGTTCATAGCAGTCAGCAGCATCATGATCGGAGCGCAAGTCCTCATCATCTTCGTTGGTGGCGCAGCCTTCTCCGTGGTGCCACTCAATGGTGCCCAATGGGCCATCTCGTTGGTGCCTGGCGTGCTCTCTTTGCCCCTCGGGGTCCTCGTGCGTCTACTGCCTGACTGGCCGTTTGCAAACCTAGGGAGGTACTTGGCTAGAACATGGAAGTCTTGCGGGCCAAGGCGTTGGTGCCGGCGAGAATCGGAAGACTCAGATGAATAGCACATGTTATAATTTTGGTGAGAGCGCATTGTTCTAGCGGTTGTACATATACTCTGCAAGGCCTTGATCTAGGCCAGTCCTCGAGCACGGGCAAGCCTGGGCTCCCTCGCGTCCATGGTTCTCAAGCAGCCGAGCATGCGGCGGCTATTGCTGGTCAGCGCACGCGTCGCCACCTCCTCCATCATCCACCTGCTGTTGCGGCCGTCCAGGCCATATCCCTTCCACCAGCGATATTGTCGAGTACGTTTGCGGACACTGTCGCGCCAGGGTGTACGAAGAAGGCGATGGCTATTATAACATATCTGTACGCGAATCAGCTCAGTTACGGCTGCCACGCAGGGTGACAAAAGATACCCACGTAGCGATGAGAAGTAGGCCTTCAAAATAGTTCGTCTTCTTGCCCCGCAACAAGCAGCTGACGATGAGGGTCGATAGAGTGAGGATGATTGTTTCAAAGGTATCAAACCGCAGGGACATGTTCTTGTCGATGATCCAGCCCACAATCACAAGGAACGGGACAACGAAAAGCGATATCTGCAGCGTACTCCCCACGATGACCGAAACGGCCAGGCTGACCCGGTTGGTCCTGGACCACTGGATCGTGCCGACAAAGCACCCGAGGTTGCCAACAATGGGCACGATGATTAGGGCGATGAAGCTACGGCTGACGCCCAGCGTCTCGACAAAGCCGTCGATGCTGTCGACCAGGCAGTCCGAGCAGGAGCCTACCCCAAGGGTGGAGAGGATTAGAAAAACGCAACTCGACAGGGCGTGTAGCTTGTCCTGCGGCTCGTTTTCTTCCTCGGCGAAGAGCTCCGCATGAGACACCGACTGGAAATATAGGTATAGCAGGTAGAAGACGAGGAGGACGATGGACATAATACGGGACAAGATCAGGACGTAGCTGCTGGGGTTGTTCTTGATGTTGCGGGACTCTGGGTCGGCGATGTCCAGAGCGGAGGGCATGATGAGGGAGGCGCACGAGATGATCATAAGCGAGGTTAGAATGCCGCTCACATCCGCGTTGATGTCGACTGTGCGTTTCCCCAGGCCGGCCAGGAGGAAAGAGGTGCCAAGGATCTAGATGTGTTATCAACGAGGAACAACCATGAGGGCGGCGACTGTAGTCAACTGGATAAGATAGAGGGGGCTGTACTAGTATGATGGACGACAGAATGCTCCCAATCATGCTCGACTGGACAATGGAGATTTTCCCTTCCCTCAGAGCACTGACGCCAACCTGCGGCGAGGTTGTTAGCCACAACGACGACCCGGCTTCGCGTCACTCGGCGAGCAAACCGACAATCATCTCGACAGCATTCCCGAACGTGGCGTTGATCAAGCCCCCGGCAACAGACCCAACAACGCCCGCGAGCTGCTCGGTCGCAAAGGTGAGGATGGACGCGAGCGGGAGCATGGCCAGAAAGTTGAGGACGAAGACGGCGGCTGCGGGCCACCCCCAGCGACCGGCCATGAGGCCGAGCGGCACGCAGACGAGGAGGACATTGGTGCCGCTGCACAGGAGGGTGGCTCTCAGGGCGTACCAGGCTTCCTTGCCGGCACGAACCACCAGGGTCTCCTGCGGCTTGTAGGGCTCGAGGCGTTCGGCCTCATCGAGCAATGGGGTTGACTCGGTGACGATGTCTGGACGTGAAGCGGGCGCGTCGCTGCACATGATGGCGGTGCGTGTGTCGAGCACCAAAGGGCCCCATGGACACAGGAGGGATCGTATGCACTGAGATGTGGTGTAGGTGATAACGCCCTCGGAAGCGGCATGGCACTTTCGATTGGGGCAGTGCTGTTGAAGTAATTACTGTACGGACACTCTGTACAGAGTACGAAGGTTGATATCAAAAGAACTTCAACACGGAGGGCTAGGCAGGGGCCCCTGCCACCGTGTAAGCCACGCTTACCTGCAGATCTATGCTGTATTGCATGCATTACCCTGCTCGAGAAGCTTGAATGCTAATAAGTTATATGTGTAACTTCCCTCTTTCAAGAACAGCAAAGAGTTCGACGAAGATGCCTCAAACACGAAGCTGAGCAAAGAGCCGGCCCGACGACCCACGAGACAATAGCCCTTTATTGAGCCAGCCTAGACTACTAAGAAAAAGGCAGCAACTTGTCACTTGATGGAATGAAGCGTAGAAGGCCCTCTTATAGGGGAAGCTGCAGAGGCGTATCGAACGAATGCCTAGTCATATTCAATGAGTATTGTGTTTACAAGGCGGCAACTGTTACAAGGAAGGAAGAGCCCCACTGGAGCTCTCAAACAAAGAGAAACAATCATTAGTGTCACAGCCTGTGCCTTTTATTCTGGATCGTCACGGAAGCTCCGATTAGGGGGACTCAGATGACTAGATAACTTCACTTTCATAACCAGCAGCACTGTATGCAAGCCCTGAATTACACAGTAGCAGGGGCCCCTGCCTAGCCCTCCGTCTTGAAGGTCTTTTGGTATCAACCTTCGTACCAGCTGCGCTGCGCGGTGCCGACCAAGGCCAAGTTTGTCCAACACATTGGGCTTCGCGACAGATGTCTCTGCAGGGGACCGGAAACAAATGCCGGCTTGTCCAATAGAAGCTCATGCCCAGCAGCTGGAACAGTCCGTAGTTGCAGACGCCGTGGCTCAGGCTACAGTAACATCGTTGTGCTCCATCCAACGGCGCAGCCATGAGCTCCAACGCGGCAATTTTCCGTCGTCGCAATCGTTTCGACACAACCTCGTCAACTTCGTTGACGATGGACCCCGGCGCCGGGACTTCGGACAATGACGAGCAGCGAGAGTCGCAGCATGGACAATCACCCATACGGCAGAGAAGCCCTTCGGCGCCCTGGCTGGCGCGCTCCGAGTCGTATCGCCAGCTGACCATTATGATCAAGAACAGCCATCTTGGCCCGACCAAGGTGCTGCTCGTTCTCGTCCCCATCGCCATCGCCGCAGGGCTGTTGCGGCTGCTCCCCGTGGCCGTCTTTGCCCTCAACATCTTGGCCGTCGTGCCGCTGGCGGCTGTGAATATCTACAGCATTCTGGCGCTGACAAGAAATGCCGGCGCCTGGGGCGGTCTGCCTAGAGCCATCTTTGGCAATGCAACCGAGTTGACGGCAAGGAGACGTTTCCTTCTTCCCTCCCGGAGCACTGCTGGTCGCCCTTTTACGCTGACCATGGATGGCTGCAAACAGCTCAGCATCGCCGCCTTATACTATGGCAAGACCCAGCTCGTCCTCGGAATCACAACAGGCACCGCGGCCTTTTACTCGCTCTTTGTACGATGTGACCCGGGATGGTGCTCGAGGTGGCCCTATTGACCGACGCGTCGCAGGTGCTGGGTAGCAGTTTCTTACACGCCAGTTACGGCAAGACAGACGTGCCGTTCAGCAGAGCGAGCTCCGGCGTGCTGTCTTCGCTCGTCATGGTCACGGCCTTTTGCCTGACCATCCCAACCGCCATGTCCCTTGCAACTGCTGAAGAAGAAGACGCTCCAGTGGCTGCTGTCCGTCCTGCTGTCCGTCTTGCCGTCGACGACTACACCCTTCGCCTTTCACACATCATCGCCGTGGTCCTATTCCTACTCTTCATCACCTACCTCGCATTCCGCTTCTTGACCCACCGTCAGCTTTTCCCCAGGAACACAAACGCGGTCCACGCCAACCCGGACAGCCGCACCAGCTCGGTCCTGGGGGCCAGCCGGGCTGGCTCGGCATCGCCGCTGGTGTTGGCTTTTTGCTTTGTTGGGAGCGTCGCCTGCACGGGCGTGTGCGCCAACTTGCTGATGTACAGCATGGACTCCGCAACACGGGCGCTGCATGTGACGGAGGCATTCACGGGGTTCGTGGCCCTGCCGCTGGTGGCCAGCCTCGCCAAGTCCATCACCATCTGCCAGCACGCGCGGTCCAGCGGCATGCCGGCGCCCAGGCAGATGGGGCTGGACTTTGCGATCCGGTATGTCATGACGAACGTGCTGGACACGCTGCTCTTCCTCATGCCCCTGCTCGTGCTGCTGGGGTGGATCATGGGGCGGCCGATGGCGCTCCAGTTTGATCTGTTCGAGGCCGTGGTCTTCTTGTTGGCGGTTATCATCATGACCTACCTAGTTCAGCATGGGAAGACGAACTATTTTGAAGGCTCTATGCTTATGGGAACGCAAGTGCCCACTGCTGTCTGCTCGAAAAAGCGCCGCGACTAACATACGTCTGACTAGGTACCTATCTATCGTCGTTGCGTCCTATGTTCGCCCCGAACCGACTCTATAACACTGTCCCGCGGAGAGTGGCGTCAAGGGGACGCACTCGAAACTAGACTGGGCCGTGATTTCAACTGTTGGACTGGGTGAAGTAGGCCATGGTGATGACGGCGTAGCTAGGGATCCTGGAGGTTAGCGGAAACAAAACAGAGCAGACTGCGTGCTTGGGGAGGCTTCTCACACGCAGAGGAGCATGACGCCGTGCAGATATGTGTACTGTCTGTCGTGCAGCACCTGGTTCACGAGGACGACGGCGAATAGGAGGATGTAGGTCTGCGACACCTCAAAGTAGAGATCGAGCGGACGGCCCATGGCCCAACCCGTGACGACAAGGATGGGGAGGACAAAGAGCGCGATTTGCAGGATGCTGCCGATGATGACGCCGACGGCGAAGTCGACCTTTTGCTTCCGCGACGCCGCCACCACTTGCGAAAGTTCGGGTGCGTTGCTCGCCACGGGGAGGATAAAGAGGGCCACAAAGGTCTTGGTAATGCCGAGTGCCTTTGTCATGCCGTTGAGGCTTTCCATGAAGGAATGCGTGCACCTGCCGATGAGCAGGCTCGAGATGACGAGGACGGCGCCAGCCTTGTAGACCACACCCATGGACGGCACGTCGTCCTGCTCACCCTCGCCGGGGTGGGCCTCACCGATTTGCTGAGCAGGGCTGTCCGTGGTAGGGCGCTCACGACGTCCATCGACAGGCCGGTGTTCGTCCACGTCGTCGGCGTGGCCCGTGAACAGAGATGAGTGCGTCTTGAGCTGGAAATAGAGATATGCCGTGTAGACAACGAGCAGCACGACGACGGTTGCGCGGCTAAAGGAGAGGATCTTCTTGTCGATGTCGATGCGGCCTGCCGCGTCGGGCAAGGTTGCGTAGAGTGCGGTGGGGAGGGCCAGTGCCATGGCGGCCAGGAGCATGAGCGAGGACAGCGAGTCGACCATGCTGGAGTTGACGCAGATAACGCCCTTTGTGCGCGCGGCAATGACGATGCAGCAGCCTTGGACCTGGACGGTGTCAGCGCGGGCTCATGGGCGACACTGGTGGGCTGGGCCAGCAGACCAGCAGGATATCCGATAGAATGCTTCCCAGCATCATGGACTGCGCAACTAGGAGCTCGTCGTGGTATATGGCTATTATGCCGACCTGCAGCTCCGTGGTTAGCTCGACGTGTGACCGGCCATCCCCTGGAGCACGCACAATCAATTCAACCGTGTTGCCAAAGGTGGCATTCACCAGGCCGCCAACCAAGTCTCCCAAGTGAGTCCCAATCGTGTCAGAGGCATCGGAAATGAGCCACGAGAGCGGTATGATGGCAAGGAAGTTGAATGCTGCAACGATCACGTCATGCCACCGCAGGGCAACAGACACGAAGCCCAAGGGCACAAACACGAGCAACACATTGATGCTGAGGACAAAGTCCTTGAGCAGTCCCGGGAGCCTCAGCCGTACATTGCGGCGCGCGCTCGGGTCGGCGAGCTCGACGAAGCTGTCTGCGAGGGACGCCGATTCGGACATGGCCAGGAGTGACAGTAATTAAGGCACCTCTGTTGCTTCCGGAGCCGATCTGGTGTAATCAAATGCTCGTGTGGCAAGCATCGGTTGAGACGAGGGCCGGTGACAGGCTCGGAGCAACGCCGGGGAACGGCCAACCTGCCTCGGATGCCGGGTCACATGTCTAGGCTGGAGTTGAGACAGCAGGCACGGGGAGGCGGAGATGAGTGACGGACTGGGCTGCCAGATAAGAGGCTTGAGACTGGTTCAGGTGTCGTCTTTCAGCCGTACTGCCGTGTATATGCTTCGTACGTATACTTACACATAACAAATCCTACTCTTGTCACCCCTCTATAGAAGGGGGCAGTGCTGCGCAGGACCGGCCATGTCCTCGGACGAGACCAAACTAACACCAGCACGCGCCAACTACCCCTGACGCCCAGACCTGCGAGGACCCGGGCGAGAGGACACGGAAGGATCATGCCGGCCGCCGCGTGCCAACATGGGCCCCCGACGCCCCCGTCGCGATGTGTATGGAAGCCATCCCACTGATCTCCGTCGACGGGCTCATTATCAGGCGTGTCAAGATATCGGGCTCTCGCCAGAATATGCTGGATTTCAGGGAGAGCTCAGAAAATAACGGCGGCCGGCACTCGGCGGCCCAACTTTCAGCTTGACGGTGGCGGACAGCTCTGTGGTCAAGCCAACGCGCTAACACGGGAATGCGGCACGGCTTGTTGTCCAGGTCAGCAGGTTGATGACCACAATGCCTCGGCCGTTGCTGGAGGGGCTGGTCAGCTAACTAGCGAACCACTCAATAAACCTATAGTTATGAGCGGCCAAGGTTTTTTTTTATCATTACTCGCATGCAGCCTCTAGGGCCATGGCGAGGCTAGTAGGGGCCTAGGCCCCTATTAGCAGTCCTAGCTAGCTAAAGAGCCTAGGGGCTTATAAATAATTAGGGAAAGGGTAGCTATAAAGGCAATAATAAAGGAAGGGTTAGTCTAGTTCCTCCCGCGCGGTGTTTCCCTCCCCTAAGGGCCCTAGGGCCCCTAGGTTACTCCTTTTCGAGCTACTTAGCTATCCCTATCTTTATTTTAGCTAAGAAGGTTAGAAGGGCTTCCCTTCCTTTATTAGAGCTATAGAGAATAGGTAGGCTAAGGGCCCCCTTTTATCTTTTAGAGGTCTAGTAAAGGACCTCTCTTTCCCTCCTATTATTCGGGCACCTTAGGATAAGGTGCCTAGCCGTATACCTTTCTTAGCCGTAGCGGTAGTTATCTCGGTCTACCTTATTAGTCCTTTTTAAGAAGGAAAATAAAAAGCTAGCCTTAAAGAGGAGCTAGTTGAAGGCCGAGAGGGTTAGCCTAGGCCTCCTTATAAGGTCCCTTTCTAGGCTAAGGGCTAAGCAGGGGGTCTTTTAAATAGATATATAGTGCTTACCTAGGCTCTTAGCCCTAGGGCCTTTAGCTATATTAGTAGCTTAGAGGCCCGTTTAATAGTTCTTAGTAGCTTACTAGACCTTTCTTTATAAGTAGCTAATAATAACTAAAGGGGTCCCTTAGGTAGGGGCCCTTAAGCTTCTCTTAGCTAGCTAATTAGCTAGCTTATTACTAAAGATCCCTAGGTAGCTAGGGTACTAGTATAGCTATATATTATAAAGAGTATTACTATTTACTATAGAGTAAATCTCTATTTAGCTTAACCTGCTAAAGTAAAAGTACTTAGATATTACTAGCTAGTACTTTATATTAGCTGTCTTTTAATAGAAAATCCTTAGAATTTTCTAGAAAGCTCGAACTTTAGAAAAGCGTACTTAAGCGCCCGAGCTAGTAAGGGAGGGGTCCCCTTAAGGGAGGGGCCCTACTATAGGGGTTTATCCCCTACGCGAGGTAAGCGTAACGTATAAGACGAGACTTAAAGATACTTAAGATATCGTAATAATAACTAAGATATATATTATCTAATTAAAAAGAGGATTTCTAGAGAATCTAAGCTAAATAAAGATTTACTTTAAGGTAAATAATAATACTTTATTATAAAAGGCTTCTAAGCTAGATAAGAGCCTTTTAATATATATAGCTAGGTCTAAGAAACCTATATCCTTCCTTATAGCGGCTTAGCTATCTATAAAGATATAGGCCTTTATAAGGGGGTTAAGGGGGCTAAGCTTTAAGGGCTAAGGCCTCCTAGCTAAGTCTTCTAGGACCCTTAGTATCGCGAATAGCTCTATATTAGCTACTTTAATTAAGGGCCTTAGGTTCTTATAGTACGCCTTAATAGTCTTATTTTCTAGGCTTATTTTATAAAAAAAGTAAGTATTAGTCTTTATAAGGGACCCTTTAAGGCACCCCTTAGAGCTATTAGTATAGAAGGCTAAGGGCTATAGCCTAAAGTCTTTTAAGCTAGCTAGGCTAGCTAAAAGGCATTAGTATTACTTCTTAGCTAAGAGCTTAAGGGCCTTTATTATAATAATAAAGGCCTTAGGCTCTAAAGCCTATAAGGGCTCTTAGCTAGTATTCCTTCTTTCTAAATTATAATTAGGTCCTAAAATAGCTACTAAGCCTTTAAGGAGGCGGAAGAGCTATATATAGGGCCTAATATAGCTTAAGGCTCTTAGGTTAAAGCTTAAGTTAGCGAGGTTATTCTATATAGCTAGGTTATAAGCCTACCTTATAAGGTAACTAAGTAAAAAGTATAGGGTTTAAAGGGCGTAGGAGAGGCATACTATTTTAAATTATACCTTAAATAGCTATAGGGCCGCTTTAGCTTTTAAAGCCCTAATAAGGGATTATTTAAAGGCCTTTAAGACCTTTAAAAGAGCTTAGTTTTAAAGCTTTTAAAAAGGCTTTATAAGGCTCTTAAGGGTCTTAGGCCCCCTATACTAAAGCTAGGCCCTATAGTTATAAGGAACGGTGTTCCTACTATAAATAAAGTAGCTATAACGTACTCTCCTAATTATATAAGCTAATAAGTAGTATATTAATTATAGATAAAATCCTATATTATAGAGTAAGAATCGCTCGTTATTTTGCATGTTATTATGCATTAAACGGGTTGCCGGTTATCGTATAATCGGGAATCGAAGAAATAGAGCTAGCTTAGAATGCTAGCTAAGACCTCTTAAGAATACCGGCACGACTAACCTCCTTTAAACACGAATATTAGTAGAACTAAGACACTTCCTAATACACTCGAGGTATTACTAAATTCCTTAGTCTTAGGGCTATATAGCAGCCTAAATCTAGTCCCGAAAGGTTCTTCCGTTTAGCTATAATTATCTATATAAGATAGTATGTCCGCTAGTAAATAGAGAAAGAATTATTAACTTTAATACCTCTTCTATATACTAATATATTACTAATAAATTCTATTAAAAATCCTACCTTATACTCCTTCTTCCCTTTTATTACGTAGTCTTATATAATTCCTTAATTTCTTAAAATTCCGCTTTTACTTATATACTTTAAGAATAGTCTACTATAGAAGTTATATAGGCCTAATAGAGCTACCTAGAGGCTCTAAATAATAGGCCTCTTTATATAAAGGTTAGGTAGGATAGTCCTTTAAAAGCAGCTTATATAGAAGCTACCTTCTTTTTAATATATTATTTAAATAAGAGCCTAGAACTAAAGAAGACCCTTAGCTACTATATTAAAGGCTTTACCTTAAAAAAAATAGGCCTCCTTATTATATACTAGTCCCTTAGTATAGGGCTAGTATATTAACCTTACCGTTTACTTAGATCCGGTATAGGTCTAATAAGTAATTAAACGGACTAGCTACTATACGTAATTAAACGTATTATATAGACTAGCTACTATATATTATTACGCGCGTTAAATATAGACTAGCAACCGGTCTTATAAGTTAAAGTAAGAGTAATAATAACTATCTATATTCTTCTCTACTTACCTAAGATCTAGCGGGTTCTCTATCCTCTATATATACTATAGCGAGCGTAAGACCTTACTTAAGGCTTTAACTAAGTAATATCTTAACCTTATAATTATATAATAGTAGTACGGCGTATTAGCGGTATTTCCTAGTATTTTCCCTAGGTAAGTATAAGTATTTCTTTATAATCTCTCTATTATATTCTTATAGTAACTTCTTAGGGAAATATTAATATAGTCCCTAAGGAACTATTATTACTTAGGAAATCGTAGTATATTCCCTATATAATATATCCCTAGGGAAATCTTTATAAAATATCTATATAATCCGCTTAGTTATTATTTCTAGGATTTCTAGGTAATTTCCTAGAGTTTACCTAGTAGCTTTTAGGTTCCTTCTTCCGTAAGGAGCCTTAATAAGTTAAGGGTAACTTCCTTAAGGGAAGTAAATATCGTTATAGGTACCTAGATTATCGACTATAGGGTATCCTATAATAAATACCTAGGGTAAAAGAATTAACTAACGTCCTTATTAGTTTCCCGCGGTATTTAAGTAGGAGTCGCGCTAATAAGGAATCGTAGTAAAGTTATATAGATTTCTAAGGTTAGTATATAGAATAACTTATCTTTTATCTAGAACGTAACCTAGTATAACTAATACTAAGGGCGCGAGGCGGCTAAGCTAAGAGTAAAATACTACTAAGACTAAGGGCGCTAGGTAGCTAAACTAAGGCAATAAATAAGTAAGGCTAAGGGCGTAGTATAGCTAAGCTAGGGAAAACTAATTATAACTAAGGGCGCTTTATAGCTAAGCTAGTAATAAAATAAATAAGGCCGGGGATATAATAAGGCTAACTTAGTAACTAACTATCTTATATTATAGGGGTAAGGGTAGGGCGGGGGATCTCCTCCTTAGCTTCTTCCTTTATTAGTTCCTTAAGGAGTACTAGTATATTAGCTAGGGCATCCTATATATTAGAGGCTTTATAGATAAGCACGCTATAAGCGTTATTTAGGGCCGGTTCTACTAAGAGTATTATAGCTAGTCTATCGTAAGAGGCTAGAATTTAGTTATAGATTACTACTACTAGTACCTATATAGTTAGGCCTAGGTTCTAGAATCCGCCTAGG